AAATTGACGACTTTCAAATGTACACGTAGTTACATTCTGTGTATTTACGTATTGCACAACTCTAATTACGTGTCCCTAAAAAACCTAGCTTATTTTACTTTTAGCTTTTGTGTCGGAAGTAAACTATGTACGATTGTGTATTACATTACATATTTTTCAAATTAATTTAACGATGTATTCATTATGTATTAGCCAGAAGTTTGAAAATTGTAAATCAATCACTCATTGTTCACATTACACAATGTAAATACATACACAGAGTAAATTGTTAAATTGTTGATTGTCCTGCCCTAATGATGATTAAACCCACTTTTAAAAATCTCACTGATTTGTATATTGAGACATTATTTATAAAATGCCCATGCACATCACGCCATGCTGCATATGCAATTTGATAACAAATTCAGTCTTATTATTGATGTAATTACCAGCCACCTAATAGTTTCACGTAACATCTGTCATGTAACAAGCTATTCAGTCGCAATAACCATCCAGACGTGATATCTAGTACGCACATATGCCTACGTACCTTTTCAAAAATGGTTATCATTTCATTCGTACCGATAATAAAATAATTACAGACGGGGAAGAATAATAATATTCACCTAATATGCAGCTGCCTTTTCTATACCATGTCAATCTTAATACCGCAAAAATCTCAGGCTTTTTTTTTCGACCTAATAATCATCATCATTTGAGCAGATGCTTTGTAAACAGGACAGAAATTGCCAACTTACTTACGGTCCTCTTGTATTGAAAGAATTACACATGCGTGCCGGACGATAAGACCATATGGAATTAAATATGACGCGAAATGTAATCTTCTTTCTTTTACATTTCCATTTGTAAAGTCGTTAAGAGGGATTACGTACGGACATGAATGACAAATTGCTAAAATTCATCAGAATTAGTGTGAACCATCATCAGCACATCGTTTCATTCATCGTTAACAACATGTAAAAAACATTAGCTGTAAATTACCCAAATGATAATAAATAAGAAAAAATATAAGTGCGACAACTTTCTTTTTAAGGAAATCCCATAAAAAATTGGCTGCTTTAGTTCACAAAATTAATATTAATTTATTTGAATCCATTAATACATATGTACGACTTGCAAATATGTATGGGCACAAGTCATTAGTCTGAATTTGATGAGCCCAAATTTAGACGGCTACATATTTGCATTTGGTACTCTAACCCAACCCAAGTACATACGTAACTTTGTTCCAATGAAAACTGACAGTTTGACAACTGCAGTGACATTGTGGCAATCTTGACTTGTTATCTGACAGGGAAACTCTTACAAACATATGAGACGATAAGAACTTGAAACTTAACGTAGGAAGGACTTGATGTCTCGTCAGCAAAATCGTCAAAATCATCATATTTTTAAATATTTCTCAGCTCTGGGAATTTATTTTAAAATTCTGGGCGACTGTAGTCAGTTAGTTGATTAATGGAATGGCCGTAGAGTTTTTTTAAGCCGGTTTCGATTAGGTTCCAATTTTTCTGAAGACTTTCTAAACTTGAGATCTCCTTCAAAAACGGTCAAAATCTGGAGTGTGCATACTTTTTATGCAAATTGGCAACGACGTGCTCTACAAATTCGTCGTTCAGAATTTTAAAATAAATTCCCAGAGCCAAGAAATGACAAAAAATGTTACGATTTTGACGACGAGTCATCAAGTCCTAAGCTGAAACAAAGTGGGGTCCATCATGATTATTGAAATCAATTGCAACAGAAAAATTCTTCTAACAGCAAAAAAAAGTCTGCCAGCCAACACAAAGCCAAAGGTTAAGCGAGAGTCAGTTTTGCTAAAGGATTTTTATTGCTTAGCCATTGCTCATCACTTGAAAAGCTGCGTGTAGCCCGTACAAAAAGTCCGTTGTTTGACTCTCCGATAATATCAACAGGCCGAGAGGCTGACAGTAATGATGATGAGAAACCACTTTTCATTTCGTTTATTTCCTGGCTTCAGCTTCCAGTTTTTCTTTCTGCTTTTCTCACGAAAGAAGAACTCAAAGGCTGAATTGAATTCGAATCTGTCAGTCGTAACAGCCTGTGAAAAAGAAGACCTGACCAGGCCAACCCGTACCTACGCGCAAAAAGGCGAGCTGAATAAATATGCAAAATTACGATTGAACATAAGGAGTTAATTTATCAGTGGTGATGATCTGCACTCATAATAAGTTTGAAATACTTCCTTCTCATCTTCAGTGTGGGATGGGAGCAACATTTCAGAATTTCAGAATTGCACTTCATAAAAGAAATATGTACATGAAAACTAGTACCCGTCATTGTATGTACATATGTAAACAGATCGTTGGCCATGTATTTTAAATTTCTTAAAATAATTCAGTATCAATTTAACAGAAAATAAATTCTGATTGCCAAAATTTTTTATAATTTTGCAAGCTTCCGAGTAAACATAATTCTTCATCAGGAAAAGCATGCTCAATATTTAATCGAAAAACTAAAAATCATAACAGATCCAAATTAAATTGATGAAAATGTTATAATTTTCTGTTTAATTGGAATGTAAATATCCAAGAATTAAAAGTTTTCAAGCCTTTATCCATCCCTACAAGAGATAGAAATCGGTTCTTGTCTTCTTAATAATTAGACGGGCCATCGGCCCGCTTTATTACACAGGTTGTGTTTATTATGCCAAGATGCTTACTCCTTCGTCCGACAACAACTTATTCTGAAATCTAACTACCTCATCTCGACATCAAGTTTTTATGCAGCTTTTGTAAACCTTAGGTATAGGTTTCCTATGCGGTAATTTACATTAAATTGGTCTGACTGATTGAATTCTCTCATGCCAGGCCATGCCACGAAATGAAAGAGAAAGATGACGCTATAAAGCTCAACACGGTGGTGGGCACTTATTTATTATTTACCAATATATGGGTTGGGATCAAGCGAAATTGACTTTTCTTCTTGAATTGATGTTGATCGAGATTCCTTTATCTCCTTTAATTCTAATGAGCCCTGTCCCGTTATTTCCACTTACTTTACAAACATGTGAACATGGAGTACAAAGTGGATTGCATTCCTGGTTGCATGACCAGATCGATTCTTGATATTGAGAAAAGTCAATAAAGGAAATACTTACGTATGTAATCAATCCATTTTGGCTAAGAAGGAATGATGAGTATAATACAATTGACTGAAAAAAGGGAAAATAATAATAATAAGGAAGATCAATTTTTATTAAATTAACATTTTTGGACTTGTACTTTTAGTTAATTTTATGGAGAAAAACAATTATGTTGGATTACTTTTTATTATACGAATATTGTGTAATTTATAAAAATCAAAATAATCGAAATGCTGTAATGGTCAGAGGGCAGATATGCATTTATTTTCAATTTTTTTCATTTGATAACGATCGACGGTCAAACTTTGTGGGTGTGTCATCTAATTCGCACAGGTCACAAAAATTTCAAAATTATTTTACATATATTTCTAGATTTTAAGACATAAATATTTATAAATATTTCCACTATTATTTGAAAACTATGTAACTATTTTAAATATTTTTTCGAAAATATATATATTTTATGACACGAGACAAATTTTGTTGTTCAAAGAAATTCGACCAAAAAAAATTCCGAGCTATATAAATATATTCAGAAATAAAAATTTTGGGGAAATTTTATATTTTTATGTTTTTTATGTACATATTAAATACATATTTCATCGAGGTTTCATAAATCTGCCCTCATTGCAACTGGATTAATGACAAAATTATCGACAAACTTTATAACAAAATTAAATACTAAACCTTTTATCCGTCCAATCAAACCTTTTAACAAATATGTCCTGCAACTTTTCACATTTGTTGCATACATCGCTTTCACCTGCATGCATGCATTTCGTGCGTGACCATGAATATTCTATTTCAATCTAAAAACACATGCTTTCTGTGCGTTCATTGCTTCATTTCCTATTTATTTATTTATTAATAAACAGAATGAACCTGTACGTAATGCATGAAATGAGCTTCTGCCTGCTCAGACCTGAACTAAATAAGTAAATCGGTCCAACGATGGCAAAACAGGAACACGGTGCACATAAACACAAAAGGAAGAAAAAGGGGTTCGACTTTTCAGTGCTGTGACACATGAAATGAAAAATGGAACAAAAAATGATCAAACAAATACAACCCTCATCTTCCATTACATCAAAACAGGAGACTTTTACACGTAATAATAGCTTGACTTCCTGATAACTCTGACTTCATGGGGATATTTTTTTCCATTTCACGTATATTGCTAAGCACACAACTGACCATCAATTTTTTAAGGCTTCCTGTCCTCCCTCACTACGAATTAAGCATCAAGAGGGGAACCTTATAACGACCAAATGTGATGCGTTCTCTACACAATTTCCTCGTTTTCCGGTCCTTTCTTTCAGTCTTACCCTACGACAATCATGCTCCATACTTTCATTACATATGTACATTACATACATCTGTTCCATTAGAAACTTAGCAAACCTACGTTTTTTAAATATTCGTCCCTATCTTTACCTGGGTCAAAATTTCCGGAACCGATCTTGACATCATTCTTGACTGTCCTCTCATTTTTCATATTTTCTCCGGAAATTGTGACTTAACTCAAGCGAGAGATATGGAAATTTATGGACATTTTAAAATATACATACATAGGCTTGCTAACTAAACTCCGTTCCACATTTGGTGAAATTCACATTCATCACATGTACATTACCCGAATGAGCCGAATGAGCCGAATGAGCCGAATTACTTTATTATTTTACACCAGTTATTTTTATTTTGGCGTTTAAATTATTCAATTTCGTATGATTTTTACGCCAAAATGTGCTCCATTTGATGAACTCACCAAATGTGAAACAGAGTTTACCAATTATGTAAGATTCGACCTGGTCAGTATTTTACGAAGATATACATTTGTGTACATCTTATGCTATTATATTCCATGGATAAAATAATATAAATTCTTCCAACTTACCTTAAAATATATAATACTCGAGCCAGCTTCCAAAACCTTGCATACACGCAAATAAGTAAGTAAATATCTTGAATTTTTCTTGCGTATTAACTTGTGTTAAGACAATGAGGTCAAAACATTGTCCTTTATCACCACTTACAATCAGAGTTACCAATGCAATGCTAAATTCACGCAAACAGCATCAATTAAATCCTTTACTGTACTGCAATATGTATCTGTATTACTGGACGCTTCCAACCTTAACTGGTGCTCAGTTAGGGCATGCAAGATTGTAAATATGCACATGCAAAAATTCCTTAACTGTTCACTTAATCAAAAAAAATCACCAAATTTTATTCTTAGAGTTTCTTAATTATCTAAACCATATTAGAAAAATTAGGTATTAAGTAGTTAATCGAGTTCCGAGTATTTATTTCTTAGAAATGATTCACTACTGGGTCGTACGTGTAGGTTAGGTTAGGATTTGCAAAAGTTGTTTATATTTTGAAATAGCATTGTTCAACACAGTTCAATGAAATGTTTTACAATTTCTAATATTACAAAACTTTTATAGTGAAAAATCGTAACTTCTTCCACTCCGCAGTATCTAAATAAATCACCAAATCGAAATTTCACAAAGGTTAAGGAAACTTATTAAGGAAACCGAATAAATAAAAATGTATCAAAAAACGAATGACAGAGCAGCCCACATGCTTTGCTTGTTACTCATGAGACGCACCGCAAAGTACTGAACAAAGCATTCACGCAACTTGGGAAGCAAAGGTAGAAAAGGTGTTGTGCATCAAATACTACTACAACAATTACATGTATTTCACTACGAGAGACTGGTGGTGGTGGTTCATTGTTACGATGTAAATAATGCAGGTGTTGCTTATTATTGCGTTGAAGACTTGGATGGGACAGCGTTCCATGGCGCGTTGGCTTCCATCAGCAGATAGTTCATCGATACGAGATGACGATGCCACCGGTCAACAATGGGTGAAACAGTATGCACACAAATTAATCCCAGGCGCAAAGCTGTCGGCACTCCTTAAAAACTTGCGACAATTTTATACTTTAACTATGGCGCAAGTTACCATTACTGAGGAGTGAAGTATATATGTAAATGTAGCGTAAACCATTTTTAAGTATAACAATAACTAACATTTGCTTGATTTTAATTGAAATATGAATGCACATCTTGTTGAATTATAATACATTTACAGAAATATTTGTACAATCCAGTCAGTGTTTCGGGTACCAGTAACCATTTTCAAGAAATAACGGGAAGAATGTGGTTTCTTGCAGCGACATATTTTGACCTGCAAGAAATGCAAGGCGCACATTTCATGCACTTTCTTGCACCTCGAATTTCTTGCTTTCGTGCTTTGCACTGAAAGAAATGCAGTGCAAGCAAACCCACAAGAGGTGATCCCAGTGCATAAGGAATACAGTATGCATGCAACCAGAGCTGGGTGATTATTGGTTTTTGAGGGTGGATTAAGGATTATGATTAACCACAAAACAATGTGGATTGTGATTAAATTATTTTCGTGAGATTAATTCATGTCAGGATTAATCCGGATTAATCCATAAATTCTGAAAATTTCGGGATTATGGATTATGGATTAATAATCCGGATTAATTTGGTGATTAATGATTTTTCACTATATCTAGCGCAAAAAATTTCAACTACGTGGTTTCACATAAAAATGATATGTATGTAGCACAGGGCAGCGAGAACATGTTGAATCTTCAAATGGTAGCTGACAGAACAACATTGTGAGAACTTGAGACTTCAAGCTACACTGTGGGATGAATGGAACTATGGGAATTGAACTGAGTAATCCAGATTGAGAATTAATCATGAATACGTAATCATGATTAGTAATCATGATTTGGATTAATCTGGATTAATAATCATGATTAGTAATCATGATTGGGATTAATCAGGATTAGTAATCCGTAATCACGATTATGGATTAATTAAATCAAATGGGATTATTCCCGGATTAATTCTAATTCCAGAAAAATCGGGATTATGGATTGGGATTAATCTACAAAAAACTCACATTGCCGGATTAGGGATTATGGATTAATAATCCATAATCCGGGATTAAAATCCATAATCCTTAATCAGGATTATCCCAGCTCTGCATGCAACAAGTCCAAAACTTATAATGACCAGTGGTCATTGACCACCATCGTACATATTTATACGCATCCAATGTATGTCTCAAAGATTCAAACTCAATTCATTCCCAAATTTTTGCTCGGTTGGAAGAGAGGGTTATCGAGATGACGGACAGAATCGCCGGATGGAGACACATTGTCCTGCTTCGGATAAAAAATCGCTGAATCGTTATGTCACAATTTGTGACGCACAAATATAAAATATTCCTCCAGTAAAATTGAAGAAAAGTAAATAGATTCTGTAAATTTGCTTATTACGTTATAAATAACAATATTTCATTAAATTAACTTAGCCTGAATGGATCTGTTAAATTTGAATGCAATGCATAATAAATTTAGTGTTAAGATTGCTAACGCAAAACGCTCGAAATAAAATCTGGGGGTATATGTCACGCAATCGGGCAAGGCATCAAAAGGCATCAAAAAGACGTAAAAAGGCAAAATGGAATGCAAAATGCATGGAAAAATAATAAGTCTGCCCTTTTTTGCGGACATGCACTCTATGCATCATTTCCTGGTAAAATTTCACCTCTTTTGCTCAATGTAAACGCCAAAACACAAGTTTTAAGCGTACAGATTTTATTTAATTCAAGTGTAGTGGTGGCGCTGGTCAACCTACTTTTGGACCACCATTTTTTATTTTTCGTGTTTTCTACTCATTCTCACTCCAGGTTTTTCGCAAATCATTTCCTAAAAATTTCTGCTCCTTTCCAATTAAAATTTTAATTCCGGAAGCAGAACGATGATGTCAAAAGCCCCTCAATCCGTCCCTGGACCTTCTCACGTCGCCGGAAATACCACCCATCGGGTCATCCCTGCCACCATCACGGCGACCCCAAGGATAAAAACCGAAGTCTTTTCGCCACAACCGCTGGGGGAACAGTTTGAGGAGTATTTGAGCAGTGATGACGAGGATGAGGAAGAAGTCGAGATCGAGGAGAATAAAATGGTGAGAAAATTTGAATTTGACGTGGTTCCGAATAATTTTCTTATCAGTTATGACCTGTTGTTATCATTTTTCTAGAAAGTGGCCGACACACTGATGCAAATTTTACGCTGGGTCAAAATAAAGGAAAAATCCTTCAGGCCAAACAACACAGCGGCACCGGTGAGAATATTCGGTCAAATTTCATCAAATTTGGTTTTATTTTTAAAGTCATCATTTTGTGCAGATTTCCGACGAGAGATATCCACCTTCGGCTCGGATTGTCCGCAAGTTGGAAAAACTTGTCATCGCTTTGGAGAACGTTATTGACGTTGTGGACGATAAGAGACGTCGAGGATTTCCCCTCTACGAGATGAGGAGGGCGCAACGGAATAAACTATGGAGAGCAGCAGCAATAGGGCCGGAAATGATGCTTGACTTCGTTCTTGACGAGGAAAGGTCGACAATTCCGCCAGCCACGTCAAGACCATCACCTCCAACCCTGCCTGTCACCCCGCCAGCAACAACAATGCCAGAAATAGTGCTTGACTTCGTGCTAGATGAGGAAAGGTCGACACTTCCGGAACCTCCAGTGACACCAAGACCGTCAACTCCACCACCACCACTGTCCGTCAATCCGCCAGCAACAGCATGGCCAGAAATAATAGTTGACGAAGACGAAGAAGGGTCTACAATTCCAGAACCTCCAGTGACAGTGACACCAAGATCGCTGAGTCCACCACCACCCGTCACTTCGCCAAGGTCAGCCTCAAGCCAATCTGCAAAATCCAGCCGGACTCCGAGACCAATTCTTAAATTCAACGACAAGTCCACACTCAAATCCACCTCGGGCAGAAAGAGGGTAATCTTTTCTCGCAAATTTCAATGGAGGTCTCGCAGCGTATGTTCCTCGATTTTGACTATAGCGTCAGTCGATCACAAATTTAATCAATATGAAATTCCCAAAAGGCACAATCTCCTAATATGCAGGTTTGTCAGAGATATTTGCATCCAAAGAGGAAAAAACGTGCTGTAAATTTGGAAAGTGTAACATTTGTCGACTTTAGGGCCCATTTTCTCCTCTTCGGGTACAAATATCTCGGCCAAACCTGCACATTAGGAGATGTTGTCATTTGCAAATTTCATACTAATTATATTTTTGATCGATTCACACTAGTTAGTCAAAATCGGACAACACACGCTGCGGAGCCCAGCGTAATCTTATGATGGAGGTCTCGCAGCCTCGGAAGCTAATTTTTGCATAATTATTGACTAATTATATCTCTCATTTCCTTTGCCCATTCAGATTTCTAAAACCAAACGCCACCACCGCTGTCACATTTGTCACAAAACGTTCTCCAGCAAAAATGCCCGCATCCAGCACGGTTTCACCCATCTCAATGAAGAAGAGAAGACGATGGTGAAGCAGAGTTGGAGAATCGGGTGCTTCTTTTGCCAGAAGAGGTTTTCCCACCAGTCTGATTATCATCGTCACCTGGTCACCCATACGAAGGAGAAGGCCTTTCGCTGCGACCAATGTGGCAAGCTGTTCGCTCATAATTTTAGCTTAACATTGCACAAACGCAGCCACAGCGCCAACCCAAGACCCTTCAATTGCACGGAATGTGGCAAAACGTTCACTAAAAAAGCTTGTGTGGTCGCACACAAAAAAAGAGTTCACCAGAAGCTGATGAATGTCGACTGTCCCGAGTGTCCCAAGAAGTTCAGCATCAAGTGGGACATGACGAAACATCTGAAAGTTGTTCATCTACAAATTCCGCACCTCTGTCCCCATCCCCACTGCAATAAGTCGTTCATACAGAAAGGGGATCTTCGAACTCACGTTAAGAAGTTTCATCCCTCATAATTCAACCTTTCTCGACTTCCAACGATCCAGCGTCAACTCAATAAGGAACCTTTTTTCAAGCTAGCTACATCAGGATTGTCCACCAGTGATTAATACTTTTTTCATGAAATTTCATTTTTACTTCTGTTTCCTCTCAGACTTTCTCCCCCGCAAAGAGACCTACTTTGTGTAATCTTTCAGAACTTTTTAAATTTAAATCAGTTAAATTGTAAATCGAAAAACTGGACAAGATTGTGGAGTTTATTTTTAAAATATGAATTACTTCGTACCGAAACATTTATAGGAATGTAAATTTTGTTATTTTGTAAAGTTTATGTCCCCGAAATAATTTTTGCGCAAAGTTTGTTATATTCAGTTCAGGCAACCAGGTGTCTTCCATTGCGTTAGTTTACAATTGGTCATCCTTGTTAAATAATACAATTTTACAATTTAAATAAAATTAAAAATACAATTAAATTACTTTATTATTACAAAATTTTAATTTAAAACAGAACCGGCTTCAACATTACTCAATCTTCACCTATTGCGCTGAATTATTACATACATGAATGACCAACATGTTGAAATCTAGATTTTCAAAAACTCAAATTAGACAATAAACAAAACTGTAATAATTAAATTAATTTGTATCAAATTTGTGTTTACCTTTTCACCCAAACCCAAACAGTAACTTACCTTACAAATGCTATCAGTACATATGTAAATTGGCAAAGAAATCACCACCTGTGCTCCACCAGATGAAGACTGTGAGAAAGAAATTATGGCGTTATTCATGTATCTCTGTAAGCAAAAAGTCAAGGCTATAGTGTTGCAGATGGATATATGCATAAACTAAGTATTTATACTTATTTGTGCACTATTTGTACTATAAAGCAAGTCCTAACTACCTGGAGAAGGTGAAACAAAGGCTTTGGTCATTACTTACAACGCAAAACGGACGACTTTTAAATTTCGATCTAGTGAAATTACTACGAATGCGTTTGCGAATATCGATTGCCAAATAATTTGACAGCAGACATTCAGTACTACCTAGCGTTCCCTATCAGTATGCAACCCTTCTCGCACCCCAGGCTTTTGCAAACCTGTCTCAGTCAATCGAAAGATAGAAAAAAAGCTTCTTTTTGGCAACAATTTTATTTCCGACGCGGACGCGACCCACGAATCACACCACACACAATCGAAAATTATTACATTATCTCACGGCATTATTCTTGTTCAGCTGCTGATTTCATTCAACTCAAAAGTACAGCCCACTTTGCTTGCACTTCATTGTTGAATGTTGAGGAATGCGACTTGTTTGTTTCGAATGTGTAGATTCCAATCCAGGGGTGGGTCGAAGTGCGTCGCAAAAATGTAGCAAAAATGAGACGGTATTTAGGTATACATACAAATAATTGCGTTGTAGTGCAGTAATATCGACCTACATACAGTGCACTTTCTCGTAATACTCAATCCATACTCTTTCCATACGTAGGTACTTATTACTAATACGTGTAACTTAATATCGATTAAGTACGTATGCATAACTGTAATTTTTTGCATGGGTTTAAGCAAAAGATTCTGATAATATGATTCAAAAAAATGCTTATTGTTCCCCAGATTTAATAAAATATTGATGTAAATCAAGGTTTATTTTGTGTGATTAAAGGACCTACATATGTACAATATACGTAGTTTAAATGACAATTTAATGACATTTACATGTGGGTTGTGATCCAGTAAATTATACCAGACACTTATTGTCCTTGACAAAATTAGCAAAATAAATCTGTGCCCTGATTGAATTGGTGACAGAATTAAGGCAACTAACTGCGTCGCATGCATGCATATGCGCCATTTCTAATGCCATGCACATTTACAGGTATTCATTCATTGATTATAAATAATTGCAATAATTCCTTTACTTACGTGCCGATAAAATAATGTAACGTTATTGTGGGCGTAAGTAAATTCAGTATCATCTCATCTCTGTATTTATTACAATTAAACTCTGCACCTGTGATGCGACTGGTTTAGTTAAATTAGAGCCAAAGTGCGAATTTATATGTGGAGGTTGAGGTAGTCTTATTACATATTTATTGGTTATAACCATCTCACATCGAGTAATAAATACATGCAAAAAGGGTTGCCTACTTTTGCGAATTAATTATTTTTGCGAGACTTTCAGGTGTGTTGAGCTGTGTGAGGTCAATTTCTTCTGCCAATAGAATGGAATAAGAAATAGAGAGTGAAATAAATCCAATTATTACTGCATATCTATGTACATTCCACTTGCAATTGCACTTCATAATTGCATCTGATCGAATTCATGCATGCATTGATTCTTAAGCACATTGACATGATAGATCTTCAATGCAAAATACGACTTGATATTAATGTTCATATGCAATCTTCTCAACTATTACGTGAGAATATTATATGCTATCGCTAAAAAAGGAATTTTTATTATTCCAGAGGACGGATATGTATTTATTTTCAACTTTTGCATTTAATGACGACCGACGGTCAAGCTTTGTTCCCTAACTCGCATAGATTATCAAAAAATTCAAAATATTTCCACATATTTCCGTTATTATTTTAAAAATACATAAATCTTTCGCATATTTTGCAAATATTTCAACGATACGAGACGAAATTTGTTTGCTCAAAGAAATTACAAATCCAGAGCATTATAGATAGATATTCAGAAATATTTTCGCTAAAATGCTTATTTTTTTGTTATAAGAGTTCCAAGTGATCCACGATTATATTAGCCGAATCAACCGAATTATCATAGGCTGCCTGGGACGCAGGCACAAAAATAATTTCTTAAGAATGATGTTAAGGGCTCATTTTTGGACATAATGGAAAATGGATCCGTAAATATGTGGGGAATGGGTTTCTCCACATCTGACATCATTTTTTAGAAATTCACTGTCCCAGGCACGGTTAAGACCAGTTTCTTGTATTTTGGCGTCAAAATCATCGAATTTCTCAAATTCTAAACACCTAATAGAAAGAGGTTTACGCCAAAATAAAATAAAGTGATGTGAAATAATAGGGACTCCCAACTTTGTAAAAAAATCGCTTTTTTCGCTCTTTTCTCAAAACGCTTTTTTGTCAATTCGTTCTTGCAATTTCAATTTGCAATTTCGTTCTTTTTTCACTCGTTTGGTCCAAAAATAAAATTATCTTAACCTTGATTTTATTTTTAAGCAAAAATATTGGAAAAAATTTCGAAATCACATGCGGAATTGAGAAAAAAGCGTTTTGTGAAAGAGCCAAAAAAGCGATTTTTTTACAAAGTTGGAACTCCTTAATATAATAATTCGGCTCATTCGGTTAATGTAATTGTGGATCATTTAGAACTCTTATAATAACAAATGGAGCAGTATTTTTCGCAAATATTAAACACGTTTTTAAGCGATTTTTCGCAAATACATATCCACCCTCTGTATACCTCTTCTACCACCTTGGTGCATCTAATATCTATCACGGCGTGATATCTGCAAATGTCTAAAGCAAAGCGTTAATGAATTTTCTTATCCCAAATACACGAATGATTGAATTGATTCTACTATTCAATTACTTGCTACCTACAAACGCAGCTGCATCGCATGTGCATATTTTCGTTAAGGGATCACTATCATCAGGCAGGGAGGATTTTATTCATTTTCAGTTACATGAACGATATATAAATTGACAGTTTGCACGTGTGGCTGCACATTATCATTTCTGCATTCTTCGCACTCTCAGGTTATTCGACGTGCGCATAAAAGTAGATCCGAAAAAATTTGCACATTCCAACATCGGAGAAAAGTGAGTCAGTCTGTTTGTGCAAATTTTATTTGGTTGGTCCTTTGTTGTCTGATGTTAACGTTCCAAGGAATGCAAGCATCAGCAACAATCCCATCAGCAAGCTCAATTTCTATAAAGCAAGGTAAGTTAAATACTTATTTTTAAAGCAGTTATTTCAGGTTCACGTATGACTCATCGCTAAAATTGCTAAAATCAGCACATTTTTACTCATTTCTCGGCTCTGGAAAATTTTAAAAATTTGTAGAGTGAGTTCCAATTTTTTTTAAATATATTTTTTTTAAATATTTTTTTAAAACAGGAGATCTGAAGCCTAAGAAGCCTTCAGAAAAATTGGAATGCATCAAAACTGGCTTAAAACACGCACCGGCATTCTATTAATTAACTTACTGACTAGAAATTTGTCGTCCAGAAGTTAAAAATAAATTCCCAGAGTCGAGAAATGATTAAAAATGTAATGATTTTTTACAATTATGGTGATGCGTCATCGAGTTCTAATTGTAAGTCAAAATCCAATATGAAATGTTACATTTGAACTGCATAAGATTTAAATTGAGGAAAATCCATGCATGAACAAAGACGGACAAACTGCGTAAAAGAAAAATAACTGTGTTTCCGGCAATTCAGACAGGAAGATGACCACAAAGCGCCGTGCCTTACTGAATTCATACATACACATCTTAAGATTGGGTTTATTGGACTACCTCAAACTATTATTGATTGATTATCGATCTTTTACGATTATGTATGAAAGATTGCAAGATTCCTTTCTGAATCCTTTTTTGACTACGATACCATCAACAATGACATGAATGTAGGAACAATCATTCATACCAATCGTATTACAAGCAGGGGTACTAATAACAGGACATATAAATAATAACAAAAAACTAATATAGTTCTGATGCGTGATGATTCATTCATACATATTTTAGCGACATATACCACCACCAGCATTCCATGCACAATTTTTGCACAGATGTAAATACATACAAACATAAATATTAAGACCACTGCCCTAAAATCCCCTTTGGCACTTTAAAACAGATGAACAACCGTTTATCAATGCATGCAAACTGACATAACTTAGAGATGGTTTAAATATGTATGAATCAGTGAAAAGGCGAGTAGCCTAAAACTATTTAATCCACATATTAATGTATCTCTGCATGTGTATTAAATTTCGCAAATTGCATCTCGTGTATGCATACGTATTTGCATGTAAGCAAATACCTGCGAATTCGATTTGCGAATCAGTACCTTCACCAACAAATAATAATGTAACTGTGTAACCCAGAGGCTTTTTTTTTCTTACTGAACGCATCTTGCTTATGTAAAATATGTGCATGAAACCACATTGCAGCCTTATTCTTCGATTCATATTTTGTTATTTATCAATCTTTCATCAAACTCAATTGATGAGTTCCATTGACATCGGCATGTATGCACATACACATAGGAAATAGGCGTAATTATTTACATACATTTCTCTTACACATACAGAAGTCAACGGCAGAATTTCTCTGATCATCAACAGTAAGAAGATCACGCCGGATCCGGAAGTAGTGTCCATCGTGCTCATCGACCACTCATATTCAGAGAATCGGTTCAACCCTCCTGTAAGTAAGATTGCATATAAATACGAAACCACGTCTTGGAAATTGTCCCATTTTAAGTTGACCAGTATCTAAAGAAAGTTGTATTGTTTTTGTATCTAGCCTCCGAATTAGTGACTTTTTGTTCATTTAAATGGTCATCGTCCTTATCTAAAAATGGTACTACCGACAATCCAAGCGTCTTCCTTGTTGCCCATCTTATTCGTCATAAGTGGAAAAATTCTACTCAAGAATGTCGATGGGCTTCATATCAGAAATCCTATTTTCATCTCTGACCGAGCCAACAGAGCGTCCCCATTCAATTTTACGGATAATCGATTGGGTGAAAGTGTACGAGATGGGAAGGCCCGATTGGGTGGACCGGGGTTGTCTTTGAGACCCTTTGGTCATATTTCACATCATAAGAAGATGCCACATCATACGCAGTGGCAGTGTGGGTCGGCTAAACTGGATGGGATTGAGGTCACGGAAAGAAGAGGAAGAATTCTGGGAGGAAGGTCAGTCTCTAGTTCAAGCAATTTATAATCAGTGTTTCGTTTCTGGCAAGTTTTCTACATTTTTTTGCACTGCAAAGCAAGAAAGGAAGATATGCGAGGTGCAAGAAACTGGGAGAAAGTGCAAGAAATATGCGCCATCCAGCCACGCACCATATAAAGTTTAGCGGCGCCCAGCGGCGGGCGTCGTTTCTTGCGGCTTGCATTTCTTGCAGTCAAAATACCTGCAAACTTTCTTCCCGTTACATATTTCTTGCAAGTGGTTACTTGTACCCATTATTAATCCATCCACTCTTTATTAAAAATTCAGTGTTTCACTGAATTTTTAATAAAGAGTGGATGGATTTGTTTTAGATATGACCTCTTTTATTTCGAATTTTCTAAAAAGTTTTGTTTCTCCTTAATAAATTAGGACCCGATTTGAACCCATTCCTTGGCAAGCGAGTCTGCAGTCTAATGAAAACGGAAATTGGCGACATATTTGTGGCGCTGTCTTAATATCGCAGCATCATCTCTTATCAGCATCACACTGCATAGGCTTGGAATCTCATACAAAGTACAGAGTTGTGGTAAGCAACAAAAATCTTTTCAGAAACCAACAAATGCCAACAATCGTATTTTATTGATGACTAAAATTATTTATTTTTATTGTATCAGTTGGGGAAAGTTAACCTGAATGAAGTGAGCGATCACGAGCAAGTATTTTACAGTGAGTGCATGTTTAGATATGTTAAAAATATTATAAATGATACATTTATTTATGTATAAATATTTTTCTCTACAAGTTCGAGACGCGGATATAACCACCCATCGCCAGTTCGGTTTTAGCACAGAATTTGAAAATGACATTGCCATCATCAAAGTTGACGGGAGGAACGGTCGCGGTGTGGTCTTTAATAATTACGTTCAGCCAATCTGTCTTCCAGACTACGACGGGTGGGAGCACAAAATGATCTCGAACAAGGAAAACTGTCTCGTTTCCGGTTGGGGCAGTGCGAAAGGTGCGATCAGAAAAAATAAAACGCTGAATTAAAAATGTTAACGTTGGACTCGATGATTCATCAGCAAAATTAGAACTCATTTCTCGGCTCTGGAAATTTATTTGGAAATTCTGCACAAAAAATTTGTAGTCGGTGATTTGATTAATGGAATTGTGGCGAGTTTTTTCTGCCAGTTTTCTGCAGTTTCTGCCAGTTTTTTGCCAGTTTCGATGAGTTCCAATTTTTCTGAATGCTTCCTAAATCTCTGAAAGTCTGGAGTGTATATTTTTTTAATTGGCAACGAACTGCTCTACAAATTTGTCGTCCATTTTAAAATACATTCCCAGTGCCGAGATATGATTTAAAATGTGCTGATTTTAACCATTTTGGCGATGAGTCCTTAAAGATCCTAAAATAATTTAGTATTTATTTATGTCCTATTTATTTTCTGAACAGGTCCATTTGCCGAGGATTACAGCGTCTCTCTCCAAGTTGCTTCTGTCCCAATTCAAAAACAAGAGACTTGTCGAAAACTTTATAATCATGAGAATAATAATGACTTGACAAATTGGCTGAGATATTCAAATCCTAAACCACCAGAGAAAAAGCGTCGTTTAGGAGCAGGTCAATTTGGGGGAAGTCAGCAACGCTTCTTGGACAGCATGCTTTGCGCAGGACCGCTCACTGGAAGGTACGTCGATTCTTCGAGAGGCGATAGTGGAGGTGGATTGGCATGCAGGATGAATGGTAATTACTTAATTTTAAATTGCATATGAATTGAAATGACGAAATATTTTGTGAAAATAAAGTATTTTGAGCTCCGTTTTTCGCAGGGTTAGGATTTCCTGGCCCTTGCACTCACAAAAATACGAGAATTTGCGTGGAGAATACAGCAGCCATACGAAAATGAAAGTTTTGTGAAGAAGTTAACTTTTTATCGCTTTCAAAAAACTTTATTTACAGAAAATCGCGACAACTGCATTTTTGACAACGAATTTCTTTACAAAACCCATATTTTCGTGCGACTGATGTTCTCCACGTAGACTTTCGTATTTTGGTGGGTGTAACAGCCCTAGAATTCCAAACCCTGAACAACGGGGCTCAAAATACTGTATTTTGATAAAGTTTTTTTGGTCATCCCTGGATCAAATACAAATTTGTATATATGAGTATTTATGTATCTACATTACAGGACAGTACTACTTGGTTGGGTTAGTTTCGTGGGGCGATCATTTCTCAGCTCCAGGCGTTTACACAAGAATTTCGTAAGAATTTAACTACAAAATTTGTCTTATATAATGTCCAAATATTAGCCATTCTTGAAATATTTATTCATAATGTAGGCATTATCTTCACTGGCTTGATACAGAAAAATTACTACTCGGACCTGGATATAGAAAATAATTTAATTTAAAAATTAAGAGTTTATGTGGATGTTGTGTTACTACAATGACTTGTGATGAGTCTACATAGTACAAAAGCTTAATTATTTGCTTCCTATTCTATATATCTCGTGCTGTGAATTTAGTATTGCATATTATTATTACTTGCTGCTGTTGTAACATTTTTAAATATTTTTTTTGTACCAATTGACGACGTGGACTGGAGTCGTCTTCTTAGGTTGTGATTTTAATAAAGTAAGAAGTTAAGTGGTTAACCATTGACTTGTTTCAACTTCGATTAGTTCCATCAGATATGCAGGAATCCTATTTACAATTATCCACTGTTTTATGCACAAGCATGCGTTTGTTTTGAGTAGATGATGTGATGCATGAATCATAAGTCATTTTCATTTAACATTTCCTGGATGAGGTTTTGTAGGAGTTCCATCCAAGCTTCTATATAGCATACTACGCATTGCACGAATCTTCTTGAATTTACTGATTAAATCCAACTTTATCGAACGAAAGTGAATTTATAGTGGGACACATTTTGAAAAGATAATAAAGTTCCCCATATAAAGACAATTGCAATTACCACTGCGTCCATTTATCTTACGTACTTAACGCATCTGTAATTCTGGTTTTCGTGTTGTTTTCAAACAAATACAAAATGTAAAGAATTCTTCTGCTGGAGGCATCTGCTTAATTTCTACGTGATTATGGAAGGAGATGCACCTATATTTTTCTGGTTTATTTATACTGAATCATGGCATTTGAACAAAAGCAGTATTGTAATTTTATACACAAGAAACGCCTAACAAATCCTTCAACTAACCAGCATCATCTAAATTCTATTATTATTACATACAATATTGAATATGCATGTACTTATATACCAATCTGCTCTGGTGCTTCAAGTCAACCTTCACTTGCATGCAGCCTATAATTCGCTGAGAGAATTTATGTATTCCTTCTGCATGCTAATTAATTTCTTGACACTTTGTACCATTTTCAACACTCAATCTCAACTCGGGCTCATTTGCATATAAAGTTGATGCTAATAAGTGCTAATAATTTTCTCCCCACACATTTAATTAAACCGTGTATAGGGAGCAAAGAAAAGTGCAGCTCCATGTAAAACGACCGGTTGCCATTCTGTGCCAAATTAATTTGATTAAACGTAGTGTAATTACTTGCGTATTTATTTGTTTATTATTCGCGTCCGTCAAATTACAATAAAAACGCTTCAAATCAATTGTGTTTTAATAGATATTTGCGCTTTCTATGAAATAATAGTGTTGGTTTAGTCCGTGTAGCATTATGCATTTATAATATAACATTTAAATATTTGTTCCCGTAACACTCCATACAAAAAAAAACAAGCACGATGCTGACGACTTGAATACAACGTGTAATGTTAGGTAATAAATTACGGTAAAATTGCCAACCCTGATAATATGTATGTACACATGTGAAGCTACATAACCGATTCCACAAACCAACCAGTATGCCATAGTACTACGTGATCCCACATTCTAATAAATCCACCCCTTCTACTTTTATTTTGTAAGATAAACGCATGTATGTAACATCAGTCAGCCGATACAAATGCACAACTAATGAGGATTTAGGATGGATTCAAAACTAATCACTTAAAGATTTTGATGCCCTTTGGACATAGATGAGTATATTTACTAAAACCCCCAAGTAGCTTGTCGTTTGACCCCATTTTAGTCCTATGTGCAACTATCTGGATCTACAATGTTGCAAGGATTTTCATAATCAGTAGAAACTTTGATTTTTCATGAAGGTTTTTAAACGATCAAAAATGGGATTTTTCGTGTTTTTTTTGTATCTTTGAGTAGGTGTGGGGGACAAATTGGTCATGGAGTCAAACCATACTTACCGAGCACTACATTTGCAAAAGGGCATCAAAATAGGTTAGTGATAAGTTCTGACTCCCTCCTACCAGGGATAAGTACATGCAGAAGTAGCATTAAAAACTGCAAAATAAGCGGTATATGTAGTATGCATGCATACAATCATGTAATGTACTATTCACTGCAACAATGTATTGATACGATTATTAGTTAAAATCTTATGATATATATATCTCTTTGGTTAAAATCAAACCAAACTAAATCAATTTTCAAATCAAACCCATTTCCCATATTTATACAATTATTCCGTCGTGGTTGGTAAATAACTGATCAGTTTTCATACAATTTTTACGATCTACCTACTCTTAACGATTTTCTTCCTTTGTTTGCATATTTACAGAGAGTACGTAAAATTTGAGCTGTCTCATATTTCTCGCACTGTCCTAAATTTTCCCTTCGTAACGCTACGCATCAACCTTATTTTGTCAACCACACACAAGCCCGTATTTGTTTTATATGTACACTCACTCAAGGTCTCAAAGTTGTGCTAAAACCCTAAAAACTTATCTTTCGTTTTAAATAAGAGATGCGTAAAAAAGTGAATTCAAAGTGATTCCATTTCTTTAAAACTAGATTCACAATCGTTGTGTCCGCATTCAAACTGAATTTTTGTCCGCCATTTAAAAATCCATCACAAATTTAATTGATATGAAATTTGCAAAGACAAGATCTCCCAATGGTCACGTTTTGCAGGGATATTTGCATCCTAAGAAGAGAAAACGGGCCCTAAAGTTGACACACTTTCCAAATTTACTGCGCATTTTCTCCTCTTCAGATGCAAATATCTCTGCTAAACCTGCCGATTTGTAGATCGTTTCTTTTACAAATTTCATACTAATTAAATTTCTGATCGATTCGTCTCGTTAAAATCAGAGGGATGGACTCCACGATTCTGAACCTGCTTTTAGCAAAAACCTTGCAAAGCCCATCTTACCCCAAAAGTCGTGGTGATGCACAAGAAGGGTGCTAAAGAAATGCATTGCATATTATTTATTATGCACTGGCTGTAGTATGTTTTCGCTGTTCATCTTCTTTTCTGTGCCGAGGTGGTGGTTGGTTGGTTGGTGGTTGTTATACTTCTTCTCAATTCTTGCATTTGTGATTTTTTGCAAATATTTATTTCACAGTTGGCCGGATATTGAAGGTAGCGAGAGGACACACGGCGCCCCCACACTTTCCCCCCACGACTACCACCACCCAAAGCTGCGCCCCGTTCCAACCTCCAGATCCCGAGATAAAACGATACGACGGCTCAGGTGGTCGAGAAAAATTAATTAATTAATAATAACATACGTCTTTTTCTTGATAATAACGTAAAAATTCTTCGGCTCGTCTTCTCTCTTAGTAAACAGCTTGTTTCGTTCGGCAGCTAAAAGAATAAAATAAATAATGGTCCATAATTTGGCGAATGTTGTTAGTCAGTTAAAATAAATTTAATTTTTAACGTCACGCTACACTCCTTGAAATTGTGATGTGGATGTTAAGTACAGTTCAGTGTCGAATAAAGAAGGAATAGTGAAGATATTTCGTAATTTGCAATTCAATTTGGTTTTGTCTGGGATCAAATACAATATCGGATGATCTGAAGTTTAAGTTTATTAATAATAAATAAATATCTCAGTTATCTGTCCAAGTTGGAATGAGAGATTAGAGATCTGATGATAACTACTGATAATTAAATTATGTGTTAATTCTGTAAAGCAACTGTGTACATGGAGAGAATCAGTGTGAAGTTGATAAGCTAGTAGATTGTACATAATTACAACAACTGGACTTTAGATAAAATACTTCAGTCCATCTTCTTGCGAATCTGGTCAATTCATTGTTGAATAACTGCTCGTTTATGACGGAAAACGGAACTTCATAAATAATAACGCACCTCCACAGTACGGAAAGTATTATGGAAGAAAATGACGATAAGGTAAGTTAAATAATGTCGTAAACTGTTGGTTTTTGGGTACAAAGCTAATTGTTCCTTCTTGATTTGTAACAATTTATAGATTCGAATTGACAGAATATTAGGATCCTCAGTAACCAGCAATGCTCATTTTAGCTCGGATTCAAACGGCCTCGTGGCCTATCCTGCTGGGTAAGCAACAAGTGGTACATTTAAGTATGCAATACAATAATAGAGTATCGACCAAACAATTTACTACGCACGCACGCAATTGGGAGAATTTATTGATTTGGTATGCTTATTTTTCTTCCCTTTTCAGGAATACCATTGTGCTTCTTGACACGGGAAGTGGGACGGTGAGTTGAGTATATACTTTTGCCTTTTGTTTGTCCACTGTCGTTTGCTATTTCTATCTTAGTTGTAATTTTATCTAATTTTGAATTCCAGGTGGTGACACATATAGTTTTAGAGACGCGGAAATCCATTAGTGCCTTGCAGCTAAAGAGCAACTCCCTCCTGTTTGCAGCGTCCGAAGATTCTAATTGTCTACGAGTGATAAATTGGCAGTCTGGAGTTATAAAAGATATCTCCCCGTGTCAAAATGTTGTTTGCACGGTGAGTTTGTGTTGAATTTTTGTTTATAGCATTGGCTAATTACTGCGTTTTAAATATCAGGCCGTTTCGACCCTACTGGGCGTTCTCGTTACTGTGGGATCGGATCGTGTAGTTTCGGTATGGGATTTCAAAGGACTTCTTGCCAACAGCAACGGCATAAGTCGAAATGGGAACGGTGGTGCCACGCCTACGACTACGCCAACCGGTAGTAGTAGCTCGACGAATCGTGGAAGAAAATTGGCATCTAGCTCTGTAGCTTGTAAAGTTTCCTGCGTAGCATTTTCTCCAGACGGAAATTACTTTGTCACGGGGGGTACGAGGCATCTAAAGTTTTGGTATCTTCAACTTGGAAAGGTATTCTAATGACAATGACCAATGCAAATAAATTGGTAGTTTAGTAGTTTTTTGACGTGACATCTATTTAACATAGAACGAGTGTGTTTTAACGGGTCGACCTGCAATCTTGGGAAGTGAACATTCAAACGCTGACTTTAAAGACGTAATCACAGACGGCAATGGGACTTATGCCGTGGCCAATTTTGATGGGACTGTTTCAGCCACATTGTGCCAGTAAATTTTTAAGTGTACGATAGTTGTAGTCAAATTGTGTTAATATTGTTGATATTTTTTGCAGATTTGATGAACGCCGCTTCCTCGACAAGTGGGTTCAGCTCAAGGTACTGAATGAATATTGTAATCATATTCTGTTGTATTTTCTATAATGAAATAATTTAATATTGCATTGTTGTATTTCTATTTGTAGACTAAGCAAGCGTTATGTATGACAATGGACGATGACCTTTTGTACATTGGCTGTGCAGACGGAATTGTGAGATGCTTTCGATCTGGGAGACTAGATTTTGTAGCAACGTTACCACTTCCACATCATTTAGGAGTCGATGTGAGTGTCCAATAAATGAAGGATGAAATTGAAAGTTGCTTTACTTTGTATGTTTTGATCAGGTTGCAAAAGCTACAGATATCGCATCTTTGTCATCTCACCCTCCTAGTTCAAAGTTTCCAAATGTACTTGGAATTTGCGCTCCAGGCGGTAAGAAAATCATCGCATCTTATGCTGATCATTCATTCTACGCCTGGGATGTTCAAGACATCAAAAGGGTAATTATTTACTTTGCTTTTCAGTTAGATAGGTGTGAACTAAAGATATACAATTTTGTGTACAAAGATTAGTTAACTCTTATAAGCTAGAATAGATTGAGTTGACACACTTGCATAATAATATTATTAACTCTTGAATCTATTTTGTGCGTAGGTGGGATTGTCAAATTCTTGGCTCTACCACTCGGGCTGTATTTGGGATCTGGCTCTGGGACCAACCCAAGCCTCAGGCTTGCCTGGTGGAGCAGTACTTCACTGGCCTGCGTTTTTAACTTGTTCCAACGATGACACGGTAGTTGCATATATACGCAATTATTAGCACATGCATAATAAAAAACTAACCGTTGTCTTATTTTTTAGGTCAGAGCGTGGGATATAACGAGTCAAATGAAGACAAATCTCTTAAGCCAGGTAATATTAACAATATCAAATGTATGACTTCTGACTTTTTATTTATCCCATGTGTGTCATTAACTTTGGCTTGTAAAACCTTTGTGTCAACGCGATGATGACTATGATTTCACCTTTTATTGCAGGAATGTCTGGATATCAAATACATTTCTACTCGATATCTGGATTCGCCCTTATTTATTTCTCACGGGAATGGCGTTCGATGCGTAGGCGTTGGATCTTCATTTATATGCTGTGGAGGTTGGTCATCAACTCTCAAAGTTGTTTATGTTACGCTAAATCTATAAATTTCATGAATGATTGTGCTTCTGTTTTTTTTAGACCGGCAAGGGAACTTTAGATTATGGAGGTCCAAATCCACCAATGAATTAATTAAAATCAAAGCGCACAAGGAAGAAATTTTGTCCATGGATGTTAAAGGCTGTTTGGTGGCTACAGCGTCAAGGGATGGTAGTGTTAATTTATATTTAATTGATCAGGTTAGCTCTTCGTTAAAATTAAAATTAATAAAATTATATATTATTAATTTGCATATAAGTATACAATGAGGACATTTTTCTTTTTTTAGGAAATTGAGCGAATCGCATCGCTTCAAGAACATAAAGGATCAGTGACAAGTGTTAAAATATTAACATCTGACCGAACAGTTCCTCATTCCGTTCACGTGGTATCTTGTGGGGCGGATAAAAGTTTAGTGATTCGACAAATGTTTCCCAAAGATGCTAATCAAGTTCTAGACGTATCACAATTAGTAGAAGGGAAATATGATGGCGAAGTTGACGTTCGAGTTAGTTCAGTAATTACCAGCAAAACTCCACTATTTGACTTAGAAGCAGATATCGGAGGAAAACATGCATTGGTGGCTTGTCAAGATGCCTGTGTTCGAGTGTACAATATTGCTACCGGGAAACATAGCAAAACATTACGCAGTTCAGTTCCAGATGTAAACTTGGGAACTATAATTAAAGTAACTCTAGATCCAAGTGGGTATTATGTTGCCGTTGCTTCCACCGATAAGAGTATTACGATCTTCGATTATTATAAAGGCGACGTTGTTGCATCTCTGGTAAGCAACCCAAGTGGAATTACTATACTACCAACTACTTAAAATAGGACTCGATTACTCATCACCAAAATCGTTAAAATCTGAACACCTTTTTAATGCTTTGGGACTTGCAAATTTACTTGGAAATCCTGCAGAGTTTTTTAAGCCAGTTTCGATGAGTTCCAATTTTTCTGAAGGTTTCTTAAACTTGAGCCCTCCTTCAAAAACTGTAAACATCTGGAGGGCAATGTTTTTTTAAATTAGCAACGACCTGCTCTACATATTTGTGAACTTTAAAATAAATTCCTAGAGCCGATAAATAATTAAAAATGTGCTGATTTTTTCGACGAGTCAGCGAGTCCTACGTTAAATTGTTATTAATTTATTAATTTGTCTTCCAGCTAGGACATTCCGAGTTGGCTACAGCTATTGGGGTAAATATTTTATAATGATTCTTAAAATACTTTTATTTTGCAAGTGGAATTTAATCAAATTATTGTTTTCATTCCAGTTTACTCCAGATTTTCAGAACCTCATCTCCGTAGGTGGAGATTCTTGTATTATCGTTTGGTCTCTTTCAAGAGAAATGGTTGTGACAATGGAGACCCGAATGTCGGAAAAAAGATCTCGAAAGAAATCAATCACTCCCGTACATAATACACCGACACCGGTTACGCCAACACCCACACCTAACCCACCTTCACCTGTCAGAGCGGATTATCGGTTGGTTTATGATTTAGTTTGTTTTTATTATTGCTGTTATATTTGTATTTATAAATTCGGATCTATTGTTTCTTGTTTAATTTGATATTTGACACAGTTTCAGCTTTGGTCAGCTTCCCGATTGGGCTAAGAAGCAAATGAAACCTGCAACTGAAAGTTCAAGTCCTATCCCACCAATCCCACCTAAAAAACCTAACGTTTCAATGCCACAAGGAAAATGGAGTGAAAGAGTTGAACAATCATCGGGGGCTTTAACCATCAAGTCCTTTTATCACTCCGATACAGTAGTTCCTGTTCCATTTAGTAAACCCCAAGGTAGAATTATATACACTGTTTTACTATATACCGTATTGTGTATCCGCACATAACCGAATATTAATTGTATTAGTTGCTCCACCTCCTGTACCAAAAGAAAGCTCACTTGAAAGCCATGATAGCTTCGGAACTGAAAATTATCCTAGAGAAAAAGTTGGCTCTGATCGTGAAAATGAAGGCATCAGTTTAGAAGTGCCTGTCACTAGTAATTTTAAACAGTCACATTACAAAGAGGGGGTAAGTACATTATCTGTAGCTTTTTGGTAAAAATAAATTAGCATACATTTCATTGTAACATCATTTCTTTATTTTTACAGGGTCAGGATGGAGATGACGAAGAGTCGACAGATTTCTATTCAGATGTTGGTAAATCAACTGATGGAGAAACAACAGATAAAAAAGCACAACTTCCCAGACCAAAACCAAGATCAGACAGAGATACGGATTCTGACGGAAGTGTTTCTAGAAGTTTTCAGAAACGATTTCACCCATTCAAAGATTCTTCATCATTGAAAGTTGAGCAAGAACCGTATGAAATAGTTCGAAGTAAAAATGCAGAACTTATTATGTCGGTCAAGCTGAAAAATCGTGAAATGTCGAAAAGTCGTCTGGAGCTTGAAAAACGATTAGAAGAAACCAAGAAAAAGTTACAAAGTGTAATTAGAATACCACTGGCTTATGTTTATGTATTATTTAGTGGATATTTATCACTCGATAATGTTTGTTTTTATTTTAGATCGGGTACAAATCAATGAGTCAATCCACACAAGATCTGAGTCTAAGAGGAAGTTACGGGAAAGGTATGTTGATTATCATTGCACAATTCGGACTACATAATGGGGTGTTGGGAAGGCTTTTGGTGCTTTTGGAAGTATTAAATATATCAAATATATCAAGTATATCTTGTCGTCATCTAACAATGGAACCTTTTCAAGCTACACCGGGATTATGAATTACATGACACTTGTTTATTTTTCCGTTGAATGGTTTCCTCTTTGAAGAAAAATATTGAGGGCAAAGTTCACACATTCGCCTTAGTTTTCGACCCTTGGAGGAAAATTGAAAAAAATTAACTCAAAAATTAAACTTTGCCCCCTAATTCACCGGAAAGATAAGTGTCATATAATTCTTGATTTTTTGATATAACTTGCTAGAAAATCCAAGTGTAGCTTGAAACAAGGTTCCATTGTGAGTACATAATTATGTCACTGGAAAATTGTTACTCTGTTTGTCTAGCAAACCCACCTTCACCTCAAATGTCAAATCTTTCAAATATTAACGGCACATGCCATCCACATCACCAGCTTGAGCAAGCAGTAGCTGAATCAGCAAAACATACTGAAACAATTGGACATCGAAGACCTCAATCGCTTGTCATTAGTGGTGTTGAAGGTTCTTCAACTATGTGTCTTTGTCACTGTCACTGTCAGTCTTTTGGATTTTCACCTGTCAAACTAACCACCACTACTCACACTAAAAACGCTTTATCTTCGACACTTCCTAGTTTTGAAACTGACAAAACTCACTCTCGCTTTGTACATAATAACAAAGATGTCCGTCCTTCCATCAATCCCAGGAGAAGAAGCAGCTTATCTGAAACCGTAAAGGTTCCACACCTTTCGTCCAAACTCTGTAGCCCTGATGTAACATGGAGTATGTATATTTGCTGTAAATAATCAATCTTGCTTGCTTCGCCTGTCATATTGCATCCCAGTTTTATTTTATTTATGTATGTGCATGAACAAAATGTATATAATATGTAAAAGAGCCAACGATTTTGTTTACTATTGTTATTTGTTTAGTAAATATGCAGTGACATGAATGAATTTTATTGATTATTATTAACCCTGTGCTATGATTGAGTTTTTTGTTTTGTGTTGTCCCCTTTTCTAGAATATCTGGAGGATTCCGATGATGACATTGGTGACGACGATGGTGGAAATATTCGACGAGCATGTTCCCTTTCTGATTTAAATAACCTGCCTGCTACCAATGGTTCTTCTACGGGACGAAGAAAACGGTCTTTTCATAGACACAGAAATAATGGTGTTTATATATTTTTTAAGTCTTATCCCAATTATCATTTTATGTCTCTATAACATACAGCAAGCTTGAGTTATATTCTGCATGCTGAATAATGCATAGTCAATAATCGTATTACATAATCAATTGCTCAAATCTTCCAATTTTTGTTATATTTAGCTTTGCGACGAGTAGAAATTGTTTTGAATGTTATGTACATACATTTACTTGCTTAGATTTGTTATATAGATATTATTTATAGTTTATTATGAGATTTTTTACAATGCTGTTGCATATTGCAGAACGGAGCCGAAGTGGAAATACGGGTATATTTGATCCACAGAATCTTTTAACAAGAAGCGTATCGGTGTCTGCTTTAACGAATCAAGCGCAGGTATGAATGTCAGTCTTTTAATTTGTTCCTTGCCCGTACATGATGATATTTAATTATTTACCTTCTCTAATTTCAGAGTGATTCAGACCACGAGTCCTTGCATGCTGCTACACCCTCCTACATGTCGAAAACCATCAGCTCTCAAGGTGCATACATAAATAATTAATTTATCTTAAATAGCCTGCCTACTACGCTAATTTGCCAATTGTTCTCATTCTGAACGAAGAAAGACCAAATTTTTATATAGACCTAGAAACAATGTTTGTAAAAATTTTGAACAGCAATACTTAATTATTATTCGTATAATAATTGATGAATATGCCGGGTAGCAAACGTTCGAGATTATGAATCATAATTTATGATTCGGATTTTCATATTTCATTGGTCTAAAAATAATTCTCGGACTTGCCTCGCCTTTATCGTTTTATGCAATGTTTTATCGTTTGTGTAAATGTTTACGCAAAGTCAGTCACACAACGCATGACATGACAATCATGAGGATGCAATTAAATATGTTATTTATGGATGATGCTTCTTACAATCTTTGGCGCACTCGAACCTGACAAGACTTTCTGTGAAGGAATCATGATTGGTTCTTCTTTGAGTAACTATCGACAATTGAACATTTTCTTGGCTGTTTTATTAGGTAAACTTAGGAGAAAGCCTACGACAGTCGTTTCAGCTTACTCTCAATCGCAAGGTATATATACTCTCCTATCGCACATTCTTTCCTGTTTGTTTATGTATGTGAAATATATGTCAAACCTTTCTTTTCTGCTTTTCTATTCCCTAATCTATTGCCTTTTTTATTCTCATTGTATTCATAAATTTACAAACCAGTGCTATATTTTTTAAACCAACGTTATGATTTTTGTTCAATGTTCAATGTATAAAATTTGATTGGTATTATCTATTTAAAGAAAACTTGATGCGGGATGGTGGACCCAGTGGGGGAGGACGTCTACGTGTTTCCGCTAGCGAGCAAAATCTTACCAAAATTGGATCTTCGAAAGCTCCTACACCAATGCCAAGAAGTAGAATGAATGCACCAAACATGAAAAAACCTCAACAAGTTCACGGTATTGCTCGCGGAATGGTTGGAATTGTTACTGGAGTTCGTCAAGGAGAAAATGATGATGGTTCTTGTAAGTCCTTAATTTTTATAGCGTGCATTAAAATTTAATCAAATATTACACTATCCTATTATTGCTGTTGTTTCTTTGTTTTTAGTAAATGTGGTGACTGCATCGACCAGCGTAGACGCTTTGAAAAAGTCACTCGACCAAGTTATAATGCTTCGACATCGAGTCTACCATGAAAGTATTCCACATGAGGCTCCAATTTGCAGAATTCTTGACGACGGTTTACGATCTGTGCAACGAACGCTGCAAGAATCAATCCACTTTCAACAAGAAACTACCACTAGGCCTAAAATTTTCGCGGAAAATGAACCAACCGTATTGTAACATTATGATCCCGGTCGATTAAACTCGTAAATCCAGAATAGTATAATATGAAGCATAAGTTTCTTTCTGACAAATACATGTATGACATTATCAAAGGAAATTCAATAGGCAATAATAATTCTGGCGAAAAATGTGCTCACCTTATGTATGGTAATGACTGATATTGCAATTTTGTCATATTAAATACTAATCACGGAGTTACATTCATGTCCGTACAGCTAATCTTGTTCAAAAAATAAAGGACCAAGTGCTTCCTTCAAGTCAGGTAGGCGTAATGAGTATTACTCCCTGATGAATAAGGTAGTCAGGAAGTTTTTAATTTTATATGCAATTTATTAAAATAAATAGGACCCGAAATTATCTTACCATTAAAATTCATACATATTATACATTGATTAAAGTATTAGTGTAATTGTGATTTTGTACAATTCAATTAATGTGTCCAACTGGTGATTGCTAAAATAAACTTGAGAATAATAAAATGTACTCAATTTCAGCTTGCCATTTTACACGTATCGTATAAGAATTATGTTACAATGGAGGTTGGAAAAAATTTTCCAAGTAAAAACAAATTTAGGTAAGCAAAATTAAAAGTGGGAATTGATAAAAAATGAAAGCAGATTATGGTTTACAGTTCCTATTTTTTAGTTTCATCATCCTAATCTTCATCATCGGAAAATACGTCAGGATTGTCGGACACTTCATCTTCGCTAGTGTCGTTGTTATGATCCATTTCATCCATTTTTCGTAAAATTTCCATTAATTGTTCTTGTAACTCTTCAAATCCTGAAGCAATTCGCTTTCCTGCTTTCTTCAATGAGGTTTTCAGAGTTGTCACAGTAGACTGTAAGACAATACAGAAATATTTCATACAAATTCAAATCTTGTTATAATTTTTAATTCTTGTAAAAAACTTACCGTTGGAGGCATGGCTGCAAGCTTGAGGAGAACATGTCCGATTTGTTCAATAATGTGCTTAGCCTTCGGTTCTGAGGTGACTAATAATTTTGGAAGAATTTGTACAAGGTCAAGGTTTACTGTTTGTCTGGTGAAATGCAGAACGTGGTCAATAATATCTTCGTACAGGTCTGCATGTATGTGCTGCATAAGAAAAATAAGACTGACAGTTAGCTTAATCGGCAACACACCCGTACGTAAGAAATTGAATAACTGACCATGTCCTCATCCTCTCTTGGTTTCAGATGCACATTTGACAAGAATGGTAGTACAAAGTCTACCAATTTAAGGATGTCGACGCCTTGCAAATTTCTATCATTGGCATTTGCGATTCGAACCACGCTACATTACACAAAAATCAATAGTAGAACTAATAACAAAATCAATAAAGTAATTACGTGCTTCATTATAATACCTATGGAACAAAGCTTTCCCAACTAATCTCGCATTATGTGAAGACATTTTGGTATAAATAGGGAGCCAAATCCCGATATCGTATGGAATCTTTGTGCCGTCTGTAAATAGAGGTTTACCCAATTGAGCGTCAAGTAAATGGTATGATTTGGATTATACTAAAATAAAATAAAATAACAATATAAACACGCACCATATGCAGGATTACACCACATGCACAACACATCCGTAACCACGAATTCTGAAGTGATACGATCCGCAGTCAACAGCCTAATGATTCCGATGGCCTTTACACTTTCTGAATCGGGAGTCTGCAAGTGAAAATATTAGTTCACCAATATTTTTTGTACTACGCTCCATAATACTTATATATTTTATGTATAATGTACGTTAACATCCGATTTTGGAAACCTGTCGATGATTGAAACAAACATGGCTTGTAATTGATTCAACCCAGCATCAGCATTATTGAAGTCAGGTGGAGCACCTAATGACAACACACCAATTATTCATAATTTAATACTATTATCTGCCAATATGTAATTAGATTGACTTTGATGAATTTACAGGAATAGGTCTGGTCATTGTTCGCGTCTCCTGTGTAGCGGAATTGCTCAACATTGTAGCGACACAAAAGATCCACCATGCATTTGAAGGCTGCATTCTTAATTTCAGGATCTGTGTCATGTTCTAATGCCTGCAAAACATAAAACTATTTGTAAAAATTTCCCCTTTCAAGGCTCGACAATCGTGGTGTCTCTACTTACAGTAATAGTAAGTCCCATTATCTTTCGTTTCTCTTCAGCGTCAATCATACCCACCAGGCAGAGAAAACTTAAAAGTTCAATGCGAGTTTGCGTATCGTTGAGATCATCCTAAAAATACGACAGTGAATATTTTACAAATATGTTTAAGTATCCACGGTATAATATCACTAAATCATACTTGCTTACAGTAAAGTGGGTGAGGGCATAAAGTTCGTAGAATTGTCGTACAAATGGCATAATTTTAGGACGGCAACTCAGCACGCGGTTCATCATTAAAACACCTTTTAAAATGTTGTGCATTGAAATTCCAATGCGATCACCACCTGCCACCGTCCCTTGAGAACATGGAAAGTCTTGGACCCCTTTTGACGCGCTGTTGCTCGTAGCACCCCTAATCGTTGCATTTGATTTGGACGTTGGCGATGCATCATCATTTTCCATTACATCTTCCATTTCCACGTTTTCCATCTAAGTAATAATCAATCAATCAGATCACTAATGACTATCTGTATTTATTAATCTATCTGACTTGCTCACCTCCATCATTGATGTTTCATTAGTCCTTTGAGAGGACTTGACGCTGGACACATTCGAAAAATCTGACATACTTGCAATGGTACCTTGGAGTGTACAAAAATAACCGTCAGTCAGGGCGTCCCATCATAACAATAACAATAAATAATACTGGATTATACCATTGGTAAGTTCAAGTCTTCCACGAGTTGCTTTCTCTTCTGTTAATAAGTTATCAATCTTTTGCTGAATGCAATGGGCTTTCAAGTAGTCGTCTGATTTTATCGCATTTGTTTTCTCTTCACCCAGATGAAGTCTTTCCAATGCCAACTTGCATAGCTATAAACCACATTAGATAAATTAAATGATACAAATTAGCACTTTAAAATTCATCACAATTGCTATAATTTGTCGGTATGTTACCTTGTCCTTCAAGGCCATTACTTCTTTTGCAGTAAGAACTCGGCGAGAACCTTGAGTTGGGGGACGAGAAGCGGGTGTCTTATTATTATCATTTCTAGATACACCAGCAACTTCTTCATTGACAATATCCATCGGAGTTTCCACTTCTGCCTCATCGGCATTTATGTCGGGAGAACGGCTAGAACGTGGTGGAATCACCCTCTCTACTGAATTAGTCTTACTACGTCTTCCCTCAGATCCAGTACGTCGTCTTGGTGTAGTGCCCTCCACACTTTGGTCCATAAGTGTTTGATCGGGCTCAAACACTGCTTGGAATATTTCCATCATTTTTTCTCCAAATTCACGCTTATCTAAAATCTTGAACAATGCATCCACTCCCATTTTGATAACTGGAGCCTCGTCCATGACAGGGTCGAGCAAAATCTGTCTCAGGATCTCTCCCATCCGCCTACGATTAGCTTCTTCTAGGCCAATTGCAAGTACAATGGGAACTATGTAGGTCATACAAATTAGAAGTGTGCCATCTTCATCTCTGTCATCTCGTCGTGCATTTCTATGCTCAGTGTGGATTGCCTCAATAACCCTGCAATTTGCACCAACACAGGTAAAATATAGTCACGGTCGTACACAATAATATATGGAAAATTCACAAATTACATCTGGAGGTAATCAAGCATGATCTCTGCGTTTGGCAGCATCTTATTTGCGTTATGGCGAGTATTTCCAAACTTTTTAATTAAATACAGCCAGAACATGACGGATTCCAAACTCAAGTTTTCAATCGGAATTAATTTCTCTTCATTTAGGAAGGAGAGGTCGATGGTATCAAATGTATCGGTAAAATTGTTCCTATAAATATATGAGAAAAAAGACAAGTTAGACATTAAGAGTTCAGTCAAATATGTACATGTGTAATTTGCACTAACAAGTAAATTCCATTCATCACAGTTTCCACAACGCTGGGTTTCCTAACTATCCCAAGGTATTTTAAAAATTCGATTGGACTATTATTACAACGCTCCATCCATGCAGGAAGCAATTTTGCTACCACAACAGTCTTGGACTTGTCTGAAAAAAAGTTTTACCCAAATCGAAGTTATTTATTTTGCTGTATAATTCAATTTAAAAAGTACGACAATATACCATCATGAGATAAGCCCCAAACAAGTGCTTTGCAAGCCTCTCCAGCCTTGAGACTGATAAATGGTCTGGCCGCCAAGCCGTTAAACGCCTCCACTCGTACCTTGGCATCAGAGTCAAATACAAAGTCGTAAAAGAATGCGGACTTCATTAAATTCAAGTTCGAAACTGCAGCAAGCACAGCCTTTCGAACTTCAGGACTTGGGTCAAATCTTGCAAAATATTTCAACCGCCGCAATACTTCTTTTTCGGAATCGATGTATAGAGCCAAAGAGGCAACAGCCAAGGCACGAACGGGCGCATATCGGTCCTAATGTTAAAATATGTTACAGTAACAATGGAATATTAAGTAAATATATTTATGCATATTTAAAAAAAACAATAGCACACCTTCAATCGCTCTAAAAAGCATTGGACTAACTGATGTTTCATCCCAGCATTTCCTGCGATAGGTGCAACATTGGAGTACTGGCTGATAATCGCGTGCGCCAAAGAAATTAGCCGAAATCGAACAAGTGGCCGTTCATCCATATGACACTAAATACAAGAACAATTAATTAAATTCTGCACCAATTTGCATCATTTTCTGATTGGATTACTACCTGCAGATAAAGTTTCAATACGTAGTAATATAGAGGAGGCGTGTCCAATTTGCACCCTTCTTCCAGCTTATCATTTGGGGTTCCAGCATTTAAAAAGGTGTACTGTATGAATTTGAGACCGCTCGAAACCGGTTGTGAATTTGCAGCCTTAAAAAATGGGACGGAAAACATCCACATAGTTTGTGCAAAATACTTTTGATAATCATTTGCAGTCTGCAAACAAAGTAAAAGATGGATAATAATAAATTAAACAAATAAATAAATAATTTTCACCATTTGCCAACTTTTAGTTAACACTCACCGCAGTACTCCTATCTTTGTAAAACCTCTTCCTAAAAGTTTTATAAAGACCTTTTCTCTGATGTGCTGTGAAACGTTGGCAGTCATCCAAACATTCTTTCACAAATTCAGTAATTTCCGATTTCACCTCTGCCGATAAGCCCGATCTGGTCACGTCTGTGGCTGTAGTTGCTGTGCTTGTCGTGGAAGAGGCTACACTCGCCGTGGTAGTGTTGGCATTGGATTCAGTCCCTTCAGACGTTGTCGACTCGGCGTCTGCGTCTTCCTCCTCCTCCTCCCGACGTCTCCCTCCTCTGCGCCTTGTCTGCACCATCTCTCAGCTTGTAAACTTGATTTGTAATTATTATTCGGTATGCAGTACTATTCCAAATTCTTGCAGAATTAGTTATCTAATTTTTGAATATAAAAATAAAATATTCTCTTGAAAAAGGAAATTAAATCAAGATTAGAAAAGACGACGAGAATTTAGAAGAACCACTTGGCTTGGAAATCAACAACCAACTGAAAACTGGTCCGTTGTTGATTTTCATGCACGAAAACCGCCGTCGAATATGAACTCAGCGCGAGCCGGTGTCTCACACAAGATTCATCAGTCAGCCAGCCAGCAGGAAATTATTAATTTTAAATTTAATTCCGATTTAATTTAAAGTAATGCTTGTTTAATTTAATTGGCAGTTAGCAAAGCTACGTTTTTCAAATTCCCGTAACTCTCCATATCTCTCGAGTTGGGTCAAAATTTCGAGAGACAATATGCAATATGAAAACGTTGAGGGGAGAGGAGTGATTTTAAGTTTCAAGAAGTTCTATAAATTTTGACCAACAAACTCGAGTGATAGGGAAAATTACTGGAATTTTTGACTAACTTCCTATTATATATTTATATACGCAGTTTTGACAAAATGCCCGGTTTGCCGAGAAAACTCAAGATCAACGTGGCAGCTGACTTGAAGCAGAAAAACATTCTCAGCTACTTCAACAAGAAATCGTCCTCAACCACCACGACCACACCCACGGCGGAAAGAAATGTAAGAAGGTTAAAGTTAAGAATCTAATTTTCTGGTATAAATTGCACAGTTAAATTGGTTTTTCAAACAACTTTTTCACAGAATGATGAAATGACGGACATTGAAAAGCAACAAGTTGGTGAGAACGTCGTGCCCTCAACTCCTCCCAACAAGAAGGCAAAGCTGGATATTGATAAAAATTCGCCAGCATCGTCCTCAGAATGTTTGACTCCGGAACAACGGGCAATGATTAATCGTAAAGCTGTGAGTGAGGGTTATTATTTAAAAATTGGTGGAGCAAGAATTTAAAGGGTTAAATTAATTACAGATGACGGCCAGGATTTTGAAGACTTCACAATCCTTGAAAATCATAGACCCGCTAATGGGGCCAAGCTGGTATTCCGCTTTGGAAGGAGAGTTTAAAAAAGACTACTTTTTGCAGGTAAATAGAAGCAGAGAAAGTTGTAGGACTAGAGTTGTATACAAATATTTTATATGCACATTTATATTAAAGTTAAGCGAGTTTGTCACTGCCCAAAGAAACCGTGCCACAATTTACCCACAGCCCGGTAACGTTTGGGAATGGACCAAACACGGACCAATTGACCAGGTGAAAGTCGTAATTTTGGGACAAGACCCGTACCATGGTCCAAATCAAGCACATGGCCTCTGCTTCAGTGTACAAAAGGGTGTCCCTCCCCCTCCAAGTTTGGTGAACATGTACAAAGAACTGGGAACTGACATCAATGGATTTGTTCACCCACAACATGGCTATTTAATTGGATGGGCTGAACAAGGTACATATAGATACATCAACGAATGATCTTTGCACGTAATGTACGGTATTTCGTTTAATTTTCATTGCTGATGTCGTTCTTTAATTCATTTATAGGGGTCTTGCTTCTTAACGCTGTTCTTACTGTGGAGTCTGGAAAGGCCAACTCCCACAAAGACAAAGGCTGGGAGAAAGTAACAGACGCCGTGATTTCTTGGATCTCTGTGAATCTCAGCTCTGTTGTGTTCTTACTTTGGGGGGCGTATGCTCAGAAAAAAGCTGCATTTGTTGACAAGGTTAACATTATAATTAACTTCATACTTGAGCAGAGCTAATCTAGTTTTCCGTGATAATTAGAAACGACACCACATCCTTCAAACTGTACATCCATCTCCACTTTCTGCACATCGAGGGTTTTTGGGATGCAAACATTTTTCAAAGTGCAACGAGCTGTTGATCCAGAGTGGAAAAACCCCGATTGATTGGACAAAACTTTGAGCATCTCATCTCTGATATCAAATGTATGTACAAGTTACTTGACAAGTCATAACGCATGATTATTTAATCAAATGTAAAGCATGCACGTAATTGCGTTTAAAATTGATCATGCAAGGTTTATTTATATTCATGTTGAACTTTATACTCTCTTGACTCGTGTATCAATTTATTTTTTGCGTTTCAATACTGTTAATGATGATATTGAATTTGATTGTAACCGATGTGGCCAACATTATATAATTCAATGTTTAAAATATGAATTTATCTATATGACAAAAAAAATTGCTGTGATGACATGATTTTTATTGTATAATTGCTTCGAAAATAATAAATTTACATTTATAAAAGTGATCTGCGATGAAGGTAAAATCGACTTCTTCCATTAAGCTCAAACATCATCGTAGCCTGAATTTCTGTCGCTCTTAAAAAGTCAGCCATGCTAACAGTAACTGATCCGATGGGGTCATCGAAAAGTACATCTTTGTCGATCAGGTCAAATCTCCACCTTTGCATTTCCGATGGGACGTATCTAAAGTTGAACCGTTCTTTAAACAATGGAAAGTTATCGTCACCCATTTCACCAGTGATTCCACATTGACGCCAATCCGACGACACAGAGGCGCACATGATCTTCACAACGGTGTCGCAGGCTGACAATTCGTCGCACCCGTTCAGGTCCCTACACATTTTGGTTAGTTAATTGAAGTTAGTTAATGTTACATTATCCATTATATACTTACGTTGCAAACAAGGTCATGGCCACGTCAGTCTCTTCTTGACCAGTCACCACACCCACCACCGCGATTAACAGAGTTATTAACAGTTTCCCCATTTTTTAGGCAATAAAAAATTTATTAATCACTTCAATTTACTGGCAATCGATGAAACACTGGTTGAACCCAACCCGAGTGGCTTAATGACAGTGTGACATTTTTTATCAATTAAATTGGATAATTTACACTATCTTCATTATTATACGACAAGTGCTTATCATATTACTGTCAATCAATCACCAAAATCAAGGATTGCAGTGATTGCATAAGTGCGTCAAATTTTGCATGGATTTTTCAGCATTATGAAACAAAGTACACCGAATGGTCAAAGCGGCGGGCTATCACCGTTGACTGTTTACATCCATGAATCGTGGATTCGTGGCCAAGTAGAAGTTGATATTTTTAGTAATTTTTGTTTTAAATATACAGTATATTATATACTGTACGAAAATAAGCTAATTGGCAATTTTTTAAGTACAACATGGAGTCAGCCATACAATCAACGCTGAACGAGTCGAAAAAAATCGAGGATCAGATATCTTCAATTTTAACAGCGTTGGAAATGGACGAATTGATTGTAAGTTTTTTGATTGATAGTCATTTATTCACATGTTATTCATTGATCAGTACAATTTAATGACTGGTTTACATCAAGTAACACTAAAAAATAGATTGAGTAAAGAAACTAAATTAACTACATGATGTGGTATTTATTAATGTTAATTAAACATGTTTCTAGCAAGAGGCGAATCTATTGTCCTTGCCCACGCCTACAGAGAATGAACAACTTGCAAATTCTGTCCGCAAGTCTACGATGACCGGCAGGAAGGGAAAAGTGGGCGCAATGACGGCGTCACAACAGAAAAGGAAATCGATGGAAATGGATTCTTCAAAAATGCCCATGCCAGTACAATCCAGCATGTCGAAAGATGGTCAAAGACGCCCATTTTCCAATTATCAAGTGATCGAGTCGTCAATATTCCTTGTTCCAGTCATGGATGAATGGGTTTTCGGAATGACGATGGTTAATGCGTCTGAAATGTAAAACAATCATTTTTTAGACAATTATAACACCTTCGTCTGACTTGACTTGTCATAATTAGCTCACTGGTCTTGTATTTAATTATTTAGAGCTCAGAACGTGCCAGAATTGGTGTTAAACCTCGCTCCACAGGAAAAGGACGCGGTGGACAAGCCCTGCAAGGTCTTTCATTACACGGTGCAAATTCATCCATTGGATGTAAAATTCGGAACGATGGAAAGCAGGAATGTTGGAGATGGTATCCCATTCCATGACACGTTCGTTTCAAACTTAACTAGTGATCAGACTATACAGATCCAACCAGGGTGTCAAGTTCTTGCCACGGGTAAGTAAATATTACGACTTAATATGATTGTATGAATCCTGTTTTGACCAACTATTTATTTTGATTTAGCAACTTTTCAACTGAAAGTTCTTGGTAGTACAAATTCATTGGATCTTATCGTTTCCGTGATGTTAAATGGGACGCACATACGGTCTAAAAAGGTTCCCATATTGGCTGACAGTTTGGGAGAGTTGAAATATCATGGTATTTAAAGCAAGCAATATAAAGTATGAAGCTAATTACTCTACAATTGTTTATTAATACTATCCAGAAACCACATTCCTTCTTCACCAGTCCAGCATTTTAATGGCATTGGGAAAATATAAGGAATCTTTCGAAATGAATCGTTTGTTGTCCCAAGGCGATAAAAGTCCTCACAAGGCTGTTGAAAAGTTTCTGGGTACTTTAGGATTTGAAAAGATATGTGACGGTAGGCATGAAACTACAGCTCATGAATTTTTTATTTGTTTATTTATACATTGTCTATGATGTCCGAATAATTAATACCTTCTTATTTGTTTCAGATTCTGTAGGTATTGATACCGTGGTGGACACATTTTCATTAGTCAGCAATCATCTTTCTCCATTATGGGGGAGCACAGTCAAACTCAAGAAATGTTTCCGGAACATCAATACAATTCAATGTGTATTTGCGGCAAGGTACTGTAAAGGAGAGGATCACAATTTATCAGAAAAACCATTCTTTACAATTATTTATCCCTCTTTTTTTAGATCAACTCTACAGTTCCACATTTTTACACAACTTTTTCAAACCTGGCTGGAAAGAGAAGGACGACAAGAAAGAAACCAGGGCCTAACTGGACTCTGCGTTCGAGCAATAGCATCGCCGTCTGATGACAAAAATGTACTGAAGACTATTCACAACGAAGTAGATATTATTACAGATCTCGTAGATTTAAAACATAAATCTCTAGTACAACCTGAAAAGGATTCTTCTTGGATTAACGAGTTTATTGTTTGTTTACGTTCGACGGATGATGTATTCATGAATCATTTGAGTGCTTTATGAATTATGATTAAAATAAGTAAACATATTTTACCACTTGTTTAAAACGAATGTTATTTTTTCCCAAAAATGCACGAGAAAATACACTTATTGTTCTTAAAATAATATACAGGATACATGTTCATATACACATTTTAAAACGGACGACAAATATAAAGAATAAATGCAAGCTTGTAGGCGTTAGTGGTGACGAGCTTTCACGGCTTTTTGGGTAAAATCGCGAATGAGGGAACACTTGTAAAAAGCTCGTCTGGTGCGGTAGACAAGTTTAAATCTTAAAATAGTTAATTGGTAGTTATCTTTCATGAAAACACTGAATTATATACAGCTTAAAACATAAAGTATCATGCTGATACATAACTGGTATGGCTAACAAAATGAAGTAACGAAGTGCGTTATTAAATGTGTAATGCTTAGGACTAGACAACATAAATACTTGGGTGATGTGATTATTACACATGGTGCATTAATCCAAGAAATATTTTCTTTAAGCCAAATTATTATTGTCCAAAAAATCCCACTTGATGGCATCCTGCTCCTTACGAATTTCCTTAATTTCTTCCATCGAGTCACTTAAGCTGTTGATTGATACCTCCGTCCTACAAAAATATTCAGTAAGTACACACACATAAAAATATAAAATGACTCGGGCTCACATGAACACATGCAAGGAATTACATAACTTACTGCACTTTCAAGATTTGCGACTCCTGCATCAGTCTGGTGACGAGGGGACATTGATCCAAAATCTTAAACCCTGTGTTGAGACTAACGCTCATCTTTGCCCCAGTTTTGGTTTCAGTCTCTTCTAACGTGGGTGAAAGCGTTGATTGAGACACTCTGTTATTCAGCATGGTTGAAGAGGTGGGACGATATCCACCGCCACGAACAGTGTAAGGGTTTGGACTTTTGGCAGGATTTGTACTGTTGGGTGGAGAATTTTCTTTCTGGTGAACATCGCCACTTGGGGGGTCAGCAATTCCACTCAACATTTGCACCATCAGAGACTGTTTGCTACACCGTTGTTGTAGGATGTTGGCAGTTAACTGATTCAATTGTGTTACCACTGATTTCATTTCCTCCATTAGCTTTGCGTCGGATTTTACTTTGTCAAGTTGGGTTCTGAAAATATATATAAACGCTCTTAAGCATTCCAAAGTTCAAACTGCATTTTACAACTTTTGTTAACACTATAACAGACAAATGAATGATTTGAGATTGACGTTGGAAAATCACTTTGATAACAAATTAATATTACGTCTAGTAACATTATTCAACATACATAAATGCTATTTGTTATACCTTATATTATATAAGATGGCGTCATCAATTTCATTTCCTTTCACAATAAACTGACAAACACTTCGAAGTAGAATCTCAGTATAACAAAACGGGGAAGAGCTGGTATCGGACGATTTCCAATCACTGCAGGCTTTTAACACTTTGTAGTACCTGATAAAACAAAACAATTGTCCCAATATTTTTGAGAACAAGCATATTTGTAAAAAAAAGTTTTTATGCATTACAATTCTTCCAGTTCCGTAGTTAGTACAGGCTTAAGAACGATGTTGTCAGTCCACGTGTCAAAATAGCCTCTGTAATGATTGTGTAACTTGGTCATCTCAGCGCTCCAAAAGCGAGTTCCCGAGCTCTGGTCACCTTCTTCTAATTTATTTTGCTCTGATGACTTGGTTCCATTAAAATACTGAGCATCGATCGACTCCAATCTTCCTTCGAGTTCTAAAACTGTTCCCAGACTAGATCCAGCTTTTTCAATTTCGATTTGCAGCGCCTTAATTTGATTAGTGTAATTTATGGAGCACCATAATCTACAAACATTAAGTGATAATCATTAATCTTCTCAATATATGTACATACATATATAACTTTTGTTTACAGTACGAGCACGAAAACTCAGTGGTCATATACTTTAATTAGAAGTTACTTACTTGAGAGCCTCAATAGTTTTTTTCACTATCCCAATTTTCCGTAACTCTGCTTGCAAATAGAAAATTGCACAAGCCCAGATTTTTCTCAGTTTCGTGGGGTCCTTCAAACTGTCCCATTGAAGTATGAAATTGTTTACGGCAGTTGGAAACCGAACCTTTAATCTGATCAGGTCTACAGATCGAGGAACCAGGTACAAATCCATCTAACAAAATCAATAAATATTGTATATCACTAAACTCCTCTAAAATTAAAAGCCACTTAAAAGTAAGCTAACTAAGTACCCCAATATATTTCGAAGCAACGTCCGTCTTCAAAACTTCGATCCCATCACAAGTCAAGATAAGCTGGTTTTCCTGAATTAAACCAGTTTTGACAGCAATTCTTTGATTAATGTCCGAAATCTTTGTATGACCCGATTCTCCAATGGGAAAGACTAGTATTTCTTTAATGGCCTGAATTTCTAGAAACTTTGTAGATAGCGTTACGCTAAGTAGCTTCAAATTGAGAAGATCTGATGAAGGGGGTGACGATGAACCTTCATTAATTGTACCGAGAGAGTTGTGTTCTGGTGTCGTCGTTGTAATTCTTCGACCACGACGAGCTGGATCTAACTGAAGCATTGTTCTTAACCAAGCTGTCAAGCACTCTTTCATGGCGCTGAAAAGAAAACAATATTTTGACACAAATTGTCAATCGTTTACATGTGGTCCTCATTTGCATAAATCGCACTAGGTTTTGCACTATGTGTCCGTCTCGGCGATACGAGAATTTCATAACTCCACCACGTCTCTCGCTAATGTGTAAAAATATGCAAATGAGGTAACACGCCGGGATAATTCTAGAGAAAGTATACATACTCAGGTAAATGTGTGTGGAAGGGGATTGTGTTCGAGAAGACAATCTTTCCATCATTATTTCTATAAATGCAAACAACATCTTTTGCTTTTTCTTCAACAAGTGGCAGCCTGGTGAAAAAACAAATATTTTACTCAATGAAAATGAAATGCATGTATGTATTCAATTGTGTGTTAAATTAAACAACGCACCAATTAGCTGGTGACTCTCCGTGTAAAAATGGCCGAATTCCGCACATAATCTCGAACGCAATGATCCCGAAACTCCAATAGTCTACGGTCTTGTCATATCTAGAGTTAAATTTGCAGTTTTGTACAATTATTATTTCATTGTAAATAAATAAATCAAAACTCATGAAGATCCTTACGACTTTCCCATGTAAATTTCAGGTGCTAAATATTGTGGGGTTCCAACAAATGTGCTACACTGATTCTGGGTTTTTGACACGTCTTTAGCAAATCCCAAATCACTAAGTTTGTAAATTATCTGGAATAATGCAAGCAGTATTGTCATTTTAGTACAGAATTTTAATAAGAAACCAATTTCTCTAACCTTATTTCCCGTGTCAATGAATCTCAGAATATTATCTGGCTTCAAGTCCTATGAAAACAAATATAAAACAGTTCAAATGTTTGGAATCATACAATAATTTCACATCGAAAATACTATGCTCACTCTGTGCACAATGTCATTCTTATGAAGAAAGATAATAGCTTTTGAAATGTGATCCAACACTGTGAGAACATCAGTTTCCCGTAAACCACATATATTCTCTGGAAGCTTCAATATATTTCGAAGATTTCCTCCTTGGCAATACTCCATAAACAAGATCGGAGGGACCACAACAGTTCCACCTAAAGTATTTGAAACTTCTTCAGGGACTGGTTCTGCTGACCTGTGGACAAAGCATTTGTAACTGCATAACTTGAGGTTACATTTTTATAACGAAACCATTTCAGAAATGGTTTCGTTAGAGTAATTCAACCATATAATGCTTTATATATCTTAGAATTACTTACACAATGTACGGACAATGTTGAATAGTGGTCATTAATTCGACTTCTTTCCTCCAAAGCCTCTTATACTTTTCCGTCATTTTTTCACTGCTTTGGCCGGATTTACGAATTTCAAAGCGTTTCACGGCTGAAATACAATGTAAAGTATAAATTCAACAACTTTTGCCTTTATAATACCCTAAAACTTTATTTTATACCGTTCATTTTCCCAGTTTTTGTATTTTTCCATAGCTCGACGACTCCAAAACTTCCATTCCCAAGATTTCGAATACATCTCCATTCTGACTTTGATCCTTGTGCCATCATTACCTCTTTATAAGTAATAATAGTATGTTCCTCAATAAAATATGAAAGTAAATATTAGCAGAGTATTTGTATTTGTAGAAGAAAGTACGAGCTAAATGTTTATAGTTATTTAAATACTGAAGTGTAATAATATTTATACTAATGCCATTTCTTAGCTCGTATTTTATATAAACGTATTTTATACTTTGAATGGATGAAAGTGGTCAAATTTTGTGCGATTTTGTAAGTTATTTGGGTGTAACTTTAGGCAGTTAGTTGGGTATTAAATAAATGATTTAATTTAAATCACTCGACTTCACTTGAAATTAAATAGCACCCATTTAAGTGCAGTGAATAATGGCCCAGTTAAAAGTCGTGCTTGCTTGGTGATGATTTCACTATTAGATTTGGAGTCGAGCCAAGCCGGGGAGAATGAGCCTCGGTTTTTAGATTTATCAACGTTGGACTCATGACATGACTCATCACCAAAATCAGTACATTTCTCAGCTCTGGGAATTTATTTCAAAATTCTGAACGACAAATTTACAGTCAGTAGGTTGCTTAATAGAATAGCGGTGAGGGTGTTAAGCTAGTTTCGACGAGGTCCAATTTTTCTGAAGGCTTCTTAAACTTGAGATCTGCTCCTTCTAAAACGGTCAAAATCTGGAGTGGGTATTTTTTTAATTGGCAATGAGCTAATTTACAATTTGCCGTCCAGAATTTTGGAATAAATTCCCAGAGGATTTTGACAATTTTGGCGATAAGTCATCGAGTTCTACGAACTCTTTCTGTTCTGGGGGGTAGTTCTTGAGGAATAATAGTGCTCATTTGTATGCAAAATATGCTGCTAAAAATGCAAGAGGAAAATATAGCCTTAATCATGAAATTTAAATGTTTGCTTTAAATACGGTCATAATTTTAGTTTATTCCAACTTTCAGAAACAAAAATAATGTGGAATGGCATATTCAATATATACTTGCTTTTATTCTACAGTAATAAATCTATTAGAATTATTTACATTATTAGAATGTATTCCACGAAATTCATATATATATGAATTTAACATTAAAATACTCGTCTAGTTAACATTATTTTCTAGTGAACCTCTTAAAGGATGACATAATATAACAATAATATTCAGCTAACGTAACAATGCATCTGCATCTGCAATGTAGATTCTGCATTATAACAACAAAATTGTCATTCTATAAATATTCTATAAATACTTATTTAATAATACAGTAAGTATAATGTGTATGTACATGTACAACTTATGTGTATACCAAAATATTAAATAAAATTAATCACACTAATCAGTCTAATTCATTACAGAATGTTTGTATGTGAATTGTAAACAGTGTTTCGGTTCTTGTGGGTTTGCAACATTTCTTGCATTGCAAAGCAAGAAACGCAAGATGCAGTGAAGAAGCTTGCAGATTTTTTTTCAGAAACTGCAAGAAATTGCAAGAAATATTAAGCCACTCGTCCCATGAAGTACAGAGCCGTGGCGTCGTTTCTTGCGCCTTGCATTTCTTGCAGCTGTCAAAATACCTACAGAAAAACACTTTCTCCCGTTATTTCTTTCACCCGAAAGACATAACATAAATGCATCCTCCTGTCTCATTCATGGGTATTACTTGAAGCTCTTCTTGTATAGGAAGTTTTTACCGCATATATAAATCTAAAGTTTTTACATTGTAAATTGCTTGGACTAAAATGTTGTTGTTTTGCATACTAACATCATTTAACGACACTCATCATTCACTAAATAGTCACCGTATGCAATTAATTACTTAAATGCTCTGAATGAGATTAAAGGATCTCCCGTTACTCCTTCATCTTCCGTAATGGCAAACTCTTCGGGTGCACCACTCCCATTTTTGAACGCCGCGACCGTGTCTGGTAACACGGTTGGGAAATCCATTACGTCATCGTGACTAATTTCAGTCGCTGTGAAGGAGGAGGACGTGTTGTCGGATAATTTGTCGTCGCCGTCCTCATGTTCCACCACTGTTCCGTTCGTTGGGTCTGAAATTGTGGAATTTTCCCCACTTTTTTTCGGGATTATGACCGAAGAGGGGGCATAATCTGTGTTATCGGAGCCAAATCCGGCAGTATTTATTCGATCATCGACAAACACTGATCTCACATGGCACACGCAACATGCTGGAAGACGAAATGTATCCGTGGTCGCTTTACCGTCACGAGTGAAGGCGAGCAATTTTCGATAAATGTATTTCTGTCGGCAAGTGCTTTGATATCCGGTCAGACTTCCTTCCAAGTAAAGGCAGGGGGAACCTTCTTTTCTGAAATTTGAGAAAAATTATATCAATATCGTATTTGCATTTGGTTATAATTTTGCTGGTCAATGTCAAGTAGCCAATACAGTCGCCCAAAACTGGTTAACGCCGAATTTTGAACGACCTTAATGTCCCAAAGTGTCCAAAATAGAAAATGAGGCAAAATGTTACAAGTTCTTTATTATTGAATCTTTCGATAATCCGTGACGTATATGATTAAAATTTCTTAATTTTTCATAAGAAAATTGAGATTCTGTGGATAGATTTGCAAAAAAGTCGCATTTCGCTCCATTTTCCAATGCTAGACGCTTTTGGACATTTGGACAATTTTGGACGGTGTCCAAACAAAAGTAGTTTTGGACGTCCAAAATGAAACACTATAACTAATTAATAGCCTCAAATTCTGTTTAGGTATCATATTAATAAGAGTATACTTACACGCATTTCTCGACGCGAACGCCTTGAATGTACTCGTCATGATTGACAATGTACATAAATTTGCCGTCCTTGTTCTCCGCAACTTTTGGATAGATTGTGTGTTCCTAAAAGTTCCAAATTGATTATTTTTTAAATTAACAAATATAGAAAATATAAAAATGGAAAAATTATATATTTTCATACAATTGACGAGCACAATGGGGAGTCCAGCATAAGATTTAGCCCATCTCTTCCTGCGAGGTCTGACGCCTGTTGAGGTAGCAAATAAATATGTTCACGTAAGTAAGGTAGCCATCAATTACTAGAATTAGCAAACTTGAAACTACTAATTAATTCATTGCGAATAAATGTACTTGAGATGGATATACAAGATTGCGTTGGTAAGATTGTAGAGATACTTGATTTACGTACTACAGAATAAGGAATATATAGCATTATGCTTTACTTGTATTGATCGATCCTTCAATTAATATTTTGTATACTTTATTTTGAACGTTAGAATGACGCACTTATACCTAAAACTACTATTTATCAAGCAACATTACACTAACAACGTCAACGTCTGCGCCCGTGTACTTGGTAAACAAGTTATACAATAATTACAATTGTTAATTTAAGTCAAGTGCAAAACTTTCGCTTACCACTGTTTTATTGTCAACGCTGTCGCCAAAAACCTCCTGGAAAACGTCGGGCGTCAGTGTCAATGAGTTTTTGAGAATCGAATCGAAAAAATCTCTGCAAAAATAGAAAGACAGCTTGATTAGATAGGTAAAGATGTCATCAAGTATGCATTTCATGATTTCATGGCGTGTGTATGAATGACGATATAAGTGAGGTGGCTTAATGCGTAACTTTATTTAATGGTGCCCGAGCCCGACAAATTTCCCTTTCTATTAATTAACTGGATTAATTAACTATGATTAACTAACTGTGAGTGCTAATTAATAAATTAACACTCCATCAGTTCGTTCAACAACTACCTACATACATCAACTAAATACTTAATATTCTATGCAGATTTATACGCCTTTCTGCATCTAGTAAAGTGAATGCATACATGCGAAAAAATGGTTATTGAGCTTAGCACGTGTAAATAGGAATGATAAATTCTCAACGAGTTGTAATATACCGAATCGATTATTTTGTGGTGGACAGCACCAATTGCAACTGCAATTTGAGAAGCTTGAGCTAACCTATTTTAACGATGGATGATTCAATTAAGCCTGAACCACGTAACGAGTTTTATAACTGTCTGTGTAGGGAGTCCTATTTACCCTTTTTAGATACACACATAATGCAGGTCTCATTGTCAGAGAGCGGATATGCACTTATGAAATATAGCGAAAATATGTATTTCATACTTACAAAAAAGATAAGCCAAAATCATATTTACGAACAGAACAATAAAACCTATCAGCACAGCTTTGCTTAGCCCGAACCAGGTTTAGTAAACCCATGTTTGTCAGTAGTTTTCTATAAAATTATGTGCTACTATTTTACACTAATTTTTGCATTAACTTGCATTAATCTTTCGTACTACTAGGCTCCAAATTCTAAAAATATTTACTATCCATTGCCCTTGACTACTTCCCAGTGGGGGTCGCCTCTACAGCCCATATGGTTAATTTGTGTTCATATTTAACTTCGTATTATTTCATGAAAAAGCAGTAAGGATCTCTGGTCCAAATTTCAGCTTTCTATGTTAATTTCTAAAAATCGACATGGGTCACTCCATAGGGTCGCTCTAGATTAAAATTATACCAATTTCATGTCATATTCTTGCATTAGGACCCATAAGCAACCTCTCCACCAAATTTCAGCTTGATATGACGATTTTGAAAAATCAGTATGGGTCACCCCCTAGGGTCCCTCAAGATGAAAATTTTTCCAACTTTAACTCATTTTTATCTATTAGGAGTCATTAGTAACCTCTGTGCCAAATTTCAGCTTTCTAAGACAATTTTGAAATTTTGGTGCATAATACCCCACCCACTCCGATGACCCCCACCGGTCCAAAACTTTTTTGATCGAACCCATCTTCGAACTCGGTCGTTGCATTACCCAGATGCATGTCTGTACCAAATTTGGTCCAAATCGGTCAACTCGTTCGAGAGTTATCGAAAGACAGACGGACAGACGGACGGACATGACGATTACATAAGCCCTGGTTCGGGCTAAAAATACAAATGTTTGCAAAATTTGTATTACTGAATTTAATGCTCTAGATTTTTTGTGATCCAATTTCTTGGAGCAAAAAACTTTCGTCTCACATCGTTGAAATATTTGCAAAATGCATGTACATATTTTCTAACAAAAATATCTACAAGGTTTACGTAGTTTTCAAAGAATAGCGGAAATATGTATAAATATTTAATGTCTGAAAACCTGGAAATATGTGGAGATATTTTGAAATTTTTAGGATCTATTTATTTATGTGAGTTAGTTAGCCAACACACTCACAAAGTTTGACCGTCCGTCGTCATCAAATGAAAAAAAGCTGAAATAAATACATATCCGCCCTCTGCTCATTGTGTACAACCCATTAATTTTTATGCATACCAATACCCATAATTAAAAGCAATAATGCCACTTGAGTCACCCGACTTAACCTGTCAAGTAGCGAATCTCCCTTGTACTTACTTTGGATAAGTATCGATCTCATCACAATAGCCACTGTTTTGCGTGGCACACTTCGGCCTGCCTCGAATATCGAGGGTTGGCTGGGTCGTTGAGGTTGGGCGACCACTCGCATATCCAGAACCAATTTTCGGACTTGCAGTCCGGGCATTTAGCAATTGAGATATTCTTTTCGTTTCCAGGAGGAGCTTGAGACTCTCAAAGGCTGCTTTGTCCAAGGATTTTAGTGGGGGTGGGACATACTCGTCGTCCGTCGTGGAGAATTGTGGCGTGGATGAGGTCGCTTTTCCAGGACGGACGCTACCCCCACCGCCACCACCGGCACGCTTATTCGGCGATCGGTAAACGCTTCCTGCAAACGAGACACGTTTTATAAACATAATTTAATTGATGAAAAATACAAATTTCAATACTAACGAATTCATATTTTATAACAATTTCTCAAAATCCCTCCCAATTTTACCTGGAAATACAATAGCCGTATCCTGCTCTTCATTCGCCATAGGTTTATGCAGCTTGGGTTGCCTTATAGCCACACTTTTCGGAGTGTTTGGCGAAATAGCTTGATTACTAATACCATCCCGTGACATTAGATCTCCTCCACCATAAACATCCTTCATTTCCAGCGTACTACTTATACTCCCAACTTCCGTGGCTGGAGCGGAATTCGTCTTTGATTCCGCCGTCGTGGTCGTGGTCAAGTGGTGTTTCTCCACTGGCAAATTAAAGTGGTCATTATCATCTCCCAACAAACTGGGGAGATTGACGCTGATATCGTTCTTCTCTTGCGGACTGATCTTCTCATACTGCTGAATATTGCCGTTGTAATTATAGTCGTCATTATTGTTGTCGTTGTTTTCCCCATTCGAGAAGATGTTACGATTCCGATAAAGACCCGTGTACCGGTTCACGTTGTGCGAGTTGGGGCTGGAACGGATCGGCAGGATGCTTCTGTACGCGAGGCCGTACGAGTTGAAATTGCTGGCAGTGGCCAGTGATCCTCCTCTGGGTCTCTGGGTGGGATTAAAGGGGGGAACGAGCCAGTCTGAGGAAGATTTCTGATATTGTGGCGACGCAATAGGATCCCTTCTCGTGCGGATGTACTGGCTGCTTCTGCTGGAACTGGTACTTCTGCTATTTTGCGACTTAGATGATGCTGTGAATGGCCTTGTTTTCCCATTGTTATAAATAATTGGGGTAGTGATATTATTTCTAACGCTCTTACTACTACTACTGCTACTGCTAGGTCTAAATGGTAAGTCTGAGGCGCTTCGCCCTGCCATTGGTGTCGTCAAGTGGGGTGGTGGAGGATGAGAGAGTGACGATAAGAGGGGGAGATGGAGGGGAGGACTGGGGGTCGTGGGTCTGCCAGAGTCTTGTGGAAATGCGAGTGTCCTCGTGTCCATGAGGAGGATTTGGCAAAGGAGTGTCTGAAATAAATAAATAAATGCATATAATACAACATTATTTTCGTCAGTGTCTAGTTTTGCATTTGCAAAAGTTAGACTGAACAGCGTCCAACATTGGAAAACTTTTGTTTTAACATGTTCCCTTATGAGAAATTAGGAAATTTTCTAAACCATGCCGTGTTACACACAAAATTAATGGGAGATTGCATAAGTCAAGGGATTATCGAAATATTCAATAATCAAGAACTTGTAACATTTTGCCCCATTTTCCATTTTGGGTACTTTTGGACATTTTGGACGTCCAAAATTGGTTAAAACCGGTTTTGGACGGTTATTTTGAGTAGTGGTTAAAATCACAGTGAAACCCTGTATTTTCATAACGTTTCTCTCTCTTATATTTTCATGAAAAACTAGGACGATTATGTAATAAGACGGCCCTATTTAATATGTACGCTGCTACGCCCAAAAAATACAATCAGAGTGAAAGCAAGTACAAAAACCAATTTCTGAAATGGTGCATGTGTACGTACAGGTACATGTCCAAGACGGATATTACAGGTAATACCTTTAAAGATTCAAGATTCTCAAACTCCAGTAACAACAGATATCATGTGCAGGCAAAGGACTATAAAAACAAGATTTCTCCTCCGTCCAATTCCAATCATCAAATAAAAGACAAGGCAGCCATGGAGCAAGATTTTGGCATCATGCACACAAAGTGAAGTATAGTGTAACAAATGATGTCTTCCAGCGTATGCCCGACGATTTTGACCAGACCTGTATCAATCGATCACAAATTTAGTTGATATGAAATTTGCGTAAGACACGATCCGCCAATGCGAAGGTTTGGCAGAGATATTTGCATCCCAAGAGGAGAAAAGGCCAAGTAAATTTGGACAGTGTAAAATATGTCAACTTTAGGGCACGTTTTCTCCTCTTCCGATGCAGATATCTTTGCCAAACCTGCCCATTGGGAGATCGAGACTTTGCAAATTTCATCTTAATTAAATTTGTGATCCACTCACAAATGGCCAAAATCGGGGATATTCGCTGGGAGACCTCCATCGTAAGATACTATAAAATCAGAACTATGTACACTATAAAACAATGAAACTAGCCATTCTCCACAATAAATAATATGTAGGGCCGATTTGTAAAATTATTATTGAGCATTATTCCCTACTACTTACATATTAAACTAAACATGAATGCACATAAACTTTTGCTGAATATGTACAAGCTATGTATGCAATCTCAACAAAAATTCTCACATCATTTCACAGAATATGCATCAACTTAACGTGATCCACAGAACATTCTGAACAAGAAGACATCACAGATAATGAATGATTGTATGTAGTCAAACATTCCAAAGAACGACTCCAGTAAGTTTTTGCCCAAATTCTCAAAATGAAAGGGTTGGATTTTGTGGTAAATTGGCAAAATGAGAACAAACGAGTTGGTTAAGACCAGGATACTGCTTTTCATCATCATCATCATGATGCGATGCTCTCTCTCAAGTGAAGTCATACATAACATGATTGTGAAATGAAAGATCCAGTTTTTGCGATATATAAATACTTATATATGCAATATCCCGGTGAGCTTTTGCCATTAAAAATTGGTTATACGCATAGTATTCTATTCTATTGTAGATTTGCAACAAAATTCCGAGAACAATCAAGCCCATTAAGCCGTATATTCCTTGTGCAATTAATTTTTAGCAATATGAATTGAAAGACGAGTATGTATCTATCTACTGACGTCAAGTGTTGGGGTATCCCTGATTTAATTATGTATTCTGAGATGGACATATGTACATCATTGGACTTGCTACATGTATGTACATTTTGTAACAAAATCACTTTTCTACAATATGAGACTCGCATTTCGAAAGAATTCTAAAGAACATCTCCCCAAATTAAAATATGCATGCACTGTTAAAAATCTTGTAAAGTCAGATATACACTGGTATTGATTTGGTAATAACTTATTTCTCGATTGGTAGTAGTTTGTTTCTGATTGGTAAATTTTTCAGTGCCACAAGATTACTAAACCGGAATGTTCATTATTACCATGCCGGTAAAGTCAAACATATATGTACTCCGGCCAGTAATAATTTAATACCAGTTTTCTAAGAGTGTATGCATGTACATACTGTTATTTCCACATATATCTTTTTGCGCATATCATGGAAATATGTATGCATTTACTCATTCGTTTTATGTATTTCGTGCTGACTTTGTCCCCTCTTCTTCTTTATGATAATAAGTATGCGGTATGTGAACACTGTATCTCATACCCAACCGGATATTAAGAATGTCTCACGCTTGGCAAACAAACAAATCTGCACTTAACTTACATGCACGTCCACCCTAAATGAGTTCTCAGCATATCATCGTGATAAGATTTTGCTTTATTATGCAACTAAAAGATTGTCACTCACGTAAATACTTTATGTATCTTTATGTACGTAGCAGTAAATTGACTCTGCCTGACAAGTAAGGATGCCAACTACTTTAGTACTTAAAATGAGAACGACGCCGTGTTAGTTACAAAAGTTAGGAATTAAACCTTATTTAAATTCAGAGAAAATGAAAGTGCACAACAATTGTGTGGTGGTTATTAAGCACTGGTTAAGTGAGTTGCTTATTGCTGCTATGTAACGTTGCTCATCACGTCATCCACTTTTTACTTATGCAAAGAGTGCACCTGTTTCTCATGCAAACGTCGAACCACAGTCGCAAGAATTTTGTATTTAAGTACGTCCCTACATATATAGCTTTCAACACCTTTGTTTAAAGGCATCGTCTCTGTCTTGAGTCCCGTGCTGTACATACCTACATAGAAATATACGCTGTATCGAGTCATCCAGCGTGTGTGTGGAATTATGAGATGAAAATAAAGGGTTTTCTCACAAAACTAAAAATCCTGAGTTGGCATCAATACGTAAACACGATATCAACATCGTAGTAAAATGACGCATGATTGTCTTGTTTTTATAAGGAAAAAAATTTACTGCCCATCAAAACGGAATTATGGATCGCCATTGACGAGGGAATTATTTGAAAAGGTTTTACCCAAAGACTCGATGACCCATCACCAAAAGGGTAGAAATCAACATATTTTTAATCATTTCTCTGCTCTGGGAATTTATTTTTAAATTCTGAACGACAAATTTGTAGTCCGTAAATTGATTAATAGAATACCCGTGAGCTTTATCAGCGAGGTTCGACGAGTTCTAATTTTTCTTAGGTTTCTTACTTGAGATCTCCTCCCTTCAAAAATTGTCAAAATCTGATGTGTATATTTTTTTAATTGGAAACGACCTGCGCTACAAACTTTATCGTCCAGAATTTTAAAATAAATTCCCAGAGTCGAAAAATGATTAAAAACGTGCTGACTTTGATGATTCATCCAGTCCTACGTTAGCTCCCTAGTAAACGAACAAACTTTCACCACAAATTCCGCTCAACGCAAGCATTTCCGGAAGAGATTCATTTATTTCTATTTCACTTTTCAATTTCTGCCATATTATTTTGTGGAGCGATAAATCAGAGAAAGCGGTCTTACGAGGATCATGGTTGATGACTTTGATGGATGGAGTCCAGTGGAGATGTTCCGGTGGCTGGCAAGACCACCCCGACGCCTCCGCTGGCTCAGATGCACTTTCTCCTCCAGTCTTTATATTTCTGTGTATATATTTGTGTGGTTTGGTGGCAATCCTCCTCCCACGTCCCACCACCAAATTAATCCACCGACACGGAAGTCCTCTTACTCTCCGAGGTGAGAACTGATTAGGTCAAGCTGCTGCTGCTGCCGACTAATTAATTCCCAATCGCTCTTCCTTCTTTTCCTCACTTTCACCAAAGTGAGACCACTTTTCAGTAAGCGAATCCCTTGTGCCGGGTTGTATTCTGAAAGCAAGAAAAAGAGTTGCATTTTATTTAATACAGCTTCAGAAAATTATTTGTTTGTGTATTTTCATTTTCATTCAAAGTATTTAGAAAAGTCTACTGGAATCTGGAAAACGTGCTCCGAACAATGGAGGTCTCCCAGCGTAGGCGCCCCGATTTTGACCAAATATTTAGTGCTAATCGATCACAAATTTAGTTGATATGAAATCGATCTCCCAAAGGTCCCGTTTGGCAGAGGTAGTTGCATCCGAAGAGGAAAAAGCGCGCTTTAAAGGTGGAAAGAGTTACGCTTTTACAGTGCGCTTTCTCCTCTTCAGATGCAAATATCTCCGCCAAACCTGAGATCGTGTCATTTGCAAATTTCAAATTAGTTAAATTTGTGATCAATTAACGCTAGTTTGGTCAAAATTAGTAAGTATATGCTGGGATACCTCCATTGTAAATAGCTACGTACATATATGCCTATGCTAAATTATATGTACATACGCCATTTATAACATATGAAGAAAAAAATTTCTGCCCATGCAATGATAAATGCAATTTGTATGTGGTGCTTACGACTATAAATTGAGAAATGGTTTCATGACTGTGCTGTGGTCAGTACTTTCTTTCACATGACTGTTGCATGTGAGACATTCAGAGGACGAGTGGGCGAAAATTTCTGGTACGGCATCATGAACCATGGGGTTCGGTAAGATATGCTATGAACAAACAACCCGTGAAAGCTTTCTTATTAGGCAAAAATCTATACCCAGCCAGAACTCATTCAGCCTCTTAATTTTGCATTGCCTTGTCTACCACCGTGCTCACTAGTCAAAACTTTCTCCCTGGCTTGTCACTGTTCACGAAAACCTTTTACGGGCTTTCACGCTTAGGAAAACTAGTATCGATTTTTTTTTTTAACTTTTTGCATTATTGTCGTGCATTCTTGCGTAATTCTTTATTCTCTTTATGCTATATATCTTCATCCTCATCACAATTATACAAGGCATGAATGCAAAAAGACACTGTTAAAAATCTGGTAGAGTCAAATGTATACTACGTACTGGTGTTGATTTGGTAATAACTTCCTACCGGATCGGTAGTGGTTTGTTTCTGAGTAGTAAATTTTTCAGCACCACAGCATTACTAAACGGTAATGTCCTTTATTACCAGTGCCGGTAGAGTCATACATATGTGTACTCCTGTCAGTAATGATTTAATACCAGTTTTCTAAGAGTGTACATAATCTTTCTGTTACAAAATACTTGTAACAATGTACATATTTAGTTTCTGTTTTGACTCATTACAGTCTGCATTAGTATTTGCATGGTTCTGACATAAATAACAAGTTGCGCCATGTTGAAGACCGAAAATCTAAGCTACCGATGCCAACAAAGGTTCGAATTTGACTTATGAAGTAAACATGCTTTTGATGTTTTCCCACATTTGAAGAAGACCGCCTGGGGGGTCTTCAAATCCAATGGGCCATTCTATTCGATTATTTAAAATAGTGGGAACTCCAACAGAGCAAATTAATTTTGCCCGATATCTCTCCCTTCCAGCCCTACCCACCCATATTTGCTATAACCACAATACAGGCAGACAATAGAACAAAGCCCGTCGGAATTTAACGCAATTCACATCCAGTCCAGCTCAGCCATCCGAGATAAACCTGCAGAATAGGCAGCAACAAAGCGACAAACAACGCTAATCGCAAGAAAGATACAGCCCAGCCGATTATCCTTGTCGATCTCCCAACCAAACGTGGAGCATTTACATAACTGGGGGGGAAAGCTCAACCACATCAAGTAATCTAATGAGAGGCTCAATCAAATGTGTTGCCCGCAATTCGAATTATCTGAATGAAACATAATAAAGTGTTTATCCCAGTAGAATTATAGTGTACGAAAATATCTACATACTTATGACGTAAAAGCAGATAATCTACATAATCGGTCTCTGCTGGATTTTGTCCTTTAATTCTCATCCATATCATCATTAAGTTATTAAATTTGATGGGATGCTTTAAGTACCAGTTGGTTGGTTTGCTTTCTCCAGAGAATTGCATTTCCCCGGTTTGAGATACATACAGATAAATATGTAGATAGATAAGTACAGCCCATTATTTTAGGTGGCTGAAAGTTTGTCAAACAGATTTCTATATTTTCATTATTATTGCAAATTATCTATGGTGCCAGGGTAAAAATAGAATCCCGAAATGACGTCGGTATGAATGAAACCCGTGTCAAATATTTACGTCGGGACTTTTTATTCAAAGGTCTCGACGTACTTATTTTCAGACATTGCGTACGTAGTATGCAAGCAGATGCAAATTAAGTACGCCTGCTTTCTCCGGACTTGCATCATTTGTTTTATTTTATATAATACGTACGTACATTGATGGATATCAACAAGGTCTCACGTTTCCAAAAATATCGCAGAAACAAATGGAAGCATTACTTCCTTGGTCTTGTGTACTGTTCATTTGCATATTTACGTATATTTGCAAGTTATTGTATTTTCAACGCGACACCCGACCCACCCGAACCCCGCAATTTCTTACTTATTACTTACACGTTATACGTATATTTATTTATACATGATGGATATAAAACATGCAAACGGTCGATTGCAAAATTTTACAGGTCGCGTCACTTGTTTACTGATTCATGTATTTATATATATCGCACCACACGCTGCAATTCGTAGAAATATTGGAAAACTTGAAATCCCTCGCCACACAGAGACACAAATATACGAGACACGTACGTAATCATAAAAGTTTAAATAGGAAACAAATAAGAGGTAAGCAAAAGCTACCTAAAATCAAAACCACATATAAGAAAAATGCACAATACTTTGAATGGAGGTCACACAGCGTATGTTCTCAGACTTTGACTAAATTAGTGTAAATCCACCACAAATTTCGTTAGTATGAAATTTGCAAAATGCACTATTTGCCAATGGTCTGATTTTGCAGAGATATTTGCATCCGAAGAGGAGAAAGCGCACCAGAAAGTTGACAAATTTTGCACTTTCCAAATTTACTGCGCGTTTTCTCCTTTTCGGATGCAAATATCTCTGCCAAACGTGACCATTGGGAGATCATGTCTTTTCCAAATTTCATGTGACTTAAATTTGCGATGGATTGACACTAATTTGCTCAAAATCGTAGAGCATACGCTGAGAAACCTCCATTGTTAGTTCCATCCACCAGAAGGCAGAATCCAATCCAAAACGATAAATCACACATGGTGGCAACAACGCCATGTAGCTGTATAATTCTAAGAATGCCTTTCCTTTCCTACATATATATAAATAAACCACAAGTATGTAGCATGTGTACATGCGGAGACTACTTATATACACTGCTGGACATTCGGTTTACAACCAAAAAGTAAAACATTCCGTCCTAACAGAATAATAATAGAGAAAGCCTCGTCATAAATAAAATGTCTGCTGAATTCTAAATTTAGCCAAGAAAAAAAATATACAGCCCACAAGACGTTCATTCAGTTTTGTACACAAGCCTTATGCCAAGAATTGTTTTCCCTGCAGCCAAGGAAAAGTTACATGCATGCAAGTTTGAGAAAATTGTCGGATGTACTTGGGTCGGATTCTTGCTGTTTCCATTATTTTTGCTCACACTACATCAATGCAAGTGGCTCTTTGTCTGCTGGCCTAATCTTCCCGGAGCTACTTACTTTCCAAAAACGCGAAATGTATTTCTGACCAGGGAGTCATAATGCATAAAGAATCATCACACTATTCACACGCCATAGGGAAAAGTTCAACCTTAAGAAAATTAGATGAAGTTCGAAGCGTCTTGTTGACTTGTCCGCCGTAATAAATAAACCATTTTTAAAAATAAATTGTAGTAGGTATAAATTAAACTCGGTGTTCCGTTTTTTTGCGGGTTTTCCAAATACATTTCTTCCACGGGAAAGCAAGAAATGGGAGAAATTCGAGGTGCAAGAAACTGGGAGAAAGCGCAAGAAATATGCGCCGTCGAGCCGTATGAAGTATAGCGGCCGGGCGAAGCTTCTTGCGATTTGAATTTCTTGCAGGTCAAAAAAAACCTGCAAAAAACCACTTTGTTGCAGTTGCAGATATTTCTTGCAAATGGTTACTTTAATGGTCACCCGAAGCACTGATTAAAATGCATAATGCTGAGATATATAGCTTCAGATATTGATAAGTACATGTATGATTCGTGATCTTATCGATACTAAATATTTATAAAGGTTACGTTTTAAATTTAAATTTGCTGTGATATGCGCTAGTTATATTTATTTATATGCAAAAGTACAAACCTCAAATGATTACAACGAGATCTCGATTCTTCAACACTTGCTGAATAAATACTTGGACTGGAAACAAAGTATTTCTCTTTGTTCTTCTGGCAAACACTTCCTGGACAAATCAGAGCAGAAACTGTGTGCGTGTAAGCCTCAGGCCAACTCACGGCAAAGTGAAGTAGTGGAACTTTTGGAGAACGAATTTGTACTCCCACGACCGAACTACAGACCCCAAACAAAATGCATACCAATGACTGAGCAGTAGGGAATTTTACCCATCCGGCGAAATCGTGTTATGCACTCGACCATATAAAGACTTTCTGATTCACCATTTCACCAACCAGCCAGAGAAGATCAGGAAGCAAAGAAAACTTCATTGTTTGTATGGTATTTGCTACTCTTTCTTACTTATTACCAGAGGGCGGATACATATTTACATAAAATTTTGAAATATGTATGTACATCTTCAATATTTACGAATAAAACGCCAAAATATTTACGAAATGTGTACGAAAAAAACGTATATTAAATTTTTTACGTCTAATTTCTTTAAGCAAAAAAAATTTCGCCTCACACTTCGAAATATTTACAAAACATGTATTTTTAATAAATATGTGAAAGATTTGTACATTTTTGAAATAATGGAGGAAATACTGAAAACTTAGTGGAAGTATTTTGAAATTTTTGTCATTTATGCGAGCTAGGGAACACACCCACAAAGTTTCACCGGTTGTCGTGATTAAATGAAAAAGTTGAAAATAAATACATATCCGACCTCTGCATATTACACTTACTGACCGTCACCTTTCCTGCTACTTAATAATGTTGGTTCGGTTGCTTTGCTGGATAATCAATCAGATCAAGTGGAATTGAATGGAAGGAAACGTTATTTTCAAGTTGAGAATAATAGTAAATGGTCAAGTTGAGACTTTGAGACTTGCTTACGTAACTTCTTGTACAGTAATTTACTATGTTCCTGCTCCAACTGTCACCACAAATTCTAGAGACGTTTATATGAATAACTAAAAGGTTGACGTAACTACGTCCCATACAGAACAAGATTGATGCAAGGCGTTACAATCACAACAGATAACACACTTAGCGGAACTCGCGAGTGAGTAATTAATGAATGACCAGTGTGAAAATAATGTCACAAAGTATGTATTTATATGTGTAAGAAAGCGAATAAAGACCAACCACCCAAAAATGACAGATTATAAATAATTATGCATATTTCATGTAAATATGGATCGACCGGAATTTGAGCGAATTAAGAAAGTGACTATTAAGTACATTGGCTAGAGAAAGAATGCCAAATAGTTTCCTTACTCCACGATTACAGAATGTGAGTCAACGTATGTAAGTATGTAAGATGCCGAGCTGAAGGAAATGATGACGTGAATTGACGTAAACTTGATGTGCCTAAATATTTGCAATTAATTTCGCACGACATTTATCAGTGGTTGGTTGGTTGAGGCGATGGTTGGCAAATTATAAGAGAAATAGCTTCTGTATAAAGGGTGTACTGTAAAATAAGGTGCATGGCAAGTTTACAAAATGTGGTTAAAGAACTTGTAAAAAATCATATTTTACTGAAAAATATGGACGAAAGTCTTCAATTTGCGGAAAGTTGTAAATTTAAGGTGAATAACTAACTATCACCATATTTGAGTAACGAACCTTCAAATATTTGCAGATATAACGAGACCCAATTTATTGTATCCCCTTCATAGCACATACGTACGTAGTGAAATTATATTGCCAAATGTCAACCTGGGTGGACTGGTTTTCTAATGGATTTAAATGAAAACAATTTGTCTCATCCTGAAAACGTTGGATAAAAGTGATAATATCACTGTGATATAGAAACAGGACCACAAATTTGGCCATGTTTTTCAATAACAGACTCTTCTTCTTGAATGTCAAGTATATTTTTGTCGAGATATTGACCTTGCCTCATGTCCTAAATGTGGGTCGCATACTTCAACAACCAGCTTAGAACTACTTATAAACAGTTCGATTCCTTTGCCTCGCAGGTGTTCAATTAATCAATGGCCCATAAATACACATGGACATCAATCAATGGACACCAAACGAGGCTTATTACATGTGTATATGATTCGCCATGTCGTGTACATAATCCTCGATTACACTAAACACCGACAAATACATATACATAAGTTGGTATAAATTCACCAATTGTTTACTCTTGAACAACAACAACATTATTAATTATGTGTTAGTTTACCTGAAAATGGAGGTATCCCAGAGTGTGCTTTTGGATTTTGACGAAGCTAGTGTCAATCGATCCGAATTCCGAAATTTATTTTATATAGCGAACGACACTATTTCTCAATGGGCAGGTTTGGCAGAGATAAATGTTTGCATCTGAAGAGGAGAAAACGCACAGTACATTTTTGGCCGTCTTTTCTCCTTTTCGGATACAAGTATTTCTGCCAACCCTGCGCATTGGCTGATAATGCCATTTGAAATTTCATCCTAACTAAATTTGTGATCGATTGACACTAGCTTAATAAAAATCGAGTGACGCTGGAGACTTTCATTGTGTGAGGTGAGGAATTATAGAATAAGATCGCCTTGCCCTTGTACGTATTATTAGCAACACTTTCTCCATCCATAATTCCGTTCTTTTGATTATATCATTTTCTACTCCTTAACGAGAAGACGCTACGTATAAAATTAACCATATATGTATTTAATTGGAAATAAATACGTATTTATTTGGTTCCTTACTTTCGAGAGCTAAAGTTCTCTATTTTCTTTCATCATTCTTTTGATCATTCTTTTAAAAATATTCCATTACGAGTAATTATGATGAAAATAATTTGATGTCGCAATCATTTCATATTATTCTCTTGTTGACTAATAAGCAAGCAGGCTGACCACTTTCCTGGAAAATTGTTTTGTTTTCCTGCTTAAGTTCAGTAAGTTATTTAATTATTTCTGAATTTTGTCCAAGTGTGTGTTATAACCATAAATTCAACCACACGACTAGAACTAGAATGAAAATTGACCTTTGTAAACCCTCCGGCTAACTTAATTCCGTTCCATCACTAACCACAAAATGCATTATGGGAACAAAACCTAGTTATAAAACTTCGCAATATTCACTAACCTGCATGCATACGTAAGAATCACCGAGTTGTTTGGATAATGGATATGTATTATTTATTAATGATCCATCACATATTCGTATATACACAGTGCAAAAAAATCCTTATGTAGTGTTTTTTTTCTAATCCGTATATAATCCGTAATTATGACATAGGTCCTTATTTTACTACGCTAATTTGCAAGATTAGATTGAATTGAAAACTAAAAATGATCAAAACTGCGTAGACGCACTTATGTAAATACCAATTTTAACTTTTTAACTGTTATGCGAATAATTTTCCGAGAAAGATGCTTCTATTTAGAAAATGGTTATCGTATTACGTTACGTATGTAAAAAAATATTTCTCTATTAACGATTTTGATCATGCCAGATTAGCTGGATGCACGTAATAATGGCGTGCGTGTTGCATAATTTGATCTGATAATTCCATCCAGTGGACTTAAACAGTACGTACTCCGTGGCAAACTATTGTGTCGTTTTGCTGAACAAAAATTACAAATAATATGCACAGCACAAGTTCTTAAATATTTAGATTTGGCGTTTGACCCCAACAAAGTTTCAATATTTAGGCATTAAAAATGCCAAAACGGCGTCGTCTTGTGTACACTGGGCTTAAGCATGCTCATGAATTACGCAAAACTCTATTGCATACGTTTCGAATTTGAAGTAAAAATATGTATGTACCTGCTCTTTATTTTAAGTAAATCCAAAATCCTTTTATCCAAGCCAATAAGTTAGATTATACGTTTTCACTAAAAAAAATATTCACTTTCTTTTCCAGAACTTGATGAAAGTTTCCCAAAAACGAGAACACTTTACACAATAATAATTAATATGTAGTCTTCTTCTGATGCACTTTTCGTATGCATCTACGAACGGAATTATGTATCTTCCACAAAGAGGGTTACAATAACGTCACATGAATAATAAGAAACAACCTTCCTTGGATTGGACGACTTGGCTTGAATGAAAAATTGACTTGCTCTTCAACTGTAGCACATCAACCATCCATTCTTGAATAATAAACGATGAACGACGAGGCACCACACCACCAAAATTGCAGAAGAACATTGCCAGTAAAGTGAATATTTTTCTCTCACATAGCCCAAAATCACGTTGGTAAAATATAAAGGGCAAAAGATAACTCGAGACAAACCAAACCTGTCCATGTAGATACAACTATTGCTACGTGCTCACTGAATACGACTAAACTAAACTACTTCATGGCACCTTCCACCCCACCAACGATACTTTACGGCTTGGGTACCAACCAGCTAGATACAATTGCAATGCTTCTTAATAGATAAATACCTGCTCCATTCCATGCCAGTTATGACATGACACCCTTTTCTTTCTGCTAAGAACGAACTATTTTAACAGGTTTCGAATCATGATATAGTTGGATTATTAACCAAACTGTTTTACTACTACTGTTCCAAAAGGTTGACGCAGGCAGATGTCCAGTCCAGTCCTGCACGCTATGCAGGTTACCACTTGCAGGATTTATGTATGAATTCAGAGCAATTGTTCGATCCACCAGTTATTACGTGCGAACAGTGGCCGCGGAAGCCGTGGGGACATGAACATTGTAGGATAGGGGAGGGAGGGGTTTATATAACATGGGGAGATGATGCGGACATCGAATAACCGTGGGGACATTGTCCCCAGACTTCCGCGACCATTGCATAAGAAAAAGAAGAATTTTGTTAAGGAGATACGACGCAGAATTACAGATATTAGATTAGGTCATAGTTTGCTACCTGCAGGAGTAACTTTACTACAAAGTATGTAGGTAATGTAGAGCATAGTAAATATATCTTTAATTGTATTTCATACAATGCGGTTGCAGTACAGTAGCGATCACATAATGTATTTGCCTTCATTATTACCTTCTAGATTTCATCCATCCATCCATCCAGTAATTCATTTGTATGTCATAAGTACTTTAGAGACACCACTTTTGCCTGCACTGCTTCACGCTATTTTCTTTGCACTTTATCCTTTGGCATAAAAAGTTGATTTAAGTAAATGAGGTCCTTCCAGAATTCACTTATAAAATACGTTTACATTTCTTTCCTGAGAGAGAATTACTATACAATGTACCTAGTCTTACAATATGTACATAATAGATAGCTGGTAGTGAAGTAAGTAGCAATAACTTCTTAAATAGTAATGTTTTATGGTATTGCATACCAATGGATGCAGTCCCTCCCAATCCATTGGCTACTATTTTAAAAACTGTGAATTTTTCATCGCACGTAACAAATAACAAGTCATAAGAATCATAAAAAATCGCAAGAAATCATAAAAAATCATAAGAAATCCTATTGTATTTATTTTATCTGTTGAAACGCTTACTATCAATTTGTTACTATCAGACTAGGTACAAAGTTAAAAAAAATATGGATTTACTAATCAGCTTTCCATCAACATAATGACCAAGGCGTTTAATACTCGATTTAATTAATTAATTTTTCACTTTCATATTTGCTTTGCTCCAAAAATTTTTGAGAATAACTTTACAAAATTATGGAAAAACTATGTATATCAGTAAAGGTATGTATCACTCGAATCGGGTACGAATAATATTTTCATGCTACACAAGCCACAAACTCTTTAAACTTTAAAACCGAGTTGTCACCGATATTCCATTCCTTGGCCACATTTTAAAACTCGGTGCACGATATTATGTAACACAAGTACAAAAGGCGTTAGGTGATGGTTTTGACGAATTCTCGGGTGAATATCTTTGGCGGGGAGTTGAATTTTGGACTGATTTTTGGTAGGTTGCAAGATAATACTCTCAAAAAGATATCTTTAAAATTTTAGGGTGATAGCTTCACAAATGCACCCTACAGTGCCCCCGGAGTTGGTAGAAGCCAAAAAAACACTTTCCAAACTTAATTGCTTATATAGCATGATAACCAAAGAGGTCAGAGGTGAATGATTGTTAATATAATAACCCTAGATAATCATTGCATGTAATAATAAAAGAATCCGTAATGAATCACACAACGTGGGCCTTCCATCATCGCGGATAGTTTGCCCAAAAAATGATAAATCAGATCGTGCGCGGAAAAATTAACCTGCTGACCTTGAAAGTTGACCCACCGGGTCAAATGCAGCTTGAGGGTAAAGCTGGAAGTGTCCTAAGTAATATTAAAACAAACAGTCAAGATTTTGTGTAAACAGTTTTATAGAAGGACCCGAGCTAATCAGCTGTCGCAGAATCCTAAAAAACTCGTGAACTTATTTGGAAAATTAATGGTCAAATTTTTCGAAAATAAATTTTAATAATCTTTTGGTGTCCCCTGCTGCAGAACTATTTTATCTACAAGGTACATGTGACAAAATGATAAAATTATTGCGTTTTGGTTAGTTAAATTATTTCTGAAGTTCGACATCGAAAACGACGGGAACTTTTCCAAAAAGTTTATAAGGTCTGATGAAAACTCAGTCCGTGGGGTGTAACCACTTATCAAAATTTTGTCAAAAGTACTTACAGTGCAATATACTATATGTACCTTGGATAAAAACCACGTTAGGGATTTTTAGCATCAAAGTCGTAAAATGTGGGGGCCTTAAAAGTGGAAGAGTTGCGTTAAAGAGCGCATTTCATTAGGACAAGTATGAAATTAGACTGTAAAACGGACTTAAAAGATAAGCATGAGGCAAAAGTGGTTTTATATAGTGAAAAGCATGCTAAGTCCCTTAAAAATAGTCGCAAAAACTATTTTTGCATCAGGACCTCAGAAAAAAATATTTTGTTCAACGCCATTTTATAAGAACACTGGTTTGGAAAACTAAAAAAGGACACCTCTCCAAATTTGACCTTGCCTCATTTCGCAGAGTACACAAAATCGGAAGCCAGATATGCTTACCTATAGTTTGAGACATGGGCTTTCAGATAAAAAAAGTTAGAAATCTCTACGACTAAAATCCATCCCGCAATTAAGGCATGAATTCGTCAAAACCATGTCCTAACGCCTTTTGTAATATTTTGGTGGTGTTATTATCTAGTGTAATTGTCTGTTAGAGGAAATAAAAAACAGAAATGGCGTGATTTGGTTTGTTATTTCTTATGCATTATTCAACATTTCGTGATAAAAGTGAGGATTCATCATTTCATATGCATAATAAGTTTGACAATTATTATAATGTATTTAAGTGTGTATATATATGTAAGTCTATGAATGTATTTCATTTCTGAGTCAGAGGGCGAATATGTATTTACTGATTCAGTATTCTCAACTTACCCATTTGATGACAACCGAGCGTCAAGCTTTGTGGGTGTGTTCCCTAACTCGCATAGAGCACTAAATTTTCAAAATATTTCCACATATTTCTAGGTTTTCAGACGTATATTTATAAATATTTCCCCTATTATTGGAAAAATACGTAAATATTCAAAAATACATATTTTGTAAATATTTCAACGATATGAGACGAAATTTTTTTGCTGAAAGAAATTCGACCACAAAAAAGTCCAGAGCAAATACAAATAATACCAGTACAAATTTTGCGAAAATTCGCATTTTATGATTTTTGCATCCATATTTCGTAAATATTTTGCCTTTTTTTCGTAGATATTAAATACACATTTCACCCATTTTTCATAAATACATAATACATATCCACCCTCTGCTTCTGACGCATGATGTGATGGATGATAAGTAGAACTCTATGAACATTGTTTTGTGCACTTACCATGAAATTGAAAAGCCAGTAATATTTCCAGCCAACAAACCAAACTGACTGACTGACAAAAATTAAATGTCACGATTCTTCTCATTATTTCTGTCACTTGATGCATGTCAGAGCAGAAAGAGTTTTTTTACATTCTGCAAGTGACACAATTAGACAAATTAAGTCATGAATATGGATGGATTAGCTTTGTTTTTTGGTGTATATCTTCTTTCTTCAAGTGGTTATATTTTAATACAAAGGATCCAATATCACAAAGGGTTATTCCCAATATTAAATTAAAATTCCAGATCCATTCAATTGATAATGAGTCAGTGTAAAATAAACCGTCTCAAACGAACATACACAAGTGGCGTCATACATTAAATTACAAAATGACACTGCATGAAAATTATGCGATTTATGACCTTTGACTCACGGCCAGGGGTTGGTCAGAGGTCAAAAATATTGACGACGTTGATTTTGTGGTGAAGTTTCCTTTAAAATGACACCTTATATGCAAATTAAGGTTAAATTTAACTTTGAACCACACCCCCTCGCACTTGGAGGGGTGGTCCGACTGGCCCCATTATCCAAGTCAATCGAGAACTAAAAATTAGAGGCACAGTGGCAAAAACGATGTTTGATTATGTTGAGGCGTTCTGGAGATATCCTGCCCATGGACGGACGGACAAAGCGATCACAGTAAACGGCTGACGCGACTTAATAATGATGATTTTCGTTAAACAATACTAATTTATTTACATATGACAACTTTAGCCAAGGTTGATTGGGTGGTATATAAAAGTGCATTTTAAATAATAATAAATAAATATTTGCATATATCTTTTGACATAGAATTTACGACGCCTGGAAATGCTGTCATAAATTTAAGCAGATAAATATGTATTTGCATATCACACATATTAGGCATCTATGTGCGTCAACGTTACGATTAGAAATAGTCATTTTGTTGAGGACGTTTATATTGCATTGCAATTAATTAAGATAATTAAGCTCAACGTTTTAATCAGCATTTGAAGAAGCGGCTGCTTCTAAACTTACTTTGCATGTAAAATAAAATTAGTACATCGAGATTTTGCAACCTCACTCAACTATTAACGTTCGATGACAAGATTCACAATTGTATAAATCTAAATTATCATATAATAATTATTTCAAAAGATTTCTTAACCTATGTCAAAAAAATAAGATGAGCTATAAACATTATGATTATTTAACCCAACCCACGTCTTCTTTTTGACTTATTATAAGCACACCCAAAAGGTGTTGATTGACTCATATTGACTATTTTGTAATAGTATGGACGGGTTGACAATGGTAAATAAGACGTTACCATTTCTTTATCTTCAAATAACTACAAATACGTAGGCAGTAAGTATATATATCACAGTAGCAGGACTTCATTCCCGAAATTCTTACAATTGTCGACCACCAACCAACTTGAAATTAAGAAACTTGCCACTGTAATAAATTAGACACCAGTTAATTAATTACAGATTATAGGAAACAGCCCATTAATCAATTAGACAATACCTTCAGTCCCCCCGAAGTGTCACCTCTCATGATCGCCTCCCTTTCCAACCGTTCTACTTCATCTTGTCTCTTTTGTTGGCGTCTCACCGCTTCGAGATCTTTGACACCGCGATGATCTTGAGCTTGTCTTCTCTTTTCGGCAGCTTCGGCTAATTGACGCCGCTTTTCTTCCTAACAAAATAGTTGAATTTGCAGACTCGTAGGTTGTAAATGACGTTTATAAGGAGATTTTATGTACCTGGTCTGGCTGTACCGGTCCTGGGCGCTGTATTTGCCCTGGTGGGCGCTGTACTGGTCCTGGTGGGCGCTGTGTAGGAAATGTTTGATATGTGTCGCGACCAGCACCGCTGTGGGCATTATTTTCTGTTTCATCAGCACCAATACAACACGACGCAATTGCACCCATTATTTATTATGTATTATCAAAAATAATCTCGTCAGCAAACTATTTTTGCCTTATGTGGATAAAAACCGAAGATTATCAATTACTACTCATTCCCCCAAGCTGTCACGTTTAAATTAAGTCTGAATAATAGTATTTTTCAATAAAACTTTGCTAATTTGTAATCTCAAAATCTTAAAGCAGCAATAATCAAATCAGTGCGTGATATAATTGTACCCGGGTCGTCTCTCTATGTGCCTCCGCTTGCATGGATTTTGTTGCATTTTGCGAATTTGAGGCGAGCAAATGCGAATTATTACTTGAGGATTCATGAGAATTGAAATTAACTGCACAATTAAAGACGCTTTTTAATTAGACATTGCATTGCATTGTTTTATTTATTTGTATTAGCGAGATTGATTAATGGCAAAAAAATCATGAAATATTTTAAGATTAAGGTTTTAAATCCTCCTCTTATTTTAATAATACTTTTAGCACACTTTACTATAATTAATTATTAACTGCTATGTAATTTACATAATCGTGTCAGTAGGATAAGTACTTAGTACCATAATTTCAGTAAATTCATAGATGTGACGAATTTCGGCAAGATTTCATTTTTTTTGTAAATTTTGCAGAATCGGAAATTATCAGAGATGTAAGACTAGTTTTTATCCGTGTTTTTTTGGTGGTGACGACATCCTTTCGACCTCAATTATGGCGCACTTTACTTTTCTGAATCGTTGCAATCATGCTCATGGGAAGGAGTTTGGCGTTGATGAAGGTCACGGAGCCGAAGTGACCTCTGAGCTGGGGTTCATAGTATGAGTACAGCCACATGAAGTAGTTGCGCTCCAACTCGTCGCCACGAACCTCCTGCCCCAAAGTGTGGTAGGTGTCGGACACGGGGGGATATTTGGGTCCGGGGCGCTCGAGAAGGTGCAAGTAGCGGTAATACCAGTGCGCCAAGTCGGTCTCTCGGGACGCGACGTACTCCTCCCATGTCGGCAACTTCTGTGGAGGGTGGGGCCGATGGGGAACCCCGAACTGTTGAGGTACCTGATTTTAGCGTCAAGGTAAAGATGTCAAGGCATATTTTACATATGTGAGGTCATCATTTTCAGTCAAAAAATGCTTACATGGCCATGAGGTTTTAGAAGATTTTAATGCACGGAAATCGATCGTACGAACGAACGCATTTGCATGAATTTTGTTCAAACATAAAATTAAATTAAAAACCTTTTACAAAATATAAATTTCTACTTTGCAAAAATTGTGTACTAAAATTGCATGGTTCATCGTTTACAATTTTTGTCCCAAAAATTTCATCATACAATTCATAATATTTTCTGAAGAACTCGTTTCTCTATTGCAACATTTTAAAAAAAATTTTGCAATATGCATGAATTGCGTCTTGTGTCCCAACAATTTCGTACAAAAACCTTCCTTATTTACAAGGACTAGATAATGTGCAAAATTCTACTATTTCCTGTCATCATCAGACTCACCAATTTTATCTTAAAAATTCATTTAAAAATGATGAAGAGATAGCTTTCCAGTGTGCAAAAATCGTGGAAAAATTGGGCTAAAATGGGACTCACCATCTGACCTCCCACTGGCTGTACAGGCCCATAATTCTGCTCCCACTGCTTCTTCAACTCCTCCCACTTCATCCGATCTTCCTGCGGCAGACGAGAAAAGTCCAAGTCCAGCGGCGCCCCTTTCTCCGCCTCGGCAAACGTCTCCCTCAACGCCATCACAGCAATGAAAGGGTTCACCAGCCCCAAACCTCCTCTTTCCAGGGGCCAATAAACCCACCCATCCACCAGCTCCCCACCCCCAAAGTCTCCCAGGATGGCAAACTTTGACCTCAACAAGCTCACCGGATCCCGCCCACTGCCCCCCAACCCGGCATAAATCTGATTCAACGCGGTTACAATCTGATCCAAGTGCTGTTTTCCCGACGCGACGGCGCTCTTGCCGAAATTTCGGATGAAAAATGTGAAATACTTGTTGAAAATGTTGATCCATTCCAAAACGCAGTCTGCCTTGTCGAGCAGGGTTTTCATTTCGGTGAGAAATTTTGCCACGGCGGCGGTATCGATGTGCCAAACGCCGTTTGACCCGAGTTGTAGGTATCCCCAGTGGATCGACTTTTGCGGGAGGGGCGCCGGACCGGCGACCATTTTGGGAAGGGAGGCGGTCGGCGTGTCGGTGGTGGAGGTTTCGATGGGGCCGAATTTCTCGACGAATTGCTCCCCGGAAAATACTGAGACGGAGCCGGAACGAGCTTCGTTGACTTTGAGGCCGATCATTTCGCCGAAGGTAAGGATCGTGGTCCATGCTGAGGTGATCGTGGGGGCGGAATGGTGCCAGAACCAAAGTTCGTCAGAGATACGGTAGATTCGCAGGCCGTCACATTTCCTGCGGTTTAATAAAATTTAACTTACAATTTCAAATTTTTGCATGAAATTGTCTGAAATTATGTAAGTAAATTAAGTTATAATTTTCATGGACAAATTCTCTGCATTGAAAGAAAATGGTCATAGTTTGCATTCCCTTTTCATCACTTGTAAAAACTTGTCAATTTTTACGAATTTTTAATTTCTCGCGAATTTCTCTGATTTTAAGAAAATTTAACAATTTTACCCAAAAAATTGTAAATATTATTTTCGCAACTATTTAAATTATTTTTTCCAAGAAACCCCCACATCAAACTCACTTTCGTCAATTTTTCTATAAATTCTCTTATTATCCTAACCTGTTCACTAAGAAGTCGAGCAAAAAAAGCAGTGTCTCTCCGAAGAGGTTTGACAAGGCGTGGGCCGTGGGGACGCCTCGCACAACTTTTCTCGCCCCTGCTCCATCTTTACCGAAGTGAATCTCTGGGGTGAGGAACTTGCCGAAAAATTTGATCCAGTCGTCACTGACGCCCAGGAATTGGAGCGCGATGAGGGCAGCGTCATGGATGACGGAGGGGGAAAAAGAGTCCAGGTCAGCTTGGACGACGAGCAGTGGGGTGGTCGGACGAAGGGTGGCGTTCAACTTGATCTCGGTGGTGAGCAGGTGGAGGAACTGCTGTTTAAAGTCCACGTCGGATGGTGGCGGCGGGGGTGGTGGGGGTGCTCTGCGAGCCATCTTTTTGCTCATCAGCATCGCCCTGGGCGCAGATGGACCGCCAGCAGCACCTCCAAAGGCAAAATTTGCAGTGCTCGGCCCAGCTGAGGAAAGCAGTTCGAAGTCGTCGGCTTCATATTCCATGTCCATTGCTTCGACCTGTATGGTACCGGGAAGATGAGAAATAATCATCATCATTATCGAATATGCCCCCAACGGGCATTAAATAAAAACACGTTCAAAATCAGAACTTTGAAGCATTTTGAATGAAAAAATACATCATGTGTTTATAAATTTCGTGGAACTTTATGGTCTTAGACGCTGTTCGGAAATGCATGAAACCAAATTTTCCTCATTTTGGAAGGAATTTTATGCATTTTGAGGACAATAAAATACACCATTTTCAGGTCTTCCCAGGGTTGGAATTTGCCGAGGTGATGGAAGATACAAAAATATGTACAGGTTTTGCAGAAACATTAACTACTTTTGTCAAACTACATTGTTTTCACGATTTAAAAAAAAACTAATAATTTGACAGAAATAAGAAGTTAATTTCTTGACAAAACCTGTAATTTCGTAAGACTACTGTATTCTCCACGTAGATTAGTAGATTCTCATCTTTCTGTGGGTGTAACACCCCTGGAAATCCAAACCCTGAGAAAAACGGAGCTCAAAATACTGGATTTTGACAAAGCATTTTGCCCATCCCTGCTAATCTGCATATATTATTTCAAATATTCATACTTACCCTTGCATACTCCTCCTTGTTCTTATTCTCCTGTTCTGCCACCGAGTTTGGGAGGGCAGAGAGGAAGGCAGAGCGGAAGAACTGACCTCGATAACCCTCCACGCTGGTGGGCTTACAGTCCTCGCGCATCCACCCCTTCGAGTCGTAGATAGCGAAGAACTGGCGCTTGAAGTAGGCCGCCCACTCGACCCCCACGTACTGCAAGAAGAGCGCAGTGATGATGTCCTCATTCAAAAACGGCTTGTACTCACCCGCAAGACCGCGACGAAGCTCGGTCGGCTCGCTCGAGATGTTGGAAGGCCACTCCCACCTAGAATTAAATGATTAAATTAATTAGTAATTAATTAGCTACATTAACCAGTAATTAATTAATCAGATTGGTGGGTAGTAAATAAATCAACTTAATCGGCAATTTTCATCAAGTTAATCGATAATATTTTATTAAATCATGATTAATTAATCGGTAATTTGGCAATTAACCGATTAATGGATTAATCAGTCAAAAAAGTCGCTTGACTGAAATAATCGAAGTTAATCAGACTAATCGATTAATTGAATGGAAATCAATCAATGAATAAAATTCAGACGAATAATTTGATTATTCACTAATTAAAATTTTAAAAAACTTCCCACCTGTCCAAATTTTTCAGCCTAGTCGTCAACAAACTGGCCACTTCCTCCAGCGCGTCGGCATTGTCGGACAATTCCTTCAAGGCGGCTTTCTTCTCGGAGGACAACAGCTCCTCGGAACACAAGCCCTTGATGCAGGATTGGACATCGAAAGTGGAAATGTAGTAGTTTTCCGGCTTGAAAAAGGTCTCCGTGTCTTTAATCACTTGTTTGAGAACGGTCTCGCCAGCCACGTTTTCCCCGAAGGAGAACAACTCTTGGGACAAAAAGGCTCGGAACGTGGCCGCGTTGAAGGACGTGGACTCCGAGGGGGGCGTGAAGAGGAGCGAAGTCAGGGTCGACAGGGCCTTGTCGCGAGAGGCGGAATCGTCAGCCTTTGGCGTGGAAGGTGTCGTGGCTTCAGCTGGAGATACTGGTCAAAATAGATCATGAATATGCTTTGAGAGGTCAAAATAGGTCACTAATATTTTTTGACAGCATTTCGAAACATTTGAAATTTAAATATGTCACTTTTACTTGTGTATAAAACATAAGTGTCATGAATAAATGTCAAGATTTTTAAAATAGGTCACGAATATTTTAGACAGACACAAAAATATTAAATAAACATTTTTTGGTAGAGGATGAAACAAGTCAAAATATTTTTTGGCAGTACTTTTAACAGCATTTTTCTTGCTATGTTATATTTCGAAACATTTAAGTGTAAAATTTTGACCGGCAGATAAATGCCAATCATATTTTGACGCTATGAAAAGGTCAGACTTTTTTAATAGTACCCCTAAAATGTCACTCCAAGGTCATTACTAGATAAAAAATATCTCGATAACTCACCCTCTCCAGGTTCTGCGACGCCCTTTTTTCGCCGTCGCTCCTCCGCTTCCAACCATTCGGAAAGGAGGGATCCGTAGAGGTAGGAATATTCGCACTTTCTCAAGGAGAACTCCACCTCGCCCTGCACACGGGTCGTCCAGGCCGTGATAAGTTGGTCAGAGATGGAGGGATCCTCCGCCGAGTTGGTCAGTACGGATTTGAGGTTCTCGATAAGCACAGCGTCCATCGAGTCCGAAACGGGCGAGGACTTAACGGCGGAATAAAGCAGGGCCAAACGATCCTTCACGCCGCCCGATGTTGCTCCCACTTTCGACAACACGGGCAGAAAGTGGGACGACATCAAGTTCTTTTGGAGCTGGAATTATGTAGCGATAAATATGTAAATTTGCATGAAAATTTAAATTGGATAAGAGAGGAATATTTGGTTTATTTATTCGGAAATTTAACTGCATAAGAATATTGCATGCAAAAATTCATCATACGAAAAAATTGTAATTCGCAATTTTTCTCTGTTGATATTGATAGACATTAATTAATACAATTGCATTTTAAATTTAATTGTTTTTATGCAATTAAAAAATTAATCTTGAACGATATTAACGTCGATTTACAAAAATGTAGAACCTGTGAATTTGTCAAACAATTCAACCAGATTTACAAGCACCTTCGAACCAATTCGTTTTGGGAAGTCAGCCAGACTTGCAAAAAACTTGCATAAAATTAAAAATCTTACAAAAACTCATTTTTTACTTTGTATGAGAGAGTAGAACGTCATTTAGCAAAAATATGCCTCAAATACAAAAAAGATGATCCTTTCTACTTGACGTGAGCATTTTTTATGTAAAATATTTATTTGCATAGCACGTACCTTTAATTCCTCCAACTTCTCTTGGGTAACTTGCTGCAAAATGCTGCGAAACGAGGCACTCATCTTGATCCTTTTCTTTAATTGTCAGACTTTAATAAAATATAACTTGCTATTCAATTCGCAAATGCAAATGCAAATGTGCGACAAAAATCGGACACAGGAAACGGTGCGACGTGACTTGTATTAAGCACGGTCTGTTTAATACTGATCCTAAATACGCATCTATTTAAGTAACAGCAATAATTAGTAATTAGTCAGCATCCGCTCTCCTGAAGGTGGGTGACGTTACTTGACGAATATGTATGCATGTAAACTGTACTAGTTTAATTATCTTATCTTGGCTCCAAAATTAAAATTATGATGATAACACGTTATCTAGTAATTGCTCAGTTAAAAATCCATCCACTTTACGTTACTGCACAGGGAACAAAAACGAAGTGTTGATAATCCTGACTCACTTGCTGGTTAAATTTGGTCTGAAATTGACGATTCTCATTAGACGACGAATTACGGATGATCACGATGATATAAAACCACGAGAAAATGAGTGTTTGACAAACCCGACACGTTCTTAATGGCAAGCGCAAGGGCAGAATGGATCTGGTAAATATTTAGGATGAGATGACTCAGAGGAGAGAAACGTTTATGTAAATATTCGCAACTATAAGTATGGAACGATAATTTGCATCAATTTGTTTGCTAAAAAGACAAACTAGGGAATGAGTTAGAAAATATGCAATTATAAATTTTTTGCACACCTGCTTTGTTCTTGTTGTGGTTTTGATGTCAAATTCAATGTCAAATGAGAGTCGCCAGCCAGCCAACAACGAAACGATAATACGACGAGTATGTATATGTATGAAAGTGTGGAGAACGGGTGTATGGTATGTAAGAGAAGGAGAGTGAATGCTCGCAAAAAAATTGCACAGTATTTTGCGCATACATAAAGATGGATCCTACAAGCCGGTATAGATACGAGTTATATCATGATGACGAGAGACATGACCTTGTCCAAAGTTTGGGTTCATTAAGCACGCATAATATAAAATGCAAAAAAATTGTGTTATTAACCAAGTGAAAGGGAACCAAAATTTTAATACGATTAAAATTAAAATCTCAGTTGTCAATAACAAAGACTGATTTGCATGCGTATTTTTCGCAGAGACATGAAAAATATTTGATGAGGTTTATATTACTAAATATTTCGCGATTTTTTTTAGCAAAGTAGATCAAACTTATGCAACTATTAAAATTGAATTATTTTTAATTTTTTTAAAGAAAATTGTTTTTGTACATCTATTTTTTATAGGGAAAGCTTAAATGTAAATAAAATACAAACTAAATTACAAAATTGTAGAACGTCGACGACGGAATTTATATTTTAAGAGAATTCGACCAGTTCAGATTTATTAATAGATTTCTTTGTAAAGCTTGGTATCTATTAAGACGATCGTATTGGGCTAAATTTCGATGAATTATAAAACGATGAAGCCCACGAACGATTTTTCTGATTTTTTTATACGATATCAAACAACTTTCAAACTACCATTCCTGAAAATTTCAGCAATGGTACATGCCCACAAGTGGAGAAACAAATATTCTCCTGGGCTATGTTTAACACGTATTTAGATAGGCCAAAAACAAAAACGCAAATTAAAATACGAAGCCCACGAACGATTTTGTAAATATTTGCATATGTTGATGATCATACTATTGGTGATTTTTCATCAAAGAATTTAAGATGGTACATTTCTAGATTTCGAGCAATAAATTCAAATGCATAAAAAAACAGGAAACAGGGAATAAAATGGAAACCATGCAAAATTACCACAGGTATTAATAAAATGGTAACCATGTTGCGCGTTGCTACAATTTTGCATAAAATTTCCAATGTTTATAAACCAAAGCCCGACAAGAAAAAAACATTGATTACATTCATGGGTTGGAAGTGACTCAAACAGGACCCTTGGAGTTATAGTAGACATGCTGAATAATTGTTTGATAGTATAATTTGCCAACTCGCCAAGTTTGCAGTTAATCGGGGTTCATTTGACAAAGTTGAAAATGAACAGACAGACGAACAGACAGACTGGCAAAACGGTTCCCCAAGTCTTAAATCGGGGTAAGAATCATTGAGCTCTATTTACCAATCAAAAACCACTGACAACCAAACGAATTTTGATAAGATATATTAGCCCAAAAAATCGCCTTAATTTCTTATCAAAATAATTCAAAACTCATCGAAATTTAGCCCAAAACGATCACCATAACAGATACCCTTCTTTGCAATAAATAATTAATGGCCATTTTTTAAATACAAAAATATTTATACATTTGTCGTGAAAAACAGAATTGAAAATTTAAATTTTACACATTTTGTATGGAAATTGGTCAAAATTTCCCATTTTTCTTAAACTTTGGATTAAAAAATGCATGGTTATCCATGCATATGGAAATGTGTACGAAAGTATAAAAATAGACGCACAGAAAACAAAACAAAAGTGCAGTCTGGCACCGATTTGCATACGTAGTTGACGAATCTGCTTCTCTAATCGAATCAACATGCACACTTATTTATTATACTTACTTATCTTAAATGGCGACACATCACGAGCACTAACGGAATTTTGATCTCAAGATTACAAAGATGTGGTGGAACACACCCTTAAAAAAATTTATGCAAATTTCCATTACGAATTATTTTCATCTCCATTTTATCCGCAATATGAATCTTTATATGAAAAGTTTAGGACAATTTTCTACATTTTTGCTAAACGGCAAATGTAAATAGCAAACGATCATTTTTTTGCGACTGTCTAATTTCGTGCAAACTTCGTCTCGCAAAATGTACAGAACTCGCTGGCGAAATTGCCACAATTTCCAACTAGATATTATGCTTCGAAAATACGTCGTGCAACCATAATACACCTAATTACGTTTATAATCAATAAATTATTTCTGACTTTTTGCATATTGGCTTTTATCTCATTCAAGTTTATGTTTCAACGGCAAATAATTTTCGTGAGGGTTAAGAATGCAACAGAACAAACAGAAATATTTGTGCCAATCTTGCAAAAATATTTGCAAATATATTGAACGCTTTCCCATAAAAATTATGACCATTTTTTTGTAATGGGACAAAATTTCAGAATTTTCCATAAAAACTTTCAGCCCACATTTTTCCCAGTGTGTATCGTCCCTGGTCGAGGTGGGTGCGAGTGGTGGGAGTAAAAGTGGGAAGTTATATCTAGTTAATGGTTGTGTGGTGGTTTGGTTATGCAAAATTAGTTAAATACCCGGGTACGGGTTTCTTCCATCCGAAATGTGATATTAAACTGGATAAGCGCACATATGCCAGCATCCCACATGCATTTCATACGCAGATTTATAGGAAAAAATGTTCGTGCAACCGAGAATAGAATAGATTTCGCCCATGTGGTTTGCCTTCCTCCTCCGTCGGCGTAGGTACACCTAAGTAAGTGAGTGAGTGGATTAGTTAATGAAAAATTGGACCATTTTCTACTCCTGAGAATCCGCTTAAACTTGTCGGAAATCGGATAAATCCCACTTTTCAAATGTGGACGGCTAGAAATGTGGAAACAGGATTGAAATTAAGGGAACAAAGTTGTAAAATTACATAGTTGCATTAAAAAACGTCGACATTTTAATTAAATTCATAGAAAAAATTAAGGTTATTGATAAATGTTTAATTTAAATTGATATTAAACTACTTGCGACAAATCTAGGGTACAGAAGCAATCTACAATCTATAACTTATTACAAGACCCAACGTACCAAACGCCTACATATCTAAAGTGAAATTCTAGTTTAAAGTTTACACTTCTCAAAATCTAAATTCCGTCTTCGAAATTCTACAATTGTATTTTCTCCGGAAAACTCGTAAACTCGTAAATTCGCGTAAAAATTAAATGTAAAAATTAAAAGTCGTCAAAATACACTCGTAAAAGAAAGTATATCTATTTTAATAATATCAAAATTTGGATTCACTATCACCAATAAGAAAAATGAGTGATGACGAGTGTGGCGACGACGTGGACTATTTTATCCAGCCCGAGAGAGAAGAATCCATTCGGGCCGATTTGCTAAATCATATCGAAATTTTGAAAGAAAAAACCATTAATTTCGAAGATCTCTTAAATGAATTGGTCCGTCATGGATGTCTCTCGTTTGAAGAAAAGTTTAAGATTTTAAGTGGCATTGTGGACGAGGTGATCAAATTTTTTAAGCAAATTCGTTTTATATCGAAAAGAATTTAAAAACTGTGTTTGAATTTAAAAAAAATTATGAAAATGAAAATTTTACGAATCTTTTTTTATTTTGTTAAATTAAGCTGATTTTATACGTTATCTCGAAAATTTTGTTTCATGCAAATCATTCCCATTATGGATGGCAAGCTATGAGAATGTCGCGATATGTAAAAATTCATGATTTTTTCATGATTTTTGTTTTCGCGATAATTTGTACTGATCAAATTAATGATTAAAATTTTCAATATGCTAATAAATTTTATCAATTTTCTGAACCATTCTTGTTCAATATTTTCAGAACACGTCAAACAAGACGCTTGGAGAGAAGTGCAACGAGCTTTATCAGACGTTGCTGGTCCGAAAGAAGGATCAGATCGGGTTGGGGAAGGTTTTGCAGGCGTGGGAGGTGACGGGAAATTCCTACCTCGTCGGCCGATTCGACACGCACTTCAGTCTGGAGGGAAGGGACTCGAAGTCACTCAAGTTCCACAAGTTGAAGGCCTTGCCGTCCTACAGGACCGAGTTCCTCACGCACCTCCACCTCAAACAGCTCACCTTGTCGCCCAAAGCCCTCCTTAAATGCTTGAGGAAAAGCAGTCGCCTCGTCGACATTCGGCTCGAGAGGATCAAAGTCCCCTATGGAGGAAGGTGGGTGAGGCCAGATAAAGTTGGTCTAATGAAAGATGGATGAAAAATTTTGGGAGAAAGTCGGAAAATATTTAATTCTCTGGATAGCAGACTAAGAATTTTGACCTGTTAGGAAATAAATTAACTAGTTTTTCATTTAAAAAAATCTTCATAAAATTATTCAAATTCAAAATAGTTGAAGGAAAAAGCGGAGGAGAAATTATTGTTAAAATGAACATTGAAGTTTGGGGGAGAAAGTCGCAAAATATTTAGCTCCTTGGAAAACAAAGTTTGGCCTGCTAAGAAATACTAACTGAACAAGTCAACATTTTCTCATATAACCAAGAATTTTTGTAAAATTATGGAAATTCAAAATAAGTCAAGGAGAAAGCAGAGGAGAAATCGGAGACCAAAATAGGCTTAAAATTTAGGGACAAAGTTGTAAAATTTAAATTACATAGCTGCATTAAAAAAACTTAGAATTTTAATGAAAATAAATATTTAAATTAGTTTAAAATGAAAAAAGTTGTCATTTTTGCAAAAGGTATTCTCAAAAAGATGCAAATTATAAACGTTTGTGAAAGTTGGGAGACTATGTATAGTTGACTAAAAACTGAATTTATATTTTTTTCTGAATTTTATAGAATCACTTTTTGCAAATACTTAATTTGTAGAAATGTTTTCAAGTACACATTTGCCTCTGTCCAGTTGTGAAAGCTCTCTTAAATTCCGGTGAAAGTCATATAACAAAGCTTCCCATTAGCAGGCGTAATCGTACAGGCAGACAGAGCGAGAAGGAAGAAGAATAAAATCCTGTAACGTCCAGATTTTTGTAGAGATGAGAGATGCATACGAAATGATTATCTTATGATTTCATGAAAGTTGAAAGTCAATATCCCGAATAAAATTAGCTTATTTTTTATGTAACAGCTTAAAGTCCAATGTGCAAATGGGAGTAATTTAGTAATTTGGATGTATAGGAGATAGCGCGAATGCATTTGGGGGATATTAATTTACAAAAAATGGCTGGAATATGTATTTATTTAATATTTATAAAAAAACGTTAAAACACGTACGGAAAAAATAAGAAAGATTTGTTTTTGTAAAATTTGTAATTCTGAACATAATGCTATGTACAGATATTTTCTCTAAATTATTCACAAATTTCTCCTTTTTTGGAAGGTCAAGCGACGACCCCTCCTCGGATTTCGACCAGCCCTTAATCCTCCCCAACTTGAAGACCTTCTATTTCGAAGAGGTCTCAAAAGCGGAGCCCTTCAAGTCCGTGAAAGACGTAAGTTAACTGTATGCAGCTATATGCGAAATTTAAGCACAATAAATTCAAGCACTAAAAAAGTTGCAGAAACGATAATACTTATAAGTTTTGTTTAAACCGTTTCGTAACCATATTTTTTGCATGCAAAATTTCAAAATTCATGACCGAATGAGCAAGAATGCATGAAAATGTAAATTTATTAAACGTGTTAAACTTTGAACCTTCTAACAGCATGGGATATCTCAGTCAGTTTTGAAGCTAGAGAGCTGAAATTTTGCCAAATTCTGATGAGTAGATGTGCGCTTTTATATATATACGGCCCAGAGTAAAATTCATTATGAAACGAGTTATTTCATAATGATTTAGATAGAGATTTAGATGATTTAGATTTAGATTTCATAATGAAATTTAGATTTTGGGCTTTTGATTCTGTCTGCTTTGCATTCATTTACACATTGTAACTTTAATCACAGTTCACACTATTGACCATTGTTTATTTTAGGTAAATTTCTTTCTCGACGAGCTCAACCTTAAACCCATGCTATTTTTCGGACTGAACTCGAACATGGCGTGGGACGCCGGGATTCGGATCGAGGTGAGGATGCGGGGTGCAGTGCTGGTCATGATTGACCCTTCCACTGAGGAAGAAGAGGGGGAAGCAGGAGGAGGGCACTTCATCTCCATGTTGAGACGGAGGCCGGTCGAATACGGGGGCTTCATTAATCCAAACAGGGTCGAAAAGGTCGCCTTGTACGAGTGCTATCTTCCCAAAGCACCCTTCTGCGAGGCCTTAAAGGAACTCGTCATCTTCAGGTGAGACGAGAAGAATAATTCGGTTTTCCAAAAATATTGCGAATAGCCAAAAATTTATACGGCAAGAATGTAAAAGCAAACTTCAATTGTAAGGAAAGCGAACATTATAGTCAATAGTAGATTTAACATTTTTAAGTTTTGTTTAGAACGTTTGTAATATTTTTTTATGATTTTGAAATTGTACAACTAAAACGTCAAAATTCATTTTTTTTCGAAATGTTTATTAAAAAAATCGTAAAGCAGATAATAATATCAACGATTTTTGATTGGGTCGCCCATAAAGAAATATATCATGAATCATGATGTATTGCTTTATGGGCGACCCAATCAAAAATTGACCATAATCCTTAACCCAGAGCTGTAGTGTGTATATATGACATATGAAAAAAAAATATGATTTTTATTAAAAAATAAACTTGATATTTCTCTCCTGCAGGTGCAAAGTTTCCGCTTTTGACCCACTCCTCGCCCCCTGTCCAAACTTGACCAAGGTGACCTTGTACGGCGAAGCGGAAGCCAACAACACGGCACAACTTGACCTGAACTGTTTTTCTGCGTCAAAATCGTCCCTTTCTTCCCTCACCTTGGGCTACACGTCCGTCTCGTTTTCCAACTTTTGGGACAACAACCTCGCCATTGGCCTCACCCTTGACTCGCTCTGTTTGGAAGGCTGCCTCGTCAAGTTGGGCGGATCCTCCGACGTTTCCAAAGTTTTCGAAAAAATCGGGAAACTTTCTCTCCTCTCGGTCGGAGCCGGCACACTGGGAGACTTTGCCAAAAGTGGGGCTCAAATTGGGGAGATTTCCGTAGCTGAATTTTCCTGGGAGGATACAAACGTGACGAAGAATAGTGACGACGAAGCGACGCCATGTGAGGACGAGGATGACACCGCAAAGAGGATTCGTTACGAAGAAGTCGTCTCCTTTTTGGGGTCAGAGTTGAAACGAGGGAAAGATTCTGGGTTTAATTTGGAGAGGACAATAATTAGTGAAAGTGGCGAACTTGAGGGGGAAGAGGAGGAGGTTAAAATGGGGTTGAAAGATAAGTGGATCGTGAAAAAAGTGAAGATTGGTGACCCCGCCAAGATAAGCTTCGACCTCGGCGGATTTTCCAGTTTTGTGGGCGAATCGGGGCGAAAAGGCTGGTTTGACTTGCCCTTTAAAAGTGGGGGTGGCGATGGGGAGGGTGACGAGCCGAGAAAAGCATTCAGAGCGATGCATGGATATTAGTGAGTAATTCTGGGATTAAGAATGGTATCAAAAATCGTAAATCCTTCACCAGTAATTGTATTATTTTTACTGTAAAATTTTAAATTTCTTTACCGTGAAAGGATTACATATTAAATAATAACAAAATTGATGGGAAAAACGTTGGTAAAAGTTTAAAATAAATTTTTGAAATTATATAAAAAAATAAAGCGTAAATTTTTTCTTGTAAGTTTTTGGAAAATGAAAACGATACGGAATTATGTGGGCCGAAAGTCAATAATATACAATAGGAATTTCGTACTTTATATTATTTTCCACCCAAAGTGAAAGTAAATACGAAATTTCAACCCAAAATAATTTTAGTAGCTTGACAAATCCCATGAATAAATGTCACTTTGTAATTCACACGTCGAAATTGGAGAGAAAGTGACAAACAAACGGATGGACAGAATAGTCCGAAGGATTAATCCAGCTCCACCTCCACCACCCTGATCTCTTTGACATTTTGGACGTCATATTCGCAAATTTCGCGAACTGTGCGAAATATTTGCTTGGACTTTTATTGGCATATTTTTGTATTTTCGTATTATGAGGTAGTAGTAGAAGAAGCCATTCTAATGCCATCACTCTGTTCGGCCTGAGAGTGACACTTGTGAAATGAGTGGTGAGATTGGATTTTGGGATGAAAGTGGAGTGGAAAGTGGGTGAAAGTGTGTGGATGGATTAGATTCAAATTATTTGGACAAGCAGCTTGTTGTATGTCATCATCACGGTAAATGCTGCATAAGCTCCCAAAATGCTTCCGTGGTGTGGTTCGTGGTTTAGGTTTGGTTATTTGGTGACCCTTCACCTTCTTCTGAGAACAAGTGGGGCTCCTCCACGTGGGGCAGGTCCCACCCAAGGCCAGCACTAATTTCGGCCAGATTGAACTTTAGATAGGCAATAAATAGGAAACTTAATTACCTAAATGTTGCCATTTGCACCGCATCACACGGTAATTATGAAAGCCTAATACTTTCATGGACGAGAAATGGTTAAAAGTGAGTAATTACATTTTACAGGTCAAATTCGTTTCGAAATTCATTCAGATTTTTGGCAAAATGCATGAATTTTCGCATCAAAAAAGTTGCTAAAAGCATGACGAGATTTTGTGTAAAATACAAAAATTAAGGCCTGAAAGGTTAATATTTTAATAGAATCGGGTTAAAAAGCGAATAATTAGATTTCACGGATAAACTTCTTCCAACTTTTGCCACAAAGTAGTGAAAAGTATGGCTCGAAATTCATTGCAAAATGGATACAATTGAGCCCTTTTTTGACACAGATATTAATAATACAGTAATGAAATGAGACATCGTGTTATAAAAGCTATATTTCGTACGTACGTAAATCTCATCCAGCTTTTGTGAAAAATGCATACAATTAAATAACCTTTTGGCAATTATGGTTTGATTTAATAACGCACACGCAGCATCCCACCCGACAAGGTACAAAGTGCAGACAAATAAGCAAAGTAATGAGTTACACGAGGCAGGCAAAGGACAACTATTAGTACATTTAATTTAACAAGCCCATAACGACTCTGAGGATTTGATTATACATAAACGGCTCTGATTTTGATTGAACCTTTTCCCCTTTCAATCAGGCCAGGCCAGCAAAGAGATGAAAGACGAAGATTAAAGGCGAGGATGAGATGTATTTACGTCCATAAGATGACAACTTCTCGTCATGTAGTCGTCGTCATCTCAATTTGTGGAGTTGGTCCTTCTATAATTTGTTTTCCTGGAGAGAAAGTTAACGTCAGAGAGTGGGCTGGTTGCAGAGGTGGCCAAAATAGAAATGGGGGTCTCCATGCGTATGCTCTCACATTTTGATTAAACTGGTGTCAATCGATGACAAATTTAATTAATATGAAATTTTCGAAAGGCATGATCATTCAATGATCACGTTTGGCAGAGATATTTGTATTTGAAGAGGAGAAAGTGCGCAGGAAATTTGGAAAGTGTAAAATCTGTTAACTTCAGGGAGCGCTTTCTCCTCTTCGGATGCAAATATTTCTGCCAAACGTACATATTGGGAGATCGTGTCATTTTCAAATTTCATACTACTTAAATTTGTGATCGATTAAAACTAGTTTGGCCAAAATCTCTGAGTATACGCTGAGAGATCTCCACTGTCAGTTAAAATACAGTATTTTGAGCTCCGTTCCAAGAGCTTGGATTTCCGGGACTGTTACAGCCACGAAAAGATGAGAAGAAATTAGCTTTGTATCGCTGTCAAAACGATTCTACGATTAAAAAATGATCAGATAAATTTTGACAGCAATAAAAATCTAATTTCTTCTGCATTTTCGTTCGATTGTTTCTCCATATAGATTCGCATCTTTTTTGTAGCTGGAAATCCAAGCCATTGGAAGAACGGATGCTTATGAAATATTGTATTTTGACCAAGTATTTTGTCCACCTCTGGCTGCCTGGCACTGGTTTGGATGGTCGGTCGGTCGGCCTTTGTGTAAAAGTAGGTAAAGTAAACTGTAAATGAGTGTGAAGAAGACAGGGATTTAAGCCTTTGCATCCCTGGTGCTCGCACGGTTTCCTGTAAGCCATGAAAATCCTGCTGGTCGGTCGTCATTTCATCGGAGAAAGTTCGACTCCACTCGAACCTAGGCCGATCCAAAGTATGTAAGTACATAACTTGTGTTCTTCTCTTCTCTCCTACTTACGGACGGACGGACGGAACAAGTAAAGCAAAGTGGTGTTCTCTCTTCTTCATTCTGAGCTCCTTGTTCTCTCTGATGTGTTCTCTGTTCTTCGTTCGTCAAGTGAGGAGGATGATGATGATGATGCCAAAGTAGCAGCAGCAGCACCAGTGGGTTCATATTCTTCATATCTTCTTGTCGAAAATCCAATCCAGTAGCGAGGACAGAGCAGAAGAAGGGAGGTAAGTATTACTTACTTGCATAAGAAGTACCGCAGTTCTACTGCTGCAAAAATAAGGTTTGCAGAAAAATTTTTTTGCGACTATAGTTTTGAAACTTGTAAATTTACTTAACATAACTCGTTTACTCGGTGGGAGAAAATTTGGCAAATTTTTGCGACTAATTTTGCCTTAACTTAAAGTTGGAGAAAGTTGTACCTCCACAGCTTAAAAAAAAACATAATTCGTTCACTCGGTGGGACGAGATTTTAGAGACAAATTTGAGATTGATAAATTATTGCGACTAATTTTTGCGATCTGTGAATTTACTTAAAATTGAAAAAGTTTTAAATACCTCAACTGTTACAAAAAGCCTAAGTCGTTTACAAGATTGGAGAAAAATTCGTAAAATTTGTGAAAATTTGATCTGTGAGTTTATTAAAAGTTTGACAAAGTATGTAGCTTCACTGTTAAAAAAGTAAATATTTAGTTTGTTAACTTGGCTGAGGAGGTTGGAAAAAATTGACAATTGACAAAATTGACAAATTTTTGACAAACTTTGACAAATTTGCGACCTTCGAATTTATTAAAAGTTGGACAGTTTTGCAAGAACGGAAGTTGAGCAAGAATTGATTGACGGCCAAGCTTAATTTGTTAACGGGATGTTATTGAACTTTGCAGTTACGACGATTGGATTGGCTTTCTTTCGACGTAATTGGAAGTGTGACGGACGGGAGGGGAGAGAAAGGAGAGAAAGGTGAGAGAGAAAGTTATTTATTTATTTAGTAACTTGATGCTGGTCGAGATAGGTATCGATTTCCCGTAATTTTCGGAAAATCAGACGACTTTTTACCCTCAAAATCAACTAATTAACCAAATATTTCATTGTTTCATTACGAGAGAGAGAAAGAAATTAATGGTTTGATTAAAATTCACATAAAATTGGACAAGTTTAGATCCGATTTGTGAAATTGTGTGTAAATTAGGTTTGCAAACACTAAAATTGTCAGATAGAGGTTTGCAGTTGACTGTGTTTTATCAGCCCATAATTAATTAAACACGTACTCGTGATAAATTATTAGCTAATCCAGACAAATCTTTAATAACCCAGTGAAAGTAAACATTTCTACTTAAAAATGTATACTGGGGCTCCTCAGTCACAACTCAAAAAATTCGCTTGATTCGCTTGGTTAAAAATTTCGCTGCATTAAGCGAACTAGCGAAGTAAATCTGACTGAACTCTTTTCGCTTAATAATTCGCCCAAAGATTTGCTACAGCAAAGAGAGACAAACTGTCAAGGTGAGACTGTGCGCGAATTTTAAAATTCACAGCAGCAGCAGATGAGGAGAGAAAAAGTAAGCGACACTAACTCTACTCTGGAGCCTCGCTTCCCCAGATTTTCGCTCGCTTAGAATGGCGAGCTCTGATTGGTTGTTTGAGTGACGGTGATGATGCACCTTCGCTAACGTAAGCGACATTTCTAACCAAGCGAAGCAAGCGAAATTTTTGAGATCTGTCTGAGGAGGCCCACTATTTATATTTCTCAAACAAAATGTTTAACATTTTCATTTCATCCAAGTTACATAACAATAGTAAATTCCATTATATGCCTGGATTTGTTTACTTTTAACAAGTTCTGTTACTTTTTAGGGGTCAGGAAAGTCAGAAATGTAAACAGTTAGTAAGTCATTCTCAACAACAATCTAAAACTTTGTACACTTTGCCTTACATTATCAGAAGCGATCAGAAGAGACCACTTTTTACCGACTTGTACCACTTGCAAGTAAGTTTTAAAAAGTGCGATATTATTATTATTTACCATCCATCCAAACTTTTTAACAGGTGAGTGAGGAGACTCACAGGTAAATAAGTAAGCACAGGGAAGATTTGACTGCAGATTTTGCACATACATAAGAGTTCTCTGACCACAATAATAATAACACGGTGCAGATTTGCAGATGAGATAATACGAACGAAAAAGAGGTGCAGGATAACAAACATAGCAAAGAACCGTGTTAAATTGAATCCTGGTTGGTTAGCTAGTTAGTTAATATTGGTCGGTATGCAACTTCATCTCATCATTTTGCTTTTGGGAATGGGATGGTACGTAAGTAAGTAAGCAGAGTTTATTTTCTGCCTCTTGTATTTCTAGTTGGATAATGTTATTGTGAATCATATTGGATTTGGACGGACAAAAAATATTCTGAGGGCATTATTTGTTATATTGCCATTGTTGTTCGTCGGTTCGTCAATCTGTTAGTTTTTTTTGTGGTGGTGTAAAGTGAAGTAGTAATAATAGTGATGAGATATATACATATGAAATAATTACAAAATTGCAATCTGGTCGGGTTTTCAGTGCTGTGGTGAGTGACAGAGATGGTCGTAAATTTGTGTCCAATAAGATTAATTTCAATTTGTTTAAAGGCTGGATTTAATTTCGTGTTATGTAAAAGTTTAGTGTGATGTGAAATTGCTGGATGTTTTGTTTGTGACTGGAATTTCACGGGTGGATTGGATTTGTCGCTTTTTCCCTGTAAGAATTGATCAATTTCGTTTAATTAATTAGTTTTGGCATTTTTTCATATAACTTTAGTCTATAAGAAAGGTATGAACCTGACGAAACGTAAAGGCTGAGTTTAATTTCGTGGTAGTTTGTATTGTAAGGGAAGTTTTGTGATGTGAAAAAATACCTATACATAAAGTGAACGAGTTATGTACTGTGCGGGTGGAGCTTAAACCTACGGCCTCCTGAAGTACCTTGTGCTGAGACTAGGGTTTCTCGTGAGTTTAGCTCCATTCGCACAGCACATAACTAACTCACTTCAAGTTTAGTACTTCACAACTTACTTAGGAGGGGAGCTTGCGAGGTTGATAATAACAGATATTGGTGCCCTTTGGATATGTGGTAGGGACCCATGAGTGTACTAAAACCCTGAAGTAGTTTGACTCCATGGCCACATTTGCGCCCGCCACACCCACTCAAAAATGTCCAAAAAACGCTTTCACCCCAGTTTTCACTCACTCAAATCCACGCCAAAAATCCAATTTTACTCGGATTTTGAAATTTCTTTCACCATTATACTCCCAGATAGTTGCTTTCTTCAATCCAATATCAAACTCAATTTTTTCGAAATTTTTAGTATTTTTAAAATTTAAAATTCTGAATGAGCATTGTTGTAGTCATCAACAAAACAAATTATGTTTGCGAAATAATCATCAATAAAATTGAGTTTGATATTGGATTGAAGAAAGCAACTATCTGGGAGTATAATGGTGAAAGAAATTTCAAAATCCGAGTAAAATTGGATTTTTGACGTGGATTTGAGTGAGTGAAAACTCGAGTGAAAGCGTTTTTTGGGCATTTTTGAGTGGGTGTGGCGGGCGCAAATGTGGCCATGGAGTCAAACTACTTCAGGGTTTTAGTACACTCATGGGTCCCTACCACATATCCAAAGGGCACCAAGATCTGTTATTATCAACCTCGCAAGCTCCCCTCCTAAGTCACAACTTTTGACAGATTTTGCATAAATGTAACTTCAGTTTAAGAAAGGCATGAACTTTGTTAAAGTTGAAATCCACAACACAACCAGATCTGATCACATTTTTAAATAGGATAATCATTAATTAAACCATTTGCGTCGTTTTGTCCCGTCAATTCTATTCTCGTCTAGTCTCCTCTCTCAAATGTCCTCCACTTGACACTTTATTGTGCAAATTGAGTGGACAAACATGAATTAATTTGATTTTTATCGTCGACATCATCATCATCATCGCATCTCTACGTACATAATCTAAAAGGGCGACGACGTCGTTGTTTATTGCGTTTTTTTTTTACACACGCGTGCATTTTCCTCTATCAATTAACAACTAATAAATGATTTCAACTCTGATTACATCAAAAATTAGGTATAAAATATAGTTTAGAAAGTCGTATTGTTATTGTTATGCTCCTTGATGCAAAAAGTAGCTCCTTGATGTCGAAAAAGTGCCGAATTTCACAATTTTCACTTCATCTCGCCCAATTATGTGTGCCTACCCATGCGTCTAACTCACCTTCCAATTATATTACCCCTTAAAATTTGGATGATATTATTATTATTAAGCAACAACACAACCCGACTCATGATTTATTTAACAATGTGAACTCTTCTTCTTTCTTCCGGCAGGAAAGAGGAGAGAAAATCGAATCACGCCAAGTGGAATTAGATCAACCATTCATTTCATCCTCATCAAAAGTCAACTCTCTCACGGACCGAGTAACAAACTCTTATCTGAATTTGCACAGAATTTTGCAATATGTGACTACATACTTACGTATACTGCACGCAAATAGTCTAAGAGAATATTGCACCCGAGCGAGGAGTCAATAACAGAACGCCGTTTATTTTCTCACCTCCATCCAGTGCAATCAACATGTTTTCGCAATTTGGCACCTTCTACTTCCACCTCACCGGGCCAGGTAACAAGTATTAATGAGATGAAAGGAAGTCGCAATTAGTCGCGAAGAACGGATGTTGACGAGAAGAAGATGAAGATGACACGAGGCGAGGACGACATCCCAACGAATTTCGCAACGTTTTAACAACAAAATTTGACTTTGAACCTAGCCAATTAAGAAAGCTGCAGATTGCAGAATCAAATCAAATCCGAAGAATAATAACTTCCAAAGAAGTTTCAAATTGCATTACTTACTTTTGAGATTTAACTAACCAAGGAGTCAAAATTATTTATCTATTCGTTCGTATTGTGCCAAAGAGAAAGTTTTGCAGTTTTCGTACGTGGGCGGAGGATATTTTGCGAGTAGGTAGGAGAGTTCTTCTGAGATGGATTGATAAGTGTGTGTCTGTGCAGAACTATAAATTCGTGATCATTATTATTACATACGTACACCATCGTTCATTCTCGAGGTGAAAGTAGAGGACGAAAAACTTTTTGAGATCACTTCTACTCTACCCACACTTGACTCGAGAAGTGATCTTATCTCCAATCTTCCAGAAGATAAGTCTGGAGAAAAAAGAATTTGTCTGGAAAAAATGACGACCAAACTTGAACGGCAAGACTCCGTGATTTCCATCCTTTCTTCAGGGATCGATTTGTGCAGGTAAGAAGAAAACGAGTCAGGATTTTTTTATTGATCAATTAATTCGTCACGTATTGATTGAGGTGCAGCAGGTAAAGAGAGCGGTGTGAGATACATTGCATTACGTGAGAAGTAAATATGCATACATGCAAATTAGCCAGTGAGCTATTAATTATCCATGATTACATGAGCCATTAATTAAGGAGGTGCTGGTGAACCTGATTCGAAAAGGAAATTGCGAATTTCATTCATTCTTCGTTGCAAATTTCATTTTTGAGGTCACGAGTTACATACACTGTTAAAAATCTGGTAGAATTACATATTTACTCTATTTAGGTATTGATTTGGTAATAATACTAACTAGTAACTACTACTACCGGATTGGTAGTAGTAGTATCACGACATTACTGAATCGCAATGCTCGTTATTACCATGCTGGTAGAGCTGATACATATGCAAATACTCCGGTCAGTAATAATTTAATACTAGTTTTATAAGAGTGTATTTGCACTTTAGTTCGATGCAGGGGGAAAACTTGAGGAAATAATGTTTTTAACGGCGTCAAGGATTCACTGAGAAATTTGCTCGTCATGAAAGATTCCAAGTTGTGTTGAAGTGTGTTTGATCCGCTCTTGTCGAAAAATTTATGATTTGACACGTGCTAAATCATCATCACATTCATCTTCCCATGTACCATTCCAGTCAGTAGTTAGTAGTTTGGTAAAGTGGTTATCTTCACACTTTAAAGAGTTGGGCTCGAAAGCAAGCATGTGAATTGTGAATACAATTCATTCCCATCCATATTGCATTTCATTTTAGGTCTTTATTTGTAGTACATCCTCTCCACGTCTGGTTTGGTTTGGTTTGGGATCTTGTTCGCAGAATTGGTAGATAGCGAATTTATGTATTTATGAATGTACATATGTTCGTCTATCATCTGACATCCTTGCGTTCAGGATGTGTCTGAGATGAATGATGAATTCAAACCAATTCAAATAATGGGATTACTTTTATTGGTTTTGTTTCCCATAAATTTGCGAAACGATTTCTTCTTCGAACCGACTTTTTACTTAGGTACGTGATTCTGTTCCGTTATTTGATCAATATTCGAGGTGAAATAGTATGCTAAATTATTCGGGATACATATGTATGTTCATATGTCGTAGGAAAGAGTTGAGATGCGGATTAGAAAAATGTACCCAAAATTTAAGTAGTCTTTCTTTTTCTGAACTTTTTGATTTGAGAAGGAAATTTTGACGTGTAGATTTTTTTATTTATTAATATTTTTTTTGTATGAGTAGTTTTTTTATAATATAAGTTCTACTCCGAAATAGCATTGATTTTAAAAGTGCTAAAATGTTGCCAATTTAGATCATTTAGTGCTGGAAGTAAGAATTACTAAACAAGTATTTCGCGTTTTATTTCCATTTTTGTATAATAATTTGGCATTTAAAGGCAAAAAGAGTTATTATGTTTCTCCATAAAGGAAACTCTTGAACGATTTTTGTTTCAAGTAGTGGTCAAACTTTGCTCAGAATTTGGAGCACTTTTTTCTCAACATTTCTGCTAAACTTCTTTTCTTCCCATTGTCACTAGATATTTTGTGGGCATAATAATTTGTGTTAAAATAATTCTGAACTTTGAGTCTAATAGGTGTTTGAGTTAAGTTTTAGGTTTGAAGTTTATCGTGGAAGAATTCCTAATAATTTACTACTTGGTTTTCCATTGTCCCGTTTACGTCCTTCTTTTAGTTGGTTACTGGATTATTATGCATACATGTGGCTAAATATATGTAAATTATCTAGCAAACAAAGCAAGCAAGTAAAGTTGCTTCCCGTATTTATGTATTTCACATACATGTGCAAAAAAACAAGGTCGAACCGGGGATAAAAATATTCCGCAGAAAAAACTACTCATTTAGATAAGAACAACATGTACATATTTACATACATATACATCCTCTCATTAAATAAGTAGGATAACAAACAAAACGCGGCCAGAAAGAAAGAAAGTGGACGAAAACGTGTGTATGTAAATAAATACTTGACGAAGAACAAACTGGTCAAGAAGACTTGTCTTCTTCTTGATTACGGAGGAGAGTCGATCGAGTACATAGAAATGTAAATGAAATGAAATGTGATTAAAGTTCGTACACAACTAAACGATGAGGATTTTCCTTTGTGTTTCGCATATTCTTTTTCATATTCAAGTATGTAGTGAGTAAGTTACGCTGAAAAGTTGACGTGAAGAGTGTTTGCACAGTTTGTCTGCTTATGTATGTGGATTAGCGAAACATATAATGAGAATAATGAGGATAATTTTGTTTGTTGGCAAAGGATGAAAACTTGTTATGCAAATAAGTGTATAAGTATATTTTTCCAGGGGATAAGTTGCGGTTTTTTGTGGAAATAAATACGTATTTATGACGGAAGAATTGATTAGATGCGCGTTCTTAATTAGTAATTTGTCAAACTTTTTGGAACAAATCTACTTTTTATATGTTGTATGTACATATTTTAATTAAGCATGATTAGGAACCGAGTTTGGCACTATTTTTTGCACCGAATTCTAGTAGTGGGGAAAATATTAATATTAATACTTTGTGAAAATAGAGTATTTTGAGCTCTGTTCTGCCCAGGGTTTGGATTTCTAGGGGCGTTGGCGTTACACCCACAAAAAGATGAAAATCTACGTCGAGAATACGAAAGTCATGGGAAAATACAGTTTTTTTTAAGAAATCAACTTTTTTTCTCTGTCGAAGTACATTATCGTCACAATTATTTTAAATACAGTATTTTGACAACGATAAAAAGTTAATTTCTTCTCAAAACCTGTATTTTCGTACAAATGTTGTATTCTCCACGTAGATTTTCGTCTTTTTTGGGTGTAACAGCTCTGGAAATCCAAACCTCGGGAAGAACGAAGCTCAAAATACTCTATTTTCACAAAATAGTTTCCCCACACCTGACGAATTCCATGATTTACGAATTTGTATGCATGTATGTGACGTAATCGTACAGGCAGGCAGAGCGAGAAGGAAGAAGAATGAAAAACTGTAACGTCCAGATTTTTGCAGAGATGAGAGATGCATACGAAATGAGTATCTTATGATTTCATGAAAGTTGAAAGTCGATTTATTTATCCCGAATAAAATTAGCATATTTTTATGCAACAGTTTAAAGTCCAATGTGCAAATGGAAGTAATTTAGTAATTTGGATGTATAGGAGATAGCGCGAATGCATTTGGGGGATATTAATTTACAAAAAAATGGCTGGAATATGTATGTAATATTTTTAAAAACGTCAAAGTATGTATTAAAAAATAAGAAAGATTTACTAAAATACTAAATTTTAGTATTTTTGTAAAATTTGTATTTCTGAACATATTTAATGCTCTGTACAGATATTTTTTGTGGTCGAATTTCTTTGAGCAAAAAATGTCGTCTCGGATCGTCATTTACTAAATATATATATAGATATTTGAAAAAAATGTAAAAGGTTTACGTATTTATTACATCGCAAATATTTATAGGGCAGAAAACCTAGAAATATGTAGAAATATTTTGAAATTTTTGTGATCTATGTTAAGGCTCACAAAAATTGACCGTTGGTCGTCATCAAATGAAAAAGTTGAAAATAAATGCATATTCGCCCTCTGGTTTTATGAGGCTTAAAAAATTGGATTCGCACAGAGGAAGTAATGTAACAAGCGTGCTTTGATTTTATTGCAGGATTTGTCACTGTGACTCGTCCTGTGGAGAGTTGATTTCACCCTGCTACTGCTCCGGATCGATGCGATGGGTTTGTCTGATAATTATTAATAATTGCTAATAATTAATAATTACTAATAATCGATAAACACATCAGGTTCATCAGATTTGTCTCCAGCACTGGATCCGCGCGTCAAACAACAAAGCATGCGAACTCTGCCGGTAACGAATAATTCATCGATTAATTAGTTTAGTAGTTAAGTTTATGTAATTCACTAATTTGAATATTTAGTTATCCGTACGCAATGAGGACAAAATTGAAGCCGTTATGTGGCTGGGAATCGTTACCAATGTCCACCTCGGAAAAGAGGCGTCTCTTTTGCTCTGGTATTTTCCACCTTATCGCGCTCGCCTGCGTCATTTGGTCACTTTACGTTCTCATTGGTAAGGTCAACCACCATTATTATACCCTAATATATATATTTATTATTATACCCTTTGACATCAATGACAATGACCTTAACCTGTTGCTTATCCAGACCGCACCATCGATGAGGTAACCCAATCCGAACTGGAGTGGCAATTCTGGACAAAAATCGTGGTCGAAGCGATCGGTTGTTTAGGCGCAGCGATCCTAATCTACGTTTGGGGCAAGTCTTACCTCTCCATCGCGAACAAATGGATTGCTTTCAACCGCACCTTTATCGTCGTCTCGTCGTCCCCTCCACCCATAAAGAAGGTCATGCTCCACACTACCACCACAACGACAACCACACCCTCCGCACCTCCTCACACCACCACACCACCCGGAGCTACGCCCACCTCCTGTGATAATTCCACCACCACCGCGACAACACCCTCCCTCACGAAGCAACCGCGTGGCCCGCCTCCTCTCAGATCTCCACCCCCCGTCCTGACCCCACTCCCTCTTTCGCAAAACCCCCGGGACATGGATGTCGACACGGATGCTGCGACAACCACGGCCACGGCGAGTTGTTGTTCTGGATCTTCTAGTCCGTTGATGATGGTGGGATCAGGATCTGAAAGGTGTCGTCGCGTCGGGAGTTTCGGCTCCAGCAGTGATGACAGGCTGGATTTAGAATTGGATCTGAGCAGTCCGGACGGCGAGAGTGGGAGTGGTCGCAGCGGAATCATGAATCGGAATCGGACCGACTCTTCGAGTGATACTGATGGGAGAGAGGTCGTCAGGGCGTTGTTGTTACCGCAGGTCGTCTACGTACCGCCACCTCTGCCAGGAGGTGCCACCCGAACGGAGGAGCAGTATAGGTTGCTAGGATTTAAGAAGGAGGAGGGATAGCGATAAGATAGAGGAGCTTATCGATCGAGGCGATAACTGAATGGGAAAAAATTATTATGGGATTTGTTTTTTACTTTTGTGCTGCGTGCTTATGCTGCTCATTGCTAAATGGGAAGATTTTTCTGTGTACATTTGGATGGCGTATCATGTCGTCGTCGTTGTCGTCAGTTTTAGGTGCATATTTATGTCGTCAAATTGTTATATACTCACATTTTTGGGTACAACCGTAACAGTAATCGACTCGTTGTTAGCTTTTTGATAAAAAAAGTCATACCTTTTGTTTTTATGGTTTTCGGCTTCGGATGGAAAGACTGATATTTTTTATAATTGTTGTGTAAATTAGTTACTTAATTGATGGAATGAAATTGACTCTTAATTAATTATGCATTGTTTTGAAAATGTATGCATGCTTGGAAAAAAATCGGGTAGATTTTTCTAAAAATGTGTAGAAAAGGGGAAAATGTGAATTTTTAGAAGTTAATTTATTTACGATTACATATGCAATCTTTGGAATCGAATGTGATTAAAAATCTAGTTTTTAAATGAAAAAAAGTGACAAAACAAACTCATCCGTACCTAACAAAACAAAATACAATTTACATATTTAAAAATAGGTGATTAAAAACGATCATAATTAAATAATTAACACACAAAAACTAATCATTAGTCATTTAATTGCGCATTTATTTGTATTATTAATTAGTTATTATTGTTAAATACTTAATTTAATTTACGCCGGAATCAAGTATTTATTGAAAGTATTTATCATTTCATGGATCAATGCAAGTAATTTTTTATATCGTTTTTGTACCCTTTTGTTAATTTCGTTATAAATATTAGTATGAAATTTTGTCCTCATGTTTTCTTCTATTAAAATGATGATATGAAATAGTATTAAAAATTAACGTGTTTAATTAAAACTAATTGTTGTTGTTTGCTTTGATTGTTAGTTAAATCTAAATTATCGTCAATGATGTTAATTAATGGACTGACTGTTGGAAAATGAGGAGTGAATTTTAGGAAATATAAAATCGTATATTTTCTCATATGGAGAGAAAAGGGTTGAATTTTTTATAGACTGGGTTTGATTAAAATTTTGACCAGAATTATCCGTGTTTCAAATTAATCTTTGTTTTTCATGTCGTCTAAAAATATTATCGGTTTCAAAATCTGAAATTGGCTGTTGGGAAAGTTTATAAAATTGGTGCGTTTTTAAGGTGAAAAAAATTAGTGTGATGTGATGAATAAACACTTGTAACTCAAGCCATATATAAATGCATGAAATTGTTAATTGCAAATTTTGTTTGTCTTTCCATGCAAGATGTATTTAATAAAATGATTATTGTGAATCATAAAAAAAGTATTTACTTCACATTTTACTTTTCATAAACTTTTCAGATTTATCTCGATTTTGATAACATACATAAATAGGATGTAAAATGTTAAAAAATATTAGAAATTCCAAGTTTTGCAAGCCTAAAAGCCGAATTTAAAATTTTGAAAAAAATGCAATGGGAAAATACTTATGAAAGGATCAAAGTTGACCAACTCCACGCGGGAGAGAAGCGAAATGTGCTGCTTGCTGAACTGCTTGCTGAATTTTCCTCAAGCAAATTAAATTGTTAATCAAGCAAATTGTTAGTCACGTTGATAATCTTCCATCCTGCTTAGGGTTTCTTGCTGCATGATGCTGTTCGGATAAGACGAAGATAAGCTACTTTTTGTTACTGGATTGAATAAAGAATGGATAACGCTGAATTGAGAAACGTGAGTGTTTTTTTTCTCTTCGTTAATACTTTAGAATTCAATTTTGTGGTATTGAACTACTGGATAACGATAAGCTAAAGAGTGCTTATCGTTGCTTTTATCTGCGTGTAAACCAACTAATGATAGAGGCATTGCTAAACTTTTTATCTCTTTAAAATGTAATATTAGATAAACCAATTTGGATTACACGGAAGTTTTAGTAGAAAACGAGGAAACTTTTTATTTTGTCAATATTTCGAATGCTATTTGCATAAATAACAAAGTATAATTTCTCTTATTGCAAATGTCTCTACCTGTACAATATTATTAATATTATGTAACCATTCATGATGTGCAAAAGCTGTTGGCTATGATGCAATAAATCAATTATTATTATGTCTCTAGCTGAAGGAGTTCCTCCTCCTGTACAACAAGATTAGCGAAGACTGTTTCAAAAAGTGTGTTTACGACATGACGACCCGTTCCCTCCCGCCCGGCGAGTCAGACTGCATCGCCACTTGTGTCGTCAAACATATCAACGTGAACCACAAGACGATGGCGCTTTTTGCCGACATTAACCCCCCATTCCAACAAAGAAAGGCGACCGAAAGAGAGGAAGAGTTTCGGAAAATGCAGGAAGAGGCGAAAAAAGCTGAGGAACTTGCAGCCCTCCCGAAACCGTGGTATATTTCCATGTGGGGAAATTTGACAGGAAGTTCGACACCCGTCGTGGCGACAACGACAACCAAGCAGCAACAAGTTAGTGGGACGTCCTGATTTGGAGAGGGGTTCAATAAAGGAGTCTTAAAATTGATCGATTTATTGATAAGTTTACCCAGGATGACATGCATGGCTTATCATTTATTTTTGGTTTAAAGTTTACTAATGCGTTGCAATTTTTGTAGATGCCAATTATTCGACAATAAAAAGTGAAGAGTGTAGTGTAGTTTTTAAAATTAAATTAAATTTGTGTGTCAGCAAATTTTGAACAATTTCGTACTGCGTAGTGTAGTTTTTAGATGGTACAACTTATCTAAAAGAACAATCTAATCTACCAAAGTTTAGTACTATCATGTCGAAAAATCGTCATTCTATCTGTCTCGTCGCCCTTATGGGTCTCCCCGCCTCGGGAAAGAGCACCCTCGCCCAGAAGATTGTACAAGAGACAAATTCCCCTCAAAATAAGACTGGAATGTTTGCCATTTCCCTTAAATACGATGACTTTGTCCCTCACAAAGTTCAAGAGAGACTCGTCGACTTGTCGAGACAGCAACAAGACAAGAATAAGATAAGCCAAGAAGGACACGAAGAAATGATAAGTGAAGAAGAAACAGGAACGAAAATATTTAGACGAAAGTTTATACAGTGTGTGAACCACGTAATTGTTTCAATTCTCAATCCTCAAAACCCAGACGTGACAAATTTTCTGGAAAATCTCGAAATTTTGGAAGAAATTCTACCAAATTCGCACCTCGTGGAGATTACGAGGCATATTTTGGCTAAAATTCATACCGAGCTTAATCCCACTTCCGCCGACCACTCCTCAATCCTCCTCCTCGTGGACGACAACCACTACTATTCGTCCATGCGGGCAGACTTGTTCGCCCTCTCAAAGCGGCACACCCTCGGATTCTGTACCTTCCACCTAACCACCCCTGTCGCCATTTGTCTTGCCAGAAACTCTAGCAGGCGTGACGAGGAACGCGTACCGGACAGCACAATTTTTGAAATGGAACACAAACTGGAGCCACCACGATCCAATGAGCCATTTTCCCTCGAAATAAACACTGACGACGTGTCTGGAATCCTTGACCTCGTCCGTGACGCGATTCGACATCCCGTCCTCAATGAAGAAAACGGTAAAGAGGTCGAGCGACGAATCTGCCATCGGAACGAGGTCCATCAGGCCGACAAGATCTTGAGGAAATGGGTCGCCAGTGAAGTTCAGAGGTTGAGAGGTGAAGAGCAAGAACATGGTGCAAATATTAATATTGGTAATCAACTCAACTCGAAACGGATCAGGTTACTGGATCGCTTGAGAAGTGGGGACGCTAAGATAAGCGCGGAACTAGGTGACGATGACGAGATTAGATCACTCTTTCGACAAGAAGTTATCTCCTTGGTGGAAGAAATTTAAAGTAAAATGTTAGTCAAAACTGTAGAGTGATAATTCATAATTTAGAAAATACTTGTGTAAATATTTATGAAAAATGTTATCTTTTAAAGATATAAATTTTGTGAAATTTTGAAAATATAAAAACTTTAAACAGTTAAATGGTACAATTTATTTTGATAATTGGATTACACGGAGTTTTAGTTTTACACGTAGAAAAAGTTTGCTTTATTTGTCAATATTTCGAATGCTATCTGCCATTCATTATCAAGACATAGAACAAGATGAGGAATTTGTCACTAACTTTATTTTGGGATCAATTCATAAAAATTAAAGAAATAATGAAACTTGTACATTTAAAAAACAAAGTTCAACGCTATCGCATTTCCCATAAATTTTCCACTTCCAGTCCAGAATTTAGAAATGTGACTGACTAATGAACATTTCCACTTCACGAATCTGCAAAATAAAACAAAATATTTAAAAACCTATCAGTACACCTTTGCTTAGGATTAGTCCGAATCAGGAATGTTTAGTAAACTCATGTTTGTCAGTAGTTTTCTATAAAATTATGTGCTACTATTTTGCACCAATTATTACAGTATTCTTAAAATTTCGAAATTCAATCCTCCTAAATTCTAATCCAAAGTTATTTTTCGACTCCATACAAAATTTCAGTTGAATATATAAATTCTTAGAAACCGGTATGGGTCACCCCTCTGGTTACTTTTTGTTCATATTTGACTTTATATTATTTCATGAGAAGCCATTAATCGCACCTCTCGTTCCTTCTCCGTCTGATCCATGACCAATTTGTTGAGCACGGTTTCGAGGCGGCTTTTGAGCGCCGCGTTATCGGTGGTGGCCACCTCCATTTCTTGAATCGACCTCCGCCCACTTATCTCCGTCAACTGCATTTTCAAATCGGCCAGCTGCAGCTCCATTTCCGCTGTAGGAAACAACACCATAAATAATGTACATCACTTTTAAACACTCATAATGAAGGTCAGGTCTCCCAGCATATGCTCTCCCAACTTTGTCCGATTTTGACCAAATTAGTGGCTATCGATCACAAATTTAATTAATATGAAATTTGCAAAAGACACAATCTCCCAATGCGCACGTTTGGCAGAGATATTTGCATCCGAAGAGGAGAAGACGCGTAGTAAATTTGGAAAGTGTAAAATTTGCCAACTTTATGGCGCCTATTGACACTGGCTTAATCAAAATCTGAGAGTATACGCTTGGAGACCTCCATTGTTTAAGTAAGCAATTAGGTACCCTTGGTAAGTGAGGTCTTTTGTTCTGCGGAGGACGTGCGACGTCGCTGTTGCTGTTTGCTCTTCTTATCAGGCGACTTGGAAGTTCGGCCGTGGGAGGAGGGACCAGAGGGCGTGAGAAACATATCTTTCGAGAAGGAGGTCACATAGCTCGACTTCTTGGACGACGAAGGCATGTCCTACAATTAAACTATATATAAGGTAACAGTTTAGATGAATGAATAAAGAAATACTGCTCGACCTGATTTTGATATGACATCGACTGTGAGTCCGACAACCGGCTGCTGTCTTCTTCGACGGAAATCCTACTGTTATCTTCGTCCACATCGCCACGGTCGAGAAGGTCCTCGTCATCCCCATCTGAATCACTTAACGCGTCTCCGAACAGTTCTAGACAGAGAGAGAAATTAAGTCAGAAATGTATTTAATTGAGGATTTTACAATTTTCGTACCGGCAGCACCGACGCGAGAATTGTCCGCGTCGGTGGAGGGTTCATTGGTTTTGGAGCCTTGCATGAGAACATCTTTTACTCCGCCTTCCTTGGTCTTGTCTTCTTCTTCGTCAATTACTTCCCAAGAAACATGGTGAGCCTCATAGTCTGTGCGCAAGAGGCGACGAACCTCCTTCTCAATCTCAGGCTGGTCAAGGTATTGCTGGGAAATAAAGAACATATAAAAAAATGTAAAAACCTATCAGTACAGCTTTGCTTAGCCCGAACCAAGATTGATTATTATAGTAAACCCATGTTTGTCAGAATGTTATACTATTTTTCACTAATTCTTGCATTAACTAACGTCAGTTGGTAGTATTAATTGGCACCAAATACCACGAACAGTGGAGGCTGTTCCCATAAAATTTCGAAATTCAACCCCCCTAAATTCTAATCCTAAGTTATTTTCGAATCCTCACCAAATTTTAGCTGAATATATAAACTCTTCACCTTTTTCTTCAGCGTTTTCCTAAACCTACGTTTCCGCACGTTTTTGAGTGGAGGAGTAATGCCGTGCGGCCAAATAAACTTTTTATCCACTTTGACGCCATCCTTCTTCTTGGGGACCACGGCTTTAGAGGATTCGTCTTCTGGGGGCTCCTCCTCCTCCATGCAAAGCAACATCTAAACAAATCACGGGATCTTTGCAACTATTAAATTTAACTATGTACTATTAATTACTAGTAATTAAGATTTATAAGACATAATTTTTGATTTCTTGATATGGGAGCCAATGTGTATATTATGTATCATAAGTCATTTGAATAAAGATTGAATTGAATTTATTACCTGACAAATATCCGCCGTTTTGTAGACAACCTTCTTATCAATACTTTTATGAGATTCAAGCACACAGGGGAGATCTACGACCTGAAGTAAAAACAGATAAATTATTGATCACGATAGCCTATCAATTATCTTGCTTATCGACACCTCACCTTTGAGGGGAGGACGAAATGATCAAAGTACAACGTGCCGTGTCGCATATCCTCGTTTAATTTTAGTTTCATTCGATCCTTCAAATTTGGATTCCCGATTTTCAGTGCTTCTCGCAACGTAGAGGCAGGGGCCTGCATAATTTATTATATCAATTAACTAATACAACGAACTAATTGCTAACTAATTGCTTAATTAATTAAAATAGTTGATAGGAAAAGTGAAAGGATAAGGGCTCACTTGTAGTATTTGGAGGGGTCCGGATTAGGCCTTTTTTGTCAACGTTTCGACCTGAAGCAATCCTCTTCGTCGTCCTGAAGAAGACCCTTTGAGGTCGAAACGTTGACAAAAAAGGCCTAATCCGGACCCATCCAAATACTACAAGTGAGCCCTTATCCTTTCACTTTTCCTATTATATCCTCACAGCACAATTTACATATTATATTAAAATAGTTGATAGGTTTAGTTAAGACCACATTATGTAGTTAATTTAGTTTCTTTACTCAATCTATTTTTTTAGTGTTACTTGATGTAAACCAGTCATTAAATTGTACTGATCAAGGAATAACATGTGAATAAATGACTACCAACCAAACAACCAATTAAACTATAAATTATTAAAATTATGTATGTTTACCTCTGGAAGTCGTAGAATAAACTGCGATTCCAACTCGGACGGACCATCGGATAAGTATTGCGACATTGTCAACTTGACCTTATATATAACAAAATTTACTTTAAAAACAAGTGATCAATTAACTAATTAAAATATTAAACTGGAAATAAATAAGGCAAATTTTTCAGTTCGGCTGATCTCGGCTCAAACTCAAACTACTCTCAATCCGCCTCGTCTCACTTTCTGTTTCATGATTTCATGAATCTCATGAACTTACTGAAAGAGGTTTAAGTAAAAACTAAGCATTTATTAATTTAACAATTAAAATACATACAAATTAGTTAAAATTGCACTGCACAATTCTACATATTTACAAAACAGAAATGTAAAAAACATAAGAGGAGAACAGAAAAATGGGAACGGCATTATTTGTTTGAGATCCACTTCCAGTAGACGAGATTGCTGCTTCTTATTCCACTATAAAAACAAGGAATGATTATTTTTTGCACGGCAAATAAGATCAAATTTATTATAAATATGGGGTTACTCTTGAACTTCGTCTTCTCCCTGGTCTGGAAGGGGAGTTGGGAGGAGAGGCGCTTCCGAACGCGCATAAATCCCAGAAAGATTAGCGAAAAGCAGAATGTGATCGTTAACAGCATCACGACCACTAATTTTATATGATTCAGCTCGTTCGAGTCCGAATAAACCTGTCACAAAACCGAAAAAGAGGTCAAACATATCAAAATTTTTACCAAATTGTGCAAAACTTGGGTAAAATGTGCAAGTCGTTTTAAAGTATTAAAAACCTATCAGTACAGCTTTGCTTAGCCCGAACCAGTAGTAAACCCTTGTTTGGCAGAATGTTATACTATTTTTCACTAATTCTTACATTAACTAACGACAAGTATTACTTGCCACCAAATACCACGAACAGTGGAGGCTGTTCCTATAAAAATTTCAACCCTCGTAAATTCTAATCCTAAGTTAATTTTCGACTCCTCACTATATTTTAGCTGAATATATAAACTCTTAGAAATCGGTATGGATACCCCTCTGGTTACTTTTTGTTCATCTTTGACTTCATATAATTTCATGAGAAGCCATTAAGTATCACCGTTCCGAGTTTCAGCTTTTTACGACAAGTTCTGAAAATCGGTATGGGTCACCCCGTCGGGTACCTCTGGTTGACAAATTTTCCAATTTAACTTCATATTCTTTCAGTCTAAAAAAAATCCGCCCAATTTTCAAAAATAATTAGGAAAACGAGTACCGTGAAGTAGCCGGTGACCTCTCCGAATGAATCGAATTTTCCTAGGCCGGCCTTAAAGTGGAAGAGACCCGTTCCGTGGAGGGTGATTGTGATGTTTTGAGCATTATAGAACGGACCACGCCCTTCGTGCAGGCGAACGTCACTATTTATCGCTACGTACATAGAAGTAGAATTACAAATTAATTAAGTCAAGTCAAGTAAATTAAGAAAAATGAACTCAATGCGATAGTTGACAGTCTGTCGTCTTACCGTCCAACAGCGGGGTGGGTTGGCCTGAAAACAGTATTACTTATTATTAGTCTAATGGAATTTCATGAAATGCTGTCAACTAATAATCAGCCTAACATACTGTAAAGTGTGAACTCGCGTCGATTATTTATCTCTTCAATGTACACGGAAAAATGGTCCTTCGGCCGAAAAAACTCTGGAATCTGGTCCTGTTCCCGCATAACAGGGTCATAGTCCAAACTGACTTGAAACGATTTTGCTCGTGGGACAGTGTACACCTACAAAAAATTATGGACAACGAAAGTGTAAAAAAAAACAGGCGCAAATTTTATACAATGTTTTACCATTTCTTTACAATCGGAAACTTCTGGATCATCAGCTAACTTGTCCGCGTCGGAACAACCACATTCACTCCGATTCGAACGGAAATTACATTTTCTAAGTTTTCCTAGAAGAAAACGAGAACTTTTGAATAATTTGTGTTTGAAAATGTACACATTTCATTTCGTACTTGTATCGTTCGTAATATGGTAGTAATTGTGGTACGCGGGTTTTGACGGGTCCGCATTGTAGGTGTGGGTCGACAGTGGTATTTCTTCCCCACGGATCGAAGGAGGTCGATAGTTTATCTGAGAAAAGAAAACCATAGTAAAATTTTGAAATTCAATTTGTTCCTTGGCCAAAATTCGAGTCTTTGTAATACCGGAAGTTTGATAAATATGGGGGTCGAATCTTGGATATGGATCTTTTTCGGATGAGATTCACTCGACACGGCGTTTCCAGCTTCGAGAATGACGTGAGGATCAATGCAATAGGGTTTGTCCTCTTTCCACGGCCGATCTCTGCCAAAGTGACCACTCTTACAGATTGGGATCCTAAAAAATTGCACAATTGGCAATTATAATATTAGTGAAAACCTACAGTGTGCAGTGTTTATATAGCCCGAGTCAGGGACAGAGTCCCTGACTCGGGCAGAGTCCCGGACAGAGTCCGCTTCTAAATTTTTGTCAAATGACCCGTACCAACTACAATTAGCAATTGCGAACTGCAGTTTGATATTTTTGATGTTTAAACGTCAAAAATGTTCCCATTATCCAGCATGCAAAATTTCAGCTTACTTGGCCAATTTCAAAAATCAGTATGGGTCACCCTACTGGGTCCTCCTTGCAAAAAGAATCTTAAAATCTATTAAGCTGCTCTAACCCTGCAGGATTATGCCAACTTTTAGTCTTTTACGATTGTTTTCCAAACCAGTGGGGCTGACCCTACTGGGTCATTTTGTTCGTTACGACATTGCACTTTCACTTTAGTACTCAAATATATCCCGATTACCAGCTACCAACTTTTAAAATAGAAACTTTTAGAAAGCGGTGTGGGTCACCCTTTGGGGTTGCTTTTGTTTCACTTTTACTCGGTTTTAACTTCATAAACTTTCATAAGAAGCTATTAAGTATCATCGTACCGAATTTCATCTTTTGAAGACAATTTCTAAAATCGGTATGGACCACCCCTAGGGTCCCTCCACTTAAAATTTTACCAATTTCACTTCATATTCTTCCATTGGGGGGCTATTAGCACCTTTTCTACCAAATTTCAGCTGGATTGGATGATTTTCAAAAATCGGTATGGGTCACCCCCTCGGGACCCTCCAGACGCAAATTTTTCTAATTTCAATTCATATTCTTCAATTAGACACCATTAGCAACCTCAATGCCAAATTTCAGCTTCCTACAACAATTTTGAAATTTTGGTGCATAATACCCTACCCACCTAGATGACCCCCACCGGTCAACCGCTTGACCGATTTGGCTCATATTCGAACTTAACTCCTCATTTGCCCCATACTACATGTGTACCAAATTTCAAGTCGATAGGATGACTTTAACGAGAGTTATCGTAAGACGGACAGACGGACGGACGGACAGACGGACATGATGGTTCCATAAGCCCTGACTCGGGCTAAAAATAGTATAACATTCTGACAAACATGGGTTTACTAATCAAATCTGAAATAGTTTTTTTAATCGGAAACCTTTGCAAAATTTTATAATTAAATGTAAAAATCAGAAAAGTGCTGTGTGCATAAAACTTATAAATATTATATTTAACAAGAAAAATTTACTGCCGACAAACTAACATTGTCCCAAATTTAGAAAAATTCAACCTACGGAAAGTTGACCCAAAGCCGGCGTCCCTTTTCGTGATCGACTTGGACAGTGTAGGTGAGCTCATTGGGTCCAGCACACTGGATGGAAGACAGCGTAGCTCGGATCGTGATGTTCGAAGTCCCAATCGACTTCCCCGTCGGTGACAACATGACCTTCGCCGTCTGTATTTTCGCCTCCGAGTCGTACTCGTGCTTCTTCACAACGCTCAAAACCTCAGGGTGTGAGTTCGTAATGACAAACAGCGGCCGGTACATGGAGAGACGCCCAACTGCGAGAGGCACACAACACACGTATTCCAATTTTGATACAAATTTGGGCAAGAAAAATAGTCAAAATCAGCTCCAGACTTACTCGCAGTCAGCGGCAGGGCCCGAATTGTGAAGGAAATGGAATCATGCAAGTCCCTGTGAAATCAGAAATACAAAAATTATGGAAATTCGCATGAAATAACTTTTGCAAAGATTTTCTCACAACGTAACGAGCCCCCCGTCGCCTTTGAGGACGGGGTTTTCCACCAACTCGATCCTATGATGACACCCAGAGTCCTCAATCCTCCAGAACGTATCTTTCTGCTGAACTTCAAACTCTGCACTTGGCCGACTCCCATTCGCCCGTGGGTTAGAAACATTTAGTTTGGCGTACATGCGATGAGCCACCTCTTCCAAACGCTGCAACGAATTCATAATTAATAACTCCCAAAAATATTTCTAATTAACTTCATTCGAATTTTCCACACTTTCCAACAATTTTCTAACTTAACCAAAATGAAATTCAAGATTTTCAAGAATTATTCCAATGACGTTCACATGTACCTCAAGAGGATCAACAAATTCATCTCCTAGCATTTCTTTCTTCCGTCCGACAAATTCTCGCCACTCAACCTCGTCTAGGTTCTCGCCGCCTGCAAAAAAAACAAAAACATGTAACTGTTTCTTTTATGGATTAATTTCGATGCCCACCCACCTCCAGCTGGGCGACGGAGTCTTCTCTCCCTATATTTTTTGGTCGACATGTCCAAGAAGTAGTTATTGTGAGGGTCTTGTGAGAAGCCGACCTCCGAGTAGGAAAACTGTGTGGCGTAGCCCCACATGATGGAATGGTCCTCAGGGTATGGGAAGCCTTGGAGGAGGACGGCCGTGAACGTTGGAAACCACTGCGTCCACCCGACCTGCAACTCGGTGTAGTTTAGGGCTATCCAAAAGAACAGAGGGGAAAATCGATTTTTATTTTTTTTTGTTTTTAAGGCTCATGATTACGTGTTAATGATTTAATTATATCAGATTATTTTATTGTATGTACTAAATCCTAGTTTTATTTTTGCTATAAAGTTAGATAATTCATATAGTTGTTTATTGTATTTGTCACGTGTGGAAGAGCTGGTTGATTACTATGAACGTGTTAGACACTTGAATAAAGCATCATTCAACGACTTTAATTAAATATAAATTAAAACCAAGAACTCAATTACTTGTCATCATGACGAGCGCGACGTTCGACTGCGGCACGAGGTAAATCACGGCGTACGTCGGGCAGAAAATTAACGCAATCGGTTTTATCACCTGCACAAAAATGGGTGAATTAGTGAAACCTGAAGTTAAAGTGAAAGGAATGAGCCTACCGAGGCGAGCATCATTTGACGGAATCCGATGAGGTGCGAGATCGGTTTGATATGGCGGATGTACAAGTTGCAGTTGTAGTCGGGGTAGGTTTTCGGATCGAACAGGCCAGTATTAGGGTCGGGCTGGCTGTGAAAAAAAAACGGAAATTGAATATTCATAATGTCGCACAAAAATTTAAACTTTATTACAACGACTCACGTGTACTCGCAGGTGATTTGCTTCCCAAGATATGTGGGCGAAATGTAGCTGTCCTCCTCGTCATCCTCGCCCGACAACACAGCCTCGTAGAGGAGCGTGGTCCCTCCTTCGATGAGAAAGGGGACGAGGGGCCCGTCCGTGGGGGGCAGTGTCGTGTTGAGCTCCTGCCCAGCATCAGCCTGATGTAGAGAGGCGTTCAAAATCGCATCTTTCAATTCTGGCCCACGCCCGTCGGAGGTGCGGTTTATCCGACTGGGCTGCGGCGCCAGTTGGGATGAGGTCGAGGAATGCAAGTGGGCAAGGATCGCGACGAGGACGAGAAAGGGCGAAGCCATTTTGTGAAAGAAATGACGACGAATTTTAAGATAACAAACAAGCAATGACCTTGGATTATAAATAACACAACACAATAATTAATTATTAATTAATTTAACAACAAAACGCAATACATTTTAATATGGTACCCTAAATCCTTGTTTTTAAAAGTGAATGACCTAAGGTCGACCCATATATCAAATTGAAGGAATTAATGAGTAGATCATTTCTTCATAAAAATAAAAAATGCCCAACTTTCACACTCAAAATTTTTCAGGAAAAATCAAAATATGCTTAAAAAGTGAGAAAAAATGCGATGCTCGGAACTTTCGAGTATCAAAAAAGTTCGTCTAGTCTTCCCTACAACTTCAAAAAAAAATTTTTTTGACAAAATTTAAATTCCCAGAAATTTCCTAGCCAACGGGATGCGTGGAAGGAGAGCCGGCAAAAATGAGAGGTCGTTGTTGGAGTTTTCTTGCCAGTCGGCTGCAAACATCGTAATCAATCAGTCATCTTCATTCGTCGTCCTCCGGGTGGAATTACGAAAATTTGGAAATAACCTCTTCCTCCCCTATTTTTTGTCTCTCCCCACGTCCGGTCCACCCCCTCTATCCGTTTCTATTGATCAGGTAAGTCGTGGTGCGACTATTTCATCCAAATTTACCGTCTTTTCTGACAAACAAGGACGAGGGAAGTCTAGCCTCTGCCTGCTCTCGGCTTCTCATCATAAATTTTCGAAAAATAGGGAATTTTAAAAAGTTCTTTTTTGGGGGATAACACATTAAATGATGGAATATTTTGGATTTTTATTTATTAACACACATTGATGAAATATAAAATACACTTTGTTTGCTTGGGGTGTAGAGGAAAAACCCGATGTTGGTGAGTTGGGAAAACCTTTACTTGATCCGGATAGGGTCCGAGATCACCATTCTGCCTCTTACACGATTTTTGTAAATAAAATGACCTATCATTTAAAATATAAATAATTCCTCATGAAATTGAAGAGGAGGGCTAGACTTTTGGGGGTAGGTTTTGATTGGTGGGATTTTATTTCAAATTGTCTCGTTGTTGAGGGAACGGATTTTTTGGGATGTGTAGAGCAAAAGTGAGGAGAATCTTGTTGTCTGAGTTTTCGTCGAGTCGTGTGAGAGATAGATTTTTTTTAAAAACGCTTAATTTTCTCTCCTCTCCTTCCAGTGTTAACCACACCCTCCTCCCCTTCTACCCACCACCACAAGAAGAAGAAAGATGGGTGCCTGTTGTGGAAAGAAGAAGCAAGACGCTGGAGCCACGGACGAAGCAGCCGCGACCCCTTCGGAAATGCAGTGTCCTAAATGTGGAGGATGTCATAATGACGGGTCCGCCTGTCCGAACGAAGACCAGGCCCCTCCGGACAATTAACGCAGCGGAGACAACATAAGACTGACACACCAAACGGAAACCTAAAAAAGACAAATCGAAATTGTACGTGTTGAATTGTGAGTAAAATTTCTCAAGTTTATTTTATGACCTTATTTTTTTTACGATTTCATGACTAATTGGTCTTTTTTTCTTTGTCTCAGACTTTGGTGAAGATCTTCTTCATGGCTCTTCAAAATTCGTTCACATTATTTTGTAAGAATGTATCTTTATTATAAACAACTTTTCTAAATTCGAATTGGACCCATTGTTCATGTAATTATATCGATCGATCTGGTCAGAGGAAAATGTGGTCATTATAAATATCAAATAAAAATCTTTGTTTAAAACAGCTCAATTTTGGGGATGTGTTTTCGAGGGGATTTTATTTCTAGTTAGTAGTAATTAACTGACTTAATTAATTAATAATAATTGATTTATTGCATCATAGCCAACAGCCTTTGCACATTACTTAATTTAATTATTAAAGTAGCTTTAATGACATCTTTTTGCTGGGTTGACGGAAATTACTCCAAAACTTGTCATCCTAGGATATCAATATACAATTATTTTGGTCTTCAATTCAATTTACCTTTATTCAAGTGTTAGTCACATTCAGTCTGGTCTTGTCATCCCAAAGGGAAAAAGTGTCAAATTGGTCACGTGTCAGTGGTAGAGGTCAAGCTGGGTCAAATTATAAGACGTCACGAATTTAAAGGATAGTTAATAGAAATTATGGCATCAAATTTCTCAAACAACTGAAATGGTGACAATAAACGCTGTAATAATTCCAAAGAAAATACCACCCTTTCGCCCAACACTACCACTACCACCCGGAGTCGTCGGCGTCGTCGATTCTGTCGTTGTCGAACCTGTGGAGACACTGTCGTCCAAGGGAACGTTAATGTCCTCCCCACGGTCGACGCCATAATGGATATCGACCCCTTTACTGTACGCCCACGCCATTTGCTCCGAGTTCCACTCGAACCCAATGTCACCATTCTTCCCAATAGCGATCGCACCACCGTCCGCGTCCTGAATTCGTGACGCCATCCCACTCAAAACCGTACTTATCGACATGGAAGCATTCATTCCTGTTGAATTAAGAGGATAAAATGGTTACGACCTGAGGTCAACGTCATCCAACGTTCCGTACCCACCTCCCTCCATCAATCCTGCAATACGGGACGCGACCCTGTATCGAATAAAAGCTTCGCCCCACCCAGTCGCAGAAATCCCGCCGATTTCGTCATCCGCCAACGTTCCTGCCCCCACGATCGGCGTGTCGCCGACACGACCATCCATCTTTCCCGATAAGCCACCAGTCGACGTCCCTGCGAAAATTTGTCCGCGTGAATTCACCGCAACGGCACCAACAGTGCCGGCTCTGTTCTGTTTGCGGGGATGATTTGAAGTCCAACCTTCATTACTTGTGGTCCAGTTTGCAATGAGGGACGAGGTGGGGACGAGGTTCATTTGGTTCGAGTTCAGCGCAAAGAGTTCGGCTTGATAACCGACGAGGAAAACGTGCTCGGACGTGTCCTTCACGAGACGGGCGAGAGTTATTGGGTTCTTGATGTGGCGGACGGCACCCACGGCGCCTGAAAGGTCGAGGGTCAAAGGTCATGATAATAAACAGCGTAAAATGATTGTCACCTGTGCCAAGATCCGTGCCATTTATGATTATCGCGTCCATCTCTACTTCACCAGAGGCAGATCGAACGGATCCCGTTCCTAACAATTTTCGTAATTTTAGCAATAATTTTCCAATGATTCACATCTCGTCGTCACACATAAGCTAAGCACTTATCAATTCTTACCCGCATTAAAGGCGGGCGAATCCTCCATAACTTTAATGGCTTCGATAACCGCAAGCTGGGCGTCATCCTCAGTTTGCAGTGCTGCATACCCAGCCCGGATCGCGGCCAGCATGGCGACCTTTTTTGCCGTCCCGTGCGCCGGGGTTATCGTACCTGTAATTGTTATCGAGTAGTTATCGCATAGTTTTAGAAATTGTCTACTTATTCGGACACTACCTGCACCCCCATGAATTATCAAGATCTTGTCACCACCTCAAGAAAAAAGATAAGCGTTTATCATCATCAGAAATCATTACTCTCATAACATTTTACCAACTAACAACTCACCTTGAGCAACAGCGTGAGATATGATCATGCAAAACGTAATGCATGCAAAAACGACTCCTCTCCACAACTGCCTTGCCATTTTCTTACCTCACTTTTTAACCGATATGCAAATTAAGTAATTAATTTAAGAGCGATTTAAACAACTTTAATTCACACACGACCCAAATTCCATTGCAGATCACAAGGAATTCTTATACATGTTACATAATAATAAAATATCCAATTATTAAGTGTATTTAATACCACCAGCATTAAAGATAAGATATATGTACACTCCTCTATATAACTTGGGTCTGATAACACATTATCTTCATCGTACTCGAGGATAACCACCACATTAATAACTGGATTTCATATGATCAATTCAGCTAATTTCAAGTGCATATTTTTTTGTGATATGAAAGTTATACCGTTATTTTAAGTATTTAACTGTGTTAACTTACTTATTAACTGACAAGGTATTTATGTATTTGGTGAATATTTATGAATCCGATTTAATTATAAATACAAACTTAGAAAATATGAGCGGATATTAATTTTGTCGGTGATTATAATTTGCATGTAAATATTTTATTGTTCAATAAATGGTTTGCGTGCAGTTTTGTAATTGTTTGTTTGTCAGACAACAATGGAATGGATACATTTGTACCTTTAATAAATACCTAAACTCTTAATATCAACTTTGCCAAAGTTTTGAAAATATTATTCACTTACTTATTAATAGAAGATCCTATTTCAAAAATTTCATTTCATCATCATTTCGTATTTCTCGAAAGTTTAAAATTTGTAATGGCAAATATGTAAAAACATGCAAACATGTAAAAACGAAATTTTTAATATATTTTTGCACATCATGCAAAACATCATATCTTTAATTTCTTCAAGATATTAACTTCAAAATACTTTCAAAAGGTTATTATACACAAACAGGAACATATTTGTAACAATGAAATATGCAAATGTAGAAGATGCAGTAAAAAAATAATGAATTTAAAAGCATCCATCATCATCGTTGTTAATTTTTCATGGAAGTTTAAAATTTTTAGTCACAAATAGCAATAAACCAATTGTAGACAAAATACATAAAGTACGTATGTACCTTTCAATCACACACGTTAAGCTTCATTCGAAATTTCAAAATTTGATAAATTTGAACGCCACCAAAACTTTGTAGCCAAAGAATTGTATAAATTTGGAACAGGTTTATAGATGAAAATGACTGATTGGTGCGGAGGTTGGCAGATATGTACATATCGGATAAAAACCTAAAAATAATCCAGGCCGAATTATTCTCGCCTCCAGTACCCAAATATCCATATCCATTTAAAAATCTCGCCCTCCAACCTTCCAAATATCCATCTCCAAAGTGGAAATGGATATTCTTTCATGCGAAATTCTTTCAGATGGAAAATTACGAAACGGGCATAGGCCTACTTATTTAATCTTTCCACTAACTAACTATCTAATTGCGACAGAATTAAGTGTGTGACTCAATTTTTGGCATGACATGACAATTAATATTTGGTCAAGTTCAAGAGTGATTCGATCCATTTTACTTCTGGTGACGATTATGCACATTAATTCGAGAACAATGGAATCGACATATGTATGAAATCTCGATATGATTACTAAACTCGACACTTTTAAAATAATTCAATCAAGCTCCTGTGCAAATGGAAAATTCGATTGCGACACAAACCTGTCAATTATGCAAACCCAATTAACCCGTGGCACTACTGCTAATTGACCTTATCGAATCATCGATACGGGAAAATTCGTATCGACGATGATGATGAAGACTCGATAAGGTTGTCAATCAATTAAGCAAGAGAATTGATTTACAATTTGATAATGATTAAGTGTCTCACTTCGGATTTTGCGTTGGTCTGAATTGGATCATTGATTCGATAAAGATGGCAGTGAGAGGCGTTTTATTGGTGGTTTTAGCAGGCGTGACCTTGACATGGGGTCAAGGCACCCAGGTCACTGTGGAGCATCCCATCTTGGGACAAATTGTGGGACAGCAGGGAGTCACTTCGAGAGATCAGACGGCTTATTGGACATTCCATGGAATTCGTAAGCGTTTTTTTTTGTTTGTAAATTGTGGGGAAATGCGTGTGCATTTTTGTAACTGTGCAAATTTCATTTGAGAATATTCACTCGAAATTTCCCATTGTGTCCCAAAATTTTTTGTTATAAGGTCCATGATAAATTTTCAAATATTCGTGGCTTTATCGAATTTTGAAGCATTGAACTTTTGTAATTCAAGGATGATTTATTTACAAAGTTTACGAATTTTACGGCGGTTTGAATTTCAGACAGTTTGTACATAATATAAATCTACATAGTTTACAAAGTAGACGTGACTAATTTTTATGATAATTTCACATTCACTTATTAATTACAGCATACGCCGATAGTGATTCGTACATGGGAGTCAATCGATTCAAGGTAACATTTATAACCCCAATTTTATTTATTTCAGGATTTCACATCAATCTTTGTAAACTCTCCGTTTTTTCGTAAATAAATTTTACATGGAAAAAATCCACTCAATTTGTGCAAACTGTAACTTTTTAAAAAATCCTGTAGCCAGCCCAAGTCCATCGAAAACCTCTGACCGAAAACGGTGAACCGTTTTACGCCAAAGAGATCTTTTCTCTCTGTCCGCAAGAGGCGATCCTGGATATTCCGGGATCACGAGACGACCCGTCTGCCGAGCAGTACTCGAAACCCGTTGACCTCGTCGAGATCATGAGAGCGATTCACACCTCGAGAAAACAACGTGGCGACAAGTTCCGAAGCATTTCAGGGAGGTCAGAAAGGAGGCGAATCTTCCAAGAAGAGCCCGTCAAAGAGATGGGAAACGAAGACTGGTACGCTCATTTTCTACCAATTTGCGCAAATTTGTAGCCTAACTATGGCGCAAGTTAGTCAAGCCATTACATCAATTCACACCTGACTCTTTTAAAATTGACACAATTTTCAAAAAAATTATGAACAAAAAAAATACATTATTTTTCCCTCTCATTTCGTACACCAACTAACAAACCTGCATCAAATTACTTAACTATGGCGCAAGTTAGTAACTTTGTTGAATAAAAAGTAGACCAATTCATGTTCAAATTTTTGTAAACCGTTTAAACCTGACGATTGTCTACAAATTTCTGAACCAAAAGAATCTCACTTTCTTTTTCTTCTCATTTTGCATATGAACTTGCGCCAACGTTGTGCATTAACTATGATGCAAGTTAGCAAATGAGTAGAGCATGGAGTTCACTACCGAATTTTTTGCAAAATGTGCACTGAAAAAATCTTACGTTCCTTTTGCGCCTCACTTTGTAACTTTTTTAAAAGTTTGGTTTACAAAGGTGCCGAGTATGAGTGAAAGTTGGAACTTTGTAAAAATTACCAGGCCCCTATTCCCTATCTTTGATTACTTTTTAATAGAATTCTTCTTCAGAATTATAAAATGGCGTGAAAAAATTACATTAGTTTTTCTAATTTTTTTAGAAAAAATTATATAGAAAAAATGACATTAGAAAAACTAATTACATTAGTTTTTCCTACTTAAGAAATATGTGTACTTCGTCATTTCGAGAATTCTAGTTTAGAGTCAATTTTTTTTAAATAAGAAGTTTTCCTTCTAACATCATCGAAATATTGGTGCATGACATGCATTTTATAGGAATAAAGCTAATTTACAACAGAATAGTATTTATGAAAACCTAGAAATAGATACTTGAAATTTGGATCCTTTTTAGAAAATGTAGCAAAAGCATTTACATTTTTGACTTGGACAAAATAATAATGAAAAGTATTTTAAAAATATTAAACAATTTGAATATTTCTTGATTTCATTTAGAAAAATTGCGAAATTGTGGTAAAATTAATTAAGTATCAAACCACTATTTTTATGATTTTACATATTTCTTTCAGCTTGACCCTGGCGATAAACACGCCCAAAATTCCAGCAAACCCGGACGAGGAGGAGTTACTTCCGGTCGTCGTATTTTATCATGGTGGTGGTTCCGACAGTATTTGGGGCTCTGCTTTCACCGGGCTGAGAATGATGGAGGACAAAATTGTCCTCATCACGCTCAATTATCGGTAAGTTTATTTTTTTCAAGCGTCTTTTGCTAACTTGTGCCATAGTTGAATCATAACATTGGCGCAAGTTGGTAAATAGCGAGTCAAGTACTTGGATATGATAACCACACCTTTTATTCTTCACAATGTCTCGCCGACGAGCGACATTAATATTTTAATTGTCAAACGTTTGTCGACTCAACGGACATTTTTAAATAAGTTTGTACTCCACAAAAAAGTTTATATCAGGAATATTTAAATAATTTACATAATGTAATAACTAATGAAATATTTTTTAACGATTTCCTAAATATTTTAGTTTGGGCGTTCTCGGAGCCTTGAATCTTGGCACGGACGATGCTCCCGGATGTGCAGGAATGTACGACACCGTCACCGCGTTGGAATGGGTTCAAGAAAACATCAAGTGCGTCCACATTTTCATTTTATATTAATCTTCGAAATTACACAACTTTTTAAATAAAAAATAGGTATTTTGGTGGAGATCCGAATCGTGTCACGGTCACTGGACAATCTGCCGGAAGTATGATAGTCGGCAACCTTCTGACAACTCCCCTCACCAAGGACAAAAACCTCTTTCATGGCGTTTGGGGTAAAAGATGCAAAATTTTGAGCCTTTTCCTAGAATTTTCAAAACTTTTAAGAGAAATTCAAAAAATTTCAAGAGAAATTCGATAATTGTTCAAAACTTTTTTCATGCATTTTCCCCTCCAGGATTTTCCGGAGCTGCTATCAGCGTGTGGGCCGTATCGGAAGAGCCCGCGATCGATAACCATCTCGAAATCGCAGAACTTGCCGGTTGTTACGATCCCGAAACTCAAACTCGCGCTGATATCCCAGCCGTTACAGCGTGCATGCAGGTTCGATATTGACCTGAAGCATTAACTTCTTTGAAGACGCATTATTACCTAATTTGCATGTGGACAGTCCTGTACACAAATTGACACATTTAAAATCAAGTTCCACAGATGAATGTGCAGAACTCTGTAGAATTTTGTAAGAATTTTCGGCACAAACTTTCATCTAGCTGATATCTACAGATAAATCGACCAATTTTCATCACGTACATTTTCACACGGGACTGATTATATTATGCAAATGAGGTGGAACATAATGCCCCTTCAATAACAACGATAATTCTTAAAAGTGTGTAGTTTTTCATTCAATCTTGCGTTCCTTCAGACCGCATCGCTGCAAACTTTGGTTAATGCCCTCGCAATTTGGCGTCACGAGGAGGAATCTGTCGGAAGGTTGGGATTTGACGCGAAAATGCCAAGCATTCAGTCGCCCGGGTTGACCGTTCCTTACTTCATGCCACAACATCCGTACGAAGTTTTGGAAAAATTGGAACAGCGAAATGTTCCAGTCGTCTTTGGGGCGACGAAACATGACGGAACGTTCGCTCTGGACGATATCGTGACCAACTTTATCTTGCCGAACGAGCTGGATAAAAATGAGACGTACATGAGGAACGAATTGTTGCCGAATTTGCTGAAAAATTTGGGTAATTAAGTTTTTCTTGTCACGGAATGGGAAAAAGAAAGTCAGGACAGAAACGGGTTCCATATGTCGGTGCAAAATTGTTCTGTATTTCTACGCAGAATAAAATATACAGGATTTTTGCTCCTGCTCACAATTTTCTACATGAGATATGTATTTTTCACTGCCGAATATTTTGCAGACATTCTTCTTAAAATCATAGCAAAGTTTCAGCTCAGACAAATTTAGTCGTTTAAACCCTTGTGAATGAAGATGAATAATATGATTTACAAAATTCTACACAATTTTTCTTCATAAATATTTTTTACTCCGACCCGATTTTCATACTTGCAACTTTACTACTAAGTTGATCTAAACCAATTCAATTTGACCTTTGACCTTGCCAGGAATTCGTGACGCGAGTGGGGAGTTGTACCACACGATGGTGAACACGTACTTGGGCGATGCCGCACATACAGGAACGTTGGAGGATAAATTGCCCGGAATGACTGATGTAAGAGGAGAACGTTTCTAATTAAAATTATGTATGATGCCGACCTGATTATTTTTACCTGTCCATGAAAAAAGATGGTGACCGTGATGGCTTTTAAAGCCCCGCAATACGAGACGCTCAAATTCCAGTCGAGGCTGACGAGGCACGCGTATTTTTACAGTTTGGACTACGTGGGTCGCTGGACGCTGTACGAGCTCATTCTTGGACGCCACTACATTCCGGGAGGAATTGCGCACACGGTAGAAATATTTAAATATTTCGCATCTTTTATCATCATGAGACGCGCATGTAAACTTCGGAAATTATGCCTGCTCCTATCGGAAATTCTGAAACATATGAATTATGAAAGGAGAAAGTAGTAAATACAAGTCTACTTTAAATGGATAGAACAAATTATTTTTGTAAATAAATTTCATACGTATTTCCTTTGTATATGTGGGTCAAAAAATACATATTTAATAATTTGCAGGATGACTTGATCTACTTTTTCTGGTTGGGACCACTTATCAACGAAGACATGAAAGTGAGCAGACGCTGGATGAAGTATTTTATCAACTTCGTGAACCACGGGTTAGTCAAGCTTATTCAAATTGTACACATACCTATATTCGCAGTGATCTTGTGGGTTTACTGCATTTCTTACACTGTATAATAAAGCAAGAAACGCAAGAAATGCGAGGTGCAAGAAACTGGGAGAAAGTGCAAGAAATATGCGTCATTTAGTCGTATGAAGTATAGCGGCGAGGTGTAGTTCCTTGCGCCTTGCATTTCTTGCTGGTCAAAATAAATACCTCCAAGAAACCACTTTCTTGCCTTTGTTTGTGGAATTTTCTAAAAATTTAAAAACCAAAAAATATTCATTTCTTCCCCCCCCCCCTCATTTTGCATACCAACTTGCGCCAAATGACTTAACTATGGCGCAAGTTATGTACTGAATTTGTAAAATAAAAGGCTCTTGAAATCTAATTTCTTAGAACTTTGTGACAACTAAACACCCCCGTTTTTTGTCATCTTTGATTACTTTTTAATATCAATTCTTCGTAAGAATTAGAAAATGACGTTGAAAAATTACATTTAATTTTTCCTTAGTTAAGAAATCATTCATTTCAAGAATTCTATTTTTTGGAGTCCAATTTTTTGAATAAAAAGCATTTTATCCTTACCCATCGAAACATTTAAGCGTTATGCATTTTATAATAACGGCCTACAGCCGGAAAAAGTATTCACAAGAAATGTGGTATTTATTAAAATTTAAAAGCATTTTCCGAAATAGTAACAAAAGTATTTACGCATTTTTAACGTAGGCGTCGTTTCTTGTGCCTTGCATTTCTTGCAGGCCAAAATCCCTACAAGAAACTTTCTAGTGAAAATTTCTTGCAACCAGTTACCTCCACCCGAAACACTGCATATTCGCGATTTTTGATTAAGTCACCTCTAATAATTTGATGGCAACAAAATTTGCAGTGATCCGAACGGTGCAGACGGATCCGCCGTGATTTGGGAACCTTACGACCCACTGACGCATCCCTACATGAAGCTCGACCGTCACGACAAGATGGTTTACGACGCCCCGAACCACTGGGTGGGCAACTCGGACGAGCTCTTTGTCGACTGGACTCCCCCCGTGGACCCGTCCCCCACTCCAACCATGTATTTCTACGAATGGATTCGAACTTCAAGTTTATTTAAAGATTTCTAAACCAAAAATTGTACATTTAAACTCTGTCTTAACGTAAACTTGAAGTTGGAATTCGAAATAAATTACATTTCTAACCAGTCTTGGTGTTTCATTTTTTGTAAAATGCATGCATAATTAATTAGTGATCCACCAACGGGATCAACCACACCGCCACCGACGGGACCCACCACACCACCACCAACGGGATCAACCACACCGCCACCGACGGGACCCACCACACCACCACCAACGGGATCAACCACACCGCCACCGACGGGACCCACCACACCACCACCAACGGGACCCACCACACCGCCACCGACGGGACCCACCACACCACCACCAACGGGATCAACCACACCGCCACCGACGGGACCCACCACACCACCACCAACGGGATCAACCACACCGCCACCGACGGGACCCACCACACCACCACCAACGGGACCCACCACACCGCCACCAACCACACCGCCAGCTACTGGACAACCAACGACGACGACGACGACACAACCAACCCCAACAACAACCGAACCTACGACAACGACATCGTCTGGATTGGCAACGAATGTCAGCGTCCTTGTCCTTTTCATTGTTGCGCTTTTTTCCGTATTTTTTAAGCCTTAATTTAAAAAAAACACAAATTAATTATTCAGTGTGCAAAATGAATTTTAAAAGTCGTCGAAAGAGATCCATGCAGTTTTATTGTTTCTGCATACAAATATTGAAATAAAATGGGTGAAAGTGGTCCACTGGCAAAAACATAAATGGCATTTCATCACGTCTGCATCCACAAAATGTTTGGTTGCGACATATTTTTTTGCAAAATTACATAATTACATGTTCAAAAAAGATTATTTCGCAGAGATATTTATTGTAAAAACCTACAGTGCAGACTAGAGGTGAGCTGGATATCCATTTTTTTGGATAATGCATGGCCCGATCCAATCCAACTGGATTTGGATGAATTGGATCTGAAATTTTTTGGGCCAAATGGATTTGGATGGATTGGATCTGAAATTTTTTGGGCCAAATGGATTTGGATGGATTGGATCTGAAATCTTTTGGGCCAAATGGATTTGGATGGATTGGATCTGAAATTTTTGGGGTGAAATGGATTTGGATGAACAGGATCTGGGTGGATTGGATTTGGTCGAATTGGATAAATTTCGTCACCATAAAGAATATCAGGAAGTGTTCTTTTTAACACTCCGATCTCATCCTAACATTAACTGGGCCCTACTTTTGTTGCATGGAACACACTGTGACACGTATACAGTCCAATCAGATTTATTCCGAACACTAACCATGAGTTTATATATATAATTCTTTGGATAATTCATGCCCTGATCCGATCCAACTGGATTTGGATGAATTGGATCTGAAATTTTTTGGGCCAAATGGATTTGGATGGATTGGATCTGAAATTTTTTGGGCCAAATGGATTTGGATGGATTGGATCTGAAATTTTTTGGGCCAAATGGATTTGGATGGATTGGATCTGAAATTTTTTGGGCCAAATGGATTTGGATGGATTGGATCTGAAATTTTTTGGGCTAAATGGATTTGGATGGATTGGATCTGAAATGTTTTGGGCCAAATGGATTTGGATGGATTGGATCTGAAATTTTTTGGGCCAAATGGATTTGGATGGATTGGATCTGAAATTTTTTGGGCCAAATGGATTTGGATGGATTGGATCTGAAATTTTTTGGGCCAAATGGATTTGGATGGATTGGATCTGAAATTTTTTGGGCTAAATGGATTTGGATGGATTGGATCTGAAATGTTTTGGGCCAAATGGATTTGGATGGATTGGATCTGAAATTTTTTGGGCCAAATGGATTTGGATGGATTGGATCTCAAAAAATGACGATCCAGCTCACCTCTAGTGCAGACTCCATATAGCCCGAGTCAGGGACAGAGTCCCTGACTCCTCCAGGGTCACTCTGGTTAAAATTTGCTCAGTTTTAGCTTCATATCCTTTCGTGAGAAGCCATTAGGTATCACCGTGCCGGATTTCATGTTTTTAAAGTAATTTCTAAAAATCGGTATGGGTTACCCCATAGGGTCGCTCCAGATAAGAATTTTACCAATTTTATGTCATATTCTTCTATTAATACCCATTAGCAACCTATCTACCAAATTTCAGCTTGTTATAACGATTTTGAAAAATCGGTATGGGTCACCCCATAGGGTCCCTCAAGATGAAAATTTTTCCAACTTTTAGTCATTTTCATCTATTAGGAGCCATTAGCAACCTCTGTACCAAATTTCAGCCTTCTACGACAATTTTGAACTTTTGGTGCACAATACCCCACCCACCTAGATGACCCCCACTGGTCAACCACTTGACCGATTTCGCCCATCTTCGAACTCGTTTCCTAACTTTGCCCTATATGCATATGGTAAAAATTTCAAGTCAATCGGTTCAGCCGTTTTGGCTCTATCGTGCCGGACAGACGGACGGACGGACGGACGGACATGACGGTTCCATAAGCCCTGACTCGGGCTAAAAAGCGTAACAATTTTGATCTGCAATTATTTTTATTTGGTAGCTTAAAATTTTTAATGTTTGTATCGTTTGACATGAGCAATTTTTTTGAGTAGACTTGAGATTTTGCCAATAATTTTTGCAAATATGCATTTATTTTTGCAAATAGATAGTATACGCATTTTTATTTTTTATTTCAAAAATTGCAGAATTAATTTTGGTTAATTATTTTAGTACGTGTAAATCCCACAAATAGTCACGACACAGAATAGGTTGTCCTGTTAAGTAAGAAAAAAATGATGAGATAAGATGATAACGGTTGCAGGATAAGCACTGACAAGTTCTCACCCCGAGATAAGTGTAGGTCGCGTACATATCAGAATCCGCGTCCCAGCAGCACTTCATCCCAGAGTGGAAACCACCCCCAATGTGCTCCCCCAACACCACGTGACCCACAAATTTGTACCTGCTCAAAATAATCAAAGGAAATTCAGACAAAATTTCAACATGAATTGGCAAAATCATGCTTTTCATAGTTATACAAGAACTCTGAAATCTGAAGTAAAATTTGTAAAATTTCTTTAAATTAGTAACTACAATTTTGGCGTCGATAAACATTTTGCGTGTCTTTTGCATTTTCGGGTAAGAAAATGCGGATTCGCAAATTTGCAAAAAAAGAATAGTACAAACATATTTATTAAAGACACAAAACCGTACTTCATATTTACATTTACCAAATATTTGCTTGCGTATTTAGCATGAGAATAGTCACGATATAATTAATATTTGTCACAAAAATTTAATTTTTTTATATTTTTTCCCAAATTTTAGCTTTTAATACAATGTTCTAAGTTGTTTGTGACTGACCTTCCTGACGAATTGGACATGTCTTTCTTGACCCTGGCGACACATTCTTTCGATACATGCTCCACCCAATCTTCAGCCTCTACAAAATCGTATGTTTTCCTGGTTGCGAAAAATTCTTCTAAAAAGGCCTTCAAAATTGCACGGACGGCTTCGGCGGAAAAGCGCTCGTGGAAGGCGGGTCGCATCTGGTAACCGAGTGCGGTCAGGTCAGCGAGCACTTGAGGCGACAGGGTCGAATTTGCGGGTGGTTCAACCTCCACAGTCACAGCTTTTCCCTACAAAAAAAAACAAAACCGAAAGTCAACCTTGAAGTCAATTTTTTTGACAGGAAAAAGTCAGAATTTATGAAAAATATTGAAAAATTATGAGAAAATTTACTATATATAATAAATTCCATAATTTGCAAAAAAGTAACCTTCAAATTTATAAACATATCTCGAGACACACTCAAATGCCTAATATCTGTAAATTACAATTTTCGAATTTTTTAAATATAATTTTTTACATGAATTTTTTTACATGTGCAAGTAAAAGTTGAATTTTTAAAGTAGGAGAAGTAACAAATTTTTTTATAAATTGAATACTTTATTTGCGGAAACTTTGTAAGGTCCATAATTTATAAATACAATTATCCCAGAATTTAAAAAAATATTTCCACAAAATTAAATTACAATTTTCCAATTTTGTTTGCAAACCAGAATTTTTAACTTAACCTAAAACTGGGGTGACCCACCCTGTTGGCTGCACTGCCCCACTGACCACCCCCACTACCCGACACCCCATGACTTATACTCCGCTCATCACTTTGACTCTTTTCACGATCACCGCGTTCCATACTGGAACGTAAAATGGGTTGAAAGTCGGACATTTCCAAAATTTTCCAAAATTTCAAAAAGTTTCCAAATTTCTAATTCTTGTCACAAAAACGGAGAAAATACTTCGAAAATCTAAACCACTAGACGAAACAAATCCAATCTAATCAAAGCGAGGAAAAAGTATGGCTTAATTGACTACTCTACTTTCACCTGGCTTAAAAAATAGGTGGAAAATCAGACATTATTCCCATTTCTAAAATTTCCAAAATTTCCAAAATCCAAATATTTATTTCGCTCTATAAAAACCTCGAAAGTAATTCAAAATTTAAACCAGCGACGAGACAAATCAAACTCAGGTGACTGTATTGATTAATTGATTGATCCAACTTTCACCTGAAATGGAAACAACACAACAAAAATCGACCCAAAAAGTTGCATGCATTTCTTTCAAGTCGAATTTTAGTCGGTCGGTGATCCGTTATACAATTTACAAGAACTTTTTTTAGTCAAACTTCCACAAAAAATTGACCAATCTCGTTTTGTCTTTGACGTGTCTGGCTTTGTAAAATTTTCATGAAAATCAAATCGAAAACTGCAGAATTAAGACGCATCGTTGTTTTTCAAGGGTGATTATTTCACTTTCAGACATATGTATTTGCATAACTGTTGCCCATGTTATGAAAGAACATTATGCGAATGAGATGACATAATCAGTGACATTTAAGGATGATAATAAATATTTTAATTATCCGTGCAGTTTTTCATGAAATTTGTTGGCAACACGTCAGTCGAAAAAAAACGACGAAATCGCATGAACATGGTCGTTCTTCAATTCTAGGAATCGAATGGTAAATAAACTAATCCTAAGATCCGCCTAAAATGGATGTAAAATTAAAATTTAAAAAATACAAAAAAATTTGAATTAAAAAATTATCCCCATAAATCGGAGATCATGGTTTGTAAATTTCTTAAAATTTTCGAGGGCAAAAAGACAGAAAAAGCACATATTTAGATTTCTGGTGTTTCATTTATTGTGCTTTCGTAAAGTTGAGACTACTTAAATTAAATTAAATTACGGTAACTATTAACTAACCTTTTAACTAACCTAAATGTGAGAATTCTCAAGTGCATAAGCATACGAAAACTACAATATTTTAATATTTTTAACCTTTGCAAAAGTCTCTTGTTAAAATAAATTCAAATCTAATCTAGATTAATTATTTATATAACATAATAATATTTAAAATGATCTTAAATCAACATTTACATATACATACATTTAAAAAATGTTTCCAAAATATGTATTCTAGCGTATTTATTAAATATGTCAAACTTGTAAAATTGTGTGAATGCATGTATTTGTGGTGTTGTGCTAATTTGATTTTACTTGACATTTTTGATAAAATTTCAAGTTTGTACTCCGTTTTTTAAAAATGTTGTTTGACATAATCCAAACTTACAATTGCTGTTTGACTCATCATGTCAAGAAAATGAAATTTGACAGGACGGTGTTTTCTTATTTTTTTTTTAAATATTTTAAACCTTAAGGAATTTTCTGCATCTTAGATGATGCCTTATTATCAACAAAATTTACGAAATCAATTCAATTTCAAAATTTATATATTTTTTAAATCTCTTATTACCATCTAATTTACGAGATATGCGAAGATTGACGTGGCAAGCTTTTAATACGCACAATAAGTAGCAATAAATATTTAAAATAATTACAAATCAACGTATTTATAAAGCTATTATTCTCCTACTAATCCTAGGCGATATTTTTTTGCAAATTGTCAAACTTTCACACCGGTGGTTAAAAATTTGGAACAATAAACAAATTGTTATAACTGACAATGAGATCCACTCATGTTTGGTGAATTTAAAAGTCTTCTAAAAAGTTTTGATCCCTTCTTGATACACCTGATTTTTAAAATATTTACAAATCCACATATTATTTAAACATGTTTCCACTTAACGAGTTCATGCAGATAATTCAAATCGATGCAGCATTTAATCACGTACATATGTAAATAAGTTGGAGTTTAATTGATCAGGAATCCAAAATGGAGGCGATCATCTTCAACTAAACCGCTTATCAAAGGGAGCAAAAGGGTGGGGACGTTTGCCTCTTCTTCGTCCCCTGGAAAACCATCAGTTTGGATTTGGCGTCATTTTTCGCCCCACTTTTACCCCCCGTGACGCTGCCAACTGGCGAATCTGATTTGGTCGTGGCAACGTTTGTGTCCGTGATGGAGGCGGGCGCAAGGGGGACGGGGCTGGCGTTTGAGGGGGGATTTTTTCCCTGACGCCAAGTGGCCAGCATCTTGCTCACGGAGAACTTGCGCTTGGGTGGGGGCACGTTCGTCGCGATGAGTGAGGTGATCAGCGAGTGGAAGCTGGAATAAACTTGGGGTGAGTTGTCGGCCACGGACAGCTCGTAAAATTGACACCCGAACCTGCGACAAGAAGGGAATGAAAGGAAAATTTGGTTAGCCATTTAATTTCCTTTGCAAAATTAAGGGTTTTTCCGATAGAATAATCAAAAGTGCAAGAATGTGGCTTAGTTTTTTTAGTATAAAAATCTAACTATTTTTCTGAATATTTCTGATTTTTGGACAAATCTAAAAAATCTTGCAGGGCTTGCAACATAACTGCAATTCTAAGAAATAAAGCCCAAAATCTTGTCCTGATTGAATATCTGGATTGGATTTTTTTTTGGAAATCAAACTCCAGAAATCTGGCCCAATTAAAAACCCTCAGTTTTTGGAAATTAAAAGTTTTAATTTAAAACCCTAAAATCTGACCCTGTTTTCTGAAAAATTCCGATTTTATTTGACAAAAAGCAAAAATCTGTCCAGGTTTACAACATAAATGCAGTTTTTAGAAATAAAACCCAAAATTTCAGCCCAGTTTTCCAATTAAAAAGTCACGATTAAAAAAAATCAAACTTAAGAAATCTGTCCCGGTTTAAGCCTCCTTGTTTTTGTATCAAAAGCCAAAAAGTAACTCTTGTTTTTAAAAAAAAAATATACTTTCTAAAAGCCGTTAAAACTATGTCATTCATATTATTTCGTACTGTTCTGAAGCTGCGATGCCCTCCAATGTGGTCACCCTTCTGAGATGGACGAGATCAGATTTGTTCGCAATGAGGGCGACGTGCACGGGAAGGCGTTGTTTCCCAGTCCCCTGCGCGGAAGAGGACGACGAATAGGTCGGGGCGCTATCAGTGGAGGGCGATTTGTAGATGTTGTGCACCTTCAGAATGTCGCGGAGCGCTTGGGTCGCGGTGTCAAAGGTGCTCTTTTCCGTTATGGAGTAGACGATGATGAACCCGTCGGCCCGGTGGATCTCTTCGAGGGGAATGCTTTTCCGCTCAGTGACCTCAGCCCCGGAGACGAAGGAGGTCGAAATGTCCACGATCTCGATGTTCACGGAATGCTCGCTACTAACGGCGAGGGTTTGACGGTAGAGCAGATCTATCGAGAGAGAAATGCTTTAAGAAATTGTCATATTTTTTCTTAGGTGAAGGAAAAGTAACCATAAGGTGATCATGTTAAAAGATCACCATGGTTACGGCGAAGCCTAGGTATTCAATCAGCTGCAACTTTGAAAAGGTCGCACTGAGATTTCGCCCAAACCGTTCGTTGCATGGAAAACATGCTGAAACAAAAAAACCAGAGAATTCTGTTTTACAGATACGTTCTTTTTATTTTTTCAAAAATTCTAATTCCTTCAGGTAGAAAGTCCGATGCCTAAAATTTCAAATCCATTTCTTGGCATCAAGGAAGTGTTTCCGACCGGGGGCTTGTCATTTTTATTATTCTCCAGGATAATACGCAAATTGTAAGCCTTTGTTCGACTTAATCGGATCAAAACTGACGGAATTAGAGCTTTTTGAAATATTTGCATTAGGCAACCTATTTACGTGTTAACGGGGCATTATAGTTTGCTCTGGCCGCTCTATCAGCCAATACAGTCTCTCGCTCAATATTTCTCCCGTATGTTACCCCATGCATTATTTTTTGCACAGGTTTTTGATCTTGTAATTCGAAAACCGAGATTAAATGTGCACTCAAAAATGTGAGACTTGATGTATTACAACTATTGATAGTTGCGCAACAAGGGAGCATGCCCTTTAAGGAATTGATATGCTACTTTTATTTATATTAATCAATTAATCTCGAGGAAAACAAAATTTTGATGGAAATTGATATTGGTCATTTAATATAAATAAAAGTAGCATATCAATTCCTTAAAGGGCATGCTCCCTTGTTGCGCAACTATCAATAGTTGTAATACATCAAGTCTCACATTTTTGAGTGCACATTTAATCTCGGTTTTCGAATTACAAGATAAACATTTTGCAATTTTTCCTGATTCGTCTCAACTCGTCATAGAGTATGTGTGGTGGGAAGCCACCACCACACATACTCTTCCCATTGGAAACCACTAAAAACATAAACAACTCCAAAAACTTTTTGCAGTTTTTTTCAAAAAATTCAAAATTCCCACTGAAACTTGTGAACTTTTTACCCCACCGAGTTCATCAGTTTCGCCACTATGTGATTTATGAGGATTGGTTTAACATAAAATATTGTCAACTCTTAAGTTACTGGTTGCTAACGTGCGGTGATAGTTTATTCAGCATCGCTATTCAATACTCAACATGTCCAATGTTGCTAGACAATCGAATTACGTTATTATTAGATCGCTAAGTGTCAAGGCATCCTTGACAGAACAGAACAATCCTTAAAATTTTGAAACTGGGGGATTAAATTGGCATGCCACGCATCCACACACACTGCGGAATTAAATTGGTATGCCAAGCGTCCACAAACAGGAGAATTAACAACGTTTAAGATTTTATAATTGAATATGATTTTATGCATAAAAGTTCACAAATCACTAAAAATAATTAAATAAATAAATTTTAAAAAACAAACTTAGGTGAAGGACGCGCTTAAAATATTAAAACAAGAAGCATTAAAAAATGTCATAAATCGCTTAATATTTATTAACTTTTACTTCACCGGGGGCCCAACTGTTAAATTTTCAAAGCAATGATAATCAATAATAAATGTAGCTAAACCAACGACTTGATTAAATATGAAGGGCAGCATTACAGAAGTTATTAAAAATACGCCAGAACATGAGCAAATTTCCTCTATAAGAGGTGTCGCGATTTATTGAAAGATAATCATTCAAATCTTGCAAGTTTAATATACAAATACATATTACGCATTTCGTATAATTGTTCCAAATCCTTGAAAGTATACCTTTTTTCCTGTGTTAGTTGGGCCCCCGGTGAAGTAAAAGTTAGTAAATATTAAGCGATTTATGACATTTTTTAATGCTTCTTGTTTTAATATTTTAAGCGCGTCCTTCACCTAAGTTTGTTTTTTAAAATTTATTTATTTAATTTTTGATTTATTCGTGCATCGTTTCTGGCGGGTTTGCTGCATTTCTTGCACTCTAAAGCAAGAAATGCGGGGTGCAAGAAAGTGCAAGAAATATGCGCCGTATGAAGAATAGCGGCGGGGCGTCGTTTCTAGCGTCTTGTATTTCTCGCAAGTCAAAATATTTAGTTGAAACCACTGGGATTTTCTAAAGAGTTAAAACCAACAAAAATTAATTTTTTATTCCCTCTCATTTTGTATACCAACTTGCGCCATATGGCTTAAGTATGGCACAAGTTAGTAAATTTGTGAAATAAAAGGGTCATAAAATTAAAATAAATAAACATTTTTTGGAACTTTGTGAAAACTATATAAACCTTCATCCATGATATGAATGCATATCACATAAATCCTGCTTTATACAGATGCAATCAGGATATCAATCTTTGACTACCTTTTAATATAACTCCTTCCATAAAATTACAAAGTGACGTTGAAAAATTACATTTAATTTTTCCCTAGTTAAGAAATACTTCATCATTTCGAGGATTCTATTTCTTGGAGTCCAATTTTTTAATAAAAAGGATGTCGTCCTAAATCATCCAAACATTGACAGACTTTATGCATTTTATAATAATAACCGAAAAACCAATTTACAAAAGATCAGTATTTCTGAAAACCTAGAAATATATGAAATTTGTTTCTTTTTTTTAGAAAAAGCTGCAAAAATATTTACACATTTTTAACGTAGGCGTAGTTTCTTGCGCATCGCATTTCTTGCAGAAAGTACGTGGAGAAACCACTTTCTTTCCGTTATTTATTCCTTGCAGGCTGTTACTTGCTCGAAAAAGTGGTCATAAATTTTGGAGAGAAAAGTGTACAAAATTTGTATTCAAAAATAGAAATTTCATATAAAAAGGTAAATATTTTAAGACAAATCTGTATCAGTTTGGTTAGAAAATAGTGCAACAAAGTTAACTATTTAGCTATTTTTTTTACCCGTGTTGGACTTGTACTCGCCGATGTATCTTCGCGTCAGGAAGCGCACGGTTAAGGCTGAATTAGTTTAAAATAAAATTAGCAAGATTATTATTCCCGTTATAATTTGACTTGATGAAAGGCTAGTTAGTTAAGTTAATATGCAAATAATTTAAATATTCCACAATTTGCGCAGATTTCCACCTGATTTTCCGACGTCGTGCTCTCCAAAGACGGCAATTCTAAGTTTGCCGATGGTTATGGTGTGTTTGCCTCCCCCTTTCTCGTCTCCTGAGTGTCGGTACATCCCAATTTTTTTAAAACGGTGTCGATTAATTAATATGGAAATTTTCCCTTGGGTTCACCAACCACAACTCGGAAGTTTATGAAAAATTTGATAGTAATTAGATTCCGAGAAAAGTGAGACTTTTTTTAAGGACGAGACGTTCTGCTTTCTTCCAACGATACCTGAACACTGAGGAGAAAGTTGGGCTGCCAGAGTGATAAATATGCAATCATCTCCAGAGAGGAGAAAGGATACCCGGGTATTAGGATGGGTACCCGGACTGTGTTTATACCGTATTGGATGAGGCAAATTGAGACTACGAGCCAAATTCACTATTTTTTGGTATACGTGGTTCAGATATTGTTGAAAAGTGGGGAATTTGAGAATAAGCGAGAGTCGGCTACGGTGAGTTTATTTATTACAAGAGAATCCACAGGTTAGGAAATTTACAATATTTTCGTCCCTCAATTTTTTTAGTCTGTCTAATCATCCTAAATTTTCTTGAGTATCCAACGTATCTTTTTTTTGATTGAGTGAAAGTAGTAAAATTTTCTTAGTGAGAGCAATGTTTCGGTTCTTGCGGGTTTGCTACGTTTTTTGCAAAGCAAGAAATTCAAGGTACAAGAAAGTGCAAGAAATATGCACCAGTTAGTAACGCGCAGTGCGAACTATGTCGGCGTGGCGTGGTTTCTTGAGCCTTGAATTTCTTCCAGGTCAAAATATTTACCTGCAAGAAACCACTTTCTTTCTTGCCCTTATTTTCTTGCAAGTGATCACTCGCACCCAAAACACTAAATCGTGAGAAGGAAATGCTACATAATAATATGCAAAATGCAGCTGCATAAAACTCTACCACCAAGACCATCTAAGGAAGTGACGATGTATAAATAAATTTCTATTTAATTTTGCTTTGTCGGACTTAATGTTACGCAATATTTGCAAAAACTAATCTTATCAAAATTTATTGTTCAAAACTTACTCATATTCTACACTGTGAAATAGTGAGATAATTATCCAAATTTACGCAGACTTCGCGTTTCATGGGTTATTTTAATTTCTGAACTGACACGACTATCAAAATGATGACATGACACTGATGTAATCCTTGACCTGTGACATTTCCTGGAGACGATTTACACTGTTACACAACTTTCTCCTTGTTTCTGTCACTGGATTGAAATGAGACTCAGAAATGTCAAAACATGCTCGAAATCCTCAAAAATTGTCAGAAGAAACTGTCAAAATACGAGTGCAATAATTTTTACTACGCATTTCCATCCGAGTTTTAACCTTATTAATTAATCAATAATTTTACCTGCCGGGTTAATTGTTTCGCTTATGCAAAACCTGCCAACGCGAAAATATTTGCATTCACTTTTTTGCATTATGTAAAGTTCCTGGAGTGACATGTTTATGGTTTTGGTAAATTTAGCGTTAATTGTGGCCAAGTGATACATACGTAAGTAATTACTTAACAGTAAAACTGTCAACTTTGTTTGACTACATAATCGTACCTACAATTTAGCAGTCTTCTTGACAATCCAGAGTGGAAATACACAATTGTTCTCATAATTAGTGACTGACTGTCCACTTAAATATTTGCACATCTACTTCATTATTGGTAGTGACATTGATTGCAAATTTCGCACTAATTGGAGTCTTCTCTCTTGAGCAGGTGGAGAAAGAAAGTAAAGTAAAATAAATATTGGCATGTACTTATGTACACATATGCAATCAGACATCTCCACGATATTCGGGCATAATGGATTTTATTTGAAAATTGCTAGCATTCAATGACCTACTGTCACCTTGATCCGGCATAAATTTAAAGACTTTTTTAAAATTTTATTTCGTATTATGCAAAGATATTATTGTTTAACTCGGTTTGATATGAACTTTGTCCAGTAATTCAGTGTTTCGGTCACCGTTGGAAAGAAATAACTGCAAGAAAGCGTTTTTTCAACTTGCGTAACATGAAGTATTCTCGTAACATGAACATCAAGTCAGACAAGGAAAAATTAAATAGCGTATTAATTGAACGTTCTTTAGATGGTTTTATGAGTGCATTTGATAAATTCTGACTCACAAAGGAACCTCTTTTCAACCTACGTCGGGATTTTCTAATGACTTATATAAAAAATCAAGACAAAAATTAGGAATCGTGCGGAACTTATCTTTCCTGTAAGAAAAATATAGGGGACAAAGTTCAATTTTCGAGTTAATTTTCTCTCGATTTCCTCCACGGGGCGAAAAACAAGGCGGGCGCGTGACCTTTGCCCCCAATATTTTTCTTCAAAGAGGCCATTCAACGGAAAGATAAGTTCCACCTGATTCATAATTTTGGGCTTGATTTTTTGATATCACTCGCTAGAAAATCGCGGTGTAGGTTGAAAAAAGACTCCATTATTGTCAGTGCTTCGGGTGCAAGTAATCACTTGCAAGAAATAACGGGAAGAAAGAGGTCTTTTGCAGACATTTTGACCTGAAAGAAATGCAAAGCAAGAAACGACGCCTACGTCAAAAATGTGTAAATCAATTGTTACTTTTTCTAAAAAGAATACAAATTTCACATACTTCTAAATTTTAATAAAAACCGATTTTTTGCAAATGTTTCGATGAGTAAGAACGTAATACTTTTTATTGAAAATATTGCACTCCAAAAAATTGAATTCTCGAAAAGAAAAAGGATTTCTTAACTAGGAAAAAATTAAATGTAATTTTTCAACGTCACTTTGTAATTTTATAAGAAGATTTATATTAAAAAGTAATGAAAGATGAATACGCTGTGAAAACCATTACCTTTTTATCCTTCCTCACAATTCGACACGTGAAGTCACAATTTCTCAAAATTCTTCCCTTCCGCCGCCGTTGAAGAAAAATAAGAGTTCGAAACAATTTGGATAACACCTCTACGAAGTGGTTTCCTCCTCCCTTTTTCCTATGACGAATACAGGAACGTGTATAAAGTGGTATACATTCATGGATGAAGGAAGGTGTACAGTTTTCACAAAGTTCCAAGAAATGTTTATTTATTTTAATTTTATAACCCTGCAAATTTACTAACTTGCGCCATAGTTAAGCCATGTGGCGCAAGTTGGAATGCAAAATAAATTTAGATTTTTTGGTTTTAAAATTTTTAGAAAATCACAGAAACAACCAAAAATTTACTGTTTCATACAAAATTTCTATTTCCGGACACAAATTTTGTACACTTTTCTCTCAAAAATTTGTGTTTCGGCTAATTGTAAGTAACTACATGCACGAAATAACTGGAAGAAAGTGGTTTCTTGCAGGGATTTATTTTGACCTGCAAGAAATGCACGGCGCAAGAAACAACGCCGCCGCTAAACTTTTTACGGCGCGTGGCTGGATAGCGCATATTTCTTGCACTTTCTCCTGCAGTTTCTTGCACCTCACATTTCTTGCTTAACAGTGCAAGAAATGTACCAAAGCAGGAATATTAAATCCATAGGATTTTTTAAAATCATAAAAAATTGAATCTCCTCAATTTTTAGTAATTTTTTATTTATGCAATTTTGAGTTATTCAAGTTATTAAAATATTTAGCCGTGCTTAATTTAATGGTTTTTTGTGGTGGTAAATTGCTTTAGCGAATTTGTAAAGTAAAAAGATGAGTGAAATCTGTTGGATTAAAGAGAAAAGGTTCTTCTGGATGATCAGATCTTCAATTTTAATTTTATCGTATGTTTTAATGAAATTTCGAGTTAAATTCTGGCTTGTCAATCATTTTTTCTACATTTTTTTTATAAAAATGGGACGAACCTCAGGCTTTGAATGAAGGTTTTCCAGAAAACCATGCTTCATTTACGAATTGCAAGTGTTGTTCACTTTGCTTTAAGCAAACTCTGCGCTCGGAAAATTTGACGTCATTTATTAAATATTTGTTGTTTGTACTCTTATTCGGCAATCTAATGCAGTCCCATTTAAGTCGAGGCGTGGGTATCTCTAAAAATGACAGCACCACAAGTTTTGCAAAAAAAACTGCGACACGCGTTTCTAATGTTTATATGATGCATAAGATATTTTGCAAATCAGTGGAAACTTAATTATCAAAAGTTTTCCAATTTTATACAGAAATTGGTATATTTATTTATTCTCAAAAAGCATCTTATGTCCTGGTGAAAAGTTGAGACAAAAGGTAGCACAGATTCTCAACCTGCCTCATTCACTTCTCTCACTGGTGAGGATGGGGCAAAACGAGATTTTTGCATTTCGTAAGGATATCAAAGCATAAATGAGTCCCAGAGTTAATTTCATGCTCACAAATACATACATGAAAAAATACATAAAATTCCTGACATTAATTAATTTTGATTGACTAATCCGAAGTACAAAATAAGTAAATCGCCACGAGATAAGTTCTCAGCCTGCCTCGTCCACTGCTGAATAGATATGTAATGAGGCAAAATGAGATTTCTGCGTTGCAATTATCCTGGATTTACTCTGAGCTTCAAGCTTCAATATTAAAACGAAATTGAGTCCTGAATTAATTTTCGTACTTGTAAGAACTGATTTTGTAATAAGTATCAAGCATACATGAAAGACGTCCGTACCTACTAACACAGAGATGGCTGACTCCTTCATAAAATAACTTTTGACGCTTAACAATCACAAATTTCATCTTTAGCTGCACTAATCATTAATTTTCGAATTTAAAGACAAGATTATTTTCACATTTATATACTTGAAGCACAAAATCTATTTTTGGCTTTACAATTTTCATAACCAAACCGTAGACGATATCACAACGAAATCAAGTACACAGTTAATTTTCAAACTTGCAAGAACCGATTTTGCATTTTTGAACGACGCATTTACACAAATACAGTGTTTCGGGTGGGAGTAACCACTTACAAGAAATAACGGGAAGAAAGCGGTTTCTTGCAGACATTTTGACCTGCAAGAAATGCATAAAACTACTCCTATACGTCAAAAATGTGTAAATACTTTTGTTGTTTGTTACTTTTTCTAAAAACCACAAATTTCATGTATTTCCAAATTTTCATAAATTCTAATCTTTTATAAACCGACTTTTATTATAAAATTCGTGAAGTTTTACAATCTTTCACGAAATACTTTTTATTGAAAAATTTGACTCCAAAAAAATAGAATTCCCGAAATTAGGAAGGATTTCTTACCTGTTTTTGTTAGGTTTTTTGACCTGCAAGAAATACAAGGCGCAAGAAACTACCCTTTATGTATTTTCTGAAGGAGACAATATGAGATTTCTGCGTTACAACTCTTCTCATGAATTTACACAGATAATACAGATAATACCAAACCGAAATTTAATCGCAAGAACTGATTTTGTCTCGAATAAATATCAATATAAAATTTTTACAGATTTTTGCATAAAGCAATAAATAGATTTATTTCGTGTCGTTTTTATTCTTCACTTTTACTTTATTCTACTGTTTTTCTTGTAAAATAATTAATAATTACCTCAGCCCCCTTATTCGTACAAACAAATAAATCATCCGGCCTCGTCAACTGCTAAACAGATATGTATTGTAATGAGCAAAATGAGATAAAATGAGATTTCTGCGTTACATTCTTCTCATGAATTTACCCTCAACTTAAAGCTCGGCATAAGATACATAATATTAAACGAAATTTAGTCCGTAATTAATTTTCATACCTGTAAGAACTAATTTGGTCTCAAATTAGTATCAAGCATAATACATGAAGGATCTATGGACTTATTAACACTAATTGACTCCTTCATAAATTAACTTTTGACGGTTACTTACAAGTTTCAGTTTGCAACCTTTTTCCTGTTATCGTATTATGTAAATGAAACTTTACTAATCATCCATTTTAATAAATAAATCATTTACCCATCAATTTTCGAATTCAATGACAAGATTTTTTCCACATTATTAGCACGAAATTTATTTCCTGTTGTATTTTTGACTCTACGGTAGTTTTACAATTTCCATAATCAAACACGCCTTAAGACGATATCAAACAAAACAAAATTGAGTCCAGAGTTAATTTTCATACTTATTAACAAGAACCAATATACAGAAATTTGTGTCTCCAAAATGAATATCAATTTCATTTCATCGAAATTTTATATTTAATGGGTAAATATTTAGATCCACCAATTTCTTTTAATTGGCGATTTGACAAACTTTGGTACAAAGCTTGATTGGAAAGTTGGTGAGGAATGAGGACCAAGGTTGTCCAGAGGTGAAGGTGACAGGTGGTCCGAATTTCACGCCCAGTTTATCCAACTTTCACTCGATCAAAAGTTTGACTGGGTTTAATTTAATCATTTTGTGGGCAATATTTACCACAATTATTTACATTTTATTTAACCCGAGTCTCTCCTATAATAATGTACGACAAATAAAATACCCCCAAAAGTTGACAAAATTGTGCACTTTCCAAATTTACTGCGCGTTTTCTCCTCTTCGGATGCAAATATCTCTGCCAAACCTGTGCATTGGGAGATCGTGTCTTTTGGAAATTTCATACTAATTAAATTTGTGATCGATTGACCCAAGTTTCGCCAAAATTTAGAGCATACATTGAGATACCTCCATTGTTAATTATCATCTAAAGTGAAAGTCCGATCCGGATTTGTCATGGATCTTCTTTGTTTATTTTTCTTACCGTCTCGCTTATGTATCATTACTAGTTATCGTCAATCGTCAGTGCCAAAAACAGGTGGACTTTCCACTACCGTTTTTTGCGAAAGAAGGATTTCAATTGCTTCTAGTTGATCGCGAGATTTGGAGAGTATTTGTCTTTGTTATTCGGCACGGTTTGGATGACGGGGTCGTACGGGAAGGGTCTCGTCATTTTTTAGGGCGGGATTAATCTAGGACTCATCGATAGCTTATTAATCATTTCTCAGCTCTGGGAATTTATTCTAAACGACAATCAGGTAGAGCAGGTCGTTGCCAAATCAAAAAAAAATATACACACCAGATTTCGAAAGTTTTTGAAGGATGAGATCTCCAGTTTAAGCCGCCTTCAGAAAAATTGGGACGCATCGAAACTAGGTTAAAAACTCAGCGCCATTCTATTAATCAACTTACTGACTACAAATTTGCCGTCCAGAATTTTAAAATCGATTCCCAAAGTGGAGAAAAGCTTAAAAATTATGTCGACTTTCGATTTTAATGATGGCGGACCATGATCGCAAAAAATAGACCTGGTTATTGATCGCTATTTAATGGTTAGCACACTTTATGCGGGGTCCCTGCCAATTTTTGGGTTTGGTTTTTGAGGAGATTATCAAGTGTTTGAGACTCATATTTACAAAGGACTGAACTTGTCAATACGCCAAAAACACACGCTCGTTCTACCAAAGATCAAATACATTTCGTGCTTTCACATAGATTTGAAAAAATCGTGTCCTTAAAAATGGTAGATTAAAGGTCAGATATTGTTTTTCTAAAATGAGTAAAACACGATCAAAATATGAGCCCTGAATAGATATGTAACATTTAATTAAGTAAATAATTAATTGTCAAAATTTAATTTATTAAAAAATAATGAGTTAGGTTTGTGGAACTTGGGAAAATTAATAAAGATTTTTTTTCATATTTACAACAAAATTTAGAATTTTCTGAGTAACTACGGACTCAATTTTGCAAAAGTTTTCATTTAATCGTAGCATCATGATCAGATTTCAGTAATGTAAAATTTTTACGGAAATCGGGCCCACGCCAAAAATAAGATTAATATCGCATCATCCTCATCAAAGTAAACCAGCCGAATTAAGAAGTATCCAAATGATCATTATAAAATACGATAATGAGAAGAAAAGTGTCCAAATATATAATGCAAACTTTCCTTAACCGTGACGATTTGTAGAAAAATTGCAAAATCAAGCAAATCTATAAATCGTATCAGTTAGCATCTCAATAATTGATTAAAAATACGATGTCATTCGCATCTTCGTCTCAGTACAAAAATCAATTTCATTATTTATTTATTTAACAGCAGTCTGCGTACCACTAGATAAAACTCTCACAAGAAATCGTCTCACTTTGCCTCACAAACCAAGATCTATATATTTCCTTGAAATACAATTACTTTCTTAACCACAAGGAATACGAGACCACTTTCTTATTACTTTCTCGACCACATACACACGTCTTGCCATTCCGACGACGCGTAATAAAACCAATACTCAACAATTTCGTCGCCAGATATGATTAGGATTGCATAATTTTGATGCTGCTTCTATGCACAAATGTATTGCCAGTTCTTTACTTCGGTCCCTTATTGCATCTCAAAGTGTCTCAATTTTCCCAAAAATCCGCATTCTACATACTAATAAAAGCCTCACTTTTCCCAACTAGTCTATACACATGATAACATCGTCTCAAGTGTATGTACATGCATACATGTTCACCACCTAATTTTCTAATTAATTGGTCAAGAATTTTAGCCTAAAATTGCATCACCTCAATTTTTGGATAATTTTGTTATAAAAATATTTTAAAAATCTCATAAGATGAAAAATACGTTCGTTTCATTTATGCGAGACAAAACCCAAAATTAAAATCTTCAAAGTCATAAAATCCGTTCCCTTCGCAACGATACGATACGTTCTCACAAAATTCGAAAGGAACCCAGACATGAAAAAAAAATTCATAAAATTGTACAAAATCTGACAAGAAACTCTTCTCACTCATCCCTCCCATCTCAATTCTCCACTAAAAACCAACTGTTTTACTTAACTATTTCCTAAAAATGGTTGGTGGGGGTGGTGGTGACGGTCCTGTCGACCCTCCAACCGCCGGCTTCGTGTTCGCCGTCGCCTACGCTATTTTTGCCCACCTCAGCGATCTCGAAGTACGGAAATTTCGACTTGTATCGAAAACATGTGCAGCAGCCGGCGGAATGATCCTGTCCCGACGGAACGGAGCGAATAAACAAGCCTACCTCAAGTTTGAGAATGAACAAGATGCAAAAAGTAAAATTGCCCGCCTCGACAAACTTCTCTCCGGAACGGCCTCGCCACGATGTCTTTTACCGAACTATGGAGCCATGGTCATCACGACGAGTTGCATGCGGTATGTCCACCCCGACGTTCCCAGCGTTTCTAGAAAAGTATGGCAGCCACCTGAAGGCCGTCGAGTTCCAGAGAATAGTGGCGACAGTGAACGATTCTGGGATAATGAATGAGGTCAAAACTATCTTTGTCAACTGTCCTAATCTATTGGAATTCGCTTTTTTTTCGTACAAGGCGATAATCGGGGCACAACAGCAGGTGGGAATTTTCCGCAAAAATAAATTGTACATGTTTCCTGATCATGTTCTTTTTTATGTGCAGCCTCACACTTTTCTGGAAGCGATGCGTTGGACACCGACTTTACATGTGAACGACTTTTCGGCGAATTTGCAACCTCTCAAGGTAACCACGTTGGTACTGCAAATTTGTCATCCCCGGTATCTCGCAGTGGTCATTGCTTCATCCCCAAGTCTGCGAAATCTGACCTTCCTCGCCCCCAATACGGGAACACGGACGGATGCGGACGTTTTAGCGGACTGGGAAAATTTCCAGGATGTGGTGAACGAGTTGGGGGGCATGAATCAGATTGAAAGCTTGGCCCTCCAGGATTGGGATCTCATCCCCAACGTTGGAATGGAGAAGTATGCAATTACATACATAAATATGTGAATTTTACTCGAAAATAATCAAATTTTTGCTAAAAATGACGTATCATTTTGATCTCCAATTGTTATTTCTTCAGTTTGAGAACGGTCAAGTTATTCGTTAGAGGAATGTCCAACGTCCCCCAGTCTCAGAGGATCACTTACACCCCCGTGTATCCCCAAGTATAAAAAATATATATCATTTCGATCGGGAACGAGTCCTTAAATTAATCCAAGTCTTCATTTTCTTAAAGGTGACCACGGTTCAGATTTATTTGCGTCTGCCACGGGATAATGTGAGAGAGAACGTTGCCATCCACCGGTTCATGAATAGATTTCCGTCCACTACCACGGTCCTTCTTCATTACCACGACGAACTCCCAGTGGCCAGAGCCGAACGTTATGAATCGTTAGAAGACGCACTTGAAGTGAGTCCAATTGTCCAAAAATATGAGCTTATTCAAAAAAAAAGAAGTACGTACTATTTACGAAATAAAACGTCAAAATCATTCTATGCTCAATTTTTAATCATATTTATTTCGTCTAAAATCGGTGAAATCTTGGCAAAGCTTATGTACACAAATGTGGCTAAAATACATATGCATACAATTTGTATAACTAGATATATGAAAAAATGTGGTCAAATCGCATCAAAATCTCCACAAAGTTTGACCATTATTCCTCATCAATTTAAAAACGACTGAACTAATTGTAAGTACTTAGCTTAAATAATTAATTGTATTTTTTAAGCACCTTGGAGGAATCATCGCCTTCTTCTACCCCACGGACTGTCTCGTAAACGAAAATGTCACAAACCTGCACATCTTCAACGTGCAAATGATTGCATTTCACCGACGAAATCTTGACTGGAAACCACTCACAAATTTCACAAAGGTTTTTCCAAAAGTGAAGGAGTTGAAAATTTCCGTAAACCACAAGGAGACATACTTCCACCGGTGAGTACTTACCATTGGGAAAAAACTCTTATGAAAATACAGTATTTTGAGCTTCGTTCTTCCCAGGACTAGAATTTCCGGGGCTAGTACGGCCACCAGTGTTTCCGGTGCAAAGTAACCACGTGCAAGAAATATCGGGGAGAAAGTGATTTCTTGCGGGTATTTATTTTGACCTGCAAGCAATGCGTGGCGCAACAAACTACGCCGCGCCGCCATACTTCATACGGCGCGTGGCTTGGTGGCGCATATGTATTTCTTGCACTTTCTCCCAGTTTCTAGCACCTCACATTTCTTGCTTTGCAGTGCAAGAAATGTGCTTCGCAAACCTGCAAGAAACGAAACACTGACAGCCACAGAAAGACATGAATCTGCATGAAAAATGCAATAGTCATGCGAAAATACGTGTTTTATGAAGAAATGAAGTCTTTCTCGCGTCAAAATACAAACAAAATACGTCACGTTCACGTTCACGTCAAAATACAAGCATTTTCATATGACTGCTGCAGATTTTCGTCTTTTTATGACTGTTTTATACAACTCGTTAGAGCTCAAAATACAGTATTTTCTCATAGTTTTTTTTACCTACATACTCCTGTTACTTACAGATTTTTGTTAAAATTTTAAATTTTCGTCATAATTTCATCTTTTTTATTCTGTCAGAATGCAATCCGTCAGGTTCAGAGTGGATGACCTGTTTCCCATTTTGAAAGAATGGAAAGAGCTGAGAGACATTGGCGTGGCGATGTCGACCTTTGGAACTGTTGAAATTGTCCAAGCGTTCAAACAGACTGAATTGATGAATCGTGAGATCATTCAGAATTTTATTCATGATTTTGATGTTGACGATCAATTATATTTTTTCTCAGAAATCCAAAATCTGACCCTCCACTTGGCCTCGGTTAACAACATCCGGAACCTCGAGAGGACAAACAACGTTAACAAAGCGGCAATGGACGCAGTGATTTTGACCGCTTCGAAGCTGCAGTCCTTCAGATTGAGTGATTTCCAGGGGGTTAGTATTTTAAGTTTTTTTTTAAATAAATAAAATACCTTGCTCATTTTGGGAATTATTTTATTACAGCATATCTTTTTAACTCGCGTGGCCCCATTTTTGCAAAACTTGACGGTGGAGAAGCAAAATTTTGATGAGCTGTCGGAGACGGGATCCACGGTGGCAAGGAATCTCAAAATAAAATTGTGATAATTGAACAGAATTTGGCTAAATTGTACCAAAATTTATTGAATCTCAAATAATCGGGTTTCACTTCAAATCAATCCTCATTAAAAGTCTGAAGCTAATTAATAAAATCCCCGATTTAAATGTATAATTTTTACCTGGAAATTCCTTCCCTTCAAGAAAAATCTGAAAATATTTGCACCTCAAAATTGCATCCATATAAAGTAATCGTTTTGTCAAAAAAAATCCCCCAAAAAATGGCACATTAAACACCCTCTAATTATCTCATCGCACTTTTGCATTCAATTTCTTATCATTATTTAGGCCGTACATGCAACTAGATTATTAGCGACCCTTAAGGTACCACAAGAGGTTGAATATTTCAATTTTTTCTGGACTTAGCAACATGATTTTTTAGAGAAAATGAGTCAAGACATGAAGTACGGCTCCGCATAACAACAAGGGCATTGGGGCATTTTTAAGAGCTCCCCGAGATGGAGGGGATGGACTTTAAGGTCATAATGGTTGTTATTTGGAATCATTATATATTTCTGCAGGGTGTATAATCGGTTTGTGGGCTCATTTGTGTCTGGTAAAGAGATGTGAACCATTTTTGTCCTCAGAAACATAAAATAATATGGAGGGGCAAGTATAGAAATGCTATTTCGAAAAGTATGGAAGACAATATGGAAATGAGACCCATTATGCTCCCTATGTAAAACTATTTCGCACGATGTGGGAGTCGTTCCACATTTGTGCTCCGTATGGTTTGGACGCTAGGACGTTTTAAAAAAAATTCATCATGTTCGACTATTTTGGCTATAAATACGTAAGTATAAGTAACAGCAAAAGGGGACATTTAGCAAAATTTAGAGTAGTATATTTTTTACAAAATTTGTATTTGAACCAAATTTCTACCTACTATAATTTCTGAGAAAATTACAATCAAAGTGAGTGGTATAATTCCTTGCCAACTCTCTTGTGGTACCTTAACTCATATATTTTTATTATTATTTATTGTCATTTTAATTACCGTCATTTGTAATGGGTTCAAATCCTCTCGAAAATCCAACATCTTTGCCAGCGCATATTTATCATCGCGGAGTTTAATTGTAGGAACGTTAATAACTCCTTTTTGGGGATGTAACCACAAAGGCCGTCGGTCAGTTGCTTCAAACAGATGAGGACTTGGTGCACCATTGCGAGGGCTTTTAGCGAATCTTGACCATTTCACTGTGTACGGCACAACCGTCCATTCCGTAGATGACATGGCGGAGAAAATACGGCTGAGCGATGATCGTGTATCGGATGAGACGCTGAATATTGGTCGAGCTCATGAGGGCAAGGGTTTCGTCAATATTAAGTGGGGAATAGTACTGATGCATTCATGCACAATCTAACTTAGATATTATGAAAAACCAGTCCAACTTTTGGTCGAGAAGTGTCTCACAGTTCTCGGTAAATTCGCCATAATCGTCTGGATTCTTGTCCTTTGAATAAAGGCGAATTCCGATCGCGATGTGCGTCCAATGATATAATTAATTGGGCTTCTCTGTCCCTTTGCATGACGCATGGACACTTTGGTTTCGGACAAAAGGTTCACGTCTTCCTTGGAGAAGACGCTAATCAGGACGGCGGACATTAATTACACACAGAAAATGGGCATAATTCTTATTTATGTAATTATTTAAACTAGCAATGCGATGGTGTGAAATGGAATATGGTTGAAATTTTGAAATTACGTACGTTGTTCATGTCAATACAACTAACGTTTCATCAAGCTGTTTGTACGATGGTCAGATTTGCCAAAATATTTTATGGCAAAGTTAAAAAATATGGGATTTTTAGCACGGGAAGGAAATTTAAGTTGAGTTTGCTTCCTCCGCATGGTAAAAATCGCCCGTTTTTTGTCCTCAAATATTTTGACTAATTCCCACCATCGCACACACTGCCGGAAGAAACATTGATTGTATTGACATGGACCATGTAATTTCAAAATTTCTACCAAATTAGTATCATGATCAGATTTCATTAATGCAAAAAATTTTCACCAAAAATAAATAAGCCTGTTGCAGGATTAATATCGCGTCATTCTCATCACAGTAAACCAGCTCAATTAAAAAGTATCCAAATGATCATTATAAATATGAAAATACGACAATGAGACGAAATGTGTCCAAACAATGCAACCTCTTCTTAATAGTGACGATTTGCAAAATCAATCTCATCAGTCAGCATCTCAATAATTGATTAAAAATACGATGTCGTTCTCAGCTTCGTCTCACTGCAAGACTCATCGTTATCATTTCAGTATTTATTTATTTATTTAGGATTAGCAATCTGCGCACGACTGGATAAAAAAGACTCTACCAAGAAATTGTCTCACAAACCAAGATCGATTTATTTCCTTGTTGCTTGTAGGAAATATTCACAATAAAAGTCTCACTTTTCCCAACAAGGCTGTGTGCATGTAAAACCCTCTCAAGTGTATGCACGCACATACATACATGTTCACCTCATCCCATGTAATTAATTGGTCAAGAATTTTAGCACAAAATTGTACCACTTAAATTTTTGCATGATTTTGTTAAAAATATATTTTTATTATAAATCCTCATAAATATGTTCGTCTCATTTATGCTAGACACGAATTTAGCCAAAATTTCTCAAAATTCTTCAAAATCATAAAATACGTTCTGTAGTCGCCGTATGTGATTTGACTAATGTGTAGTGATATTTTAATTTATTTTATCATTTGATTTCATTATTTTAATATTTTCTTGTATGAATTATGATTATGTATGAATATGGGATGATGCTTAACATTGAATTTGGACAATGAACTTGTCTCTGATTGGTTGAAAAGTTTTAACTAGTAATAACATTGAGTCTACGTGGCAGTTTTGGATACTGCATGGGTGGAAAAAAGAGACCCAAAAATCAGACCCGATTTAACTTTAGAGTGGAGAGGAGTTAGTCTCACCTCTCATATTCAATTTCGGAATTATAAACTTATTTGAATTGGTGTTAATTTGAAAACAACTAAATTTTGTACAGTGAAAACGAGAGAAGAATTACAGTGTGTCAATAAAGTCCCGTCAAATTAGCTCATTAATTTTGCTGGCTTTGAGTGTACTTATTTACAACAAGTCACCCAGTCGCCTTGCATAGTTGGAGCTGCCCCTTGGACGGAGACGCCACCCAGGTCAAGCTGAGGATCCGAGAGTGGAAATAAATAAAAAGCGCCAGAGCGCTTACACGTTCCCTTCGCAACGATACGATACGTTCTCACAAAATTCGAAAGGAACCCAGACCAAGGTTGCTAGACAACTTTAGTAATAATAATTACAAGGTTGCGACAATTGCTTCGACGATGAAAAAACTTCAATTTTCGAAAACCCTGGTACCTTGGCACCAGTGTGCGTCGCACAAACTGTCGCCCAGAAACAAACCGCACAAAAATTGTCAATACTTTGAGAAGTTCAGGGTTTCCCTGCGCGACACTAATTTTTACTTTGCATCATCGCAGCAATTTTTTAAGCAATTTCACCAGCAATCAAGAACAAGTATTTTGTTTGTTTCCTCTCATAGCAGTGAAAGCAGTTATCTCACATCAGTTGCCCCTCACCTTTTAAACCTCAGTGGACAAGAAAAAATGAAAGTTAGATATGCAGTAGTACTCTTTTCTACAACCACGGCCGCGTTCTGGCGCAAAGTTTACCTCAATCGCCCAAAAGAAGCGGAATTCATTTTGCTGATCAATGACTGGTTTGACCTCTTCAATTCAAGAACAGTCAAGGAAGCCAAAAAAACTAAGGTACCCTTTGGACTAAACTTAGCTCAACAACTAGACCTGCTAGATAGGACAGAGTCGGCGATTTTGGAGTTACGAGTAGGAGACGCCAAATATCTGTATCCTTTCCAGCGAGGCTTCTTGATCTCCATCAGCTCAATGAGAGGCCTTTTCCATGAGCTTTCTGGAAGTCATCTGCGGATAAGCTACATACTGACTCATCGTGTGAATCAAGATTTGGCCGAAAACGCCTTCAGCGTAATCAGAAAAATCGGAGCCGGACATGTCAAGCCTTCTGCCGTAGACGCAAAAAGGAGGCTCAAATTGCTGTGCCTAACGTGGGGAGCAAATACATTCAAGACCTCTTCCGTGGAAGCTGAAGATAATGAGCCATGCTTGTCAGCCAGGATGATACATTCTCTAACCACTGTGCAATCAAATGATGCTGATAATTCGTCACCAAGAATAATTCTCCCTAGGTGGAGATTAACATCAAGGACCTGAATGAAACCAATGCCGACGAAGTACTTCAATCAATGGGGATGCCAGAAAGTTGTGAACATGGAGGGAAAGAGTTTATTGCTGGATTTGTTGCCTCCAAGTTGTGCAATATTCTGCCTGGTTTGAAAGCATCACCGGAAGAAGTGGACATGCTGAATCAGAACAGCTGGGTCAAATCCTTGGGTAAAGAGCATCTCACAGTACCATCGTTGAAGTGGCTAAATTGGGTGGAATTATTAGAATCAGAGTTTAGAACATACCATCGTACTGGAGATAAATACAAGATCAACGGAAACCCTGGCGTACTGAAAGGATTCTGCGAAGCCCTATCGAACAAGTACCAAGAAATACCTGTCAAAGCTCTGGAAAAGTACATCAAGACGAGACTTTTCATTAGGATCAAGAACAGGAACAAACTAATTGTGGAGGAAAGAAGGAAAGCTGCCAAGTTGAGAGCCGATCGTTGGACTCCGTACCAGGTTCGCATCAGTACGTCTACGCCATGCGATGACGAGACGGATGAAGAATCATACTCTGATGACGACGACGAGTTAGAAGAATTTGAAAGGGAATAAGGTGGAAGATGTATTTTGTTGTCTTTTTTATTGCATCAATTTAAATAAAATGCTTTTAAATCGTTACGTCACTTCTTGTGTTAGCGTTACAAAATCTTCCAATTTTACTTTTAACATTGTGTTAGCATTACAAAATCTTCCCACTTGACTTTTAACGTTGTGTTAGCATTACAAGATCTTCCCACTTGACTTTTAACGTTGTGTTAGCATTACAAAATCTTCCAATTTTACTTTTAACATTGTGTTAGCATTGCAAAATCTTCCCACTTGACTTTTAACATTGTGTTAGCGTTACAAAATCTTCGTACTTGACTTTTAGCATTGTGTTAGCGCTACAAAATCTTCCAACTTTACTTTTAACATTGTGTTAGCGTTACAATCTCAACCTGCCTCCAATGTAGAGTGCACGATCCGCGAATCAAAAAAGCACACATCAAGTTGCAATTATTGAGATTCTACTACCATGGAATATTTTGCCGAATTAGGAGTCAAAGCTGGAGCCACACCCACTCATATTTACAAGGTGTTTAGGAAGCTGGCCCTCAAATACCACCCCGATAAGAACAAGGACCCTGCAGCAGGAGATATTTTTAAATTAATTAACCAGGCGAAGGAGTTTTTGTTGTGTCCCACCCCTGCAACGGCGAAGAAGAAGAATAAGGTTCCTCCATGTGAGATCTGCGGAAAACTGTTCAACAGCTACGCTGCGAAGTCGCAACACCGTTTCAAGCATTTACCGAAACCGAAATGTCCTGGTTGTTCGTGTCTCTTCGCAAGACCTGATTCACTGGACCGGCATCAAAGGACTTGCCGTGGTAATTCAGAATCATTGTTAATGTTTATGTTAATAAATACGTATTTAAAATTTTAAAATAATTGTTTCTTATTTTTTTATTTAAATAAAATTTATCTTATTATTGTAGGCTATAACAATTTCCTCATGTGTCCTCTGACTTGCTTTGTGAAATTGGAAAGACTAGTGGCGACCAATTTACCAACTGCGCCACAAAAAATGATTGCAATCGCGGTGAATAGGCCAACGATTCGACGACGACTGGCCCGTAAAAAGCTGCCCAGAAAATGTCTCCTTGCAATCAAAGCTCGGATCTCCACGAGCCCAATACGACCGTGGAACCGACTTAAGATTAGGATACAAAAAAAATAATCCCTTCTACGCCTTTTGGCTAAGATCAAAGTGTAGTACCCCCCCCCCCCCCGCCGCCCCTCGTCCCCACCGCAAGATGGATTCTCGTGCCCCCACCCGTGTTAGTGATACCCTCACAGTTCTCCACCCACCTTCCTCATCTTGGCCGTGCACAGAAGATTCGTGTAATAAAGTGTTTAAAGTGACTACCGACTGGTCCTCTGGAAAAAGAAGCCTCATCCGTCATCTGCTCCAAGAACATAAGGTTGAGATAAAAAACACAATTAACATCTGTTTTGGCTGTCGCGCAACCTTGGGGAATCGACCATCTCTCCACAAGTGTCTTCTTCCCGTCCAGTTCGAGGTAGAGGTACAAACTTTCAATCATGTATGTGCTACGTGCCTAGAATCCTTCCCCCACAAAAAAGGCCTACAAAATCATCAGAAAATACACAAAAATCCGGGTGCAGGCTCAAGGACAGTTTCTCAGTCCGTCCCATCCACCTCTCGTCAACCTACACCACCGCATTGCCGTCTTTCCACCCAAGGAGAGAACCACACCCAAACCACACAGTCAACTCCCCTCACTGAGTCCCCCCGTTCTTTGCACACTGCTCACGCCCCCACTCCACGATCACTCACTACCCCAAATCGCCACTTGACACCTCTAATGGCGATCTCTTTCGCAACCACAACTCCGCTGTCCGACCACCTCCACTATGGAGAGGAGGAGAATAACCAGGAGGGAACGCTGGTCAACCACAATCTTAGTCCCTCACATCCTACTCACATTGACCCAAATGGTAGGTCCTCCCTCTATCAATACCTGCCTGACCTCCTAAAAATCCTTAGATCTCTGAATCACCCCGACAAGTGGAAAAGATTCACCGAAATCCTTGACTCCCTAACAGAAGAAGCACGAACCGAACTTAATATCCGCCCCCGTCCTCAACAAGCTGCCGTCCCCCGACGCCCACCAACGGTCACTGAAGCCTTGGATGCAAAACTGATCCAAAAGCTCTACAAGAGAAACAGAAGACGAGCAGTTCGGCTCATCCTGGATGGGGATTCTCCCCCGTGTGTCATTCCCACCAACACTCTCCACCAATTTTTCACCGAGCGTAGGTCAGAAAAACCCTACGATAATTCTTTCTACCAACCATATGGGGGCTCTCGTGAACCACTCCCTTGCGACATGTTCTCACAAACCGAGGTCATCAAACGGCTTCGCAAGTTTGAGAACTCTGCCCCCGGTGACGACCAAATAACTTACCGACACTGGCTCAGCCTTGATCCCGAAGGCAACGTTCTAACCACTATCATGAACATATGCCTAAAATAGCAAAGAATTCCCGAGACATGGAAATCTTCCCGCACCATCCTCATTTACAAGCAGGGAGATGTTTCCGATCCAGGAAATTGGAGACCAATATCAATAACCCGAACTCTCTACAAACTCTACTCAGGATGCCTGGCGTCTCGTCTAACAACGTGGCTAGTCAACAACAAAGTCCTCCATTCTAGTCAAAAAGGATTTCTTCCTTTTGATGGTGTATTCGAACACAACTTTGTGCTTCAACATCGGATGCAAGAAGCAAGGACTCGAAAACAGGACCTTTACGTAGCATGGTTGGACTTCTCTGACGCATTTGGGTCCATCCCCCACGCTGCTCTTACTGACTCCCTCCGCCATTATGGAATCAGTGACTACTTATCTCCCATCATCCAAGATATGTACACTGATGCATCTACACACGTCGTCTCCAGTGACGGTGTCACCGCACCCATCCAAATACGATCTGGAATACACCAAGGTGACCCACTTTCCAGTATTCTATTCAACATCGCGATAAACCCCATCCTAGAGAGGATCCACAACTCGGGCGACGTCAACCACCAAGCCCTCTCCTTCGCTGACGACCTAACCCCGATGGATGAGACTTATGAAGGACTGCAAAATAAAATCAACATCATCAACTATGAGTCCCAACGTCTCTCCATCCAACTCAACCCTAAAAAGTGCGTCTCTCTACATCTCAGCGGAAAAACTCCGGTTGGATCAAGACCATCCATTTTCAGGATCGAAGATACCCCCATAGAATATCTCAATGACCACGAGTCAACTCAATTTCTAGGGAAGCCAACTGGCTTCCAACTCTTCAAAGACAATTCTTCGGTCGAATCTTACATCCAAACCGGACAAAAGATCTTATGCTCTAACCTCGCCCCGTGGCAAAAGATTGATGCAATGAAAACTTTCTTCTACTCCTCCCTAACCTTCCCAATGAGAACAGCGCAGCTTTCCAAGACCCAGTGGGAGAAAGTGGATAAAGCCCTCCGTCCACTTTTCAAAGATACCCTCAAACTCCCACGTGAGGCCGCGAACGAATATCTCTACGGTGGAAGAAACTCCGGATCCTGCGCCATACCATTAGCTGCGGAAGACAGTGATCTCCTTCTCATTGACAACGCCTTCAAACTGCTCACCTCCAATGATCCCACCATAAAAGAATTAGCCCTAGCCGACCTACTCAACACCACGAGTAAAAGAACCAGACCCCAAACTCCCACCCTTGAGGACGCTGCCCTCTACTTATCCGGCTACAATGAAGGCTCATACCGCACCACCACCAATGCCATATCCAACGTGTGGACACAAGCAAGACAGGCATCATCCCGTATAAAAGTCTCATGGACGATTGATGATGACGGTCCCTCTCTCCATCACTTGGACATCACCCTCGAACCACGGCACAGGCAAGCTATCGCCCGCACTCTCCGCCAACAAACTCGACAAGTCAGAGACAAACGTCTCCACAGTCTTGCCAACCAAGGAAAAGTGATGGAGGTTGTTGCCCAATCTAAAGCAAGTCATCATTTCATTCAAAACGGTGACTACATCCGATTTGCTGACTGGCGTTTCATTCACCGAGCAAGACTCAACCTGGTCCCCCTTAACGGTGCTAAAATGTGGCAACGGGGCAATAATCAAGCCTGCAGGTGATGCAACCACCCACAAGAAACTCTACCTCACGTCCTCAATCACTGCATGAGGTACAGTCAAGCCTACACCCACCGCCACAACGCCATAGTCCATCGACTGAAGACCGCTCTTGCCAAGTTCACCATCATCGCAGAAAACCAAACGGTCGTCCCCAACCTAGACATCCGTCCTGACTTACTAGCAGTAAAAGATAACCATGCCTTCATCATTGACGTCACCATCCCGTTTGAGAATCGACCCGAAGCATTCACTAAAGCCCGAGAAACCAAGATGGAGAGATACAAACTTCTTCAACAAGCCCTTCTCTCAAGATACGGTGCAGTCGATATTGTCCCATTCATTGTCGGATCTCTTGGATCATGGGATAATAACAACGACCAATTCCTTCGCTTAGTGTGTGCCAAATCCTATGCAAAACTCTTTAAAAAACTTTGTGTAGTGGACTGTATTAAGTGGTCAAGGGACATCTACATCGAGCATCTTACCAACATTCCCCAATACAAAAAACCATAAAGCAACTTTACATATTTTTCATGTTTTTAGATATAATTATGATCTAGTCTTAGGTACTCATTATTTAACACATTATTTAATTTACTTGTATTATATTATATTTATTTATGCACATGTCAGGTAATCCACTAACTGAACCCCTTTTTCAGATTCTAAGTGATTAGTATTATCTTTTCTAACCAGTTACAAGCCATATGCATTATTTTACCACCTAGTATAAGCTTAAACCTATATTTATTCTCATTTTGTAAATTCAATCATTCCAAACATTCGGTAAATAAAATCTGTTCTTATCAGCTTATTTCTATGTATTTTTATATGCTTAAAACTGATCATGTCGTCCGATAAATCCAATACAAAATTAAATTTGTCAGTTAATCGATCAAATAAAAAAACATTTATAACGGATCATTTTGTAAATGTGTCGGCTATTTCGGCGTGGTAGCAGAAATTTTTGTGCTTTAATTACCGTTAGCGACAGCCCAAATAATTAACCCTTCAAAAATGAAGGTTTTTGAGGCTCTCGAAGCAATTGTCGTAACCTTGTATTATGATAAATTGTCAAGCAACCTTGAACCCAGACATGAAAAAAAATTTCATAAAATTGTACAAAAACTGACAAGAAACTCTACTCACTCATCCATCCCATCTCAATTCTCCACTAAAAACCAACTGTTTTACTTAACTATTCAATAAAAATGGTTGGTGGGGGTGGTGGTGACGGTCCTGTCGACTCTCCAACCGCCGGCTTCGTGTTCGCCGTCGCCTACGCCATTTTTTCCCACCTAAGTGACCTTGAAGTGCTGAAATTTCGACGTGTGTCAAAAACCTGCGGTTCCGCCGGGGGATTGATCCTGTCCCGACGGAATGGAGCCAATAAGCGAGCCCACCTCACTTTCCTGCCTGAACACGACGTCAACAACAAGTTGGCCCGCCTCGACAAACTTCTCTCCGGAACGACCTCGCCACGCTGTCTTCTCCCGGATTATGGTGCCATGGTCATCTCAACAATCTGCATGCGTGCCAAGACCTACCTCGAGGCCACTCCAATCTTCCCACCATTTTTGGAAAAGTAAGGCAACTACCTGAAGGCCGTCGAGTTGCAGAGATTTTTGGCGAGAGGGGACGATAATTTGATGATGAATGAGGTCAAGACGATTCTAGAAAAGTGCGCTAATCTCTTGGAATTTGCGTTTTTACCATACAAGGCGATCTTCGGGGAAGATCAACAGGTGGGAATTTTCCGCAAAAATAAATTGTACATGTTTTCTAATCATGTTCTTTTTTCCGTGTAGCTGATCCCTTTTCTACAAGCGATGCGCTGGACACCGACTCTCCCGGCGAACGACTTCTCAGCAAATTTACAACCGGTCAAGCTCACCACGTTGGTGATGCACATGTGTCATCCTCGACATCTCGCAGTGGTCATTGTTTCCTCCCCAAGTCTTAGAAATCTGACCTTCCTCCCGCCCAATGCGGACACGCAACGGATCCAGAAGTTCTGGCAGACTGGGAAGACTTCCAAGATGTTGTCAACGAGTTGGGGGGCATGAATCAGATTGAATGATTGGCTCTCCAGGATTGGGATCTCATCCCCAACATTCAAATGGAAAAGTATGCAATTACATACATAAATATGCGAATTTTACTCGAAAATAATTAAATTCTTGGTAAAAATGACCTATCTAATTCGGATGTCCAATTGTTTTTTTTAGTTTAAGAACAGTCAAGTTGTTCGTGAGAGGCATCTCCACTTTCACTCAGTCTGAGAGGATCACGCACGCCACCCTATTTCCTCAAGTATAAAAAAATATATCATTTCGATCGAAACCGAGTCCTTAAATTAATCCAAGTCTTCATTTTCTTAAAGGTGACGACTGTCCAGATTTACTTGCGTCTACTACGACAGCATTTTATAGAGAATCATATAATCCACCGGTTCATGAATAGATTTCCGTCCACAACCACCGTCCTTCTCCATTACCACGACCAACTCCCAGTGGCCAGAGACGGGTTTTTCGAATCCTTAGAAGACGCACTTGACGTGAGTGAATTGTCCAAAAAATATAAGTTCATCCCAAAAAGAAGTACATATTTACGAAAGATTTATAAAAGAAAACGTACAAATGTTATTTTTGCCAAGCCTTATTTTTTTAATTAAATTTTTTATCAAAATTATTTGCTCTAAAATCGTTCAAATCTTTGCAAAGTTTATGTAGCTGAAATATGTATAAAAAAAATTCAGAAAACTAGACATATGAAAAAGATGTAGACAAATTACATAAAAATTTCCACAAAGTTGTTCCTCATCAATTTAAAAACTACTTACCTACCTTACATAATTAATGTTAATTATTTTTTTAGCACCTCCAATCAAACGTGGCCTTTTTCAACTCCACTGACTGCCTGGTAAATGAGAACGTGAGGAATCTCTTCATCTTCAATTTCCAAATGCTCGCATTTGGACGCAGAGGAAAGCGCACGCCCGAATGGAAGACGCTCCCAAACTTTGCAAAAGTTTTCCCCAAAGTGGAAAACTTGAAGATATCCGTCAAGCACGTAGGGACGTACTTTGACCGGTGAGTACTTACCATGGGAAAAAACTCTTGTGAAAATACAGTATTTTGAGCTTCGTTCTTCCCAGGACTTGGATTTCTGGGGGCTATTAAGGTCACTAGTGTTTCTGGTGCAAGTAACCACTTGAGAAATGGTTTCTTGTGGGTATTTTGACCTGCAAGAAATGCAAGGCGCAAGAAACTACGCCCCACGGCTGTAAATACTTCATGGCTGGGTGGCGCATATTTCTTGCACTTTCTCCCAGTTTCTTGCACCTCCATTTTCTTGCTTTACAGTGCAAGAAATGTCCTTCGCCTGCAAGAAACGAAACACGGACAGCCATAAAAGACAAGAATCTGCATGGAGGATGCATCAGTCATATGAAAATACGTGTTTTATGAAGAAATTAAGTCTTTGTCGTGTCCAAATACTTTATTTTTACAAACGCGTGAAAAAAATGTATTTCGACAGTGATAAAATGTTAATTTCTTCACAAAATATGTACGCATTTTCATATGACTGCTGCAGATTTTCGTCTTTTTGTAACTGTTTTATACAACTCGTCAGAACTCAAAATACGGTATTTTCTCAAAGCTTTTTGCCTTTCCTCCTGCTACTTACAACGTACAGATTTTTGTTAAAGTTTAAAATTCCGTCATAATTTCATCTCTTTTACTATGTCAGAATTCCGTCCATCAGGCTCAGAATTGACGACTTGTTCTCCCTTGTGAAAGAGTGGAAGGACTTGAAAGATCTTGCCGTGGCGATGTCGATCTTCGAAACTCCAGAGATTGTCAATGCTTTCAAACAGACTGAATTCTTAAATCGTGAGATTATTCAGAATTTTATTCATGACTTTGATTTTGATTTTGACGAGCAATTTTTTTTTTTCAGAAATCCAAAATCTGACCCTCCACTTGGCCTCGGTTAACAACATCCGGAACATTGAACGTAATAACAACGTGGACCAGGCGGCATTGGATGCAGTAGTTTTGGCCGCCTCGAGGCTGCAGTCATTTAAATTGAGTGACTTTGAAGGGGTTAGTATTTTGTGATTTTTTGAAATTTTGAAAAAAAATACTTTCCTCATTTTGGAAATTACTTTATCACAGCATGCCTTCTTGACGAGCGTGGCCCCCTTATTGCAAAACTTATCGGTGGAGAAGGAAAATTTTGACGAGTTGTCTCAGACGGGATCCACCGTGGCAAAAAATTTAAAAATAAAATTGTAATAATTGACGAGAATTTGGCTAAATTTTTCATGTAAATCAAAATTTACTGGATCTCAAATAATCGGGTTTTCCTTCAAATCAATTAATAAATTCCTCGATCTAAATGTACCTATAATTTTTAAGGATGAGACTTATTTCGCGTTGATTTCTTCTATATACTTAGGATTAGTTAATTGGCAATTAAAATTAATTAATATCAGGGGTTTCATATATTATTCAAAAGCGTATTTCACGAAATGAACTTAGGACTCGTTTAGGTTTTGATATCCTTTAGACATGCAAAAATCTCATTCCGTCTCGTTTTGCCTCATCTCAAGGAGACAGAGAGAGAACTTCTCTCAGAGAAGTGGACGAGACAGGTTGAGAATGTATCTCATTTACGACTTTTCAAGGCGAAAATCTCATCATAATCATGACGAGATTTGAGAATAAATTCGTTTTGCTTAAGTTTTGTTTAGAAAACTTTTCATTAACTTTCCTCTCGTTTCAAATTCATAGAAACGTATAGAAATTTGTTTTGAAAATTTGGCATAAATTGCATAAATAACATTGGCCCTATTTTCTTGCCGAGTGTTATCATTTCTCTTCCTGTCAAATAATGATGACTGCCCGATGACCACATCCACCTTAAAGAACAAGGACAACTCTACGACCACCCACATTGCCGACGCCAATGTCCTGTTTCTCGCCACGTGCGCCGTCCCGCTTCCGTCGTTTCGTGCTCATTATCGTACTTCATTATTACCCATAAATTCACCCTAACCACACCCACCACACGTTGCGGTGGATTAGTATAATCATAGACAAGTCTTTAACATGGGTTATTTGTTTGCGAAATGTCGGTGGGGATTTTTTGCTTAAAAAATCCATCCAAAAATTGGGATTAGGTATTTTAAGAATGAAATTAACTCGATAACTTCTGAGCGGGCAGAGCTACCGAGTACCTAAAAATCTCGACCGCCGACAAGCCATGATAATAGGCTTGTTTACTGCTATATGTACGATCCCACTGCAACAAGCACATACATAAATCATTGTTTCGTTTCTTGAGGGTTTGCTACATTGCTTACACTGCAAACCAAGAAACGCAAGAAATGCGAGGTGCACGAAAGTGCAAGAAATGTGCGCCATCAAGCCACGCGTCCTATGAAATACAGCGCCGGGGCGTAGTTTCTTGCGCCCTGCATTTCTTGCAGATCGTCAAAATAACTGCAGGAAACCACCTTCTCCCCGTTATTTCTTGCACGTGGTTACTTGCACCCGAAACACTGACAAAAATTGTACGATATATATTTTTCCAGTTGGAAGAACTCTTCATCGTCACGTTCTACCCCGTTCTGCCCACTCTGGTCACGTACTTCTTCTTCTTCGATCGTTGGGACGATAGCCCCCCAGCCACGCCGTCACCCCTCCCCCTCAATCTCCTCCACGTCGGTATCTTCCTCCTCGTCGTGTCCTTCCATGGGCGGAGGGTCTACTGCAATCCGACCTCCAAATCACGATCAGCCTCACCCCTTTGGGCCTACTTCCTCCGAATGTCGACATGTCTCGGCCTCCTCTTCGGCGCAGTACCGCTCCTTCTCCGCTGCCTAAATCAGCTCTACGCCACTCCTCCCATCGTTCCCTTCTACGTCGCAGAGGTCAGACTGCTCCTCACTTTCAGAGCGGTCATTTCCACCACGGCTGCCATCGTCAGGTCAATATTTCTAAATATGATAATTGCAACTGCATTTTTTTAATTCCTAAAATTTTCTACTCTTGACATGTCCCTCGTCACATTTCTGATTTGGATGACCACGCTTAAAGATGACGATTATGATTAATTTTTAATGTATGTAGGACTCGATAACTCGTCGCCAAAATCATGACATTTTTAATCATTTCTCTGCTCTGGGAATTTATTTTAAAATTCTGGACAAATTTGTAAATCAAGGCGTCGTCAATGTTTTAAAAATATCGCTCCAGATTTTGAGTGTTTGAAGGTGGAGATCTCAAATTTAAGAAGGCTTCAGATAAATTGAAACTCATCAAAACTGGGTTAAAAACTCACCGCAATTCTGGTAGACTGACTACAAATTCAGCGTTAAGAATTTTAAAGCAAATTTCCAGAGCCGAGAAATGATTTAAAATGTCCTAATTTTGATGATTTTGGTGATGAGTCAAAAAGTTTTGGATAGATTTTTATAGTTTCTGAAATAAAATTTCCAAAGTATGGATTTTTTTTCAAGCGGTTCTCTCTTTATTCATGTATGGCGATTTTTGATAATGATCCAATTAAATAGTTTATATGAGCGTACATCATCTTCTTAATTGTTTGTTCAAAGGGTAACAATACTTATTAATTAACTAATTAACATATTTTAATTATAACTCAATCCTTAATTAATAAAACAACTCGATTAAATCAAATCCGTAAAAATTAGTAATTTCGCAAAAACATTTATTTAACGCGAATTATTAAATAACTGGCTCCATTTCAAAACGCAATCAAAGCTGTGTATAACAAGAACAATTAATTAACTGACTTGAATAATCAATTTAATTATAACAATAATAACGGCACTTTTAACAATATTTAACTAATTATAGTTATTGTTGTTCTCCAGAGAATATGCATAGATTGGTGTATGTAAGATAAGGTGATGATGATGATAAGAGCAATTAATTGCAGAGCGAAGGTGTCATAATAAAGCAATTGATAACGTAAATTAATTATTGGATAACATGGTATCATCGCCCTAAATTAACTAATTAACTAACTGTCGTCGTTGTCAGCTCACTCACTTGCATAGTTTTACATCCTAATCAAGGTAATTAATTAACTTAACTGCTATTATGGCGCGCACGGCACGACACATTTTCGTATTTTTAACTTTTTGGCGTAATCGTGATGTCGAAATGGTTCATTAATTAATTCCGTCGTCAGTCTGTCTGTCCGTATCTTAATTATTATTTTGACGAGGAGGCGACAAGATTATTAAATAATTAATTACGCTTATCCACTACTAGATAACAACTAAGCTATTTATTTAACTAACTAAATCTTTAGCGCCATCGTCCTGGCTTATCATCACCTCGTCATATAAATTACTATTACTTAACTACACTTGTTGATAATTACTTATCATAATTATTGCAGTCTTGTCAAAACGTTTGGATTGCTTGCGTACACACTCCACGGTTTCTTCACTCTTCAGGTATACTTTTCTCATGAGTTAATTAATTATCGTAATTATTAGTTAACTAAACCAACTAAATTAACTAATTACAGGATAATTAATTAATTAATAGTGGAGATTATCACATTATAAAGTTTTTTTCCATTCGAAAAACAAAAAACAACGAGGCAAAAAGATACGCAAACCACGAGACGTACAAACCACACCCACTCATGCCAACAGTTAGTGTCATTTTTTACTTACTTAATAATTTGGATAATGCACAATTATGTTGCTAATTAATTACATTGTTACCCTAAATTATTATAACTGATCATAAATTAATGAGACATAAAATCAATCCGGGCATTGGAGCACGTCAGAGGGTGTGTTCTTTTAGTTAGAAGTAGTCCATCCTGCTAAATCTTTACATGATATTTAAACTTATTTAGTACTAAGGAATAGGAGAAGAGAATGAGAAGAACAGCGCGATAGTTAATATTTAGTTAGTTGTAAATAGTTATGGAATTTAAGTTCATTAAAAATTGAAGCCTCCTTGAGGACCGGCCGCGTTGTTGGGGTCGAATTGAAACGTTCCTTCGACCGTTGCTTCTGGAACGAGGTTGGGATCTTCGTCGATCTGTAGATACAAATTTTTCGTGTAAAATAAATAAATTTTTACCCAAAATAAAATTTTGAAATTAATCTGAAATACGTACATCTTCCGAAAAATAGTTTTCAATGATGTCATACGCAATTTTGTAAATGTCGAGATTTTCGTGATTCTGTAAACTCTCGATCTTATCGAGTCCACCGCACTCTTCGATCTGGCCGCAGACACGTTCAACCTCTTCGCTTGTACCGCCACCAATCATCTTTAACATGTTGTGAATCCCATCCAGAACGACTTGGATGACCTGATTAATTCATAATTAGTTAATTAATTGCAAATTTTCCTGTATAATTAATCAGCACGTGTTCAGCTGACTTATTCACCACCACTATTGTTAACCGACAAGACAAGTGGACATTTAGCCGTGGTGCACCACGGCTAAATGTTTTCATTTTCGCATCGTATTTTGACTTACAAAATGTTATTTCACATTTTAAAAATAATAAAAATAAGGTAGGTTAACACGAGTGGTAATGAATTGAATAAGTCGACTGGATCTGTACCCACCTGTGAATCTTTACAGGACAGCAAGTTACAAAATGGTGGAATAACACCGCACGAAATTAGATACGAGACTTGTTCCTTATTCCCACTTATCGTCATGTTAGACACGGCCCACGCGGCTTCCTTCTGAGTTTGGAACTCACCCTGAAAAAAATCAAGTAAGATAAGTCCGTGCAACAATTTTATCCATCACATTTATTTAGCTTATTAATTTTTCTACCCACCTTTTCCAAGTGAGAAATAATGAGCGGGATCAACCCCGCGTCGATGACGGCTTGCACCTGTGCGTAATTTCCGGCCGTCACGTTGCTCAAAAACCAGACGGCTTCCTTGCAAATCTTTTCCTTCTGATGGGTCAGCAACGTAGTGAAATGTCCGAGTGCGTCACAATTGAGGACGGCCTGGGTCTGCTCGTCCGTTCCGGTGACGATGTTTCCTACCGCCCGAACGGCCGCTGTCTGCACCTTGACTTCACGATGGGACAAGAGGGAGACGAGTTTGGGCAGGACGCCAGAATCGATGACCATCTGGATTTGGTCGTTCCCTCCGTCCGTGAGGTAACTGAGGGCCCAAACCGTGTCGACGAGAACGTTCGTGTCCGTGTGGTGGACGAGGACGTTGAGCGCGGGTAGGATTTCGGCCAAACTTTGTTGTGGCGGGGCGGGATCTTTATTCCTGCAGAGGTTGACAATAACCCAGGTCACGTTGCGGAGAAAAGTGATGGGAATCTCGGGCTGGATGAAGTTGAGAAGGGGGGCCACCACACCCATGGAAATGACGTAGTCGCGTAAATGTGGGCCATCCCCGATTATATTGCCCAACGCCCAGACCGCTTGTTCACACACATTTTGATGTGGAGAGGCCAAGAGGGCGAGGAAATGGGGCACGGCGCCGCACCCGACGACCGCCTGGGTTTGCTGGGACGTCCCGGAAGCGATATTGGTGAGGGCCCAGGCTGCTTCAAATTGGAGGGTGGAACTAAAATTAAGAAATTACTTATTCATAATAACTGCGTTTGCGGTGGATTTCGTATAATCGTATGCGACACGCTTTTAACATGTGTTATCGAAATGTCTGTCAAGATTTTTTGCTTAAAAATCAATTCAAAAATTGGGGAAATATAACAAAATATTCAAACATAAAACAACTTTGACCTGCGACAACTTTTGAACGAGGAGAACTATAAAATTTACTTTATTTTGAAATAATAATAATCCTCCTTTTTGGGCTGATTTTTAACCAAAAACCTCGACGGACATATTTTCCAAATCAATAATAACACATGTTGCAGGCTTATCTATGATGGTACGAATTCAATTTTAAAAAGTCCTCTTACTTGTTCGTGCCGCCCAGACAGTTGACCAAAATGGGGAGGATGCCACAATTAATTAGTGGATCGATGGGTGGATTACGATCCGAGGAGAGTAACTTGCGCACCGCGGTCACCGCTTGATATTGGATTTCTGGTTGTGTCGAGTCGGCCGCTTGTTGGACGAGGGCTTGAAGATTGGCCCCCGCGACGGGGGTTTTGTCACTCTCTTCATCCGTCAACTCGGCGGAGGGAACGTTTCGCCGCTTCTGCAATGTTTCTTCCCTTTTGTTCTTGCGAAGCTCAACCGTCTGCTCATTCCGGCGGCGGCGCATTTCCTGCATAAATAAGATTAAATTAATGCAAATTATACATTGATTTATAACAAGTTTGAATTATTTATGTAGCTAAACATCTCATTGTTCGACAAATTAGCGCATTAAAAGATAACCACCGCGAAGCAAGATAAGCTGGAAAAATTCATTATTCACTTACATCCTGATCTTTCCCCTTGTTCTTAAAATGTTCCATGCGACCTCGTGGTTCCGACATGATGACGATTTAACTGTGCACTTAAATAACTGATAAATAATAAATATTGTCTCTCTTCTTTTTCCTCGTCTTGTTGACTGATTCCTGAAATAAAATATTCACAATTTAAATTTATTGTAATTTAATAGTCAAATGACGAAATAGTACATTTCTTTCTCCCCTCTTCTCTTCTTACCTTGATCCTCGGAGACGCCGGCGTCAACCTGACCGTGCCCTTAACGTTTCACTTAACTTAATTGAAATTTGAGACGTTTACGAGGTACGTTTTGCAAATTGGTAAAAAATTGTGATGATTTTTTTTCTCGCAAATTCTCCGTCTCTTTTGTGTGTCTGCTGGATTGATGATGATTCTGGAATGGAATGACTGTTATGTTAGTTTTTCTTGGGCTGCTTGCTTGCACGAGACTCGTGTATGGTTTGGTTACACGAGATGCACTTCGTTCAGCCCTTCACAGGTGGCGACTCGTGCCCCACACGCCAAAAACCAGTAATTTGGGAGGAAATTTTATAGGAAATTTTGTGGAAATTTTTTGTTTTATCAAAATTATGATAATCCACTGTATTTGGGAAGTGTAGATTTGATTTTGTGCATGGATACTGGTTAATAAGAAATAGTATGATTTTTATATTTTATTTTATTTTGCATGAAAAAACGCATTTCGGCGAATTGATTTTACATGTTTTTTTGAGGTAACATTGTGCAAAAATGATAATTACAAAATTTTATATTTACATTGTAGCTTGATGATAATATTAATTTGGAAATGTCGATTAATGCTTTTGTTGATACGTTTCGACAGAAATTCAGCGTGCAATATTTGCATGGACTTTAATTTTAAATGATTTCGGCAAAGTAATTTTATCATGGGCAAAAATGTGAAGAATCATTTTGTTGGTGTATGAAAAAGTCGTTAGTGAAAAAGTATTTTTGGGTTGGGTTTGACCCCAAATACTGCGTAGATGCGATTATTATCTAAATTACGTTGACCATTCAATGATAAATAATGTACTTGACCACACCTCTCTTTCTGTTTTTAACTCTTTATCATTTATTTACTCTTATCTTATCTCTCCACTTGATTTACTATATCGAAAATATAGAAAAGTACAAAACAAATACGAAAAAGTGGAAACTTTCGCTAAAACTTTAATGTTAAATATTATTACTTAAAAATGTTTTATGACAAAATATATAAGAAATCGTAATATTTAAACACAGAGTTAAGGGAAGAAATCTTTAAATATTCGATCAATTTGATTAACGAGATGTGAATTGATGGATTCATGAGATTGAGACGAGTATTATTCCAAGGGATTTTAACTAGTAATTAATTCATTACTAATTGTCAGTGTATATAATTAAGTAAATGAAGGATTCTTGTATTTGATCACATTTTTGTTGGGTAAATAATTAATTAATTAATATTACGATGATGAGTGGTTATCTGAGACGACGAAGTTCAGGTAATTTGAAGATACTTGCGCCACAACATTGGCGCAAGTTACTAATAATACAACGAGTCAAGTATAAACGCACCTTTTGTATAAAATATTACATTTATAACGGAGAGAAAAAGTTATAAAAAAATATTTAAAGGATGATGAGAAACATTTCAGTTTATAAAAAAAACGATATAAATTATGTAACAAATTTCCTCTCTCTCTCGAAGTAAATAGCACCCAAAAATTTCAAATTGTAAAAATTCCTAACTAAAATCTTACTCTATACAATTTTTCGAACTCCATTTCGTTGCATTACATAAAAAATCTCGATTTTCCATCAATTGGCACACTAAAAATATGTAAATCTCTGCTGGACTTTATCCCACCTCTGCCCAATGTCAGGTCGTCGCGGGGAGGACGCTGCCACCACCACCGGCGACAATAATCCCTCCTCCACCCCCTTTATTTAGGCCACTTTTGCTCTTGTTTAAATTCCCGTGTCCCCCGTGATGTCCTCCGGCCGCTTTGGCAGCGTGGGTTTGATGGTGTTTTGCTAAATGGGCTTTTTGGCGGAAGGCTTTTCCACACAGGGCGCAGGCGAAGGGCTTCTCGCCAGTGTGGGTGCGGACCTAAATTAGATTAACGAATATTAATTAATTGAAGAAAAATTAATGAAAAATGACGGAAATATAAATGTAATGTCCTCACGTGAACGTTGACCGAATACTTATCCTTGAAACCCTTCGAGCAGATTGTGCAATAATGAAGTGACCTTTCCTTCCTTGCAGCAGCCGCCGCCGCCGCTACGCCACCACCACCACTCGTCGACTCGGAGGAGTGAGACGACTGCGACGATGAGGAATGGTTCGATCCTTCCTTTAGCAGCGAAGTGATCGTGGGCGTCGTTGTCGTCGTCGTGGAGGAAATAATTTGCTGCTTATTACTCGTCGATGTTGGCGTCGTGGACGAACTCGTCACCATTTTTGCCGCTTTCTTGACACGTTTCCGACCTGTCACTAATTAAATCAAAATCAAAAACTGCCCATAATTTGACTCCGTCTCATCCAAACCCACCTTTCGGCGTCCCATCCGCATTCGTCATTGTATAAGTCCACTTCGCACTGAGAGATTGATTGCTATGCGTCGTTGTAGAGATCGTAAGGGTTGACGTGGAGGAAGGCACTGCTCCCCCGACGGCGATTACTCCTCCCCCCGCACCCGTCAAGGTCAACGTCGACAGTGACCCGACATCGTGATGTCTACTCTTTGACAATTCTTCGACATGTGTCGGAATCACGATTTCCGGTTCGACGAGCAGTTCATAGTACACGTTCCTCCCACTGTTCTCTTCACAATGGGGGGACGAGGAGGAGGACGAGGACGTGGGGAGGGCCGTGTTCGAGACGAGGGTTACATCACTAAGAATAGGGTACGTTGAGAGGAGGACTTTTCTGTTGTGCGGGGTCAGCGCGTTGCGGAGGAGGATGGAATCGCTGGTGGAGTGGGTCTGGTCAATCTGATCGAGCTGTCCTTGGTCCTGCGACGACGGCCAGCAGATGAGGTGGTGGTGATTGTGACTATTTATTTCCCCTGGCGAGAGGGGGCCTTGGCTGGAGGGGTGGTGACTCGTGGCGAAAGGGTCGTCCGACGAGGAGGTGCATGGCTCCCAGTCCACCTTGTTCGAGTCAGTGTCAAAGGGGAGGAAGAGCGGGTCGGCGAGGAGGTTGGTGAGAGGGGTGACCTCTTCGGAGGACGACCAGGTGGACGAGTCCCACCCGAGGAGCTCGACCGGAGCGGCGGACTGGGCGGAGGAGGGGGCAAGGGGGAGGAGAAGGTCGTCGTGTTGCGAGTGCGCGTGGTGGTGAAGGGATGTCGTGGAAGAGGAATTATTATTATTCAGGTCGATTATGAGGAGGGAGGAGGCGTCGTGTTTCGACATGGATTTCGACGAGATGAGCAGCTGCTCCATCGGTGTGGGGCGGTCGCTCTCCTAAAAAAATCAATAAGTCTTCCTTAGTAATTAATCAATACGTAATTAAGTATGTATGCTAATTATCTATTACCAACTTTTCATACCAATACTAAACTAAATATAACAAAAACTATTCTCTCTGCATGCAATCTCATATCTCGTCACACGTGGATAAGCTGTAAAAGCCGGTGAAAAAAAATCATCATCTTATCAACACGTACACATTTTGTCATCGGTATGAATGATTATTCTCCATCAATTCGATTCTCATCTATATCCAGCCATTCCGTGTTGCATTTTATGCAAATATTTATCCGCAAACAAAGCCTGCTTGAAATTTGCTGAATTCGACCACAACAATTTTTTTTGTCTATATGCAAGTTGTATAATTATGCAGATCTACTCCACCACCACCACCACCACGGTAAAGATGCATACCAAGATATGTTCATAATCTCTTCTACCTCGTCTTCATATTGCTGTGGTCCTCGTCGTCGTAATATTCGCAAAAAACTTTCTCTTTTTCATCGTGACAAGGAAATGGCATCTCCATTTGCGTTACTTACTTACGCCGTTACACGAACGAGTGTGTCTCTAGCTATGACTATGACTGCCTATTCGTCCATCCATTAACTAACTAATTTGAGACCATAAGATAGCCGAGACATGAGAAGATTGGTTACTTATTTAGCTCTCTTGCTTGGTATGTATGTGGTCATGTCATGATGCAGCGAATTGTGCGGAGATTTCTATTTGAGGATTTGCAAGTCAACAATAATGTAAAAATTATATGGACGTACATACTTCGTCGCCTGCTGTCCGCGGGGACATCATGGCTTTCATTCTTTGCACAGAATTACGAATTATTTATGGATGGACGCAGCACATATTTTTGAAGATGAGCCAAATTATACGTACCTGTGAGACTGACAATGACTCAAAACGCACAAATTATTTAAATCAAGTGCAACCAACAAATAAAACACTTTCTTTCTCGTGTAAATCTATAATGTAAAGTGATCCTGACCTGACCTAGACAATAATGAGATGGGAAAATAGAAATATTTTTTTAAAGCTCGTGAATTTAGCGAAATGTTGTGAATTTTAGAAATTTTGGGATCAATTCACTACTAAAAACATGTGAGATTTACTTGCACTAATTTCTACATTGACATTTCTGACCCCGAGATGAACTAGTAAAAAAAAACAATGAAAGTTTAGATTGCCACATGTCACAAGTTTACGATTGTGCAAAAAAAGAAGAACTTGTGCACTCGTAAAGTTATTTAGTTACGAAAAATTATGATAATAATAAAACCTTCTTCCGTACATGTAAGTAAGTAAAGCATGCTTTTGTAAATATATCCCCCAGGCCTGAGAGGGGAGTAAATTAGCACTTTACTTTGTGGTGGTGGTGGTGGCCATATGCATATTGCCACAGAAAATCGTGAGGAGATGACTGCGAGGTGTCATCTTTGACCTGGAGGCGGATTACAACAATGCTACACAAACAATCGGAGATCATATCGCGCATCGTATCATCTCATTTTAACGAACCATTCGAATCAAAAACTGTTCCCAATTTGGTTTAACATGTTCAAGATTTCATAAAAAAAGAGGAAATCAAAATTTAGCACCGGTATTTACGACTAGAAATTCACGCCATCAATTCCAACATTTAATCCTCCTATCGTTATTAATTCCGTTTTTTTTCATCTGACAAGAATCAAATATATCAAAATTTCATAAAACACAGCAAACACAAAATTTATTCCAGAATTTTGTTCCTAATAAATAAAAATTCATTCTCATCCATCCACCGTCCCTATTTTTGTCTCATCCAATATATCAAAATTCCATAAAAAAAAACACCAAAAACAAAATTTATTCCGGAATTTTGTTCCTAAAAAATGCATTCTTAACCTCCCGTCGTTAGTAATTCATTCCCTAATTTTTTTCATCTGAGGATTAAATATGCTGCTCTGGCCTGGCCCGAATCTACGAAAGAATGCAGAATACCGCACTTGATCCACCACCACCAGCACCACAAATGACGACGATGTCGACGACCATGATGCTGAATCAATCCGACGCTACACTGCTCGACGTAAGTGGGCCATCTTTTGTGCCCATCACACGAAATAATACAAGTCGGCCAAGCAAGTCGTGAGCTGCTGCTGCCAATCGAAACACACAATCCAATCCAATCCATCCATCCACCAAATTTAGCAACAATGCAATGCAAAATACATCGTCCAAGGATACATGCATAGAGCCAAGCGCCACATACATACATTCGTATAACGCGTCCCTTTTATGATCACTGTTACTTACTTATTTATTTACTAAGGAAGAAACTAAGTCATCATTTAATTTTGTTACTTGGGTTTGGATTCGATTGGATTTTGAATGAATGTCATTTCAAAAGAGAGAGAGAGGTCCCCTTTTTATGGGGACTTGTTGTATGTATGTAAGATGATTAATTAAGACTAGTTGATTGCTAGTTAGTTCGTTAATTTGTACGTACTTTGTTATTGTAGAAGGAGTGACTTACGGGGAGAAAATGGGAGAAGGAGGGAAGGTGACCGGCCGGCATTTTGACGACAAAGTAGAATCACTTGATGATAATGGCGACCAAGTCCGGTCCTCCTCCTCTTTTTCAGTAATTAATCCACGCCAGGTCGTGATAATGATGCCGGCTTTATTTAGCTAATTGTAGTTAAGATGAATACATCGGCCTAGTCTGGTTTCGGTCAGGAAATAAATCTGCAAAAACAAAAATCAAAATCATAAAATTAATGCCAGAGAAAGAACATGCCCACATAATTTGTCCGACACGATAAAAATCACTCATTCCGTGACACATAATTAATTATAAGTAAATAACTGACCCTACCATAAAATAAGCTGAATTAAATTATTACGACATAAAGAAATGCACCCAATTCCTCCTCCTCCCCCTTAAAAAAATTGCATTAGCTGTAGTCTATCCAAACCAACGATTAATATTCTATCGACAATAATAATAATGCACTCGCAAAAAAATACGAATTGCAATGTCAATTTAATCGAATGCAACAGCAGAGTAAACAAATAATGCAATTCTATTCTGCCAATCCAAAACCAAACCCACCTGTATCGAATAGTTTAGTATCGATGGCCATGCAGCCAGACAGATATAGATCAGCACGTACTAAATTTATATAACATATAATTTAATGCTATACAAGATCCCAAAATGACACTTGTTGGTTGCCAGTCTAGTGGTGCTACATTTGATGTCATTTTATCTGCAGATATTATGCACAACCTAACCTGCTCATATTATTATTGCCACTTTTTTACACCAACCACGATAGGACGACGGCGTGGGAATCATCATTACGCAAGAGTGACCTCTTTATGTGGTGCTCAGTTTTGTGTTTGCCCTACACGATGAGCACACCACACGTGCCTTTCGTCACCGTACATATGACGATGCCATTGTTATTATTGACATCGACAACAATATGTTGCACTCACTGAGCTGGTCCCGAGGGAACTAAATACAATAAAATATGGTGTCATTTCAGTACATGTTTGTACTAATTGATGTCCTATTGTCTTCCCTGCACCATTTTTTAGCTTGTTGAGCGATAAATTTACCAACTAAGTAGCACCACAACAAACTAATTATTGCAGTTACACTAATTACTTATTTACTTACTAGTAAATGAACAATGAACCTGAACCTGAACAAAAAAGGCAAGAAAATTCCACGGGGGAATGGGGACGATTTTTGTCACACACGAGTACGACACAAACCATGAATGAATAATAAAGCACGAAGATACGAATCTTAAATTCTTAATTTAATCGTATATATTAATGAAATTTAATTCTTCAATTAAAATCTGAATCTACATACGTAATTTTACCAAATTTCTACATTTGCACGAAAACCAGTTGCAAAATTAAATATCGATGTACCTCAAAATATAAAACAAGATGTCATATTAAAAATAATATTGCCCACTTTTTAACGACTTTAATTTCCAAAAACAGGAGAAGAAGATGAGCAAATAATAAATTTGTAAAAGTCTCGTCTTGTCGTGTCACATTATAAAACAAAACAAAATTCATTCCATTTCATCCTCCTGATTATTACAGGTACAAACATACAAGTTTGACGAGCACGTTATCGTTGTGTGTGCATCTGCATCTGCAAAACTACATCCTCCTCCCATTTAAAATAAAGACATGGTTATTGCGTGCCTGCATTTAAAAATGTTTGAAAAACTTGGTGCATAAGATGAGAAAGAAAGTGAGAGTGAGTTAGTGAGACGACGGTGGTGGTGGTGGAGGATTGGATCTCTGCAAAAGTGACGCTAATTTATGACCACTCGCATCTATCTCTACCGGTGTCCGAAAGCAGATATCAATTTTTTGCTATAATTGGGAGCAGGCATGTTCATATTTGTAAATGCGATGCAACTCGCCTGCATGCAGCTAACTAGATGCATACTTAATTAATTTAACGAACAAACAAACTAGTCGTTTTTAGTCAAATGTTACACACACGAAATGTCAGAATGGAAGAAGATTTGTCTTTCTTTAAATAAATTCTGGTTATTTTTGACCTTTTATTTTTCTTATGACTTGTCGAGGATCAAAATTCTGGTTATTTTTACAACTTTTCTTATTAAAATAATTTGCCCAAGATCAAAATTCTGGTTATTTTTGCAACTTTTCTTACTAAGGTGACTTGTCATGGGTCAAGTTATTTTCGAAAAAGGAGAGCCTCTTAGGTCGTGAATAAGATGTAAAATATTATTATTAGATATTTTTATTAATAAGGTTTGTCTTCTTAATTTTTGGTTTTGTCATTTGTATTTATTTTTCTGTCCCACTAAATAAATTTGTGATTGAACTGGTAGGAGTTTAAGTAGTAAAACTGAATGAAATGAGATCCCGACCTGCAGTGCATGATTCGGTTCTGATAAATTATGGAAATTAGATTTTTACTTGTTTCCTTTTTGTGGTGAGAGAAATTTCATGAGGAATTGAAAGAGATGGAGAATATTTATAATTATAAGAAGAACAATGGCGAATTCATGAGCGATCTTCTCCGAATTTAGTTATTCTGATTGAACAGAATTTTATAAAGTGTCGTTGAAACTCAACAAATAATTATGGACGCGTTTTTATTTATACGTTTACAACTATTTAATTGCCCAGGCTAATTAATGAAGTGACAAACTATTTAAATTTGGATGAGCATGTTTATTTGCATCTTGTATAAGTAGGTAAAAATGTGAAAATATTTGGGAAAATGAGACCGATGTGAAGTTAATTTAGATTAAAAGAAAGGCAAGCAGAAAAATGGTAATAAAAAAGTTGCGAAAAATGGACTTTTGTTGGAATGCAGTTTTTTTAGTTGACTTTTTATTTTTAGGGTGAAAAAGTCGGTTGAGAGAAGAATGTCGTTACGATTAGCGTAGGACGGCTATTTAGTTATTTTCAAGTTTTGTATGTAAAACTTTGCCGAAAAAGTTGCAAAAAATATTCTTCAGCATTTTTCATAGGTTTTCATAAAAATATTTTGTAAATATTTATTTCTGCGACCACTGAACAATATGTACTTATCTTTTAATACATAAATTTTATCAATATTTCGATGATTTTGAACCTGCATGAGAATTTGACCATAAAGAATGTAGATAAAATTTCAAATGTTTCAATATTTCTAGGTTTCCCGAATGTCTATATTTTTCTCACATTGCCTACAATTATATACTTTCAGCTATTATCATAGACTTAACAAAATTTGTAAATTTCAGTTGTTTCTTCACGTCGTCAATATGCTACGATTTTAGTTCAAACAAATTTTTTACTGCAAAATTTTGACTTCACAAAAACAAAATGTTGAATTTAAAAATTAATTTTGGCAAAAAATGTCTGAAATTCATAGTTTTACTCTTTCGTCGCAAAATACTCTGCAATTTTTCAAAAATACATAGCCGTCCTATAGCGTTGACTAATAAAGAAGAGGAAAAACTTGTCACACGTAAATATTTACAAGAATGAACAGAGCAATAAAGTAAACTAGAAGAATTCGCCTTCTTCCCCCTTTAAAAACTGTAGCAATAAAAATTTTATCATGAATTCTGCTTCACTATAATTTTTGGCAGTAATTCAGCAGAAGAATGTAGAGAATTCAATCCACGCATACATGATGAGCCGGTCATCATTGCATACATAGTGACCCAATCAGTCAGTCGGTAATGGTATACTTAAAATAAGTGACCATGTGCTAGGTACATGTCAGGCTAGACCACCACGTCGTGACGTTCTCCCCTCCCCCCCAAAAAAGACAACAAAAACAAGTATATTTAAGTATCTATAACCGGCGAAACATTATCTCATTCTCGACACAATATTTATTTAGTCGAGAGTGAAATCACCACACCAGCACCATTTTGTTTTCATTGGTAAAAAGAAGAACCCCACCCACACGAATAAAATATTTTCTTGCCGGCTTGTGATCACTAACCGTTCATAAATTATGTTATGCAAAAATGTCGATTTTTTCAGACCCTCCATGTGTTACACACTCTTTTAACATGTGGCGCAAATCGGCCTGTCACGCACCACTTTAACCCTCCACTCGAACCCCGCAACCGAGACATGCATAATTAATGGACATCCCCATATTGATGAAATGATGAAAGAGTAAGAGAACCGATACAAACAATTTGCATACGCCAAACTTGGCCAAGTCCATTCCAGGAGGAAGCGTGGAACAAAAAACGGCATATGATCAACAACAATGTGTGACGTGGAGTAGAAGGAATGGGTTTGGTTGGATTTAAAACGAGGGATATTCAGCAGATTAAAAAACAAAAATTTCTAAACTTACCGATTTTAGTAAAATGTAAAATTTCCTTCTAAGATTTCAAAACTTTTCGAAATCCAGACAATGAGCGATGTTTTAACAATCCATGCACTTTTTAACTCATGTCACAATTTGTCTAAAACTCTCTAGACTACGCACAATTCCATAATTCTACACTCGTTGATACGACCTTATCGTCGGGGTCACTTTATGTATGCATAAGTGCAACGCCCAACCCCACAAGTGTAAGTAAGTGGTTGGTTCCTGATGATTGATCGATGACACTTTTGCTCCTTGTTGCTGACTTGATAAATAAATGCACTCAGGTTTTCGTCCTTAATTCAGTCTCGACATGTGACACCAAACCTAGATTGAAAAAAATACAAAGAATATGTACAATCCAAATTACAAAACCATGAAGAAACTAAAAAGAAAATCTACCAACCTTTCCAACTTTACCAGCTTTTATTCATTATTATGCATGCATTTAAAACTCAGCCTACTAAATTGTGTATTCATTCACATTCACAGCACAACAAGTACTAAACCACACTTGACCGACTGGATTGGATTCGGTATTAAGAAATCTAAATTCTTCGCATGGATTGTACATGGATTCTTATTTTCATGGAAGGAATAGAATCGCTTTAGCAGCACGACATTGACAAACAAACCTCTGTGTACGAACAAAAAAGTGGTCTCATTTTTAGTTTCTGGATGGAAAATGCATTTTTAGTCTAACTTCACCAAAAATCCAGCAAATTGTCTACATTACGATACAAAAAAGTCGCCCGGCCGAAAAATTAAAGGTCAAAGGATTTTTCAAGGGTGACGCTTACATTTAAGATTGGCCAAAATTTTACCGAAAAATTCTAGTGAGTACTGTAGCAGCAGGTTGCCTTGTTGAGTATTAAAAGGACCCCGTCCAAAAATACGCACCATTATTTTTCCTTGCGGACCCTTCTGAATATTATCCTTCTTATCAGATAAATATGTATGCACACACATACGTATTTACATGCGTCCTACCTCGTCTCGTTTTAAGTAACAGGATTATCCGAGGAATGCAGCCAAGTAAGTATTTACATATTGTGCACCTTCAACCCGTCCTATTTTTAGCCACAAGTCCCGTAGCGAACCCTTCATGGAATTAAAAAAGTGACCATATTGTCAAGAAATCCTACACAAGCGACGTATGCACTTGTTGACGAGGAAATTGGACCAATTTCTCTTCTGGTCACTCACTCACTGTAAATACGTATCACTGCGTATACCAAATCTGGGCGTCTCAAGATTTGTGATGCTGCTGCTGCTGCCCAACTTTTGCATAGATTACTACTCTGTCCATACCTCATTTCGTGGGTGTGGTTATCTCGTCCACCTCGTCGTCATCGCCGTCGCCAGCGTGTCGTTGTCGCCGTCGTCGACGTCGTCACCTCCGCGTGGTGGTGATCTTGCTAGCTTGCTTGGTTATTATTATTATTATTGAGAGGCTGTCGCTTGACTATAGCAGCAGCAGAGCGACGGGGCGAGACTGGTTGGGGCTGCTTGTTTAGTTTTTTGAAACTGAGGAGGAAGGATTCTATGCATTTGGTGGCAGTGGTGGCTGGTTGGTAGTTGCCGCAGGGCTGCACTTTTGTATTGTTGTGTCGATCTCCTCTCCACCCAGAGACCCACTTTTCTACGAGCCGGTTCATTACACTCAGCAGCTACATGCAGCGTCGTCGTCGTCGTCGTCCTATAGATGCAGATGGATGGATGGCTAGAATAATATGCACAAATATACGCTGTGTCATCTCATCAACATCAACATCTGTAAAGCAAAGCAAAGTTGTAACAGAATCAAATCCAAGAAAATCCAATCCAATGTTTGGGACTTGCTAATAAAGAATGAATATGAAAATCACAGCGTGATCCTACTAGCTGAGGATGAGTGAGTACATGCTGCTGCTGCGTCGGTGGTGGTGGCGTCGTGGCGTGGCGTGGCTTGGCGTTGGTTGCACAATTTAGAAGAATTCTTTCAAATTAATAATATTCGAATATTTTCGTGGCTAATTGTGCTGGTCCTCTGGTGGATCACAGTCCAATCCTGCTCGATACCATTAATTGCGTGGAGTGGAGTCAAAGATTGTGGGACGTTGGGTGGCAGCAGTGGCAGAAGCAATTCCTATTTTGGTCACGACAAATAAATGATGTGTTAATCTGCAAAATGAAAATTTTGTAAGAATTAAAATTATTTTGAGCCAAATTTAATTCGAAAATTATAGGTCGATATTTTTTAGCATGCAAAATGAAATTTGTGAAAACCGTGAATTTGAGTCGAGTTCAATTTGAAACTTATTGCAATTTTGATCTCTTTTTTATATTTCATGGATCAGTTTATTTTCCGAAATGTAAGGATAAAATCGTTAAAATTAATTATACCTACAATTAGTAGTCGATTTATAAAGCGGTGCGTAAAATTAACTAACAATATATTTATGTAAATAGTCAAAACTTTAACGTGACCAGCCTTTTAAGAAGTTCCTGGCGGAAGTGGTGGAACGTAGGGGTGCTGACCTCCTCCTCCTCGCTGCTGTTGAGCGGGGAGAGGTGACTGCCTCCGCCATGGGACGCTGGGCGGGTTGAAATGTTGGTACGGATTAGCATTATTAAAGCGTGGTGGTGGTGGAGGGGGAGGAGCGCCGTGTAGAGCGGCTGGGTGGGTGTGCCACGAATAATCGGGCTGACGAGGGAAATAAGCATGTTGTGGAGGTCGGTAGTAATTGGAGGCTGTCAGATTAGCCAAATATTGCTCGTACTCGAACGCATGTCTGGGGGGTTGAGGTCCACCGTAAGAATTTGGGAAGTTGTTTCGATACTGGGCGGGGCGCTGGTGATGAGGAGGGCGTGGGTTGTAGTGGGGTCTACCGGGTTGGCGCAGGGGTGGTGGTGCCGGTGCGGATCCATTGGACGGATTTTGATTAATTCCGCCAGCACGAACTGGACAGAAAATGAAGACATGTAAATAAATTCGATACAAATTTGGATATGAATTTTACTTCAAGCGCACCTCTAACTTTCCTTTTCTTCCCTTTCTTCTTGACTTCGCGTTCTTTCTCATCATCGGAAAACTCCTGCACTTCGGGGGGAGGTTCGATGTCATCTTTCCATGAGGCGTCCGTCCCTCGCAATTTTTCAAGCTGGGCGAGCAGCACGAAACCTGGAATGGAAATTCATACTGATTCACGATCGATTTTTTCATGTAATCTGGACATGGACAAACTCTGAATTTTTCACATCTTGTTTTAAACTTCGATGAAACTGACACAACTTGCGAAGTGCCATCAGACCAATATGCAAAAAACATGAAATATAACAATAATTTTACAAATTTTGCATCACTTACTTGCATGTTGTGTCGTGGGAGCGCAGTAGACGAGACTCCCCACAGTTACCCCGTTCGCCTCAATGTGCAGCATAGAGTTGAATCGGACGCAATACCAGGGCTGCTTTACAGGCCCCATCACATCAAAAACACGACCCAAGGCACGGTCACCTTGATCCAGAAAGAGGACAGAATCCAAATCTAAGGCCGGCGTTGACGGAAACGCTTCAACGATCACTGGAAGTATATTCAAAAATAAAATTGAATTTTAAAACTGGATAAAATTAGGATTCATACACATATTACAAAATACAGTTGAATTTCAAAATTGGCAAAATAACTAAAGTTTTGACTGACCGAGCGGATCGACAACGCTTTTAATAACTCCGATCGGTTTAGCTTTGTCATGTGGGACGGAAATTGTGAGGTCTTGGATGGGCGGAAGGTCATCAAAGTTCATCTCCCCTTTGACCCGAGGCGGCTGCTTTTTGGCTTTGGATTTCGCATTGGATGACGATAAGTCATACTCCTCATCGGAAGAACTGGAATAAAGTTAATATTCAAATAAGATTAAAAGTTAGGTTACGCGATAATATAAATTTTGTACTAACGATAAGTCAGCATCGTCACTATTTCCGGTTTGTTTCTTATCAGATTTCTTCCCCTTGTCGGTATCGTCATCCGAGTCGAGAGCACTGTCGGGTTCGGAGTCCTCCGTCTCAACGTCATCTGTGACCTCCTTGTTCCGAAATGTGGTAAAGGGGGATGATGCAGGAGGCATAATTGCAGCGATGGAAGTGTCGCTAGTCCCATTTTTTTCGTCCCCTGTATAAAACGATGATTAATTAATGATCAACTTGTATTAACTGAATTTAATCTTGAATTCAAATTTAACTGACCTTCCTTCTTTACTATTGCGAGTAGTGGAGGGACTGCAACACTATCTTCTTCCATTTCGTCTGCTTAATATAAATTACCAATTAATTCATTCATAATTCCAAGAAATAAGAATTAAATTGTTTAATTTGACGTGCCCTTAATTTAATTAAGACCTAAAACTGACCTTCTTTTTTTACAATGGCGAGTGCCGTTTCAATTTCATTCTTATCTTGCTCCATCGTAGAAATTTCGACCTTTTTCACGATACTCTTATCATCTTCTGCCACAACCGCTTCCATCTTCACCTTCTTATCTACCTCCATGTTCTCCCCGGTCGTCGTCGTCGCTATCACCATCACAATGTCCTTCTTGTCCTGTTCTTTTTCTTCCTCCCCTTCGTCGTCATCGTCGCCATAATCCGCTGCGAGGGCGGACAGCGCACCCAGGCGAGAACTTAACGCCATCCCGTCAAAATATGAGTGGTTATCCAAGCTCCTTGTGGTAAGATTATCGAAATTACGTAAAGTTAAGTAGAACAATTAAATCTTACTTTTAAATTATTTGTTATTTTATTTTGAGGCACAGTACAGCAGAGTACAGCGTACAGTTTACGTGAGATTGAGCACGTGCAGTGTCGCGCTCATGGTTGATCCTGTCCATCCATCGAGAAAAGGAAAAAATGAGCCAGCCAAAAAACGGAAGCCAACAAACATTTTAATTTGTCGTCGCTTGAAAAGTTAATTAATTGTTATAAATTAGCAAAGGGAACTCTACCTTGATAAGCCAAAAGTGATAAGGATACACAAGTTCTAGGTTTACAACTGTATGTAGTTAGTTTGATAGAAGAAATAATTAGTGTTAATTAGATGTTGCTATTTCCTTTGTTCTTCGTTAATTTTCATTTTTGTTTCGCGAGTAATTTACAATTTGAAAGCAAGTTTCGTAAATGAATATCTCAACGCTGGAGGGAAGAACAACCAAGAAGAATCAGCCACCTCCACACCCAAAATTTTCTGGTGGACGTGGCGGTTATTATTTCGCAGACATTAACGACATGAACTACAATCATGGTAAGTTACTAATTAATATTGCACTTGATTGATTGATAGTCATTTATTCACATGTTATTCCTTGATCAGTATAATTTAACGACTGGTTTACATTAAGTAACACTTACTTAATTGAGCCCCCCAATTTTACATTACTATTAGACTAATAGTAATGTATATATAACTAATAGTATTAGTTATAAACAGTAGGACTAAACTAATTACGTTATATAATAATTTACGAATCGTCCCTTATTTGAAATTACCTTGTACATTTCTAGCTAATTAAGTTTTGTGCATAGGTTACTCCGGCGGCCCCCCACCTGGCTACGGTCCCCCACAGGAAGGTCCCTACTACGGCGGCCCTCCTCCCCCCGACCAAAACTACTATGATCCTAACTACGACCCCAATTACGCCCAACCAGGTCCGCATCCACCACCACCAGTTAATCATACGCAATACTATCCAGGCGCCGGCTACCCACACGCTCACCAACACACGAACCCACCCCCTTTCCCTCCACCACAACAACAACCACCGTCCGGGTATTACGAAGATCCACAACAGCACCCGCAGCCCCAATTTGCTCGGAGAGAAACGGCACCACACCAACAGCAGCATCAGGAGGACACGAGAATCTTAAGAAATCCACATCCCCACATTCCACTCGGGTCGACAAGGGAAGAAACCTACGATCCCAGCTTGCCCACTTACAATGCTACGCCAATCTACAATCAGCCCCAGCTCACAGGACCACCACAAGTAAATAGATTAACTAATTAACTTCCTCGTCGTCACTTCCCTTCATTCAATAACTAACTAACTTGTTCCTCTAGAAAACCCCCATCGTAGCCCCCACTCTCAGCTCAATCTTTGAAATAGCGGCGGAACGTGTCTCTAAAAAAATCTCGGAACAGCATCAACGCCCAGAACCTGCTGCTGGAGGAGGACAACATGTCGATCCTCGCATACGACAAAGACAATCGGAAGCGCCACCACCACCCACGATGAACGAGGGAGGCGGCCACTACACAATTCAACAACGTGGCGCGGGACAAGAATGTCAGACTGAAATTATTACCGGGGTGGTGACCCAAATGCAGGAAATGTTTGGTATGGTTAGCTCGGAAATATTCTTTCAGACGAGGTAAGCAGACTTATTATATAGTGGTGAATGAAAATCTGGGATGAGTTTATCTTTGTTAAATTAATTACTACCGTGTCAAAAAATCGTCCATCATTCATTTAATTCATTCAGCACGGTGGTTGGAGCGCTACCGGCTGTGGGGGACAAAGTGGTCGTCGAGGCAGAACGAGTGTCCGGAATGCCCTTCAAGTTTAATGGAAAAAGAGTGCAGATTCTCTCGAAGGACTTGACCTCAGAGGCTCCCACTTCGACAGGGACTGACAATTTAGACTTTGAGCGGAGACAGCGCCCTTCGAGAATGTCGATGGACTTCGGCCCCCTTCCGGAGCTGCCCAACTCGTTAAATCTCACTAGTCCGAAAGGGGAACCAGCACCGCCGTTAAAATCCATTCTGAAGCGAAACCCACCTCCACCACCCATGTTGTCGGACCGTGCCCAGGGAAAAGTCGTGTACCGACCGGAAAGCCCGATTGTGGAAGAACAGAAATTTGACCGTAACCGTGACCGTCGTGACCTTGAGCCGCGTAATAGTGCAGGGAAACCTGGCCCTCATCCCCTCTTCTCGCTCGACTTGAGGAACGACTTCCCCATAATCAAGCCCCCCATTCAACCCCTCCTCTCCATTCAAGATCTCTACCCAGAGTTGCTATATGTTAAGAATAACCCGACCAACGGGGAATCTGACGCTCCACCGACTCTTGTGAGACGTAGGTCGAGGACAAGATCAAGATCAAAAGAAAGAAATGCGAGACCTTCGAATAGGAGGTCAAGAACTAAAACTCCACCGAGACGGAGGAAATCAAGGTCAAAGAGTCCAGAGGGGCGAAAAAGGTCACATTCCCCTTCGAGTCGAAAAAGGGTGAAATCTCCGAACAGAAAAAGGTCAGTTTCACCCCCAAGTCGAAAAAGGTCACCTTCTCCGCGTCGAAGAAGGTCAAACTCTCCTCGTTCATCACGAAGAAGGAGATCAAATTCTCCAGTTCGAATTCGAAGGTCAAAATCTCGGAGTCCAGGTCGCACTCGGAGGTCAAAATCTCGCAGTCCAGGTCGCACTCGGAGGTCAAAATCTCACAGTCCAGGTCGCACTCGGAGGTCAAAATCTCGCAGTCCAGGTCGCACTCGGAGGTCAAAATCTAAGAGTCCAGTCCGTATTCGGAGGTCGAAATCGCCTATAAAACGGCCTGGAGGAGAGAAATCTTCGACGAAGACTTCGAGACGAAAAGGCCGTGACGACGAAGGTGGCGACGAAATTCAAATCATATCAGAGAAGAGGAAAGAGCGCGAGAGACTGGAGCGGGTATCCTCATCCCCTGAAGAGCAGGATCCCGACCAACCAACTAATAACCCGTTCGGGGCGAAGAGCGAAATTAAAGCTGTCGTCCAGACCTCCAGTCTTTTTCCCCGATTTCCCAGAAAAAGCAGTCCGGACGAAGACATACACCTGAAATTCTCGGCGCCAGGACCATCAGATTTTGACGAGGCGAAGAAGGCCATTCTATCAGGAAAATCGAATTCGGGGAATTCAAGTAAACCTAAGTCTGCTCCCCCGATTCCGATCAAGTTTCAGATTGGGACTCCACCAGCGCCCGTACAAGCTCCAAAAATTGTGCCAAATCCCACCTTCGGTAAGGTCATTCGGCCCTCGACAGGTACTTGGATAAAATTCAGAGCTGGGCAAAATACGTTGAAAAAAGCAACCCAATTTTTAGTAGAAATTTTGTGCACCAGTACAAATTTATGGAAATCCAGAGTCAAATTTTTAAAGTGGATGGAAAAATACCCTGCACAGTATTTGTTTCAGTTTCAATAAATAATGTTTTTTCGGCTTCCATGAAGGATGATAGCACAGAATTTGCTTTTGAATTTAATTTTGAGTAGATAATCAGTAATATTATTGGTGGAAAGGTTTTCGAGATATAAGGCTAAATGTGCAATTTTATAATTTTCCGTCGTTTCAGAATTTTAATTATAATTTAAAGCGAACTTTGCGACACTTGCAAATCGTGTTTTCTTAATTTCTTACATTAAAGTAATGCTAGCAATTCCTTATTCTGTTCGCAATACTGAATCTTATCCTATGAACCCTATTAACGAAATTTGATCACCAATTTGAGGAACTTTCGACAAAATTCTTGTATTTTTAACCCGAACCAGGGCTTATGTAAATGTCATGTCCGTCCGTCTATCTGTGTTTTTCGATAACGCTCGACCGAGTTGACCGATTGACTTGAAATTTTTACCATATGCATATTGAACAAAGTTAGGAAACGAGTTCGAAGATGAAGAAAATCGGTTCAGTGGTTGACCCGTGGGGGTCACCTAGGTGGGTGGGGTATCATGCACCAAAATTTCAAAATTATAGTAGAACGCTGAAATTTGGTACAGAGGATGTAAATTGGTCTTAATGGAAAAGTATGAATTCAAATTATGAAATTTTCTTCCGGAGGGACCCTACGGGGTGACCTCCACTGATTTTCAGAAATTGACAGAAAAACTGAAATTTGAAATGGAGATCCCTAGGCTTTCTTATAAAATATTTTGACGTTAATTATGAACAAAAGGTAATCAGAAGGGCACTTAGAGGGTGACCCACACAGTAAATATTTTTAGAATTTGGTGCTAAGTAGTACAAACGAAGAATTTACGTTAGTTAATGTAAGAATTAGTGAAAAACAGTAGCGTAGCACATAATTTTATAGAAACTAGTGACAAATATGGTTTTACAAATCAATCCTGGTTCGGTATAACAAAAGTAAGTAAAGCTGTACTGATAGGTTTTTTATGTAAATTCTCAGCGCTCTAAAAAAACTATTATTTTGCTTCAAAATATTTGTCAAGCTTTTATTTGAAATACATTTTCAAACTTCCCAATTTCCAATGTTGATAAAAGAACTATTGTATAAATGTATTTTGCCCATCTCTGCCTAAATTTACCAAATTTATCTAAATTTGTAGTATTTTAACACCCAACTTTTAAAAATACGTAGCTCCCAACAGCGGCGTCCTCCTACAAAACCCCTCCTTTTCTGCGAACCCTTCCACCGTCGTGGCGCAAGTCGAGAGAGCCGTGAAACTCGCAGCGAAAAAGAAAAAGAAGGACGAGCAAGCTCCCGCGTACGTCATCAAGAGCGATAAGCCCACCCCGACCAGCACTTTCACCTCGCGTCTGGGGGAGACCAAGGAACAAGAGCAAGCACGTCGCATCGCCGAGTTGAAGAGTTCCCTCCAGGCGAAGAAACTGGCGCAAATTCAAGCCCAGGAACAGATCCTTCTTGAACAAAAGGCCGCCTTGGAGGCGGAGATTTCCAAGAATCGCGTCACTGAAGAGATCTCCGTTCGTCGGGTGGAACTGCAAAAGAGCGTCGAAGGGAAGTTGAAGGACCTCCGGAGCGCGTGGGAGGCAGGGCAGCAGGCCAATGGGGGTGGTCCCACCGTGATGGCGACAACGAAGGAGAACGAGGAGAGAATTCGGGAGGACATGCATTACAGGAGGTTTCTAGAAGAGGAGAAGCGTCTCCAGGGTGAGTCCGGTTTTCTTGACGTGTGAACTATGACCTCAATTATTGTTCTTCCTTTAGCCGCTGGTGACACGTACGGAATAAGTGAACTGTACAAGCGGGAGGATCGTCGGCGTCGTCGCGTGGAGGAGGATCGTCTCGTCGAGCTGCGCATGGAGGAAATGCGGTTGAAAAAGGAGAAGAATTGGGAGGCGATGAAACAGTTGCGAGAATCGTTTGGGGGGACGGCAGAGCGAGAGACGGAGATCATGCGGCTCCGCGAGATGAGGAAGAAGGAGGAAATGGCGGATGAAGAGGCGGCCAGTCTGCTGGAAGAACAGGAGGTATGCATTTGTACTTAATTGCCCAACTATTGAGTAATTAATTTGAATAATTAAATACTCAGGTATTTCGTCGCGCTGTTGAACGTTCTCAACGAGGTTCTGAAGGTCCAGTCCGACGACTCGTCATGGACACGCAGATGCGTCAACTCGCTGCTGCACAGATAAGCGTAGGTGATGGAGAAGTTCGTGGAGAACGGCTGCCGTCACCACAACCTCGGAAAAGGTCGCCTTCTCCAAGAGTAGAATCGTCCCGACGTCGACGATCATCTCGATCCCGGTCAAGATCACGAACTCGCGTGTTACGAAGGTCGCGATCACGATCTCCACGATCACGGGTCAAGCGGCATAGCCGGAGCCGAAGTAGGGATCGTGGCGACAAGAAAAGTAGAACTCGACGAGACTCTCAATCTCCTTCTGGACGACGCGACCGAGAAATGCGGTCCCACCTTGACGCCGATGCGGCCCGCATGGCCCTGAAAATGGAGGAGATGCAGCGTCACGAGGAAGAATTGATGATGCGGGAGAGAGAAATTCAAGACCGAATGCAGTTCATGCAACAGCAAGAAATGCTCCAGCAGCAGATGCATCAAGAACAACAGTTTCATCATCATGGGCAGCCGCAGTACTTTGACGACCGGGGAGGAGGTCTACACCAGGAAGTCCACTATCAAGACAGCTTTCTGGAGGAAGATGACCACCGACCCGAGGCGGTCTACATGGTGAGAAGGTATTGATCTCCAATGTGCATGGATTTTCTCTGCTGGATTAATCAAATTGGATGGCGAGGTTTGATTAACATCTTTCATAAACGGATTAATTAATAATTGTTCTATTTAATTACCTTCGCAGTTATAGATGAGGAGATCGCTTTGAAATGAAAAAATAGGATTGGACTGATTGGAGAGATGCAGTCAGGACTCTTGTTGGATGACTGAATATTATGATAATTAAAAACACAGATGAATCTTTTAGTCATAATTTTGATTAACTTAATTTTGATTAACTTACTTAAAGTATAAATGTTAATTGTACCTCTTTTTATATTCTTTTGATTTGATAAAAGAATTTAAAAATAATTGTTTTCAAGTGCCATGAACGAATGCATTTAAGTTTCCCGAGGTGAAATTTTGAATGTAAACTTTATACATTGAATAGTTCCTTCTACTCATGATACCGTAGTTTTGTAGTTAATTTAAATAATTATTTTAATTAATAATTTGAAATTATATAGTTAAGTTAGTTAACTATATAATGATGAATCTTACATAATTCTTGTGTTGTACCTGGTACATAGAACTTTGTTGGAGATTTTTTTTCGTTCAATTATGTTTGAAATTGAATAAAATAAATATTACGAAATTTTGGAAAAGTTGTGTTTTTTATAAATCTCAATATATTTTTTATTGATAACATTTCATCATTAATTCGTAATAAGTCATAAAGATAAAGGCGAGAGAGTGATAAGTATTTACGTAAAAACATAAGACTCGGTCGGAACACATTTTTTAAAATTATTATTCATTTCATTCATCTACAGTCATTTCATTTTTATTTTACTTAATTATTTATCTTTGGTTTCATACATATCTTTTTGATAAGCTACAATTTTTTTAAGTACTCAAGTAAAGGCTACACAATTCTAGAGGTCACATTTTGTATTATTATTTTTTGGATTAGGCGACACACAACCAGCTTGATTTATTTTGGCGTTTGAACCTGCGCAATCCGATGAGAGATGAGTGACTGCATGACTTCCAAGCGCTTCATGACGTCCTCCGCCAGCTCGTCGAGCGTCGTGTAACGCACGTCTTGAAAGGAGAAGATCGCGTTGAGGAATTCGAGGAATTTGTCCTGCACAAAAAATTACAGGTTCACTATAGTTTATACATATAACATATAACAGCTAAATCGTAGACAAGCTTTTTAACATGCGCTTTTAGCTTCCGAAGTAGATTTGTTTTAATTAACCCAAAAATTGGGATTGTTGCAAAAATAAATTGACTCGGTCCACTCAAAAGTTATTAAAGGCCAGAGTTTCGCAAACCCAAATCTTATACCATCTAAAACTTTTGACCTTCAATAACTTTTGAACGGGCAGAGCTTCCGAGTTCATTTTAGTTTTGAAATTATCACAATTCTCGATTTGATATTGACGCAAGAAATTCGAGGGATACATTTCTCAAACCGAGAACACGTGTTAAAAGGCGTGTCTACGATTTAGCCGTTATAAACCATAGTTGTTTGTGTGAGGACGATTATTATTTTTAAAAGTTGACCCACTTTGAAAAAGAAGCATATTTCCTGCACCGTTGTGGTTGGGCCGAGAAAGCCCCACGCCAAGGTGGGCATGATCTGTTCGGAGAGGGTGTAAAAGTGAGCCATGAATCCGTCCGAGTAGCGGAGCCATTTTCTCTTAGTTTTCAACACGGACCACACCGCTGTTCCCAGAGCAGATTTCTAAATTTAAAAATACGACAATAAGGCATGCAAATTATGGTGATTAGACAGAACCCTAACCTTGAATGAGTTTGACAACCAACGATTCTGTGTGACAGCAAGAACGGAGGCGGGCGGACTTTCGAGGTCTTCAAACGCATCGAGGAAAATATAGTCAAGTACAATGTCGTAAAATGTGAGGGCGCGGAGACCCCGGTCTTTCAACTCGTTATCGATCAAACCCCAATTTCCGCTTTCTTGTGACCAGTTGACTAAAAATCAAAATAGTTGTGACGAGATAAGTCTTTTTTATTGCTTATAAGATAAGCAATCAATTCAATCAACTCTTGTACCGATTTCGTCGTACGATGACTCAAACTCGGTGGGATCCTGCAGAAGGGATTCATTCATTTATTTAGAACGTATTTCTTTAACATGCCATTTATTTTATAAATTTACCTTATCCGCCTTGATTAGCAACTGACAAAAAACTTGCTTCCCTTTGAGCATGATCCACTGCCGTTTATCCGGATTGGAAATTATTTTAGAAAACGCACCTCGGAGGCAGTGGAGCTTGGCGAGGTACTCATGATCACCACCCGTCGTGCACCCAACCATTTCCGTCTTCAAGGAACTATAATCCAGCAGTAGCAAAAATTTTAGGATTCAAAACATTACAGAACATTCAGTTTTAACCAAAATTTCCCTACCGATACGGCACCGCACCCGCTTCCACGAGTTGGAGGGCATGTTCAAAGAGAGGATGCCGGACACCAGTCCCATCGCTGTCACCTTGACCGCCTGACTCGCTTAATTTGAACGACTGAAATCCAGCGGAGTCCAAACTTTGAAGAATGTCTTCATCGTCGCTCAGCCAGTCTTCTGCAGACATGAAAGAATCCACAGAGCCGACGGAGCGGAGACGACTGCGACGATCGTACGAGGTCAGAGAGCCACCCCCGCCATGCTCCGATTCTGCGTAGAGCACGGACCCCTGACAAAAAAGTTTTAATATTAAATTGCTCCCTGCTTATAATTTTAACAAGCTGCCTCGCACCTCGTCCAAGTAGAGCTCCTGCGCTAAATGTTGCAATTGTTTGGCCGCCTCGAGTATTGGTTGTAGCTGAGCGATCGTGCGACTGACGTTGTTTTCGTCGTCTTCGTCCATTTCGAGCAGACTGGCGTCCCTCTCTTGCTTTAACAGTTGGAGAGACTCTTCCCAAAACGAGACCGATTTTTGAAGTGTTTCCATTCCTGAGAAAGATATAAACAGTATGATTAATGATTATTACTATTTTATGAGGTCACAGGTCATACCTAGAATTCCAAGTTGCGTACAATTCAGCCCGGATTGGCCTACGCCTAGATCCAGGACGGAATTGGAGACGAGGGTGGACTGCGTTAGGATGGAGGATGGCCCACTCCTCCGGTTTCCGGGAAGTTGAGGGCTGATCGTGGAAGTTGATGAGGAATGACCTGATAATTATAATGGTGTGGTAAGATACTTATTTGTTAGATGAGAAGGAGTGACCTTTACCTCTGCCGAGCAGTCTGAGCGCAAATCCACTACTGCCCACACCGTCGGGAATGTCAGCACCACGTCCTTTGCCGAGCAGCGATGACGAAAACGTCGGACTTGAAGGAATGTTCCGTTGTCGACGGAAATAATGAGCAATCAATCCCACCGTGGTTATCCCGGCAAGCGAGGTGACCACCACAAGAAGAATCTATACGGTAATTTTATTTAGTATACTTATTATGAAAACTTCACCTTAAAATTGACTCACCTTCTGACCGCGAGAAAGTCCCCCTGCTGATTCGACACCAGCCAAAGGAAGGACTTGGAGGACGGTGACGGCTGCGTTACTGATTTGTCCAGAGACCGTCGTCACGACCTCCTCGGCTGGCGTGGGGACCATCGTCCCACTCACGCGAAGAAGTGGGGGTGGCAAATGTTCCGCCAGGTTGACCTTAGATGGTCACCTATAGCAATGATTGCGATAAGTTAATTTATAGTTAATTTTGGGTTAATTTTAAACGTGGCAAACCCCCCACCCACTTCTCTTCCATAATGAGCCAATTAAAATCAAGAAGATGACCACTACGAATATTGTTTTGACGTCATTACGTAATTCAAGTTATTTAATAAATAGACAAATAAGGTAATTTTTAGTTATGACTCAGTACAATTTCAAACAGCTAACAATGTATACGAGTTTTTGAGTAATTACTAGTAAATTATGTTGCTGTAAATATTTACCTTTTATTAATAGAATTCATTGCCGGAGTGATGAAATAAAATCTGCTGGAATCACATACTTCTTTGCTGCTCACTAACTTGAATATAACGCCCAGCCCAAAACCGGAGACTGCCCCAAAAAAGTACGTTTTCAATATTTTCATAATTTATTTGTCGAAACTGTTGCATTAATTTCAACAATTAATCTACAAACTTTGTAGTGCAAAGTAATAGTAATAGTGAGCAATACAATAATTTTTCGAAAAATCAATAGCAATTATAAATCTAGACTAGTCTTGCTTGGGTCAACTTTGCATGTATATGTAATAAAAATGGCAATGGTTATCAAGCGGTCGTCGTTGTCGCTATTTTTTCTTCTTCTTGGTCAGCATCTCCTTGTGGGGGTTGTTCTTCATCTCCTCCTCTCTTAGCACCAGCAGCCCCACCCTTCTTCTGCTGCTGTTGAAACTCGACCAAGTGTGGTGTCAAGTCCACCTTAAACTCCTCCCTTGGCCGTCCGTGATGCTTCACGCGAAGGGTGCAACTGATCACAAAGTCCTCCGGACGCTTCCCACTCACCCGGCGGGGAACCACGTCGCGCAGAATTGACATAAAATTAGACTCTAGCTCGGGCGTGGTCATGTTCAGCTAAAAAAATATACATACATTAGTAATATTCAAGAATTGATTAGTGCTGCTTGCTTATCCGTCTCACCGTGCCAATTGGAGTCTCAAAATAGCCATAGTCCGGCTCTCTATCATTCTTCTCCAACCTGATCTTAATTCCACTCTTCAGCCGAGTAATTTCTGGGATCAGGTCGGTACTGATTGTCTTGTTTTTCACCGTGGGAAAATTTCTCTTGATTATGCCACGAATCTGGGACAAATCTGGCACGATAGACGGATGGGCTACGATGTACTCATACTCTTTCGCGTTTATCTCACCCTCCTGGTTAATAAGTGGGTTAATTAATTTTAGAAATTCGGGATTAGTTACTATTTTTCGTACCAATATCATCTTAATAATTTCCTTCGATCCAGCCATGTCGGCCCCGGCGGCAAAAACTGATTCAATATATGTAACGTCTTCCGGACAAAAGGCGAGGATCGAGGGACGAACCATCCCTTCGAGGATGAAGGGTGCCTTCATCTCAATCACGGAGCGCCAACCGTCCTGAAACCTACAATATTACAAATTAAATACTGCTTGATTTTGATTATATTGTATGGACTGCTGACTTGTTAGGTCTGTTGGGGTAGACGAGGTCAACATTGACTCGGAGAATGAGGGGGGCATCTGGCACATTGTACATCGTTGGGTGGTAAAGCTCTTTAAAATTCTCCACCGCCGTGGCGAAAGGGTAGCGAGTGAAGCGGAACTTGTATGAGACGAACACGTCGTCAATCGGGAGAGGGTAAATGGTGTCGTCAAAGGGGCGCTGTTTCTTGTAAGGTTGGCTAGATAGAGGGGAGAGTAATTGTTTAATGCTTAGTTAAACAAGGTAATTAATTACTAGATAATTAATTAAAATATGACCCTTACTCGAGCTCTTTTCGGACTTTGTCAAACATAAAAACCTTTTTAACCTCTTCTTTCTTCACTTTGGCTTTTTCTCGCTTGGTTCTTGTCCCCTTTCTGGCGGCGAAGGAACGGGAGGGTTGCTGAAGGAGGAGGACAACTGGGGGTGGTGGTAATGTAACATTTGAGAATTGCGAGGGCAAGGAACACGATAAGGCTCGTATCGTGGATAAGTTAAGGATTGATGAGACCAGTTTCTTAGAGGAAGACGAGAGCAACATTTTGATAAAATTTGAATCAGATAAGGATCTGTAAGTTAGTCAAAACAAAAATTAAATCTTTGTTAAGTAAAACAAATTAAAAATTGACGATTTCCACACATTTTCTCACCTCTCTTGAGCCAAATTTATGAAACTAAATCTTCCATCGGCTCCCGACTTGACTAATATTTAAAATCAAATCAAGATAACTCCCGTTTTTAACAATTTTTCAAAAATGAATTGAAAATTTGTTTTATTCCGGTGAGCACAGATTTTGCTTTGCGGGCAGGGTTGTGATTGGTGGTGGGGCAAGGTGAGACTTTCTGGATTTGAACCAGCACCGCGTAAGGGGACGAGAAGCCAAAAAAGAAGGGTCAGGTAAATCACAACCGACAACTGAACGTACACAGCTCGCACACATTCCAAGTCCCTCTCATTTCGTCACCACCATAAAAATTGTCGTTTCTTGCGACACTTCCGGTTTTTTTGGCTGACTTGGGTTCGACCTTATCTTGACTTATCGAACCAAGTCCCAAGTCAAGGTGTTCACTCGTTTTTAATGAAAATTTAGGAGGACTTTACGCTTACTTTACGCTTACTTCACTCTTGGTACGAATTTATTTATTTATTTTTTTTAAATATAATTTAATTATTCTGCTGGAAAGTTAATTATATTTGGTTGAAAGTCGAGTTTATTTGTAATTAAAAAATTTAGTCTCTCTCTTGGTACGAGTTTATGCCGTATTTTATAGATTTTAATCATTATTAAATTTAATTAATTCATGTTTCTGCAAGAAAGTTGTTTTTGACCATAGTTAATTAATCTCATTTATATCTTAACTATTGCAGTACAAATCAAACTATGTCTGAGAACGGATCTCCAGTTCGTCGTAAGAGACCCAGTCCAAGGAAACATCCTTACGAGAGGGCATTTGGTGGGGGTGCGGCTACTTCAGAGGAGAATGGGCCCTCCGCCGCACTTTCTTCCGCTATGGGGGCGCGGTTTCCTCTCAAAACTGCTGCTGCTGTGACATCCTCATCATCTTCGTCATCTAACTTCACTACTGTGACCATCATGGGAGGAAAGATCCGCTCACCGCTGAAAAATATTCAGGGTTCGTCAGCTGCACAAAAAGTGGGGAAGGGGGCATCTCCGATCAAGAAGGTGAATACTGTTCAGTCCAATATTGTCCGCTCGCCGTTGAAGAAAATTCAGCCAATTGGTCAAGCACAGTCAAACCAGCCAAAACCACAATTCCCACTTTTCCATCAGCAAGCAAAACAACAGAAACATGCAGCAATTAATATTTACACAGAAGTGGAGGATAAAGATGAAAGTATGGCTCTCGTTGCCCCTCCTGTCGCTCCCACTGCCACCATTACTTCTGCAACTGCAGCACAGAATAAATCGGCAGCACCAACTTTTGCCAGTTTATTTAGGACGACACATGATGAGCCGGATGAGGCCAAAATCCAAGTGGAGGAAAAAGACGAGGGCGATGAAACTCTGTCCTGGAATCCGTTCCAAAGCATCAACATCATGGGGGGAGTTTTGGGACAGGTAAATATTTAAATAAATAATGGTTACTTTTTATTTAAAGGATTAATTAACTTAAATTTGAATTGCATTTATATTTTTGCAGTTGCAACCCCACGGCCTAAATTCGAGCTTCTCAGAAAAATTTGAATCCCGTCTTGGCATAAATTCTGATCCCAAAGTCAAGGATCTAGAGCTAGCCGTCACGAACGATGAGAACGTGGCGAAGGGGAACAATGAACCAAGTTTACGCTTCACAATGGGAGGATTGTGTCGCGGCGTGTTGACTGAGCGACTCACACCACTCTTCCAATGTGGAGAATACGTGGGGAATATTTTGCGCTACTGGGGCCAGATGGAGGCCAAATTTCGTATCAAGTGGGACTACATGGATCGGCACGAGGGGATCTCACACGTCATGAGGACCATCCTCATAGACTGGATTGTCGAGGTCGTGTCAGAATATGACCTCACCGAGGAGTCGTTACACTTAACGGTCAACTACATCGACAGGTTAGATTTTGAATATGAACTATGGTTTACCATGATTTTTAAAATATCCTCCTGGTTTTCAGATTTTTGAGCAAGATGAACGTGAAACGAACCAAACTTCAACTCGTCGGTGCTACAGCGGTATTTATTGCGGCAAAGTTTGAGGAAATGACTCCCCCAGAAGTCTCCGATTTGGTCTACGTCACCGATGAGGCTTATACGAAGAACGAGGTTGGTTGGGTTGATTGGCATATTCTTATTTTTCTAAATTGAGAAATTAAAACATGGCGAATTAATTTCTTCTTAGATTTTGGAGATGGAAAAGTGCATGCTCACCTGTCTCGAATTTGACCTCATGATGCCCACCGCTCATAGTTTTGGTGTCGCCTACTGCTCTCTGCTCAATCTTGGAGATCCGGGAAGGTCACTGGTCTCATACCTCGTCGACTTGTCTCTCATGGAGGGAAACGTTTTTCTCAAATACGTTCCCTCCATCGTGGCTGGAAGTGCCGTCGCCTTGGCCAGATTCGTCTTTCATGTTAGATCCACAGACTTACTAGTTTTCGCTATGTATGCACATTTAACCAAGTTAATAATATATTGCAGAACAAATTTTATGACGCTGATCTCCGTCGCTACTGCCGTCACAGGAAGAGGACGCTTATCCCGTGTGTGCGTGATTTGCATGAGGCCTTTTTCATGGCCCCCACAAAGGGACAGACGTCACTTTACGAGAAATATCAAGCAGTCAGATATTGCTCCATTGGGGACGCCTTAATCCCCCACAATGGGCCTTGGGATGAACAAACTCAGTGATTTTCTCGACTCTACACAAGCCCAACCACCATTTGAGAATTAATACGTATAAATAATTTACAGATTCTATAAGATATAAGATAAGAAGAAGCGGGCGACGATATACATCATATTTTTTACAAGATTATCATTATTTTAAACAATTTTTATACTGTTCCTCTGTTCCTACTGGAATTAGTTGCTTATCAGGAAGAATGAATGACTGGTCGTGTGTTGCATACCATTTATTTTTAATGAAGAATGCAGATTATTTATTATTGTTATTGCGGATTTGTATGTACAATTATATCACGGAATGAATATTATTGCTGTCTTGTTTGTGCTCATGTACGAATATTTATATTGATGTGCGATTTTTTTCGCAAGATTATATTATTACTCGTATAACTTACCTTTTTAATAATAGTTAGGTTAGAATGCTAATTGAATCATGATGGTATGAATGAATGCGTGTTGTTTTTTTTATAAAAAAAAATAAATGGTACGAAAGAAGTAAATCAATAGTTTGTTTAAATCGCTTCTTTTTTATCACATTTTTGAGATTTTTTTGTACAATTTTCATCTCTCTCTTTCTCTCTTTCGGAGACTTATCATCTAAGGATAGTGGAAAGATAGTCGATTTAAGCAAATTCATTTCTCGATGGCAAATTTAATTAGCTTCAAGTTTGAAGTTGATAATAATATTGATCAGAATGGATGGATTATCGATAATAAATCATAACAATTTGTAATAATAATTGATCAATTACATAGGCACAAAATTTTCCAAAAAATTTCGATCGTGTTTCCTTTGCTTTTTTGTAGTCTTTAAAGTTCAACAAGTAAGAAATCTGTCCAAAAAAAGTAAACTATTTTTGTATACTTTTAAATACTAATAGTTAATTAATTAATTAATTAATTGTCACCGTTTAATCGATTGATTGGTTATGTAAATATTTTCATAATTAATCACTCCATTCCGTGATTTTTTAATAGTGGTTGGTTTTCTGAGCATGAATAATTAATTTCAAATTTTTTAAAAAGCTCACAACAGTCAAAATTACTTGTATAGTAAAAAACAATTTTGAAATACAAATATTTTTTATAAACTAAAAAAATCAGTCTACAAAAATTCTGAGAGACGATCGAAACCAGTATTATTTTTTTTTTCTAGAAAGAAACTACTATATGAATTACGTTTTTTTTACATACGTGAAAAATTTTGAATTAAACAAAACTTCTAAATTTAATAATTATTTAGCTATAATTTTCATCACAAGGAATATATTTAATAATTTTAATTTGTCATGTCATATTTTTGGCGTGGGTACAAACAAATAAGTCAAATCAGCCCAGTCACAAATAAGTTCTCCGCTCGTCCGTCCCCAACAATTAAACTACTTATAACTAATTAACAATCTTATCATCTCTTGTGTCAAAATGATAACAATAATAATACACAACATAATATTATTTACCATAATAATAATGTTTTAACAACGCTCATGTAATAATGATGCTTAAAACTATAAATCTTTTTCATACGTCTCTCTCTCTCTGTATTTTCATAAATTTCTTAATAAATTTAGTTAGTTTCTGGAAGAGATATTTCAAAGGAAAACCGACTTGTCAATCCAAGAGTCAAATCTGTGAAGAAAGTATGTCATCAGTCATGACATGGCGACGACGACCGGGTTGGTGGTATTGGTTTTTTGAAGAAAAATTTCCAATTGTTCTCTTTTTTCGTTGAAATAATGTAGTATTTTAGGCATTTTTATGGACTTAATTTCCTGGACGTAGTTAATTTTAGTATAGAGTTTGGCTGACGTATCGTGGCACAGATTGACGTGAATTTGATTTACAAATCCATTTCGAACTGCTCAGAATCATTCGTTTGAGCCCCGTCTCCTGCAAAGATTATTGTCAACAATTAATTTCAATAATTGGGAAATTGTACAAGTAATTAATTAATTACCGGTGGGAGATGGTGGTTTATTATTGGCCCCGGCATTCTTGGCGTTGAGGTTTTTCGTGTTGTCGACAAGCAAGCCGGATTGTGCCTTGACGGGGGAGAGGCCGCCAGTCACTCCGGGGATGAATTGGATATTCTTCGGTGGCGTTTTTGCCATCGGTGAGTTCTTCAGCTGCATCAGAAAGTTACGCTCGTACACGATCCGGGTTCCTGTAAATAAGACAGAAATATTTAAAGCACACATTTAAATGTTATCATCATCATCATTATTTATTTACTATTCAATAATTCATGCCCAGTCAGCACATCAATAGAGACGCAAAATGTTGTAAATAAACCACGACTTCATCTCGTGGAGGAATAAATCATCAATTCTTCGCACATTTTACAAAGCTGCACTTTTTTTAGACACATTCAGATCACGGACATGATAATTGCGAACATGACTCATTCAATTTTTAGAGTCAGTCATAAATACAATACAATTTCATGGCAGGTGGTGATCTGGTCTGCGGTGCGGTGCGCGGTGTCATATGTTACTTTATGTACTACGTCTGTCCGCAGATGAATTCATACTATGCACATTTTCAAATCAAAATCTCTCATTTACAAATAATAAATCCACCCCAAAAATTATTTTACTCTTGACAATTTATCATTAGCTTCAATCAGATCGATTTGCCCAGAGATTTGTTTGGCTAATGAACCCGCACACGACGATCGATCCCTGGCCAGTTATTTAACAAAGTAACTAAATCGTCGTGTCCCCCACTATGTACAGAAATAAAAATGCATGACAATGGAAACTCGTTTGACATCAATAACAAAACGTATCTATGACCAAGTCAATCCGACCGATAAGTCGAAAAAACAAAGTCCGACTCGGTGGGCCGCATGTGTGTTATTGTGGTGGCGTAGTCAAGCAGGCTTTCAGATAAGCGCACGAGGCCTCTCTCTCTCTCTGAGATGACAGACTACAAACTTATCATCTTTTGGTCATATTTTTCCCGATAAGCGCATACACACATAACATACGCAACGCACCAACCAAACATGAATCTCATCAACGTCGACACCATGATAATGAAATCCAGATAAGAAGGGGCATAAAAATTGCGAAACTTTTTTCAACTTTAAACTCAACATTATCTGGGATCAACAAACATTTTCGTGAGTCAATAATAAACAAAATCCACTGACTGAGATAACAAATGTGCAAATTTTGTTATACAACAGACACATAGGTCGGTCCACGTATGTGTAATAAATATGCACGCATATTTATTAATGGGGTTTAAAAAGAGTAGCAAATTTAGCAAATTTATGCACACACTCTCAACGTCAATAAATAGAGAGGTCTTTCCGTTTAGGATCGATGCACCTGGTTATGGTTACACTTATCAGGTTAATTCAATTATTTTCGTAGGTAGGTGGTTGACTTATCATCACTTTCGAGTGCAAGGATCAAATAGTTTCGTCGCAAGTTTGCATATTCTTTTAGTTTTCACCATGATTTCATCATCCCAACCGAAATATAGTAACGATCCTAATTTCCGCTATGCTCTTAGAAAACTCAAAACTGGCATTTAATCATTACGACCAGAGTACATATGCATTTGACTCTTACCGGTAATAATGGGCATTATCGTTTAGTAATGTTGTGGTAATAAAAAATTTACCACTTTGAAACAAACTACTACCAATCCGGTAGGGAGTTATTACCAAATCAATACCAGTACGAAGTATATATTCGACTCTACTAGATTTTAACAGTGTACCGATCTATGATTGCATCCATGTGGACAGGTGGCGATGACGCAGGCAGTTAAGATCATAAAATGACAATTTATTTTTGCCAGTAGCCATAATAATGCTTGCATAACAATAAATTCGTCCACATTTAAAAGGCGAAAGATTCTATGAAATAATAAGTTGACGACGATGGCAATTTGAGCGACTTGTTTTTTACGCCTTCTTGCCCTCAAATATTAAATTACAAACGACTCCAATTTATAGCTCAATTTCTTCATGCATGTCGACGTATCCTTATTTTATTCCTGTAACCGGATACATAACGTCAAATTTGCATGTTGTCGAAATGTGACACAACACTAGTTAAATAATTGCTCTTTCTCACAACATCTTGACAATTGGAAACCATAAGCAGCGACTAAAGTTCAACCACTAACCAAATTAAGTATTTCGACAACAACATCAAACTTTGCATTCATTTGTACAAAAACATGAATTGTGATGTGACTCGAAAATTGAAACCTGATCACTATTATTTTCGCCAAGTCAAAACTAACTATTGTCCTAGACAAAAGTTTATCTAGACATTTCCAGACCGAGGAAAATGCAGAACAAAGAACACTACGAAAACAGAACGATAAAATATAATGTGCATGCATTCATATGTCCTCATCCCTGCCATGACATTTCTGACATTGGAGTAGAATGGTATTTCGCTACTTTGTCATAATATACATAACTTGAGCCATTATTTATACATATTCGCTACTAAATGACTCTCCTACTCTTCTTTCTGCTGATAAGTACAACTTTTCGCATCGAATTGCAATCTTTGCCGTGATAATGTGATAATTTACAGCGAGTCCACTCCTCACTAAATTTAATGACAAGGTAAATTAACAATGGAGGTCTCTCAGCGTATGCTCCCAGATTTTGATCAAACTAGTGTCAATCGATCACAAGTTTAATTGATATGCAATTTGCAAAAGATACCATCTTCCAATGCTCAGGTTTGGCGGAGATATTTGCATCCAAAGAGGAGAAAACACACCCTAAAGTTGACAAATTTTACAGCTATTAAATTTACTCTTTAGTTCTCTCCTCTTTGGTTGCAAATATCTCCGATAAACCTGAGCATTGAGAGATGCAATCTTTTGCAAATTTCATACTAATTAAATTTGTGATCGATTGGTACTAATTTGGCCAAAATCGGAGACGATACGCTGGGCCACCTCCATTGTACTAGTAAGTTGACAACAAGTAAATAATCCCTATAAAAATTACGCCGCCATTTCCATCACTAATGTCGCATCTTCTTCATTACTAATTTATCCAGAAGAAAAAGACTACAAAACAATAGTTACTTTTATTCCTATTTAGTTACCAGCCAGCCAGCCACGCCAACGCACTCCTGCTGCTGGTGGCACCAGACCAGACCATGCATATTGTTGCCATATTATTCGTCTCTCCCTCGAACGAAATGACCTTCACAAAGAAATGGCAAATCTCCATTGTGTTATGTTACACACAGTCGATTGTGAATTGCAGATTACTTTATGTACATGTGCCAACCAGCCGGCCAGCCAGCCAGCCAGAGAGTTCATTAGCATACTAACTCAATTACTACCTCAAATAATTACTAGTCAACAATTACCGGGACATGAGCGAAACAAAAATACGCCACAATTTCTGAGAATTTTATAACTAGGTCAGATGTAGCTTTATTAAGAAAACCCCTCAGTTGTCAATCAATCGACTCCATTTTTCACGGGGAAGAAGGAACAAGTCGCAAAATATTTGTCAATCAATTAAGAATAACTCAGTAATTATTATGTATAAACAATGAAATAAAGAGCACTTTGTAACAACGTGTTTCATTGTTGTGCAGCGTTTAATATAGGAAAAAATACATGGTGAATTACCATTCATAAATTCTTGGTAATACTTTTGTTAATAAATATTTTCATGGGGGATCAATTCAACGACAAATTTGCACAAACCGAAAGGTTACTGGGAACGTTTAATTGGATATTTCTCATCTTCAAGTCTATTTTTGACAGATGGTTGGCCAGAATTCGCTTGCGATCTTTAAATGATACTGATTGGGGGCGTAGCAATATCAATTTGATGCTTAATTATCTACTTCTGGTCTTGTACATACTTGATTTTTGGCCACAATCTGACAAAAATGATGGCTTGTTGATTCAATCAACTCCAGTTTCCTGTCTCCTGAGTCATAATAAATCGGCAGGGATTCTATCCTATAGATTCCATTATCCTTCTTGCCGATAAGATAACGAGGATTTTTCTAGCAATGAAAGGGCGAATCCATACATCATACTTTCATCAATAACGAACGGAAATTGACAATAATAAGGATTCCATAAATTCCAGATAAATAAGTAACTCAAGAAATCGAACGTTATCACGACTGGAAAAATTTGTCACGATTCTATTCCATGATTTCTACCCTTTATTTAATATCTTCCCAGAAATATTGGCCGAGTCAGCAAATTTCAGCAGCCTTGAACTTGTGTGTATGCATCCATATTAATGCTTTTTGGCAGACCAAAACTAGAGCAAACAAACTTGACAAAGAATGAAGGATGCACATATGTAAAACCTGGTCTGCATAAATTACATGTACCTCAACTACCTCCTCCTCCTTTCTGTAAGTAAATATTCGAATTTTCAGCCTCATTAGCATTCAATTAGCCATTGAATGCTATTGTCATTTGTCCAGCGAGTAATGAAAAATCATCGCCATCACAGAATGAACAACCACTTCTCAAACGTGATCAAATTGTCAAGAAACTCGTACATACATGATAAAAGTGTGGTCTCTACGTGATTAATGCTCTTGACCACCTTGGCTGACGTGACCATACCCAGGCACCCCGACGCTCAAAAAAATCTTTTCTACGCAAAAATACACTCAAATCTGGCATGAATATTTTTCCAATTCATCAAATTAATCGTACTCGGGCACCCCAACGGTAAAAAAAGAACATATTTTCTAATTTCTACACAAAAATGCCCTCAAATCTGACACGAATATTAAGTCATATAATCGTACTCGAGCACCCCGACGCAAAAAAATATGTGCAAATCCTTCAAGAATTTTTATAAATAAACAAATAAATCGCGTGCCGAAAAGTAGATGGATTAATTGTCCCAATTAAACGAATCATGGACTCAATTAAATAAATGTGGTACATGCCACGCCAGGCCACCAGACACAAAATAAATAAATACAAATATAATCCTCCTCCTCGTCCTCTTCCTATAAAAACAATGATAAGAACAGAGCAGACCAACGCGACGAATAGTGCGAAGGACAAGACGAACGACGACGCGACGCAGTAAAATAAATGCATACTTTAAACTTACAATGCGATGGTGTGAAGTGTAACCCTCCGATTTGGTTAAAATTTCGAAATTATGTGGTCCATGTCTATACAACCAACGTTTCTTCAGGCAGTTTGTGCGATGGTAGGAATTTGCCAAAATATTTGAAGGCAAAGTTGAAAAATGTGCAATTTTTAGCACGGGAAGAGAGTTGAAGTTGAGTTTGCTTCCTCCGCCTGGTAAAAATCGCCCGTTTTTCAACTTTAACCTCAAATATTTTGACAAATTCTGACCATCGCACAAACTGCCTCAAGAAACGTTGGTTGTATTGACATGGACCACATAATTTCGAAATTTCATCCAAATCGGAGGGTTACACTTCACACCATCGCATTGTTAGCAACTCAGGAGAGATTAGTTTATCGCCCTCATTTCCTATCCAGTCAGATTGTAAATAAATAGATAAATAAATAAATGTCCTACGACTACTACGCACAAGCGAGACACCAAAGAAAATCAAAACCAAACCCTCTAATTAAAATTTAATTAGACATTTAACCACCAGTGATCATCATCGTATCATACGACTACTTTTTTCTTTAATTGTAGTTAGTGCAAGTCGTCATCTATTTAACGATTCCTAACCCCATTCAATATTAATTTGGTCAAGATCACCAGGACGCGATGCGATGATGATTACTTGTATAATTTTAGCAATTAATTAATTAATCAATCTTATACTTAATGGTGTGATGTGAGATAAGCAAGTGGACTGCGTAGACTGCAAGATGATAAGTAAATAAATGCGATTCAGCTCGATTCCTTCCTTTATTTATAAACATTTTGTAAATGTTTATGCAACAAAATTTCGCAACTTTGTGGTTTAAGACGAGAAATAAACCGACTTTTCTCACCTCCTAACAAACCTAACCTAACAAATTGCTTGTTAAATAACTGGCAAAACTCATTATTCGCAAACTTTTGCAAACTCTCTTCCGACCTGCACGGGGACAATTATAAATGAATGGCATCGTTGACGCGATAAATATTTCATGTACTTATAAAACCTCGCAGAGTGCTTGACTTTAGATAATTTTGTGAGATGCAATTTCATTTCATTTCATGGACAGGAGGAATCTTCGTGGATTGGATGGATGGATGGATAGAGATTGCTGAACAAATAGAGGACAAGCATACGTACGTATGAAGCCAATGCCTCTAAACTAAAAGTATGACCAACCAGGCCAAGACCAGACCACCACTCAGAGAAGAACATCTCTCGTCTTTAAAACTCCGGATTATAAATGGCATCGCATACACGACGCTATATATACTGCGCACCACCATTTTGCACATGCAGATTTATTTGCACTCTGTCTCTCCACCATGCACAAACAAACACAGCCAACACACACATGGGTCTCCTAACACAAGATGAGAAAGAGACCTCGACAAAATGTGTGATGTGCTGGTGGGTTCAGTGACGATGATTTCATCTCCTATGCCAAAATGTATTTGCGAATATCTCTCTATCCGCCAATCTTCTACGTAAAACCTCCCCTGCTTGTGCTACGACTTCTCTTTCGGACAACTTTTATTGTACAACTTTTACTCCTCAGTGCTAAGGTTAAAAGTTTGACTTTTAGTTGTATAAGTAAACTGGAATTGGCACGGGCAAATCATGATCAGAATTATGGACGAATGTAAAATGAAATACGTACAGTCTGACTCAAAATTATGTATGCATCTTGGTAAAATGAACTCGGCTGGACTGGAATTTGGTTGGAATTTTTGATAGGATAAGCTATTCCATCCATCCAATAAATTTCTTACTCAATATTAAATGCATGCAAATCACTCATTATTATGGAAATATAAAATATAAACGAGATTTTGCGCAAATTAAGTCCTGACCCAGTTTATTTCCTGCAACGAACTCAACCCAACCCACCGACAGGAAATGAAGATACAGCGAATGTTACGGTATGAGAAGAACAACAATGAAAAATAATTGCGTAGTGGGTTTGCTTTCTTTCAGTAAATATGTATGCATGTAAATACCTCGTCGTGTTAACTAGTTAACAGCCTGCAAATTACGTAAGATCCAGTTGCATCGCAGTTTTTACTCGTCCATCTCGTACCTAGCTACGTATGCACATATCCGTAGTAAGTACTTTTACACTGTTTTATGCGAATATGTACATACACGAGTTATCTCTCTCCTTAAACATTTTCATAAATATTCATCCACCTATCTCCACCACCACGATGTCCAAAAGTCTACAGAGTGAGTGGAATTATTATTGCGTTGCGAAATTGCACAACATATCCAATCCATCTATCCACTAACCCGTTTTTTTTCACGGAGAGGAGAGGAGTAAAAGTGACGCTGCAATTTATGTAACGTGTCGGTCGACAAACAACAACACACCACACCACCATGAACGAAGAACCTGGTATAAAAACTGCTGATTATCCGACTGACTAAAACATTATTTTTTTTTGCAGAGTATGACATTAATATAATGGAACTACGCGTCAGTCAGTCAACTACTTATCATCTTATGTTATGTAATGTGCAGATTACTTATTGTTTAGTGGAGAGATACAACTTGGCCTACATTTTGGGAGATCGGTCTACCACAATGCGGCCTGGACTATGTATAAAATAATGTCCGACTACTCGTGTAGTTTTTGCGAATAAAAAATTGGCACTTGCGGCGCTATAGGTATGGATGGATGTATGTATAACTTGTTGCGAACCGAAACCTTGTGCATGTGGATATATATGTGCGAGTCGCAATTTTGCACCAACCACCAATGAACCACGACACCAGAGAAAAACGTGTTTATTATTTTGTTTACTAAAGTGCAGAGGTGGCTAAGAAATAAAAATGCTGTATTTTTGCCATATGACGATGACTTTGTTGTATAAATTAAATTTTGTGTATGTATGCACTGCTTCTCTCGAACTATACTTCGAGTGAAAGACCGAGGAGACGAGACAAGGTCAAGGCCTCCCCGTGTCGGAGTAATGTCGTCATTAGATAAGCTTTAAACGGGAGATAAATTAAATGTGATGGTCACACATCACACATGCTCGTCGTGAGGACATGGACATTGCGAGAAGTTGCGTAAAAATAGGAACATTTTCTTTAAATGACGAGGTCTTCTTGTGAATTGAATGAACTTGAAAAAAGAACCAGATTTGCGAAAAAGTCAGGTGTCTATATTTTGACGGATTGATTTGACTGAATCTGGCTGAACTTGAATTAATAATTTGGAATAAATTTTGACTGCTCATGCAAAAAAATTGGGAGTAAATAAGTTATAAAATTCGATAAAGTGTTGAATAATTCAAACACTGGGGAAAATTTGAATGAAATGTTTTGCCGAAAATTGATACAAGATGAAGAAGAGTAGCGTTTCCTGCTGATATTGTAGAAAAAATTGGCATATTTGACTTAATTTGAAGGCAATTTCTAACCGAGTGACCAAGTTTTGGTAATGTCTGGTCTATCAGTGCGAAATTGGACAAAAAATGCATAAAGCATGGTCGGATGATGGTTTGATTTGAATATTTGTAAAGAAAAGAAACAAGGAAAAAATCAGACTTGACAAGAAATATATTTTGATAAGATTTTGAAACGAAATGATTATATAAATGATAGTCATCCTTGATAATTGAATATTGAAATTTGTATCTACTATTTTGAATACGATTCAAAATAAACACAAAGCAATGGATAACAGGTAGATGGATAAAACCGATATCTTGTCGCCTATATTGCACCTACGTTCACCTCCCTCTTAAAGACTGTGACATGACCTGTGACCCATTTATCTAATGATCAACGGAAACCTTGTCAAACTGCGAAATGATCGACTAATTTTTTTTATGCTCTGCTAAAGATTACCCGAACTATAATGTATAGTATAATATGAAATAGTAAGTGGGTGTGGTTAACCTTACCGCCAGGGGTTGTGGAGTAGATCGTCCCTCCCGGAGTGGTGGAATAATCTAATTTTCAAATAAATAATCAACAATTAACGTTTGTTTAGTGCCGAAAATAAGTTTTAGTATAAAATGATAAACTTCTAACATTATTTCACAAACTCATGCTTAATTAAAAAGATTAATTAAAGATTAATTAATAATCAACACCAACCTAAGGGCAGCTGACTAGAACTGTTGATAACGATCCGGCGAGACGGGATGACCTGGCTTTGCGTCACTTGACGGGCAACGGGTGAAGCACTCATCCTTCTTCCGATTTATTTACTTATTTACTGAGTTAATTAGGTAATTAATTAATTGTTGGATGGATGGATTGTTGAGCTGATGGAGATGAACACAGGCAGCAGCAGAGCAGAATTATTTACCAGGATCGAACAGCACGAGGAGTGGAGACCAACTGAACAGAGGACGAGAATGATGAAATGAGAATGAAGATGGTGATTTGCCGAAACGAACCACGTTTTGCCTGCTGCGGAGTTTCTTTGTTGTTCATCAGCTACGGCCGTCCAAACATTACGTCGTTGTCGTCAAGCTCTCATATGATAACCACAACCACTTATCCAACCAACCATTACCCGTTGGATAAGTGGTTATCATATCTAGTTTCGGCAAGGTTTTCGCACCTTTGTGATCTAGCGTCATGTCACGCCAAGAAGAAATTTGTGCACCGGGCTGATAAGACGCTGATAAGTCGATATCGTTCTTAGCTTTTAAAGCCCAATACTGGAAACTTGTTGGACTAGAATCTAGATTCAAAGATTTTTACAAAATGTTTATAAAATGTATCTGCTAGGCGTCACAATTTAATTCGAATAATAGCTTTCCACACAATTAATTAGGTATTATATTAAATAGGTAATTAAAATATGTGGGACTATTACTAAGGATTGAAATACGAATAGTTATTTTATTCACTTTTTCTTGCACCATGAAATTTCAAGATTGTATTTGATTCATGTTTTAAAGATTGACCTTAATCGGTCAGAAACAGACTTGCTAATTTCTGGTGCGCCGAACCACCACACCTAAGTTAAGTAAGTGAGCGCACCGGTTCGCCGAGCCAGAAACTAGCAAGTCTGGTCAGAAATAGAGGAAAGTTATTCATGACATATCAGGAATTGGGAAAGACTAGACAGTTAAGATGGTAGGCTAAATTTTCAACAAATTTTTCCTTAATAGTTAATTAAAGGTTAAATGTAATTATTTTCCTAATTTCATCTACAGTCAGGCCGATATCGTATAAAATATGGCACAGATCCATTTTTCAGCAGTGATTGGTTTCAAATTGTTTCAGATGTGTTTTTTTTACAGCAGATTCGTATGTTTTTGGAAAGACGTTTTTTGTTAAGAGTATTACAATTACTCAGTAATTGTGATTACGCACTAAGAATCTCATCAATTATGAGCCATTAAACTTAAAAATTTAATCTAGCTCCATCGCAGATACATAATAAATAAATAATAACTTGAACATGCATTTGCATCGTTGCCCACCGGGGATTGAGTTAGTTATTTAAAGTCTAGACGATAAGAAGCATTATATGAAAAAAATTAAATCCTACCTTATCAAACATAATTAGACTCGTCATGAGCTTAACATCGATTAAAAAGCATAACATTTAAATTAAATAGCTGCCACATTTTAAAAACATTTCGTACTTTCTAACGATTCCTCCATTTTTTATGGCACTACATACAAATAATAATTTGAGTTTTGACACTTTTGACACGATAACAAGAATCTTTGTGTGTGACGATTAAAAAAAGTCTTGAATTTGACGAGATGAATTCTTCTTGGAGCATTTTTTCTCCTTTACGGTACAGATTTTAAGAAAGTCTCGATCGATGTGATAATCTCGTCGCAACGGGGACTTGCCCCTCTAGAGTTGGACGGCGGTGGTCCCACCATCTTCACCAGACCGGGTACCTATGTACCCAAAGGAGAAGAATTCGTTATATTGATTGAAATTAGTACATATTTAAGAATTAACGTCGTCACCTCAGATCTCGCTAGCTGACAACATCTCAAGAGCGACTTTAGTCCTCGCCAGAGCAAAGCTTCCACCGGCTTTTCAGACATGAATTGTAACAACGCCATGGCCAACTCTACCGCAACATCGTCAAATATCTGAAATTTATGGGGCACAAAATATTTAATCCATGAAACAAAATTAAGGCAAGCTTAGGTATTAGGCACGCACTACTTGCTCAGACTTTCCAACTCGGTTACAGCAAAAAAAAACTCGACAAAATTTAAAAAATAGCTTTTAGGAAATCTAAATTTGTAAAAAGCCTTTGACCTGCAGACCTGGTGGGAAAGTCTTGCTTCCACCAACGTTACACATATTAGTTGAGCGATAAGTTAATTAATTTTTATAGAGAAAACAGTTCACACCTTCGACTTGGATCTCGCCGGAAGGATCGACCTCACCAAAGAAGTTTCTCCTAGACGCTTGAAAAAATACACGTACCAGGAATTAGTTTGATTAGTTAATTAATTAGTTAATTCGAACGTAAGTTAATCTAATCTACACACTCTTCTCAAAAGAAATAAAAATCACACATGATAGTAAATAATTTAAACGCCACGAAGGAAAGTATTTATCCATGTGAATCGATAAATCATTTTTCAATCTGCAAAATAATGGAGAGTGTGTCAAATTAGGTTTCGTTACCCACCGCAGATTTTACCTCCTTGGTCACAATATTATAAATCAGGGCGGACCCGACGTCTTTCAATTCTTTCGAGAGCAATGCGTGCACCCCGATTTTAGTGGTGACCCGGATATTCGACGTTGCACCTTTCCCTTCGTTGTCCCATTCCGAGATGTACCTACATACGATCACACGGAACGGTGAGGACAAGGACATTTTAAGGCGGTGCGTGAACTTGACATTGCGGTGGATTCGTATAAAGACAAGCGTTGTTATCGGTTTACCAAAGATTCCTCGAATTTTTTGGTTAAACATCAACTTTAAATTTAGATTATTTCGAAAATAGATTAACTTGGTAACTCCGTTTACAACTTCGTTTAACCTTATAAAAACTAATTAATTTTGACCTGGATACCATTTAAAAACGGAATTAAAAATGGTTTCTATTGCATTTGGGGGCGGATTTACTGGGGGGCAGAATACCATTGAGACCGACTTGTGGGGCGGTGATAAAATCAGTTGGGGACTGAATTAATGCAAACCGATTTTGAATATTCTACTGATGCAGTTATGATTTATTAGGGACCTGGAACTGATTCGACAACAAAAATTAGAACATAATACATTTTTAACATGAAATTGCAACTTATGACTGAACCAAATGAACACGACACGATATTAATTTTGATAAAAAGATCGGATTTGATTTTCATAGTACTACAAAAATAAACTAAACGAATAAATCGTCATCATTCATGTCATCAATTTGATGACACTGATTTTGGGATGCATTTTATATTTTAAACAAGTTATTAGCTATAATTTTGTCCTTCAGTGTTCTGTGACTTGTTCCGATCGGTGGTGACACTATTGCGAATATATATTAGCTAAAGAGAACGTTGTGATAATTTAAAAAAATATGAACTGTATCATATTTACAACATGATACAGGTCAGAGGTCAACGCCGACCAATTTATTAGCGGCGCCAATGTTGGATAATTTTTCGGGGGCGCGGCGTGATGCACTTCCTCTGATGCACTTCCTCCGAGTTCCTCCCCCCACTACAACTACAACTCTAAACTCTAAAAAAATTAGTTCAGGCTTGAAGAAAAACCAACGACAAATAAGGAGGAAAGAATGGAACTGAGAAAATTTTCTCGGTCATTTTATTTTTATTTTTTCCTACACCTTATTGATGTAGCCCGGTCTCAACGGAATTCTGTAACCATACACCTTATTGGTGGAATCCGTCGCCAACGAGAAAAAGTTGGCCTACACCTTATTGGTGTAGTCCGTCGCTAAGGCGAAAAATTTGGCCTACACCTTATTGGTGTAGTCCGTCGCCAAGAGATCGAAATCGCCCTCCACCTTATTGGTGGAATCCGTTTTAGCCCGAGCCAGGGCTTATGTACCCGTTATGTCTGTCTGTCTGTCCGTCCGTCCGTCTGTCTTCGCGATAACTCTCTTCAAACTCAACCGATCGACTTGAAATTTTTACCACATCTATATCTACCCAAAAGACAAATCAAGTTCGAAGATGAGCCGAATCGGTCAAGTGGTTGGCCGGTGGGGGCCATATGGGTGGTGGGGTTATTATGCATCAAATTTTCAAAATTGTTGTAGAAAGCTGAAATTTGGTAAATATGTAACTAATGGCTTCTAATGAAAAGATATGAAGTGAATTTGCGAAAATTTTTATCTGGAGGGACCCTATGGGGTCACTCAAACTGATTTTTCAAAATCGTCCAATTAAGCTGAAATTTAGTATGGAAGTCGATAGCAGCTTATAATGGGAGTTTATGATGTACAATTTTGAAAATTTTGACCCAGAGGAACCCGGTGGGGTGACCCATACTGATTTTGCAAAATCACTCAATTAAGCTGAATTTTGGCGTAAAGATTGGTAAACAAATTCTAGTTGTACCCACCCTGGCTCGGGCTAAGCAAAGCTGCACTGTAGGTTTTTAAAAGTCCCAAAGCCCCAATTTTATACTAGCATCAAACTATGACCATTAATAACTTTTGGGAGGGCAGAATTACGGAGTTAATTTTATGTTTCAAATAATCTAGGTTTTTGATTGATTTTTTTAAGCAATAATCTCGAGTCACATATTTTGCAAACCGATAAAATATGCTAGCGGCTTGTCAATGATAGTGCGAATCCACCGCAACCTGTGCAGTTGACATTGATGCAAACTCACAGGAGCCACTCGGATGTGGACAAGTTTTCAAACAGGTTGCAGAGCAGGAGGGCCACAGCCTCTTGGCAGGGTGGACTCATCTGGTCGATATTATTCGCGTAGCGCATTATGATGTGGTCCCGACGGTCCTGGTGTAGGACGAGAATTACGTCGTCCTTCGTCACCTATGTGAATTAATTGACAAACTGATTAATAGGTTTTCAAACCAAACATTTATGCAACTAGTCACGTACTGCCAACCAGGCTAGAATCTTGCAACAGAAGACTTTACTGTCGTCCCCAATTCCGGCTTCGCCTCCTATCAGGATTCGTGCTGTGAGGAATAATTAATCCGACACTGAATTAGCATATAGCTTTCTTATTTAATTTGATTAATAATTTGTATTGTACCGATGAGTCCTAAAAAGTCATCCGAGAGGACCCACGAGCCCTCGTCGCCGACGGAATATTCTCGCAATTCTTTCAAACAACGCATCTCCTCTTCGTTCAGCTCCACTTTGGCCAATGACTTTTCCAAATCGTCCAACAACTCGTCAATCGAGGAACATATGTCTCTGAAAACATAAGAACAATAAGTCAGTAAGGGCAACGTTCTTCGTAAATTGGTCATCAATCAGGAGAAATATTTTATTCGTTTGATTTATGGTAATCAAATCATAGAAATACCGAGGTAATCTTATTTTTGAAATAATCTCAATTTTTGAGTTGATTTTTAAACGAAAAATCTAGGAACATATTTCTCAAACCGATATTAAAAACACAAGTTAAAAGCATTGTCTTGTTGGGTACGATTTTGGCACGTGGTAGCAATGTGCTTGGCATCAAAACACTTGGGAGTTCTTTTCACTTGTCATCGGGTACTACAAAAGGGCATCAAAATCCTCCCCTTAAATTCTTTCACCTGAAAACGATGGGTGGTTCCCTGTTCTTTTTCTTCTCCTCCATCTCCCTCTTCTCCTCTTCTTGCACTTCGGCCATGAGGTCGCGTCGTTTGATGTTGGCTCGTGGTGGGGTGCCCTCATCCGATGAGTCTCCCATTGTCGCTCCGAGTCCGGTCGCTTGTAGAACGCCTTCACGGATCAGATCCTCCAACGGGGATGGATTATAGGTAAGTTGTTGCTGCGCCGTAGAAGAATTCGTATCGTCCAGCGACGATTGAGCGTTTGGATTGGGCTGGTGGACCAGGTAATTTTCAGAAAAGCGTTGAATCAATTTTCCAATTGGACTGCAGAATTAATTAATTAATCGCAATTTTAACTAATTTTAGATAGTTGGTTATTTATTTATTCATTTACATACGTGTCTTTCACGGTTTCTGAGAGATTGAGAATGTACGTCGGGATCCCTTGACCGCACAAGAAGGAGGCAAACTCTTCCGAAAAGTGGTTACAATTGTGGTGGAAAAGGTCGTAGGTGGCACCTTGGAAGGACGTTTCGCGTAGTTGGAGGAGCTGTTCGTCAACCACGTCGCGGGGGAGGTGTGTACTTCCGAGGGGATGGATATGCGTGGGGCGTCCAAGAATTGTTCCACACTAAATAGAATAAAAACACGAGATTATTATTTAATTGGAGAAAGCACAGTGCAAAGAACAACGACACCACGACGACCACCACCACAAAATAGAGATGACTATCACTACCTTATAGACGCCCTATGCGCTTATTCTAAATATTCTACTACCCGGTGGATGGATTGTATTAACTTAATTTACGGATGGGCGAATACCTACCCGGGTTAAAAATCCAAATGAAACAGAACAGACGTAAGACACGGGTTAAACCAGGTTTCATATTAGTTTGGATATTTGGGTGGGTGGGTGGTGGTGGTGGTTCGAGTTGTTGGGATATTTTTGGAGAGACTATTTCAATCTGTACTTCTATGCAGTGTGATGATCATCCTCATGCCGGGGAGATGCCAAAAAAATAGGGACCGATGCATACTTTAAATACCCGGATGAGGATTGTTTAGAGAGAGAGATTCGTACATTCCGTCCTGTGTGTGAATACCGCCTTGTCGTACGTGTATTTATCATCATCGTGATAAGATGGGCAATGATAGGGCGTTGTTTTGCGAACGGGGACGTTACCCTTTTCATGATATGGAATGCTTTCTTTCTTTCCGGTCTGGCTGGATCATTCATGTCATGTCGGTCGTCGGAATTGGATTGGAATATTACTGAGGTACTGATAAAAAAAGTGATCCATTGCCAGCCAGCAATTTATTGGATTGAGCATGAAACATGGCAAGTTAGATACGCTGCAGTTGCGTGTGTATATGTCAGTATGCCACGACAGAACTAACTTTCACTCTGACTTTCACCAGGGGTGGATTTGGATAAATACTTTGTCAAAATACAGTATTTAATAGAGTTCCCTTGTTCGCAGGACTTGGATTTTCAAGGGGTTGAATACAATAGTCTTATGAAAGCAGAGGTTTTGAGAAGAAATTAACTTTTTATCGCTGTCAAAATCCTTTACTTTTAAAAAATTGTAAAAACTCTAAATTTCGACAGCGATAAAAAGTTAATTTCTTCACAAAACATGTATTTTCGTACGACTGTTGCCTTCTCCAGGCAGATTCTCGTCTTTTTGTGGGTGTAACAACCCTGGAAATCGAAACTCTTGGAACAACTGAGCTAAAAATACTGTACTTTACCAACGTCTGACTTTCACCAAGAGATACATATTGGACTTGACTCACGGGTGGACAAGAAGTAACGCCGCCTGCACCAAAGAAGAATTCCTCCTGATAAACGACCACGCTCGTGTGCCAGATCCCCTCAAGTTGTTGACCTACGACAAAAGAGTTAAAAGAGGTCAATTTTGTAATCGCTAATTTATATTAGTCGTCATATTTACCCAGTAAGACTGAGGAGAACGACTTGGCGAAACCTCTACTGAGGTCGTAGACGTACAAGTGGACCTCGTTCGGTTCCGTGGTGGCTGCTTCTTGGACGGATATAGTTCCTGGAACAGTAGTTCTGGATTTCTCCGAAGAATTCGTATCCTCTGGTGGAATTGAGGATTGCGTGGACGATGACATTATTGTAGTTGACAAAATGACAACAATTTAAGGTCAACTTTTATACAAGGCAGGTCAAGTGAGACAGACAGGGGTACTTGGGAGGGAGGGAGAGGTCACAGGTACACACGACGTTTTGCTAGGGCTACTTTTTACACGACTCCTAAACGAAATAAAGGTCAGGAGGATTCATTCAGGGCGAGGGTAGCGTTTCCAAAATGCAATTAATTATTGAATTAAATTGCTTGCATGCAGCATAATTATAATTTCTGGCTCTTCTAGACAAAAATAAAGGCAATCAATTAATTGACGATTAAAAAACTGTAAATATCTATTTAGTTAATTAATATTTCATTCAATATCGAAACAAAGTTTTAAAATAAGCTCGACCACATTTACGTTTAGAAAATACAATTTAGTTAATTAAAACTTACCAAATCAGCAATGATTTTATTACGAGGCCGAGAATGTTTGATAACCACAGGAAATTTGACAGCTACATAAATAAATACAACACATAATCTTTATTTAGCTTAAATTCCCGGCAATTATTTATAAATAATTAAGTAAATGGCAACGCGCTCGCGACACAAGTTTGTCGAAAATTGCAGCAACCAGACTAAACCCAACTTGACTACTTTGCAGAATGATTTATATGCCCAAAATTAATTACCTGTACAATTACTTCAATGATTTAGCAAAAAAATACATATTCCTTCCTGTCACTTCATAGAAATGACTCGACTTTTTCGCTCTGACTTTTGTGCCGTATCATCCTTAGTGACTCGCACTTTTTGGTGAGAAATGTCTCAATTTTGCAATCGTTTTTGTGCACAATGTAATTGCACAATAAAATCCGATCCGAATTCGGATTACATTAATACGCAAGACAAAGACGACCCGTATCCCGAACTCGTGAGATTCTAAGATTGTGAAATCACGGCATATGCAAATAACAAGCATTTTATCTATGCAAACTTATGCCAATATGAAAGCATGAATATTTTTAACCCATTCATTTCATCATGATACTTCTCAAAGCTCTGGCTAAAATAAAGTTGCAGAGTGATTTGAAGAATATGACCGATAAGATCCCGGCGTAAATATAAGTATTTATTTCATTCCTTATTATTAAAATGGATGACTGACTAATAATGCAAACCTCATTTCGGAGACGTCCTTTAAATATTATTAGATAACTTTAGCTAATTTTTTTACAGTAATATACAAAAATATCAATGAAGATCTAATAACATAATCTATACTCAAGATTCACTTCCAGTCGTAAAAAAAACATTTCCTACTTGTTAAAAAAACTAGTTTATTACAACAAAATCAGTCCTTCATAAAAATTATAGCATATCTTGACTAAATACAATAAATATAGTTTTAAACCAAGTTGTAGATAACCGGGTAGTAATTAATTCATTGATTAAATCTTTTCCCCGTATTTAATCAATTTCAAAAAACACGCAAAAATAAATATTCAAGAAAAATATAAAAATAAGCCAAAAAAACTGACAAAAACGCATGGAACTAAAAACTTATTGGTTGGTACATGCTTAGTAGAAACCAGGATCAAGTTAAGCTTAATTATAATTGTAACTAGAATGAGAACTTGCAATATAACGACTCTTATCATAATTAAGAATATTTAAACCCGAAAGTATTGGTATTTGGTGGCATTGTAAAATATGTTCCCAGTTCGGGAAACATTCACATTTTAAACTTATTACGAAACTAAATTGTTGAGGCGTTTTTACTTTTCTAAAGATAATCAGTCTTGATGTTTCTTTCTTCGTGCAGTATTTGATGATATTAACGATCTTTTTCTAAAATTGAATTGACAACACAAAATAAAATGACGAAGCTGAAGTTCACGGGTTCCATTTCATAAATTCTTCTTCTTGCTGATGTTCGAAATACCATTGTTGCCTTGTCCTCCAAGAGTCTCACTTTTGACGCTATTCTTCCTCTTTGTCGGTGTTGTGGAGAGGTTACCGTTCGGAGACTTATTATTGGTGTGCTGTTGCTGCGGATCGAGATGACTGGCTGGTGGAGTCTTATTACTAGTGGGAGGAGGTGATGGCGACCCTCTATTATTTCCACGAGGCGAAGAAACCCCAGGACTGTGACCACGTCCTCCGTTTAAAGGACTGTTCGGTCTCAACGATCCCATCGTCACAATGCTATTATTCCTCTGGGGGAGAAAGCGGGGTCGGAATGCGCTCTTCAGTCTGTAAATAAATCATAGTTAAAATATACAAAAAAAATCAGGTAACGTAAAATTATCAAGTTCACACCTCATGAATAACTCTTGTCGAATGGCTCTCGTCACCTTATTGACGAGACAGAGGGTGGACGCCACGGAGAAGATGATGTTGTACAGGAAAACAATGTAAAAGTTCCCTAGCCACTCGATCTTTCCATAATTTCCGAGCAAGTCAAAGTTTGTGATCCCTAAAAAAGAGATATGCAAATTGTTACATCACTTTTTACTTGCATTCGAAGTTGGCAGTTAATCACCTAAAATTCTCGAGAGGAGTGGCAACGCAGAGGAGAGGATGAGTACTAGAGCACAATTATAAATGATATGCGAAGTCGGCGTCTCTCCGCGGCGGGGTTTAATCCTCCGCACACCGGGCAGTGAGTAAAGCCCGATGAGTGATGTGGTCATCAAGTACAGAATCAAAATGATCTCCAACCCGGCTCCCCACGCACCTAGGACAGACATTGACGATAGTCCCAGAGAAACCGTCTGCAAAATGGAACCAAATTTAGCACAGAAAAACACATGCCAAGTTTCGCCTTCGCCACATACTCACCTGCGCACTTAGCGGCAAGGCCTTCAACCCGACCAGCAACTGTAACGTGTTCACAACGACGAGGAGCACGGTCAATCCGGTGAGGGCGAGAACCACGAGGAAAGTGGATGGATACAGAACGTTCCGCTTCCATCCGGGCGTCTTTTGTAATTTTTCTGCACAACAAAAAACAACAATAATTATTAACCTGCCATAATTTTTCAACTTTTTTAAGATATCTGAAATACCGAGGACATTCAGTTCTTCCTCCATCCCGGCAATCCTTCCCCTCACGCTGGCCTCACTTTCACCCACAAAATCGTCCCCCTGCTGAGTCAGGGTTATCATTTTGTGATAAAGTTTCACAAACTTGGGATTCCTCTGAGCCAAGAGATCCTCCACGTCGGGGGGCGAGCGAGCAGAAGACGACTCCTCATCGGACGACATCCCACCATTGTTCCACTTCTCCCTCAAGGCAGGTATGTCGAGAGGAGGGGATTTCTTTGTCATGGAATCATCCCCACTGCCGCCGTTGAGAGGAGGTTTATATCGGTCCTTCGGCTCATAGTACATCTCAAGATATCGCTTCATTTCAGAATCGTTACGTAATTTCCGCTTCAATCCATTTTTCAGCTCTTCAATCTCCAACGCTTTCACCCTGTGCTCCTCGCTCAGGTTGCGGAGGAACTGGGGACCGACCAGGAGTTGGGAGAGGACGGTGAAGAGGTGCCCAGCTCCGAGTGGGGTGCACACTATGAGAAATAAGTAATTTATGCACAAATTTTAGTGCCTTGTTGACAGGATCTGGTCAAAATATTTTGTCAAAATACTGTATTTTCTGTTCTGTTTATCGAAGGGCTTGGATTTCCGGGGCGGTTACAGCTTAAAATAACCAAAATCTGTGTGGAGAATACACCCGTCAAACGAAAATACGTGTTTTGTGAAGAAATGCTATGTGAAAACTAAGTACTTTGACAGCGATAATATTAATATTTTCGTATGACCGTTGATAGCCCTGGAAATCTATGCCCTTGGAAGAACGAAGGTCAAAATATATCCTGCATTTTGACCTCTGCTGGCTTCTAATTCGTAGAACAAACTTACAGAGGAGGAGAAGTACTCCGAAGAATGAGATGCACGAGTAGATGAAGGGGAGCTGGTTTGAGAAACCGATGAGGTTGAAAAGCCCTCCAAGAACGGACCTCTCTCCGGGCGACAGTACGGCCGCCAAGATGTGTGAAATTCCCCAAATGGCAAACCCTGACAGAATTAGGACCACCACCGTCTCGTAAAATTTACCTGCCAGTCCCTACAAAAGATTATGACATTTTTGTACCGATTTTTTTATAATCATGTAAAACTGTAGAGTTCGCACCTTCCTGTTGCCCGAGAATCCTTCCGATTCGATGAAGAGGTGCGCAAAGGGGAGCAGGATAAACAAGGAAATGTTGGCAAAGAGGAAGATGAGATTCCAAAGGCCTTGGATAAGCATCCCATTCAGCCACTGGACATAGTAGGTGGACGGATAAAGAAGCAACACCTCGTTCGAAATGATGGAAATTGGCAAGAGTAGCGTTGCCCCCATTGAAATGCTCAAACTGAAGACGCACAACCAAAAACTGGAGGAATTTATAATTAATTAAGTTTAACTAAGCCCAGTTACACAATTATTTAAATTAACAATTTTTACCATACCATATTCGGTACACGATAGATTCATCATCGTCTGCGGAGGATGTCGAGGTTGTTTCCGAACTTTTGTCGTCCTCTTTGTCCTTTCGCCGCATAAAAATACCAATCGCGGTCCAAGATATGATGCACAAGGTGAGGAAGAAGAGGAGGAATATCTGAGAAAAGTATAGACAAACTTGACCCTAGTTTTCATCCAAACACTTAAATCTATATTAATTGCTGCTTACGATATTCTCTCGAACTGTGTTGTGAAATTGTTGTCGCAAGTCGAGAATATCCTGATCCGCGTCTTCCGCATCCATGACGTCCTCAAGCCCTGGGAGGAGGGCGGAAGATGTGAAGATCTTTCCAGCCGAAGACGACGATGATGGCGACGAGGAATATTCATCACTAGATATCCGATTCTTAAATGTGCGCCCCTCTGATGCAAACAGGCTGGAGCCCAAGCCCATAATATTATCTTACGTTCAGGATAATTACAGAGTTAATTAATTAATCAAGTTAACATTAACAGTCGCAGCAAACAAACACAACAATCCGTCTTATTTCTTCTTCCTTATCCTTCCGTCGCCGCCGTAGTGATGAGATGACATTTCGACCTGCACAGGAAGAAGACGACATACATGACCCAGTCAATAATTAATTATTGATACAAAATGTAAACCACCAATCAAATAAATAAAGGTCTTGCTTACTTTTTAACTAACTGTCACAATCACTGGGTAAATAGCTGCATCTACTATTCTCACCCCTAATTATAGATTAGTAATTGTCAAAAGATAAGAAATTTTAGTAGTTGTTAATCAAATGTTAAAAGTTTTAATTATTTTCTTGCAACGACGTTAAATATTTTGCTCATGTTTTGCATTTGCTAAAAATATACAATTTGTGCTCGCTCGCGCCTCGTTCAGACTTTAGCTCCTCACCTGTTCCTCTGCATTTTCCATGAAATTCCTAAATCCAGACCACCTTTGACCCCACTCACTGAAAAGATAAGGATGAATAACCCCATAAACTACCCACCCTATTCGACAAGATAACCCCACAACTACTCAGGTGATGATCAAATATAGCACATAAAAATAAATAAATAGAAACCAAACATTGTACATTTTAACTCTTTTTTATTCCATTTCTAATGCAATTTTTCTAGTAAAAATTTCAAAACAACAAAAGAGTAGGAAAGAAATTAATTAATTGATTAATTAATTAGTGAAAACAAATAATTACTTGCACGAACTCAATTAATAATCCAATCCTGCTGCACCTTAAACTCGACCACCTGCCCATTATCGAGAACAACTTGAAAGTCATCCTCGCCCCCTCCTTCCTCGTCGTCCCCATTCTCTCCGCGCAGCAAGTCGCCATACTCGGTAACCACGTTGACCACCTCGTCGTCACCCGGGTTGCTGGAGAACGAGGGGATTCCGACTTGAGGTATTTGCTTCGCCAAGAAGACGACCCTCTTTCGCTCCACGGTCAAAGCCTGGATGAACGCGGCTTCCCTGTTCTTCGCATCCTGCACGAGCTTCTTGTTTTCTTTCACCAGTCTCTTCCTATCCTTCTCCAGATTGAGCAGATTCTTGTCATAGTTGGACTTGTTTTCTTCCATGCGAGCTTCGTATCCATTCTCATAGTAGAATTTTTGTTCCTTTGAATTCTGCAAGGTGTTGGTCAACAAAAGGTTGCTCGTCTCGGACTTCCACTCAATTCTGAAAGAATCGTTGATGTCCCTCACCACCTGCAGAAAGTGAAGGATTAGTAATCAGGATTATATTAATTGACCCGTGTTTGTGATTTCTGATCGAAACGCCCGAAAATCTCAAAAAATTTAGAGGACATTTAAAAGACAATAACCGAAACAAATATTTCGCATACTGCAAAATAAAAAGAGAAATCTGACACCAATTAGCTCTAGAATTAATGATTCCCACCTTGTTCAGTTTCTCGACTTCATTTTCCTTGTCCACTAAACGCTTATGCCATATTTGCATATTGCTTTCCAACACGCCCACCGTCCCGACAGAAAGTTCCAGCTGGCCAGCCTGTTGCACCTTTTCGTGTTCTAAACAGCGAATGCGGTCATTCTTTTCCCTAAAAGATTTAGATTAGGTAAAATACATGACGTAGTGACAAAAAATATAATAACGCGATCACTATATTTACTTACCTCGTTGACATGTCATCCAGCTCAGACATCTCCATGTACTCTTCTTCTTTATGCTCGGTCACTCCATGCATATCGAGGATTTGTCGTGGCTCCAGGCTAGTCGTGGTCATCGCAGCGACCGTCGTGGAAGTGACATTGACCATCGTGCTGGTTGATGGAACTGCTTCGATGGGTGCAAGTGCGAGACAAGTGGGAGATGGGTCCACATTTTTAGGGGGTTTCGGAGCAGCAGCTTTCTTCACACTTTTTGAAACTATTTCTTCCTTCGGTATCATGGGCTCCTCAGCCTTTTCTTTCTTCGCGATGATGGGTTTCAGAACTTTTTTTTCCTTCGCCGTAATGGGTTTTTCTTTTTTCGCTTTGATGACCTTAGGAGCCTTCTCCTTCTTCGGTATGATGGCCTTTGGAGCCTTTTCTTTCTTCACCATGATGGGCTCCGAAACCACCTTTTCTTTCTTCCCCCTGACGGGTCTTGAAACCTTTTCCTTCTTCGCTATGATAGGTTTTGAAACCTTGTCCTTCTTGACACTTTTCGAAACCTTTCTCTTCGCCATGATGAGTTTGCCGTAGAAGTTGGAGAAAAATTTTCTGCTTTGAAGGAGAGCGAGGCAGCGACCTGTGGACGAAAGGAAAGCCAAACTCCGACTGAAGAGGAGACTTGCCCATGCCCACCACGTACTTGGAGACTGGCGGCACGATGCGGCGGCCTTATGGGGGCAATTCCGGAAAATCCCCAGACATTTTTTTGCAAAAATTTTTATATGCCCTGCCATCCTGAGGGTTGGAATGACCCTCAGTGAAATTTCGTTGGGCCACACCCCCTGGGGGCGAAGTGCCCCCCCGCTTGACCTTTGACATTATAATGTGGCTGAGATTGTAGGTCTATGTGTGTGTAGCTTACATTCCAAATTTGGAAGCATTTGGTCAACCACAACGCCGGGCGCAGTATGGCGACACTCGCAAAACCCCCCTTTTCGGCCCTTTTCAACCGCTTATAACTTCGCTAGGTGGATCGATAGAGCTTAGCTGTTTGGGGGATAAGATGACACACATTCTCAAGATTCATCCCCTGCTAAAACGGTAGACCCACTCTTCCCCCATTCAAAGACATAACGTTTTGAATTTCGGCGTAATTGAACAATGTCGACATTCCCACATTGTCGACACTTCCGTGTCGACACGATCAAAAATATTTGCATCCATCATCTTGTACATATGGATGCGATCACACATATTTTTGATCGTGTCGACAATGTGGGCATGTCGACATTGTTCAATTACGCCGAAATTCAAAACGTTATGTCTTTGAATGGGGGAAGAGTGGGTCTACCGTTTTAGCAGGGGATGAATCTTGAGAATGTGTGTCATCTTATCCCCCAAACAGCTAAGCTCTATCGATCCACCTAGCGAAGTTATAAGCGGTTGAAAAGGGCCGAAAAGGGGGGTTTTGCGAGTGTCGCCATACTGCGCCCGGCGTTGTGGTTGACCAAATGCTTCCAAATTTGGAATGTAAGCTACACACACATAGACCTACAATCTCAGCCACATTATAATGTCAAAGGTCAAGCGGGGGGGCACTTCGCCCCCAGGGGGTGTGGCCCAACGAAATTTCACTGAGGGTCATTCCAACCCTCAGGATGGCAGGGCATATAAAAATTTTTGCAAAAAAATGTCTGGGGATTTTCCGGAATTGCCCCCATAAGGCCGCCGCATCGTGGGCGGTGAGCAAACATAGGGAACGTCCATACATTCCGTCATGGTCTATTTTACTCGTGTTAAGCTTATCATGAATAGGATAAGGATGGGGTTGGTCAAAAAATCGGCATTTTTTTATGACGAATAAATGGACGTTCCCATCCTCGATTGGATCCCAAAAACATTCACGTGGGGGAAAATGAGATTATCTTTGAATCATTTTAATTTTAATTTAATTTAATTTTAGTGAATTAAATGTTAGTCAGTTAATCCTATTGTAATAAGATTACCCATATGAAGATTAAGATTATAGTTTGTAATCGAAAGCTTACGGACAAATAAATAAATCAATTTCTATAATGCCATCCATTCCATGATATCCGTTCTTGAAAATCAGTAACAAAAATGTGCAGAATTTTTCCAAAATCTATTCATTTGGTCAACTTTATCTAACTTCACAATTTCACATATTTAATTTTGACAAGACAGGTAATTTGATGAAACGCCCAATTTGCACGCAAAAAAATCCTGCATAAAAAACATGAACGTCATGGCATACAATTTAGTCGACTCTGATTACTCTAGGGTTTTTCGTATGAAATTTTGAAATTTACAAATTGTAAATTGCAATTACGATTACAATTTAAATATGCCAATAATTATCTTCTGATTTATTCGAATTTGGAATTTAACTTTGAAAGTTATCCGCAATCATAAATATCTGCTAGTCATACATGCACAAAGTTTCCTGGAAACATTTACATCCCGTAACATCCCCAGATCATCATCAGTAACAAGACCTTCACCGCGACCGAAAGAAGTGGTTGGGGGGACGATCCCGAGTCCGATTCCCCTCCCGAGCCCCCTCCTTCCTTTAGGTACCGGAACTGTACACTATGACCAGGAATACTACCCGCTGTAAAAAAAATACCAATTAAAATTAAAAATGCAAATGTTCCACTAATTTGAATATTGTTTTTTACCCTCGTTGAAAGTCCCCATGGCCAAAAGATGTGCGTAGTTTTTGTCGTCAAGGTCAAACTCTTTCTCCTTTTCACCCTTTGGGTGAACCTTAAACTTGGGTGGCAATTCGAACTGGCAGAAAGTCCGTCCCTCGGGGGAAACTTCTTTCACGATGACATTTTGCAATTTCGGTTCGTACACCTACGCAAATTTCATCCATACAAATTTTTGAAGTAATTAAATCCAAAGTTGCTTACCTCTTCCGGAAAATATGACCCCGAAGCCCAGTGTGTAGTCGCAGTCTTGTTTTTGAATTCAGAAGATCGACAAATCATGATGAAGGTGTTCACCTACATAAATAAATGCGTTGTACATTTGCAAAAAAAATTGCACAATATTTATTTACATAAAATTTCTACGTATTAAAAAGTATGTGCATCTTTCTAAAAAATACAAAAAAAGCGGACTATGTTCTCGTATAATTTCTGCATTTTGAAATGTACGTTAATTTCGTTTAAAAAGTTGCACACTTTTTATTCTTAATTTCTACGTCAGAAAGTATTAAGTTTGCAAGGAAAAAACTTTCAGATTTGCATATATATCTACACTAGGTATGTGTAAGCTTGGGGAAAAAATTTCACAATTTGTACACAAAATTCGTGTATGATTTCTATTCTACATGTTGAAAAGACTCTGCAGCTTTGGAAAAAAAGTTGCTCCAATAATTGGCACATATTAAAAAGTACGTATGCATACCATTTTAATACCTTCTTCTGCAATTCCAAACCCCACCCAGGTTGGTTTGTCGGCGTCCTTCATGGTGGACATCGTAACCACGAAGACGGTCCCGTGTTTCTGCAGGGAGACCAAAGTCGTGCACGTGCCTTCTTTGACACAATTCTTCTCATGCGACCCCGGAAGTCCGTAGCAATCGTCCGGCGACTCCTTGCACTCTTCCCGAATCTGGGCTAATGTATCATTCGATGCGAGGGGGGCCTTTGTCGTCATCGTGGTGGCTGCTGTCTCATTCAATACGTCAGGGTCAGCATTCACCTAATTTCAAAGGGTTATCAATGAACTCGCGGGGTATCATGTCATCCATCGGCCTAAATTAATGGACAGGGGTGGGCAAAATACATTGCCAAAGTCAAAGTGTACTATTTCAGTTCCGTTCTTCCAATGACTTAGATTTCGGGGGCTATTACAGCCACTAGTGTTTCGGGTGCAAGTAACCACGTGCAAGAAAGTGGTTTTCTGAAGCTATTTTGACCTGCAAGAAATGCAAGGGCCTTGCATTTCTAGCATTTCATAGCGGCGGGGCGTAGTTTCTTGCGCCTTGCAGCAAGGCGCAAGAAACTACGCCCCGCCGCTATACTTCATAGCGGTTAGATGTTGCATATTTTTGCGCTTTCTTGCAGTTTCCTGCACCTCGCATTTCTTCGCATGGCTTGCTTTGTTTGCAGGGCAAGAAATGTTGCAAACATGTAAGAAAAGAAACACTGGCAGCGACAGTAGAGTGGAGAATACAGCAGAAAATACTCGTTTTGTTAAAAAAATTAACCTTGTCTCGCTGTAAAATACGGTGTCAAAAAAATCGTGAAAACTATGCAGGTACTAAAGTTGTATGTGCATTGACATCGATAAAAGGTTAATTTCTTCACAAAACCTGTATTTTTGTTCGACTGATGTATTCTTCATGTACATATGTAGATTCTGTCAGAAATCCGAGCCCCGAAAAACGGAGCTCATAATACTGTATTTTGTCCACTCCTGTTAATGGACACCTTGAAGGACATCGCGGCGACGAAAGTGAGTAAAGTGGCAAACTTTAAAGTCGCCATTTTCAGGTTTTGTTTTTCCTCCAGAACACGCAAAAAGCGTGGCGTCGATGAAGATGAAAATGTAGCTAATTTTCCCGTCCGAATTTATTGAGGAAAGGGACGAATTATAATTGCTGGAAATTTTTTGGGGCATACAAAAATGCTGACATTCCTTGACAACCCCTGTACATCCATTCAGATGTCAGCTTTTAATTTCTAATATTCAAGTTATGGCCAATTATGATAATGCTGGATGGAGTAAAAGGAGAAGACAACAGTTTGACAATAATTTTCACAAATATACCAATAAATATGTAAATTAAGTCTGCATATTTCTGATCAAAGGGTCACATTGTGTGTTATCTTTAAAGGTCGCTGTTTGTGCAACGATTTTATTTACCAAACCGAACTGGACGACGACGTCGTAATAACGCCACGTAAAAAGTACCCTTCGAATACGTCAGATTTACTACATCGCATAATTCCAGGTTTGTTATGCACATATTTTCTTTGCAAAATTTGCGGTTTGCACACAAAATACAAAATGATGTTTGGACCTCAACCTCTGGTATAATTAATGCTATTTAGCTTAATTGAGGTCCTAAACAGCATTAATTTGTTTAACTACCCAAGCAGTCATTCCCTCATTTTGGTAGATACTATGTATAACTTTTAGGCACAAATTTGCATTTTGTACAAAAAATGCATGTAAAAATGTGACCATAATTAAAACAGAAATAATTTGTCCCTTACTAAATATTAAAACTATCCATGCAAGTAGTACTACATACTTCAAAACTAGTCGGAATGGTTCAAAAAGGTCCGAATTTCTAGAACCAGGCTGAAAACAAAGAAATTTCCAATCAATCGCTATTTCACTTATTTGATATGAATCTCTTTAATGGTTCCGCTCGCTCGGAAAAAAATAAATCAGAACCCAATTTCACCAACCAACCACCAAATGATGACCATAAATAAATAGTCCAGTCTAGCCCACATCCACCCATGCGTTCGTTCGTGTACATTGTCTCCGTCTTATCAAGATCACCACCTTCATTCCCTTGGGGAAAGTCAGGGTCATTTACAACCATCATCATCATTTTCCCCTTAATAAATAATTGTCTCGTCTTCATCTCCTCCTCCCACGCGTACAAACGCTTCATAATCGGTTCAGATTTAACTTTTCCTATTTTTTTAAAAGATTATTTATTTTATTCTGGAATTTTTACTGTTTCATTGCTTTCGTTTCCCATCCCAAATTTCGATTTTTTTTTCGTGCATAAAAATGCAAACAGATTTGGCTTGCATAAAAATATGTCTAAAATCTTTCCCAAAACTGTTACTATTTCTTTTGGTCATCAATTCCATAAATTGGCCTCATTTGCACTCAATCCAAAATTTCAGGTTCATTTTTTCACGAAAATACTATTTTTATCTTTAATTTTTACGAATTTTTTTTTCTGGTCATCCATAAATTGGAGCAGTATGTAATCTAAAATTCCCATTCTTTCTTCTTTACTTACCTTTACGAATAACCCTTCAATTTTTACCGTCTCATCCAACCAAACTTGATATTTCCTCTGGCCATCCATCCATAAATTGCTCGTCGCCCAATAATAATTCACTCCTCTATCTTTCCCCATCTCCATTTATTTCCCATCCTCCTCAACAAGTACATGCCCTTTTCTGACCTGCACGACCACCACCGATTACACTTGATACATTCAATTACCGAGGTGGTGAAAAAATCAGTAATTTACTTTCTCTCTCTCTCAACTTTCTTCTACTATATATTTCCCGTATAATAAAGTCATCACTCGCACCCCATTAAGAAACAAGACAACCCAAAGTCACCCCGATAGCCTGAGAAGAAGACCACCGAATAAATTCAAGGAAGGAAAAACCTAAGACTTTTTCGACACTTACACTTCCTCCACGGACTTCCCGTCACATTTCCCTTCAACAAACCTCCTCCTTCCTCACCGATTCACGAAAAAGAAGAAAATGCATAAAGTAAAGTAAAATAAAATGAAAAAAGAAGCTCGACCCTCAAACAAAGCGTTCAAAATGATTAACTCCGCATAAAGAAAGTGTGCATCACAGAGAAATGCGTCCCGTAAGGAAATGAGGATCACCGAGATCAAGGGAATCTTATACCACCAGAAATGAAATGGCACGACATTTCGACCAGGCCAGCATTTTATTATATTTTATCTAGCTTTTCAATTTAATAAGAAGAAAGCGACACCTTTTTCGTATCCTGGCGTGTTTTTCATCTCATTTGAAATTCAAATTTTTCCAGACTTGGTTCGGCTGAAGAGTGAAAGTTGAAGAGGAGGAGGAGGAGGACGAGCTAAGTCCGTCGGTACGATGGGGTGACGGAGTGAGGGAGGAAATCCCCATAAGCACCTGGGGATTAGGGACGGGTCGCAATCATTCCGACCACCCGGAGTGCCCTGAAAGTACGTCGTCGTCCTGGTGGTGGTGGGTGCTGAGTAAGTTTCTGTGAAAGAAATGACGGGAAGAAAGTGGTTTCTTGCAGGTATTTTGACCTGCACGAAATGCAAGGCGCAAGAAACTACGCCCCTCCGCTATGAATACTTCATACGGCCCATGGCAAAGGTGCAGTGACTGTGGAAGCGTGAGGACAGAGGGACAATGTCCCCACGGTTATTCGATGTCCCAATCATCTCCCCAAGTTATATAAACCTCTCCCTCTCCTATACTACAATTTTAAGGTCCCAGATGTCCCCACGGCTTCCTCGCCCACTGACTTGGGGCGCATATTTATTGCACTTTCTTGCACCTCACATTTCATGCATGGCTTACTTTGCAGTGCAAGAAATGTAGCAAACCCTCAAGAAACGAAATACAGATAGTGGTGGAGCAAAAGCTGAGGAGAAAAGTCAAGTGGACGGGACGGATGAGGTGGAGAAAGTTATTTAGCGATGATGGTCACCACGATGGGAATAATTACTCTCCTTCGCTCGAGATGGATTGACATTTCTGATGATTCAATTCGATATATATTTTTTTTGGCTGGGCGCAATAATCTGGTCGACCCATTGTGTGGTGCTGAGATTTCCTCCTCTCCGCGGGGGGTGTTATCCTATGCTTTTCCTTCCCTTCAATAATTCTAGGAGGAGAAATACGGCTAAAAAAGGGCGGAATATTTTATATCTGCTGTCGTGGTTGGAATTATAATTATTGTGATACCAGAGTGCGAAAGGTCAAATGCTTCATAATTTGAATTTTGAAGTCGAGTTGTCAAAAGGGATAAGAATTTCGTTCCGAAAATTTGATGAAAATCTGACCAAAAAATCGGTAAAGTTGGTTTTTAAACACATGAAGTTTTACAATTATGTTTTGAATTCTTAAAATGTGCAAGAGTTTTGTATCAAGAATTATTCAATTTGATTAAAAATCTGACCAAAGAAATCGCTAAAATCGTTTTTTACCACAAGATCAAGTACATATTGTACAGTTATACTCGTACTTTGAATTCGCAATTTGATTCACTGAAAATCACATCTCGTTTTTTTTAGGGAAGAGCATTATTATTGTCTCATGATCTGTCGGTGCCTTTTTGTCTGTGTAGCACATGGATAGGTAGGAAACCCGGGTGTTGGTAGAGGATACCCGGTCCGGAGACAGTCTCAAGTCCATCCCCTTCAGTTGGTCGTGTTCTTGGGAAATTGTTCCCTTCCTGCAACCACCACTTCACCCTCGTCGCCCTCTTCTTGCTCACTTCACGACGGATACAGGTCACGGCAGCATCGAGAAGAAATAGTCTCACTTTCCTCACAATCGCTTCAATTTCTTCACAATCTTCTCAATTTCCCCAAAATCGTTTCACTTTCTTCAACATCGTCTAAATTTATTCAAAATCGTCTCAATTTCCTCGAAATCGCTTCAATTTTTTCAAAATCGTCTCAATTTCCCCAAAATCGTTTCACTTTCCTTAACATCATCTTTTATTCAAAATCGTCTCAATTTCCTCAAAATCGTCTCACTCTCCTCAACATTATCTAAATTTCCTCAAAATCGTCTCACTTTCCTCAACATCATCTAAATTTCGTCAAATCAGTCTCCAATAACCATAATCATGTGGTTATCACACCACTACCAGAATAACAGTGGTAGGAAACCTCCCTCCCACCATCATCACCACCACCACCCCCACAGCCAGGCGGAGGCAACTCCACTTCTGGGCGGAGACGGTGCTGCGGCTGCGATCAAGCTGCACAGTAAGTTTGGTACGTACGAGTTGCCTCAAATTTCATTCCTTATTGTCTTTTGTGTAAGTTAATATTCAACTACTCTCAAGATAAGGTAAATCCAAACTCGCACAAAGTAGAATAGCTTGCCAAAATAAATCTCATTCTCCCCAATTTGTATTTGCATGTGTTATAAATCCGTGCAAAACTGGAAATCTGGTAGAGATGAGTCGCACTTTGCCTCAAATTGAATTTCATTCGTCTCACATTTGCAAATAAGCTCGCATAAAGTACAAATCAAAATTAATTTCATCTCGCCAATTTTTATTTTCCTGCTAAACAAACTGGAGAAATTTTACGCAAGCAATTTGCACTTTGCCTCAATTTCACACTTTTGTCTCACATTTTCATTTTATTACGTATATAAGTGTTATTGAGCTTATCTGTAGATAAGGGAAATCCCAACTCGTATAAAATAGATAACCCTGCCCAAAGTAAATCTCCACCTCTACACCAATTTTTACATATTTGCACAATAAATCTGTGCAAACTGGAGGAAATTTTGTGCAACCAATTTGCATATCAAAGCCGAAATAGCTCAGTTGGGAGAGCGTTAGACTGAAGATCTAAAGGTCCCTGGTTCAATCCCGGGTTTCGGCAATTTCTTTTTGAATTTCTTTCAAAATTTCCGAAATTTTTGAAAATAGTAAAAATTTTGAAGCATCTTATTTCACAGAACTTTGTGGAGGATCGAGCAACCCAGTCGGAACTAATTCTGGTGCCTCATTTTCTACTCGGAGGGGAAGTCATGCAACGACGCCGTGGACGCCATATTATCACCCAAATGTTCCCACCGCCCCACCAAATGTCAATTTTCAAGGTATTTGACATAAAGATTTCCGGATGTTGGTTTATGTACGCAACAAAATGCGGAAACATTTACATTACAAGCATGAAATTCCAGCAGGTTTTAGTCCGAGTCAGGGCTTACGGAACCGTCATGCCCGTCCGTCCGTAAACATGATAGAGCCAAAACGGCTGAAAAACGGCTGACTTCAAATTTTACAATGCATAGTATCTTGTTCTATGATGTGCACACTTGGAAAAGTTAGAAAACGAGTTATGCTCTATTACCCATTTTCACCTGCCCCACCCACTCAAAGGCACGAAAAGTACGAAATAACCACTGTTTTTCCACCTTCGAACCATCATCAAAAATCCAAGTTTAGTCGGATTTTGAAACCTTTGTATTTTCTTCAGATTTCATATTTCATAGCTGGATTTATGATGCCCAATTGCCCAACGAACCAATATCAGACTATTTTACTAATACAAATATTCGTCAAAAATAACTAGGTGGCGTTAAATAATTACATTTTCCCAAGAAGTTCAAAAATAATTACATTTTCCCAAGAAGTTCAAAAATAATTACATTTTCCCAAGAAGTTCAAAAATAAAAAAACCTGAATTATGAAATACCACCATAATATCAGGCAAATATTGACCAACTATCCCCCCCCCAAAAAAAATAAATTTTCTTGTAAAAAATGTTTAATCTTTAGGATCAGTCTTTAATCGTTAGAATTTTTAATATAAATTAGGTACAAAAGCTTGCTTAAATTAATTAACTTGCTTTAAAGAACTTTAACGAAGTCGCTATTCTCACAATCTTGTTCTCTCCCAGAAGCGTATAATCAACTCATGCTCGCCACCCGGACCTCATTAACGACACATCATCATCACCATCAAAGCACTTCAACGTCCGGGACAACGCCGTCGCCCCCAATTTCGTCGACAACCACCACGACGCCATCCTCGACGACGACGACGACAAGCTCCTCCTCCCCTACCACCACGACGACGGGTCAAATCCAACTCTGGCAATTTCTCCTGGAATTACTGTCCGATGGGGGGAACACATCTTGCATTTCGTGGGACGGTCACAACGGCGAGTTCAAACTGACGGATCCCGACGAAGTGGCGAGACGCTGGGGTGAACGGAAGGCCAAACCAAACATGAACTATGACAAGTTGTCCAGGGCCTTGAGGTACCTGTGCAAAATTATTTTTTATTTCGTGTTCCATGAAGTGGAAATTCTGTGAGAAGCGTAAATAATTTCGAAGTTGCTTTGAAGTGCTTAAACGCCAAATTGATTTTCTACCTTTATCTTTATTAATATTTGTGTATGTAGATATCTTCGACTTTTCGTCTTCGTCTTCGTCCTCGTCTAAACGAATGTTCGTTATGGTTTATTTTCTACTAGCGTATAGCCCGGCCAAGGCCGGGTTCTAGAGTTCCAGTGGGGGGTGTGCCCAAAGCGAAAAATCCGTCATACTATATTTTAAATAATTCCCAGTGGAGACTTTGTCATACTACATACATACATCAGACTGAGGGTTTGCCCAAGTCATACTGCATTTTAATTAACCTGGTCACAGTAAAATTTGATTCCCCCCTGTGGGAGTAGTTGAATAGCTAATTACTTAAATTCCCGTCACGTGGGAGTAACTGCATAGCTAACTATTTAAATTCCCACGCTTCACGCTCCCGTTAAGTTCCATAAACCCCGTTAACTTCTACAATTAACGCCAAGCTATTGACGGATTCGGATTCAGCGTCAAAAATACATTCGAATTGATATGCGACATCACGAATAAGCCAGATTTGGACACCACGGTCACGGCGAGGTCACGGGGGCCTCGCCGGTCAAAACCATTGACGGCGTTGGATTCAGCGTCAAAAATACATTCGAATTGACATGCCACTCGCTGTGGGTAGAGTTTCTCAAACTAAAATAATTAATTAATAGTGTTTATCACGATCACTTATCATGATAACCACTATTGATGAGTGATGTATGTATGTGGGGTGTACATGTTCATGTATTCATTTATTCATGCAGTGCAGTGCATGCATGCAGTGGTTGCTCCGCTTCCTTCTTTGTCTACTGTATGGGGCAATTTGCATTGCGAAGACGGACCCAGGGACCCAGGGATCATACTAACACTTTATTAGAGTAGATTTTCGTTTATTTATTTTGAGAATTTCGTAAATATCAATGTTTCCTAAATATTTTAGCCAGTCAATTCAATATGATCAGAATAAATAGAGACGGTTAAAATTGCAAATTAAATTTATGTCCACACTTTTGGCAAAAATTCCCGAAAATCTATATCTTGCATTCTTTTCGTTATTTTCTCGTAAATATAGCTTTATAGCACCATCGTCCTCACCAACTTTTTAAAACTAAAATAAAATCCGGATGTAATTTATTATGAACGAGTTTTGTACAGGGGACTTAATAAATTTTTCTTATTGCAGATATTACTACGATAAAAACATTCTTAGCAAAGTTCACGGAAAACGGTACGCGTACAAGTTTGACTTCCAAGCCCTCCTCCAACAATCGTGCCAAGCCGCGGTAGCATCTGGATCCGCGGGGGCGGCGACGACAACGACGCCAAATTCTTCGCCACCGGATTACGCCAAGTTCAACTGCCCCTTTTTCACGCCACATGCTGTCATGGGTGTCAATCCGGGTGGTTCCGTGGGGGCCAGTAATCATCCATATTTTCACCATCAACATCATCCCCACTTTCCAACGGCACATCCACACTGGCCCGTTTATCTTAATAATCGATAAGCAACATAGATAAACGTATCTGTATTGTGATTAATTTAGAAAAATAATATCAAAATTATCATTTGCAAAAAAAATTTGCAAAAAAAACATTTTGAAAGATTTATTTCATAAACTGAAATTTATGTCCAACCTTTTTCATAAGGCATTACTGCAGTGTTATCCTTCACTATGGCATAATCTACCAACGGGTGAAATATAAGCGCAGTCGCGTACGAATTATTATTTGCAACCTTTGTTGAAAACTTTGCTTCATAAATTTTATATTTGATGAGAAATGTGGAAATCTTGCATTAATTATTTTTCATGAAAATGTGAAACATCTTGCAAGCTACTAACCCCGGCGAAATACACCACAGTCACACACATAATTACTGAATTAACTTTTTTTCCCAAAATTTTTACCAAACGGTTTCCCAACCGACGGAATTTTTATTTTCTTTTCTTCGCGTCCTCAATTTTCTGACTTGCACTTTTTCATTCGCTCTTCAAATTTTGTTGAGTGCACCTCAAAATTTTCCGTCGGTCCACTCCTCATCCCCTCAAAATTTCCTGTTTTACAATCCCAAAACGAAACTACTAATCAACAATGGCTTGCTGTGCTCCACCCAGGTGTCCAGGAGGTAATTAAACATATATTTCCCCAAAAAAATATCAAGTTTTTCTTCAATTTTTACCTTTTTTGTCCTCTCCTCAGTGACCTGTCCTCCCATCATGATCCAGGCCTCGATGTGTCCTTCCCCCTGTGGTCAGACGTCCCCATCCTGCTGCCCGTCCCCACCATCGTGCTGCTCCCCGTGTCTCGGTAATGGTCAAAAAGCTCTCGAAGGATGCCCTGGGTAAGTCGTCAAGTAATTATGAGAGGTCATTCTCCTCAAGAGAAAGAATATTAATTTTTGCTCAAAATTTTTGAAAATAGGGGACGAAATCGTCGTGAAAAGCGGTGGAAGCAGTGCAACTTTTTGAAGCCTTGCATCGACACGAGAGTCTATCGGAACGGAGAGGCGATGTGCATTTCGTACGCAGGTCATATTCCTGGTGAGTTTCTTCAAATTTTGCACATTTTTCATCAAATTTTGTATTTTTTTCCCTGGTTTTGAAAATTATTATTATTTCAGGCGAGCAATACATCCATGGGCGAAATCTACCCACCACGACGACCTTCGCCAAGAGGAGATTGTGCCAATACACGCCGTACGAGTTTGTCGACCCAGACGGTAAGGAGGACTTTACTGTTAAATTAAATTTCTAGTGAATTTGTTCACTAAATTTGTTCCTTATTTTTTTATGGGCAGGTTGCTGCTCATTCTGCACTTATCCTTGAAGAGGAGGAGGATTCATCCCCTCGGACAATGCTCGACCCGACGTCCCGACGTAATCGTTCTATGACGGAGAGTATTTCGTTTCAAGATCGTCTCGTTGGCCGTCAAGCTTGCTAATTGTTGAAATATAATTATCATTCCTCCCACACAATGTCTCGTACCACGCCCCTTTACCCCAATTTCTGTACATGCATTATTTCTGTGTAAATTCATACGAATTTTTCCCAAATAAATAATTCGTTATTTGGAATTTTGGCGTTCAGATTGTACAATATTTATACAAAAGTTGTGTAATTTATTGTGGTTTATTTATAGTAGTAAGTAAATAGTTGAAATTTTGGATAGTCTATTTTTATAAGGGTCCAGCAAGTATCTTAAATAAGGTAGCATCATCATTCACAGCCTTATCTTAGAGACAGAACGCCACCCAAAAAGCCAAGCTAGTGGAAAGTGGAATCAGAGTTTTTTTAAGTTCGAGTCAGTCAGAGAGCCAGTTGAAGTTTGGACGGCCGGCAAGAAACTACGCAAAAATATTCGCTCTTTCCGAAGCACGATGATTTAAATTCGACAACGTTTTCGCCACTCTCTGAATTCATTATCGGATTGATATCAAGGTAAATTAATTGTCTCCTTAATTGTTTTAAAATTTTTTCGAGTAAAAACAACTTTCTTAATCATCCAGCCATGTGATTTCCTGCCGACGATCCCTTCAACTCCAAGAAGATCAAGATTTTCACTACTCTCTGAATCAAGAATTTAATTAATATCATTGTAAGTTAATTGTTTACTGTACGAATTTCTAGATTTTTCCAATTTAAACAACTTGTTAAATAATATAATTTCTAATATCTCACCCAGGTCACCTTCAAGATGTTCAACTGGACAGAATTCAATAAATGTCTCCCATCTACTGACGACTCTGCTGTTGTTGGTGGTGCTGTCGGTGGCGCTGGTTGCGGCGATGGCGACGATGGCGACGATGAACTATTTCTTCCTCCGGTCCCAAATCGAAATGAAAGTCATCACATCATTGACGAGAAATTGACTTTGACTAGTAAATGCCAAGTTGTGCTAATAGAGGAGCCTTTAGGTCCACAGGACACCTTGAAACTTCAAAGTATCGTCCAACAAGCAGCCTCCGACCAGCCAGCCATTCAACGTAATGCGATCAACGAGATAGTTCAACTCGTCTCGTGGCGACGACAAACTCCTCCCCCGATCGATGCCCTCATCTCTTGTGGAGTTTTGCCCGTCCTCATGAAATGTTTGGGGGTGTGGGAAAAGTAAGTGGGGCAGATAATTAGCAATTAATTCCGTATTTAACTAATTTTCCACGTTAAACTAATTATTTGACCCTGCTCTTCCTTTTTTAGCCCCGCCCTCCAATACGAGGCAGCCTGGGCTATCACCAATATCGCTTCTGGAACAACCCCTCAAACCCACGCTGTCGCCCAATCCGGCGCCATCACCCCACTCATCACTCTCCTCTCCTCAGATAAAGAAAACATCCGTGAACAAGCGATCTGGGCGCTGGGCAATATCATCGGGGATGGTCCATTCCTACGGGATTTTGCCGTTTCCGCCGGCGTGGTTGGTCCCCTACTCTCCTTCGTGCGGCCCGGCGTGCCCACCTACTTTCTACATAGGGTCATCTGGGTCATTCTCAACCTGTGTCGACGTCACTCTTCCGACACCTTCAATTCACCACCACCTGCCTATTTGAAAGACGTTCTAGCTGCCCTCGCCATGCTCCTGTATCATCCAGACATCGACATTCTCACCGACTCCATTTGGGCCATCAGCTGCTTGACGGATGGTGGAACCCACAAAATTCAGTTGGTCATTGAGTCCGGCGTTCTGCCCCAATTGGTCTCCCTCTTGTCCAATTCGGTCGCAAAGGTGCAGGCCGCCGCGATGCGGGCGCTCGTAAATCTCGCCACGGATGGGACCGAAGCTCAACAAGGAGCTGTACTGGATTGCGGCGTCTTGCCAAACTTTCATCAGTTGCTGCTCCACAAGAAAAACCACATTTGCAAGAACGCCCTCCTCTTTTTGAGCAATGTGACAAGCGCTGCGGAATGCGAGGCGAGAATCCAGGAAATTTTGAATATGGGGTTGATGCCGGCGATTATTCCACATTTGGAAAAGGTGGATAATTACTAATTCATAATTTATTAAATATAATTAACTACATGATTTCGTATTTACATACATTTTGTAGGCCTCGTTCCCCCAAGGGGCCGCCTTTATCGTGACGAACATGATGGTGAAAGGAAACAAGGACCAGCTCGTTTGTTTAGCCTCGTACCGGATTATTGGGCCATTTTGTAAAGGACTTTCTTTCACAGATGAGCAGGTCAGTTAATTAATTACCAATTTACTCTCATTAATTTGTTAATTACTGGTTATTTTGTCCAGCTGATTGAAACGATGCTGTTTGGCATACTGACGATGTTAAGAACGCTCGCGAACTATGGTCGTAGCCACGTTGTAGACGCTATTCGCCATGAGCTGCGAGAATGTGGCGGATTTGATAGGATTCGTGGATATGCAACGGTCCACGGCATTTACCAATCGGCGTATCAAATCGTTTCGGAATTTTTTCCACAAAATGTGAGATTTACATAAAGTTTTTAATGTACTCGATTCCTAAACTTTGAACTAATTATGTTTTTTTATAAATTAAGGACGAGGAGAACAATAACAATATCCTCGTCGATGATCGGAAGAACCATTTCGGTCAGCCAGACATTACAGATATGGAATGAAACAGGACTTCTCCGATAAAATTGGTTGAAAAGAAAATCAATTGTATTAAGGCTTATCAAGATTATTAACATATTAACATTCAGATTGTTGGTGACGAAATATGTGTCAATATTTACCACTTTTATATGAACTTTTGTTGCAAATCAAATGTGAACTTCAATTTATTATGAAATATATGTCTCAAGGTTAGTTTGTTATAAAATATGCCACAATTTTGCACTCGTCCTTCTTTGTTATAATGACGATAACCACATTCTCAATAAAAGTGTACCGAGGAGCATAATAATTTTCCATTGTGGAGCAGGATTTTCAACATAAATTAAACTTATTTTTAACACAAAAAAATCAATTTTGTATTTTGCTAGAACAATTTCTCAAACTTCGGTCACACTTTAAAAATGATTTTCATATTTTATAAGTTTCATACACAAACTATTTCATAATTTGGAAATAAATACCAATTTCAGTATTTTCCACAGGAATTTATCATATTTCTCTATTACGCTTTGTCGAGATTTGGAAAATGATGATGTCACAATCTTGCCATGATATTATGCAAATTCCACTTCAACCTCATATTACTAACGAACGAGCAGTAATTTAAACCAAAACTTGCATCAAGGTATGTATTTCAGCATGTAATAAGTTGCAGAATAGGAACTGGACGCATACTCATTGACACTTTCATTTGTAATGTACACTATTAACTTCGTGTTCCATTTGTTCTCATCCTGCTAGATCTTTCCTCCACAAACAGAACAACAAAACAAACCCATAAGAATTATAATTTTTCCCTGGGTTTTGCGCAGATCTGCATGTTTGCCAAAAGTGTATACAACAAAAGTCAGTGAGAAGGAAGATTACGACGATTACGTAATAAGTATTTAGATACATTCATCCAACACTGAGGAAAGAGTATCAGTTTTAGTCTTGGCTTGTGTCTCGTCATACTGAGAGTGACACAAATTTAAGCTTTTTAGGCCACCAACCAACCCCACAAAAATGAGGTCCACCCATATTAGCGGCGTCACTCTCCTCTTCGTCTGTCTTTCCTCCGCTGCCCTCCTCCACGCAACTTCCGGTACTCAAATCCCTTTAAATTCCTTACTAAAATATAATCTGTGATTGCAGGCATAATATGAAATTGTAAAATCGAAATATTAACAAGTAAAAAAATCCAGGTTTGCAGTGTTACGGTTGCGCCAAAAATGAGCAATCTGGTCGATCCTGTGAAGACTTTAAGGACGCGGATGACACCGAAAGAAAGACACGATTCGCCATAACATGCTCATCCTCGGCAACGGGTAAGAAAAAGCAAAAAAAAATCACTATTTATCCCCCCAAAATCTAAAATTTCATTATTTTTTGTTTATAAAAATCCAATTATTTCTTGGGAATGTTACAGGTTGCGCCTACATGAAATTTAATATTGACAACGACCAGGCCAAATTCGTCAGCGAAAGTCTCGAATGTTACGTTCCAGATGCGAAATTGGTCAAAATTTCGGAGATGAATGCCTGTGTAGATACGGTGGAAGGGAGGTCCATGTTTAAAGTGTGTGCTTGTGATGGGGGCAATTTCTGCCTGGATGGCGCCGCCTCTCCGAGACACGTGGGGGGTGGAATCGCCTTACTCCTCCTTATCCCACTTTTTGCAACAGCGATGCAATAAGAAATTCAACAAGTTTAAAAATCTTCAAAAACTTTACTCTAGAAATCTTGAAAAATCTACACTGGAAATTTTAGAAGCTACGATAATCTGGATAAAATTAGGATTAAAGGAACATTCCTTAATAAAAAAAGTGCTAACCTTTTTCACAAACTTGTGCGAAATACGTAATGACTTCATTATACATGTTTCTCCTACGTGGGCTGAATTTGCAATTTCTTTGCTAAATATGTTTTTTCAATGTTCGTCCATTTTTTAATGGTTTGTTCGTGCATGTCAAGCCGCAGTTAGAGTACGTATAATAATGACGTTATTTCCTTAGCTTTCCTAGAGGAGATGAGATGAGAAATAGATCCTCTGGTTTTCCATCCGGTTCGGCGCCTGGTTTTCGTTTCGTGTTTCGGATAAAGAAATCGGGCATTAGTCGACTCCATTAAAAAGCCGTTCAATCTTTTCTTATCCTGAATTTTCGGATTACTCGGTGACATTAAAAGCATGGAACTATGTATCAGCAAAATTTATATAATTTGTTGCAATTTTTGCGAGTCGATATTCAATTTAACAATTAATATTAATTATGTAACTTTCGCTAATATTTATTTAATTATCTATCAAACAAGTAGTAAATACGCACGCAAAAATTACACAGAAAAATTTTCGGATTAAGTATTCTGGTGACTTTGATATTAAAATGAATTCCTCGTAAACTCAATAATTGAAATTGAACCCATGTTATAGCTCAACACGAGTATATATGAATTAATCAACAAATAAATATCCACTCCATGATAATTACATATGTATCTTACATAATGCATTGCTATTTTTTAATCAAATATTTAATTTAATTATTAATTAACTCCCACAAAGATTTAATTATCTGTCCAGTAATAATTTAGCCTATGCATGCGAATCAAAATCCACCCACAAATCCAATCCACCTCACCTATGCAAAAATGTACGCGTGTCAATTTCACTTCGGGCGACAATTGACAAATTGGACACAGTTTTCAATCCATGGCCATCTCCACTGACTTTACCATGCATTCCACACTTAATTTATTAATTGCTTCTTCTTCTCCCCTCCAATTTTTGCGACTTGTTTACAACGTCTCGATGACATCATCATCACCATTACTCACCCACCCCTCACCATCACCAATTAATCGTAAATTGCTGCCTGTCCGTGTACATAAAACAGCCACCATGAAAATGGAACCCTATCATTACAGCATAAACAACGGTATAGCAAGTTCAATTGCACATCACGATGTACTTGTTATGCAGGGCGCAGCGTTACGTATGGTGCCTGGCAGACCCAAGTTTGTCCTTGGATTCGTGTAGGAATTAAGTAAGAAATAAAATAAAAGGGGATCGAGAACGGGTCGTCGTTCAGATTAACTTTACTCGCATAGTACACAATGAAGACCAAGAATGGAGGTCTCCCAGCGAATGCTCTCCGATTTTGACCAAATTAGGGTCAATCGATCACAAAAATTAATACGAAATTTGAAAAAGACATGAACAAGAGTTATTCCCATCCAAAGAGGAGAAAATGTGCCCTTAAAGTTTACACTTTCCAAATTTATTGCACATTTTCTCCCCTTCGAATACAAATATCTCTGCCAAACCTGAGCATTGGGAGATCGTATCATTTAAAAATTTCATATTAATTAAGTTTCCAATCAAGTGGCACTAATTTGGTTAAATCGGAGAGCATACGCTGATAGACGTCCATTCTAAGATTCCTTCTTAAATGAAATGAACGGGATTCTTCTTCGTCCAGCCAGATATTAGTGAGAGTGATGTATGTTGATACTACTAAAATAGTATGGCATAGCAAAAAATGGGAGCTGCTGGACCAAGCAACAAACTGTATTTGTAATACTGGCGTTGGTTTGGTGGTGCAAAATCGATCCACAGGCGCACGCTGAACAGGGGAAGGAATTGTTTTTCTTTTACGACCATACCGATTTTGCATACATACATTTCTTGTCCAGTCGTAATTTGTGTGTGAAGGGAAGCACACGCACACCTTGATTTTCCAGAGTTTTTTAAGGAGGAGAAAAACATGACGCGATCAAATAACGGGATCCATTTGATGTCTTGGATCATCTTAATTGTGTCGGGGGTTTTCCTCTGGGAAAGCTGTGAAGGTGGGAAAAAATAGAAATTTGGAAACCAAAAGTTGGAAAAAGTCTTGAAAAATTATTAACATATTGTAAAAATAAACCAGGAATCATGTGCTACTCGTGTACAACAATTATTGACAACGGCGTTACAAAACCGGGCAATCAGACGTGCACTTTATTCAACACGGCGACAGAGGAGGAACGAAGGGCGAGATTTAGCGAAATTTGTCCCCCAGGAGTGAAGGGTAAATATGCAAACCCATAAGTTTATATTGACAAAACTGCGTAAATTTTGTCCCAAAAATTAAATTGCTAAATTAATTAAATATACGTATAATTATTAATATAGCAAATTTGTAAAGGAGGGAAAGTTAATTGCAAAAATTTGCAAATATGCAGATATATAGGGAAATTTACATACATTTAATCGCGAATGTATATATGTCAATCAAAATTAGCAGGAGTCAAAGTTAATATATAATGGAAAATATTAAAAGATTTCCAATATGCAAATATTTATTTATGTACAAGCACGTTTTCAATCGAAAATGTTCAACTTTTGTAATTTTTTCAGTCTGTTCGCAGTCGGAGAAGCGTGGTTTTCTGGGTCACAGTTCTGGGAGCAGTTACGACATAATTCAGAAGGGTTGTTACGCCCGATCCTTCGTGAACAAGGCGAGATTTAACGTTTGTGAGAACGTGGGGGGAGCGAGCAGTGGGGACGATGCGAGGAAGGAGCGGATTTGTCTCTGTGACACGGATTACTGTGATCTCATGGACGTTGGGGGGGATGACGAGAGGGGTGACGACGACGCTTCTTCAAGTGCGGATGGCACAAGTGTCTCATTTTGCCTCAACTTAATTACATTAAGTGCATCGATAATTATGAGAAGAATTTCACAATTTCGCAATCTCTATTAAATTTCTTCTCCAGTGAAGGACATAGAATTTTAATATTTCCAGCATCAGCGCCCCATTTCATTTTAAGTTTACCAAAATGTCTGTACATAAGCAACATGTATGTATACATGTACATAATATGTACTACATATTATTAAAAGTCGCCCATGTTAGGCTACACCTGTATATCATGTATCAACTTTCAGTATATTTGCAAGCATTCATAATTTTTTAGTGACAAGAAAAATTAACAAATGATTTTAATATTTCTCTCTGCGTTATATTTCAAATTTGATAGTTTATTGTATACGAGCGGAGAAGCCAGTCCTTCGACTGGCAGACATACGAAGCATTTGAGAATGGTCGATAAACTAAACCTCACAATGGAACCTTTTCTCAGGCTACACCGGGATTGTCTAGCAAGTTATATTAAAAAATAAAGTAAAAAATTAGTAGTCACATGACACTTATCTTTAGGTTGCAAACATATATTGGCAGAAAAAGTTCAATTTATACGAAAATTTTAGCTCGCTTTTCCTCCACGGGGCGAAAACCAAGGCGGACGTGTGAACTTTGTGACCAATATTTTTGTTCCAAGCTGTCATTCACGGTACGGAAAGTTTCATGTGACTACTAATTGTTTACTTGAGTTTTTTTATATAACTCGCTAAGACCATAATAGTTAATCCCGTTGAGACAAAGGCATGTTGAGAATTGTAAATGTGAGATTTTTCTGACAAACTGCTGGATTCTCTCTCTCGCTTGCCATCTGTATTGGGATTGGGAGGAACGACGTGTCATCTCACCCCTCCAAATTTAACGTTGCCAGAGTTTGAGCCGGACGGCGTGTCACTTGCATATTGTTGTATTTCTCTCACTTTCGAAAGTTTTTGAAAATTGGTGTTGAAAAGTGTGAAAACTATCATCATGGCGCAGTACGACCTCACTAGCAAAATATCCCAGAATCTGGATCGTCACTTGGTTGCTCCTCGGTTGGAATTTATTGCAGGACAAAATGTAAGTAGAAAATATTAATGATAAATGAATAAATCTTTTCACTAAATAAAATTAGGCGTATTACTATTTTGATGTTTACACTTGACATTTCGTTTTTTTAGATCTACAACCAACAAGAGGTTTTGCAGTCCAAGTTGGATCTCCTTGTTGAGACGAAGATGGTCTGCAATTGCAATGCAATTGATGTTTTTAAAAAGTTGCACCCGGAAAAAGAAATTCCTCCTGTTAGTTTTTAGTTAATTGGCGCATATGCGTCAACTACTAGGAATAATTTTAGAGGTAATTACTAAACGATCATGTTTTACTATTTTATAGGAATTCATGGAGAAACGAACCAAAGTCGTTGAGGAGTACAAATCCGTGCAGGAGAGCTCGAAACCGATCACTGCAATTTTGGAGAGTGCCGAACTTGCTGAACAAATTTCAAACTCGAGAGACTATCGACAACTCGTGGAATATTTAGCAAAGGCTCATAATGTAATTTCAGTTTATTGGAGTTTACTAAAGTCATTGGATTTATTATCTTTTCCATATTGGTTGTGCATCTTGTATATATTGTTTATAGTTCAAACCGGAAATGATTGACTCCATCTATGACTATGCAAAACTATACTACGAGTGAGGCGACTATTCCACTGCTTCACAGTATTTGAATCTTCACAATGAATTGGTCCCCAGTTCTGACAAGGTATCAACTTGTAAATATGCCATTGGAAAGAAAATATCTATTTGTTTACAATTTTTATACTTTCTTCTTTATTTATTTTTAGAATTATTTGAGTGGTCTTTGGGGCAAGCTGGCCTGTAACATTTTACTTCACCAATGGGAGTACGGGTTGGAGGATTTCGAAAAGCTAAAGACTTTTATTGACGAAGATCCCTTTCGAAATGCTTTGCAGGTATAAAATATATAATATAACTAATCAATTAGTTAAGAAAACTTAATTCGTTATGCAATATTCCAACAACGGCATTTTTTTAATTTGCAGACTCTGCAACAACGTACGTGGCTCCTCCACTGGGGGCTATACTTGTACTTTAATCACACCAAGGGCTGGGGCTTTTTACTTGACTTGCTATCCAACAATGCAAAATATTTGAATGGTGAATAATCTAAATATATTTCATCCAATTGAATAGCAACTCATTTATGCAAAAAATATTTCAAGAATATCTTGGATTTAACCTATGCAAATTAAAATTATTTTTAATTTATTGCAGTAATTCAAACAACATGTCCTCACATTCTACGATATTGGGCTACGGCTTCATCATCAGCAAGCACAGTAGACATTCAAGTGCCATGAAGGAATTCGTAGCTGTGATTCAACAGGTTAGCAGAGACATATGATGCAAATGATACAATGGAAATGCTAAACTAATCTACTTTAACTACCTGAATCTTTTAGGAAACGTACACGTACAAGGATCCCATCACAGAGTTTATCAAATACCTGCATGTCAACTTTGACTTTGATGGAGCTCAACAAAAGTTAAAGGAATGTGAACGTGTTTTGTCAAATGACTTCTTCCTCATCAGCTGCTACAATGATTTTATTGATCACGCTCGCCTGATGATTTTTGAAACCTTTTGCCGAATTCATCAATGTATCAGTATCGGGTAATTTTTTTTTTAAATATTACTAACAAATATTTGATGTTATTGCCTGGTCAAGTGAACGGCGTGATTCAAGATTAATTGTGATATATACACAGAATTTTGGCTGAGAAATTTGACATGACCACCGACGAGGCAGAGCGATGGATTGTCAATTTGATTAGGAATGCCCGTTTGGACGCAAAATTGGACTCGAAGCTTGGTCACGTCGTGATGGGCACGAGCAACATATCACCGTACCAGCAAATTATTGGGAAGACCGAGTTTTTGAATATGAGAAGTCAAGTTTTGGCAAACTCAGTGGCAAGAAAGCTTGGAGGTAAGTCATCTTACCAAATATTCTAACTTAGTACTGTTTATAAATCTGAATATTTAGATTAACATTACATATGCTAAATGGTTATCATATTTTCCTTGTGTTTAAGTTGGTTGTAAACTCGTAATACATTAGAGGACTCTAATTTTTTCTTATTTTCAATTTCAAGAACTTGAATTACAAGGCTAAATAAACAAAGTACTTTTTTGTATTTGTCGAAACACAGTGTGAATAGGACAAATTTATTTGCACTGCCAGTAGTCTTCCTCGGTTACTGCTGTGCACACACGGACGCATTCATTTGTTCTTCTCGCCCCTTCCTTCTTAGCACTATCATTTCCGAGTAAGAGAAACTTTATTCACACACGATCGCTTGACTTTTAGGATCCAGGTAACACTTCTCCCTTATACAGTGATAACGTATCAAATAATCTTGCAATGCTAATATTAGATTGTCTTACGATTAGCAACATTGGGTTTCCTGTAATAATCTCGAGTCGAGATTTTCAAGTTGAAAATTTCAACTCAATCCACAAAATTAGACATAGTAGTATGCATACTAACTAATCAAACTTAACTTTTGCCTTTATTATGTTTTTCCAGTGACAATGGCTTCAAGCAAATCAAACTCCGACACTTCTTTAGACTTGCTTGACGAATCTTTCAAGTCGGCAATAAGTAGTCAAGGGGAGAGTAATGAGGAAGATCAACGTACACAGTCTCCAGCATTAAATCTCGGAGCCTCAAGAGATGGATTCATACCAGATGCCGAAATTTCAACATCACATAATTCAACTACTGACGAAGAGGAGCACTCTAATAATGCCGAAGATGATGAATTATTTGAGAATTCGCAATCTACTAGCCATTCCATTATCGAAGAAGATGATGACGATGACACTAACATAGAGGACGACGCAAGCGAAGGACATTCAATTATGGTTCCAGAAACCCCCCCAAGGCTAGATGACCATTCCGAGGCGGTGAGTTTTAATGACAGGAGAGTCACGCAAAACTATTTTTTAACAATTAATATTTGTTTTTTCTTGTCTGGACCTTTAGGTTTCAAAATCTTTGACCGGTGGCGTGATTATGCCCACACCATCCTCTACCAGCATCGAAAAAGAGCTTGCAACACTAACCATTGGCGCAAAGAAAAATGTGGGCTCGCCTTTGTCAGTTAAGTCTCAACGGGATTCAGGAAATGGGTCTGTTCCACAAGTTATTGACCTTTCAAATCCTAGCAGTTTGCCTGTGAGGTTGCCTACTGTGGTTAAGAATTCAATTCCCAGTCACTCTCCTGTTTCGGGCTTGCAAGACACGGTAAAGGTAGGGTATAAATTTTAGTTATCTTCTAATTTAATTAAAATGCAAATCTAGATATGCATAAACTGCATATGCAGTCACATTATTCTAACGAAGTTTCTTTGGTTAACAGGACTTACCGAGCAGACAACTATTCACTCAAAAATATACTTTTAAAGAGAAAAGACGGGCTTCTGGAGTTGAAGCTGAGCAAATAAAATCCATGGCATCGTCGTCATCTCCTCAATTTTCGTCACTAGCTCCGACTTCTTCAAACCCACCTTTGACTAGGAAAATGTCGACCTCAACGCCTTTGTTGTCCAACAGAAAACAGGTATATGCATAAGCATGCATTTAGTTTTGACATTTGTGCTTTTCATCCATTCATTTAATGTGATTTTTTTGCAATTATTAAAAATACACTTTATTTCAGATGAAACATGTTTTTGAAGAACTTGACGTCACTAGTATAGGGGCGGCGGAGGATGGAAATCGGCTGAACTTGACTGGCAATTACAAGGAGACCATAGACTTGTGTGACTCAAACTGCAATGCAGCTACGGAGGTCATAACTTTGAGTCCCAGCATTAGTGGTACACGTACACCCTCTGGTCCGAGAAATCCACGTCGCGGTTCGACCAATGATGGTAGTGATGACGTTGTAGAGTTCAGTGAAGATGACGAAGACACTGATAATGGACCACACCAAATGAACATTCCCCAAAATAAAGACATTGACGAGATTACTGCACGTATGAAGAAACTGCATATTGAGAAAAAACCACTGGAACCACTTCCTATACTGCATAATCCATTTGCAAGCTCAAAACCACGACCAAATAACAATACATGGATGTCAGTTGCCAAAATTAATGAGTATAAAACTGACGTTTTTAAATTAGCCAAGCTCCTGATGGAAATTACTCAAAGTATGCCACACGTTGATGACGACCATGCTGATTTTATTATACCTGAACAATTACGAATCGAACTTTATCCACATCAAATCTATGGATCAAAGTATAATTTCAGTCATTTCATTGTTATCAACTGAATGTATTTAAATGTTGTTTGTTTTTTATTTAGATGGTTGTGCTGGCGTGAGAGACAGTATCCTGGTGGAGGCATCTTAGCTGGTAAATTACACTTGTACCTGTGACAATGTATAATTATTTTCAAGCCATTTTTTATTTATCAACAGACGAAATGGGATTATGGCAATCACGTTGATCCTACATGGGAAAACTGCAGCAAGAGAGGACACAGAAAACTGGTTTACGCCACAGAATAAAAAGTTGGTGCCGTCACGAGCCACATTAGTAGTTTGCCCAGTTGGCTGTATTGAACAATGGGACAAAGAATTGAAGACGAAGGCGAAAGGTCTCCAGGTGCTCATGTTTCATGGATCAAATAGATCTGCGGCCTTGCTATCCCAAAACGACGTGGTAATTACAACATATCCAACCTTATGTAAGTTTGATTTACAAATCAGTTCAACAGACTTCAACATTTCCTCATAATATTGAGCCAAGTTAATTTGATTTTGTTTCGTTTTAGCAAGTGAAATTTCGAAGCCAGATGATGATCCAAATAATAATTGCCGTAGCCCACTTTTTCGAATTCATTGGGAAAGAATTATTTTAGATGAGGGACACATCATTCGGAACCCCAAGACTCATGCTGCTCTTTCTGCTTGCAGAATTAGCGCCCATCATCGTTGGATTGTTACAGGTAATAACAAAAATAATACAAATGATAGTATAATAAGAAATTTGAGAATGTACCACGTGTACTTACTTACATGATGATTTTTTAGGTACCCCTGTACATAATAAACCAGAAGATTTTTATTCTTTGGTCAAGTTCCTGCAGGTAGTTACTGTTTGATTATTTTTTTATAATCAGCAAATTCTTACTATTAGAGAAATAATAGTTTATGATTACTTAATCTTTAGTTGAGTCCATTCGATGACGTGAAGGTGTGGAAGCACTGGATTGGAACAAAAGCAGTGCTAAAGGGTTCTGAAGAACGCCTCCATACAATTGGAAAAGCTCTTATCTTGCGTCGTACAAAAGAAGAAGTCAGTTCCATGTCTCCTGATGCAGGCATAATTCTTCCAAAATATATAGAGGAGATCGAGGTGACCCTATCAGAATCAGAAAATCAGGTGTACACGTACCTATTTGATTATGCAAAGTCGGTCATGAGACAATTCTTGAAAGCCCAGAAGGATCGGCAGGATGAGCTGCAAAATGCTGCTAATAATTACGTTGCAGGCGCCATACGACGTGGAAATAAAAAGAACGAAACGGCCAAGGATGCACGGTTCTCTCAAATTCTTTGTTTGTGTGTTAGACTTCGTCAGCTTGCTGTTTTGCCTTTCTTGATCAAGACAATGCTCGATGACGATGATGTGGACGAGTCAGACTGCGACACGAGTTACAATCCGTTAGATGATCCAATAAATGCAAAAAATCCAGTGTTTGAGCCTGGGTTCAAGTCGGCAAAAATAAGAAAGGTAAGTAACCATTTCTTTAATTGTTCTAAATTTTTTCTCTATGTACAGAATACCAATTGTCTTAACATTTACAGGTCTTAGAAGAATTACACAAGTTAAAATTGGTTGCAGAAGAAAAAGGACAGCTCATGGATAAAGTCATTATTGTGTCACAATGGACTTCGTTTCTTGATATCTTGGCTCAGCACCTGCGCAAGAAGGGTTTCAGCTATGACAGTTTGGACGGACGTCTGAAGGTGCAAGAGCGGACGGAAGTAATGAATAAATTTAACGGAAACCCAAAACGCCCTCAAGTGCTGTTACTCTCCATTACGGCTGGTGGAGTTGGCCTTAACCTCACAGGGGCCAATCACGTATACTTTATTGAGCCTCAGTGGAACCTCCAAATTGAACGCCAAGCTCAGGACAGGGTTCATCGCTTTGGCCAAACTAAGCCGGTGTACATTAAAAGGTAAGACCAGCAATGTCCAATGTTCAATTATTCAGCTAGGACATACATGAATTAATGATGAATATATATATAATTATGTATGTACTAATTTGCTTGCAGATTTATCTGCCAATCTTCATTTGAGCAGAGAGTTATGGAAATTCAACAAGTCAAGAAGGAATTGGCTAACAACTTGGTAAATAACTCTAAAAAGACCAGATCGGCCGGCCTTAACGTGATGGATTTGAAAAACTTGTTCGATCTCGCCTAAGTTATGTATTTACTAACTCGAATAATATATTTTAAACCTGTGACTAATTTAAACCTGTATTTTAAATTGCAAATGATTAATTATTTTATGAAATATGTATATATTATGACAATCCAACCCCACCAGAAGAATATTATGCCCCTCCTCCACCACCCACCGCGGAGACCCCAACAACTCAGCCACCCGTCGTTTACATTCCTCCACGACCAAGAACTCAGCCACCAGTCGTTTGTGTTCCCCGAGCCTGAACCACCAGTTTACGCTCCTCCCACCCCAACCTACGGCGTTCCTCAAGGCCAGCCTCTTGGATACGCGTACACGTACACGAGTAGATTTGGTTACATGGGTATGGGGGCTATTATGGAGGACTGCGGTTCAGACTTCGTAAGTATTTCGTGGGTGTCGGATTTTTGGGCTAGAAAAGACATGACTTGACATGATAATGGACATCAACGCTTTTTATCATCCTTATTGACGATAACAGACATCAAATTATTAATTAACCCTGTCGTTGTTTTTGTAATTACGACAATCATTATATACACTTTTATCACGAATTATATTCACTTACCATGTGACATTTTAATTTATATACTCCAAACGAGTCAAAAAACTTAAGCTATGTATAAATAATGTGAATTCGATTCATTATGACTGGTTCAATTTTAATTCAATCGCACACGATAAAAGAATAAAAGTCATACAAGATAACAAAACAAAATTGTGTATGTAACAAACTGTATTTTATTTCATTTATGAATAAGAATCGCATCAGACAAGAATTTACGGGGATCAGGGAGAATACATGTTGCATAAAAAAATCGACTTCTTTGCTTACATGTGTATTATGTTAAGCTTTTGAGAAATCCCCACAAAAAAATCTACAATTCCTGTTTCAAATTTAAATAATTTTGGTTATCCGCATCTGCATCTCGTCTGTTGTATGTGTGCAAAACTGAAACTTCCTTGGCATCTCCGTACTTATGAAATTCCCATTGAAATCTGTATAGCTTCATTTTCTTAAAGAATCTGATTTGTCTAATTTATTTTTTCCCTTGGATGATGAAACCCGTGGAAAATTTTTATGTTTCATCGCTTTCGCCAATTTTGTTTTTGGAAGACTTGCGGATTTCGAGGATGATGATGCGTCATCGTTTGGTAATAATTTGCTGAATTGTTTCTTTGGTAGTTTGATTTTGGACTGAGATCCAACAGGTTTAACATTCTCGTGTGAGTTTCGATTTTCTCGATTCTTTGGACCTAATGGTCCTCCAGATTGGGACGGCGTCAACACCTAGGAATATTAAATGTCTTGTTTTTAGATAAACAATTCAAATAAATACGAGCATAAAAATGACGAATTTAAACTAACCTTATTATTAGATTTTAGCTTTCTGTTAATTTTTGAACTTAAAGGTCCAGCCTTCCCGTCCAGGTCTAGAGAACTCGAATGTGGATCAATTTTTATGGATGGCTCCGGTCCACCCACAATGTTTATTGCCGATTTAAACTCTGGGCTTAGTTTCAACCGATGGACGAGGGAGCGTTTAACTCCCTCCACAGTTTTCAACTCGGTTGAAGTCAATCGCGAGAAGGGATTTTGTCCCGAGATGTCTAACACCGTCTCAGCCAGTGATTTGCCAATCTATTCATTTATTTATTAATTTTACTATATGAAACAGAATTTATTACTTTCTGGGGTTTTCGTTTATGTTACCTGTTCAAATAGTTCAATTGTATATTTCGGGGGTTGAAATACGTTTGAAGAAATAGCATCGTCAATAAATCCCGCAGCAGAGGGACGGGGGACAATTGCGTTAACGACTCGTCCAGTGTTGTAATTACACTCTAGGGTGTAACTTCTGACCAATCCTGTTAATTTCAAACAGGCTACACGCCCACTTCCTTCTCGACTTAGGCCATCTTTCTTGTCCCTTGATAAATCAATAGATTAGTACTTTTCAGAGCCGACAACCAATGTAAGTAGTTTGATCAAAATTACGTAAACGTACTTGCAACACATGAGCCGTTCAGTAAAATTACAAGCAGCAAAATCGAAATTAGGCGAATTTATACTCATTATACGTGGTAGTAATAAGCATTCTGCTTGCGTATTCACATCAGGAAAGTGGTTTCCATACATGAAAATTCCTGAGAACATTAAGAATTAACTAATTGTCACGTAAAGTTAGATTTTATGATCAGTACCAGTTACCTCGTTTTGTAGTATGGCCGTGCATATCAACATACAAAAACAGACCAGACGAAGGATCATAATATCTGCTTGTACTGCTTGTACTTTTGTACGGTCCACTTTTCTGAGATCGAGTTAGCCTGGAAGTTTTCATGTCAAATGGCCACTTCATATTATCAAAGACACCAGAAGTGCTGGTTCCTGGTGGTTTCTTCACCCTTGTACTAGCACTGCCCAACAATTTATCTCTGGAAATGGTCTCAGAACTTTGGCGTGTTTTCTGTTTTTTATCTTTAACCGGCGATACTTTCTTCTTTCTCCTGTGGCCACAAATTGACTGATATTTTAAAATTCGACTATGATTTTCTCGTATTATTTATTTAATGTAACGAACCTGCTGGATTTGATTCGGCTTCCAGACGACGACGATAATGATAAATCCTCCACGTTCCCAGGTTGCTGCTCAATCTCCATGTTATTATTAATGGAATCATTGAGCTTCATATTTTCATAGAGTACGGAATCTTCATCACATGCTTCAAATGCGCATTGATGGGTGCTGCCTAAAGATTCGTTCAGCGAGTCACAACGGCTTTGACCTCCGGAAGGCATACTCCTTGAAGAACAGTTGGCAGAATCGTCCAACGGTACACATCCCGCGCAAATACTGTTGGTATCACTGAGAACGAAAGTGTAGGGTTTTTTGGACGATGTTGATGACTGGCAGGCTTGATTGTGAGGATTCAAAATGCCTCCATGTTCCGCAGGACCAGGAAGTGGATCAAAGCAGGTGTCCTCAGAGAAAAGTGTAATGGATGAGTCGTGATATTTTACATCTATTTCACAACTATTCGTTCGTCGAGGAATAGCGGTATCGACGCTAATGCTTTCCACGCTGGAGTTGGTACAATCGTGCTGCAATTCAACGTTTTCCTCTAATTCTTCTTCAACTTCGGATGCTTCTGGAGGATCAACTCCACTGTGGTAGTATATCAACAGTTTCCTAGCGGCATAAATCGAAGGATGAAATTTTGGAGACGGCGATAGATATACGCGATTTAAGTTGATCCCGCGTGGATCCGTTCTATAATGTCCTTTGAAAACACCGTCAGGATTGAGGATCGGAATAAACTTAAAAACAAATAATTTTCGTAATATCACAGCTCTTGGGTCCGTTTTGTGCATGATAAATCGTAAAAATCCATTCAAAACCTATACAAGAGAATGACAGTATAAATTTAGTACGTAATTGTATGAAAATGGTGAATCATGCTTACAAAACTTGACGGCGTTTCTCCTGGGTGGACGCGAGCAGAAAGAAATACAACTTTCTTTCCTGGGAATTTAAAAGGTCGAGGTTCTTGAAGAATAGGGAAAAGGTTGGCGAGTCGGTCTTCTCGTTTTTCCGATATCCCATGAATTGACGAGATTGTCAGGAGATCTACCCTTCTCCCTTCAAGGGAGTAACACACACATTCCCGATGATAGTAGATATCATTTTCGGATGATGATGCTGCTAATGGATTGAGCCGCAAATCTCTTCTATTTAGCTTAGCTTTTGGAACAACAAGTTTGTTCAAGAACTCTGAATCCAAGTGGTTGAGGACATCACATAATTCCTGGTATGTATATGGATACGTGAAAGCAACATACAGGGTGGATTTATTAGTATCTTCAGGAAGTTTTATGCGGAAGCTGATGCTGCATCCGTTATCTTGAGGCTTATTTTCCTATAAATTTACACCACAAACGTAATTATTAGTAATTAATTGTGCGTTACAATTTTTTATTAGTATATTTGTGAGTGGAGGTGTATAACACACACGCTAAATACTTACATTTATTATGATTCGATCATCAATTCTCTCCCACTTTGATTTATCAGGCAGGATCCGAGAAACTGGTTGCATTCCTTGTAAAACTACAAAAATAGATTGACAGATAAGTAGAGGATATGCAATTTGGATTTGCAACGTTACGAAAATAAACGTAAGCTTACATAGCTTTGTCTGTTTATTAAGGTTGGCAATGTTAATCTTGACGACGCCATTGGACTTGCCCCCTGAAAATAATTAAAGTAAGCTTTTTCTAATGACATAGCCATACTTGATTAACATTAATTGTGTAATAATATACCATTAATTCCGAAATAGAACCAAGTTCTATTTCCATTTTCGAATGATGTTCCGTAACAGTCAGGCCTTGTCCAGACGTTGAGCTCGTAATCTGCGACGAAATTATATAATATTACAAAACGCATAATCTTAATAAAATTATCAGTTCCTACCTTGATTTTCAAATGGATATGCGAGAGAAAGTGACGCCGACGACGTGGACGGAAGTGCAGCAACTTTTGACCGAAGTAGGTCAACCGGATAAACAAGTTCAGCTCTTAAAACATTTCCAGAATCAAAATCAGCGGAGATGGTCAAAGGTCCACAGCGAATAGAAGTCGTCATTCCAATTTACAAAGTATTGACATTTCCGTCAAAATGGGCGAGGGGAAGGGGATGGAATTCTACAATTTGTACTCGACACAGCCGGTGTAATTAGTCTTTCCTGTGTATAAAACAATAAACAAAGTTAAAATAAAATAAAATATGTGCAAATTTACCAGATATTAGTAAACAATAACAATCGATTGAATGCAATTTTTAACCTCCTTCTTCGTTCAAGCCTTTGTGAAGAGATACTTCCAAAGTAATTTAATCAATTGTATATTTTCACAAGGTTTACTTATGCGAACTACCACGAAACTATTGACAAAAGTTGGTTAATTAATTGTTATTGCATACTGTTCATTATTTACAAATAAATAACTCAACTGTTTGTCCGAATCCTTTACCCGGTGTTCTTCTGAGCCAAAACTGATCAAGGCAGGCAGGCAGGAGATAGTTTGAGATTATTATTACAGTTTGCTAATCAACTTGGTGTGCTAAATCTAAATCCTTTATCGCACAACAACTCGTAAATAATCACCCTTTATCTGTCACCACCACAGCACGCAAACAAATCCAATCTAGCGTAAATAGCTAATCTGGACTGGATAAATAACTAAATCTTGACCTTATCAGTGATAAGTTATCACAAGGAATGTGTGTACATTGTAGATCATCTCTTGAATGTGTCACTCTAAAAAAATTGGGTGTTTTTTTCTGAAAGGAGGAAATTCAGGATGTAAATAAATACCAGCAGATTTGGTGGTGGCTCTGAGCCTTCTTTTCGAAAAGTTTTCCTTCCACGACAACAGAATGCAGGCTCTGTTCGTCGACTCACAAGAGTTCGCAAAGTGTTTGGCGATTGTGTAAATTGCAAAAATTAAGATTCGCAGGGCCACAGATACAAAGAGAAAGTTATGCGAGATGAATACGTCGAACACGAGAATTTTTATGTTTGGGGATTTACTATAAATCGCAGAAAATGAAAATAAAATCGATGCATTTCATGATATTTTATTAGTAAAAACATTTACGTAAATTGAAATTGACATTGACACAAAAATACATTTTTTATAATGATAAGAGTTAAGTATATGGAATAAGGACATTTGAAGTACACGAATAAATATCAAGTAACTAAATACGATTATTATTTTACATAAGTTTTTTTTTAATGTTACGATATATACAACAAATTGTATTTATATTTAAAGAAAACTGTAGGGTACCACACAGTGTTAAATGACGGTAGTGTTTTTCAAATTGTAAAGTAAAACCCCTAATATACAGGATCTATGAGTAAACTAAACCAGGTACAAAATTTCTAAATACATGTTAAAAAATACATACATACATTTACATAATTTACAATACATACATGTATTTAGTGCATCTGCAATTTTGTTTTCGAATATGATTTTTTTTACTGTACATATTTTTTTAGAGGATTTTATTTAATCTAAAACATTGGTCTTGGTCACAGAGAGTTGACGAGCAAAGGTACGTGAGTTAGCTAAATCTACATGCTTATTCATTAGTTTTGTGGAGTGCATTTAAAAACATTTAAATATAGGTACATAATACTGTACATATATATATTGAGTACTTGATAAGTAATTAATTAATTTGCCACTTATCTTGAAATACTGACATTAGAAGATAATACGTTACCCTAAATGATACATAGATGTAACGACATGAATATACATACATTAAATACGGATAAGCCCCATTCATATAGCACGCGTATGTACATACATAAGTTCCAGGGTGAGATATGCACATTTAAAAACTTACTTGACTTCTCCTTAATAAATGTGTAAATAAATTGTGAAGTATGTAGTTTTGTATTTATTCAATGCGCAATGGTTCTCACTTTTTACATGAATTCGCTATTACAATTCGAGTTTTTTCCGTGATGACGATGATTGTGAACGTTATGAGACCGGACTCGCTGATTTTGCCCGTTGTTGTGATACCCATAACCGGGTGGGGCGAGGTAGTGGGTGGTACTGTTGGTGGGGTTGGACTTTTTGCTGTCTGTCGTCGAAGTCAGGACGTGCAAAGGGATGTGCACGTTGGACGAACCTGTATATAGGAAAATTATTTATTAGTCATTAGTGGTTGGTCATACAGGCTTGGTTATAAATAGTTAGGCATCTAGCAAACCTGCGTTTCTAAAATTTCCGTAAGTTGAACTGTGTCAAAATTTCCGGAGACAATATGAAAAATGTTCAGAAGACAGTCAAGACTCTTGACTCAAGAGTGATTTCAAGATCAGCTCTGGAAATTTTGACACAATCAGAGAGATGGGGAGAGTTATGGAAATTTTAAAAGGGTTTAAAAAATTACCATTCGTGGTGACCCTGGCGTTTTCATTTTCCGGTGAGCCTGACACACTGTACCGGGTAGTTTCGGCTCGAAAGCGTCTGTTCGTTTCTGGGTAAAGTACCACTCCCGTTGTTCCCTCAACCTCGCTGTAGTGTATGAAAGGACACCATCGAAATACTTTTTGAAATCCTCTGCGAAATCTGCACAAAGAAAGTACTGATTATGAAATTTTGAAAAAAATTGGGATACGGAAAGCGCAAAAAAAATCACATAATTTAAAAGTAATCGTTTTTATTATCTTTTCGGTAATATAATAAAACCGAGGAGAGCATAAAGCCATCTCAAACACTGCCCAACGTTCAACCATTGCAGTTTATTTAGATTTATTGTAAAAACAAAGATGCACTAGGGTCACATTCTAGTCTGAATTGCAACTACGTGTACCCAACACAATTTTATGTTTCTGAAAATGGCCTCAGATTTTTAAATTGCTTGTTAACCTCAATCCCTAAACTGCATTGTGCAAAAAGAGTGAAAGATTTCATCCTGACAGTCATGTTTTGTAAGAATGACATGTTTTCGTACGTCATCTCATGATTCATTGCTCTTATAAATCTTACTCCTTTCACCCAAGCAGTTTAAATCCGAAATTTATTGTGAAACCGTTCTCGCCTCATTTGCGTTATGGTTTGGTGTAAGATTTTCTCGAAAAACTCAAACTGTCCGTGATACTCATCTCATCATCGTCATCATTGCGGTCAAGTCAAGAAGTAACTTTAGCTTGTTATCATTACTATTTGCTATTTTCTAAAAAAACGACAAAAAATATATTTTTATGTCGTATTTACTTCCTCCAAATTGTGACGAATGAGATGAACAAGAACGAATAAAGACGTTATTGGTACAATACATACACGAACACTGTTTCAAAGAGCGTCGAAGCCAGCCATTCTCACCAGTGGCCCCGGAAGCTTGAGGGGACAGAGGGACAATGTCCCCACGGTTATTCGATGTCCCCATCATCTCCCCATGTTATATAAACCCCTCCCTCCCCTATCCCACAATGTTAATGTCCCCACAGCTTCTGCAGATCCTGAGTTTCGTTCTCTCTATGTTGCGAATTTGTTCTGACACTTTGTCTCGAACAAAGTAAAATTTATAGGGGTGCACCCTTGGTCTGAGTGGTCTCAAAGAAGTTGCCAGTTTGAATGAGAGAACGAAATTCAATATCATTTGAAGCCCTGCATTTCTTTTCTCCTATTTCATCCGTACAATTGTGTTTCTCTGTGTGTAAGCCGACGGAGGAGTGAAATGTCACGGATCATTTCACCGGCCACGACATCGACACTCCGACCACGGCGAGGTCAGTACGTAGGCACGGAAATCTATATGGAAGTTTGGAATTCATATAGAGAAAAGTAATGTGTCGTGGTTGGTGTAAATGTACGTTGGAGAAAGTTGGACAGCCACCTCTCAATCTTTTTCCAGAGAAAAACACCACTTTATACTTTCATTATTTTCTACACTCGTCGTAACAGGTCGCATTTTTTAACAAGTAAAATCCAGTCCTCGCCAGTGGTAGGAGAAGGTCGCATTCAGTGGCCACGGAAGCTTGAAGGGACAGAGGGACAATGTCCCCACGGTTGTCCGCATCATCTGTCCATCTTATATAAAGCCTTCCCTCCCCTATTCTACAATGTTAATGTCCCCACGACTTCCGCGGCCACTGGTCGTAGAATAATTTGTCTTCCCATGGAGGGATCAAGAATTCGAGGGCTCAGCTATATTTAATCCTATTCAGACATATGTACACGCGAAACAACAGGACGAATCATTTGAAAGTTCAATACTTGTTCAAATATTTGAATTCATATCTTGGAAAATTGGAAAATGTTTATTTAATAAACAAGATGGACACTGGAGAGGAAAGTGTGTTCCTCTCTGGGGAGAAGGAAACCGTTTTATCCGGATTTGCGGAATGGACTCGTGTTGATCATGCGACTCGTTTCCTTATATTTGATAAGCTAGCTTTCACTCCTCCCCAACTTTTAGTTTTCATTTTCAACGTTATGAATCAATGCTTTCACAAGATTTCGCCTCGGAGTGTTCAACTACTTTGTATAATCGCTTAAAAAATCGTTCAACTTGTCGTCCAGACGTCGCATCAGGGGAAAAAGTTAATATGTTCGCTTCGTACTTATTGCACTTTTGAAGATTACTTCCCCTCAGTGGCTGCGGAAGCTGTGGGGACGTTAACATTGTGGGATAAGGGAGGGAGGGGTTTATATAACATGGGGAGATGATGGGGGCATCGAATAGCCGTGGGGACATTGCCCACACTTCCGCGGTCACTGCTCCCCCTTCAGTCAGAGACTCATCTGACATTGCACGCTCTATTATTTTGTCCTATCTGCATCATCACTTGACGAGATTCGGCATTGAAATTGAAACCAAGAACTCGAAGGCTGAGGAAGATTGAGATTATCGGGAACTTCCCATCAAACTTTTCTCCATGCAGTATTCACTCACGACTTGCAATGTGTACGTAACTTATATAACTAAAAATGGAGGTTTCCCAACGCATGCCAACAGATTTTACCCAAACTAGTGTCAATCGATCACAAATTTAATTAATATGAAATTTGCAAAAGACACGATCTGCCAATGCGCAGGTTTGGCAGAGATAGATATTTGCATGCACCTGAAGAGGAGAAAGCGCCCAGTAAATTTGGAAAGGGCAAAATTTGTCAATTTTTTAGGGTCCGTTTTCTCCTCTTCGGATGCAAATATCTCTGCCAAGCCTGCGCATTTGGGAGATCGTGTCTTTCGCAAATTGCATGCTAATTAAATTTGTGATCAATTGACGCAAATTTGGTCAAAACCTATGAACATACTTTGGGAGACCTCCATTGTAAGAAGTGGTGGCCGAAAAGTTGTTGAGTTTCATTCTGCTCAGAGCTGCGATAAATCAAGGAAGGCTGACTGACATGACATGACGTTCTATTCTCTGTAGGGCAGTACCATAATCGTTGATGGGAGATATTCACTTCACTCGGATAAAGTATTCCGAGAATGTTTTTGTCTAAAGTTTCTTCGCATTTGAAAATTACTCGGACCATGATCGCATCGCGTATGCAGTACAATGGGCAACGCAGCAACGGATCAAACTGTTTTCTCCAACATTTATTTTATGGCAGACAAGTTAGTTATGGGTCTGCCAGAGGAGAAAACACAATATGCATTAATCAGTCATGACTGAGGAGTGTTGGGCAGAAGCAGAATCCTTTTGGCAATTCCTCCTCCATATCCGTTTAATCTCGAATCAAAATGATGTACATTTCACTTTTCTGGGAAAAAATTATATAAAGGGTTACAAATCTACAGATTTGTAATAATCAGAGGGTGGATGTATATGTAAATATGTGTTTATGAAAAATCACTGAAATGTGTATTTAATATTTTCGAAATGTGTACGAAAAAACCTATAAAAATATGAGACTTTTGAAAAAATTTGTATTTGGTACTGCTCAGCATTTTTTGTGGTCCAATTTCTTTGAGCGAAAGAAATGTCGTCTCTTTACAAAATATATGTATTTTTTTAAAACATCCAAAATATTTACATGTTTTTTCTAATAATAACGGGAATATTTATGAATGAATATATTTGTATGTCTGAAAACCTAGAAAACGTTAAAAAAAATTGAAATTTTTGTGATCTATTTATACAAGCTATGGAACATACCCACAAAGTTTGACCATCGGTCGGTCGTCATAAATTGAAAATAAATACATATCCGCCCTCCGCGTATTAAACGAATTATTTCAGAATCTCAGATTTGCCAAGGGTGAGGTTGATGTGCACTTTGAAATGCAAGCTGTGATCTTTAGATTTCCATAATTGAAAAGCTCCGATTTAAATGCTATGTAGTCTACTTATGTATGTATTATACTTCCTACAAGGTTAAGCTATTCAACAAGGGCACAATTTGGACTGCATGGATCTAGAGACAAAAGTTTAGAGATATCTTCCGCATCATTATCATCCGCACATCGTAACTTTGCAATCTGGTCGGGTGAAAGTAGGAGGACAAAGGACTTTCGTTAAGGAAATTCCCTTCGCCACTGGTGAAAAGTAAATAGTAAATTTATGCTCCATCATTTCGTGGTGTTGCACGAATGAAATGGTGTGTGTCGTTAATTTATTTCCATATTGATCATAGCAATGCACGAGGCTAACCACCGCCGTGCATGCAGCAACTTTCGACCAGTGTTTCGTTTTTGGAGTCAGAAACTATGTACTTTTGGACTGGGCACCGTCCAAAACTGTGCGAAATAATTTTGGACGTCCAAAAGCGTTCAACATTGGAGAATGGGGCAAAATGTTGGACGAAGTTATTAAAGTTTTTTTGCAAATATATACGCAGACAGATATGTAATGTCCCATTATTTTTGAGCATTTTGCATAATACCACGATATTTAGACAAGCTTTTATTTTGACATGTTTTCCTATGAGAAATTGAGAAATTTTCAAAACCATGCCATATTACACATCAAAGTGATCAAAATTAATGGGAGGTCAAGATTCAATAATAAAGAACTTGTGACATTTTGCCCCATTTTCTCCTTTGGACACTTTTGGACGTCTAAAATTCAGTGTCCAAAACTGGTTAAAACCCCCGTTTTGGACGGCTGCTTTGGTCAGTGGTTAAAAAAATCAGTGCGAAACCCTGCCTCGACATTAAGACCGTTAAATAAGTCAAACTTGGAACTTTTTGAGCAAGGAATTTGCATTGGCAGATGCGAACAGAATGAAATTCAGATTCAAGGTTTGAATCTCAATGCAGAATTCTGGTCGAATTTTGAAGAGGAAGAAGACGGTCTCTGGAGATAGACTGCATGCAAAGTGAGTGAGTGAGCTGTACATATGAATGCATTGAAGAATGGATAAGGTAGCCTGTTCTTCTCCTTCTTCTTGCGTGATAACAGTCAAGTTTCATTGAGTGTGGGAGAGAAATTCTGTATTTTAAACATTATTTGAGGAAACGAGGTCACTATATTATTCGCTTTTGTGTATGTATGTACATACACAAACAACACAAAAATATTCAACCTTCAACCAAACCAAGGGAGATTTTCGGATAACAATATTAAATTGCATCTGATTTTCAAAACTCAAGATTCTCAAAGAAAGGAGGAGAACATATCAGTCGACCCAGAGCAGACCACCCCCCACTCAGCCCTCCGTTCGTTCGTTGTGTTGAATAATAATAATAAATATGAGAAAATCGAATAACAATAAAAACGGAGGAAACTAACCTGGAAACGAACCAGCAGTAGATGATGGGATTATACATGCAGTTCGACATGGCGAGCCAATAAATGCCCAGAAAGATTTCGCGAACAAAGTAAAATCCAGTGATTTCGGGAAACAGTGAGACCAGGATGAAATACGAGTGAAATGGGAGCCAGCAACAGGAAAAAATTATGACCTGAGAAATACAAATTTTTTTAAATCCGTAATTTATATTTGAAAGATAAGTATAAAGTTAATTTCTTAGCTACTTACCACCACGATCATCATTTTGACTACCTAGAGAAAAAAATAAGCAATTATTTACATAATATTTAGGATGTTATGCACGATCCCAGCTTATTTTTGGCACGGGACTGACTTTCTTTCAATCATACGTAACACAACCTTCGTCGTATCATTATTTGGCAGCGTCTTTCATTTTGAAATTCAGACAATGGACATTCATATCTCTACGAAATTGAATGATAATATGAAATATGAAAATCGAGAAACTTAATAAAATGTAGTGGAAACAAGGAACAATGCAGACTGGACTGGAATGCGAATTAATTTGTCCAGTTGATTAGATACATGATTAATTTACGCTTCAGAAATAATCTATATATGCATTTACTCTAGTGCGTTCTGCAGAGATTTTCGAACCTTTGGGATATTTGTCACACAAATTTTTGGAAATTCTTACAGCGGAATATATTGATTATCTGGTCTTGTGTGCAGTAGAAATTAGTGCATGCAACCTGTTTCGCCCTGGTTGTTTAGTTGATTCTTGGGTGTGTGGAGGCAATAAGGGTATACTTTTTAACAACTGGCAGGTTTTGTTTAATCAAGGGTACCAAATCCGAGATTTTGGATTTTGTTCTGGTGAACGAGGTGACACACTATTACCGGAGGGATGATTAATGGCCTTTTCAATGACATGAGAGCAGCATTCCTGGCTTGGCTTAAATCAATACCCACAAAGTATGTACGTACGTATGTACCATCGGTTGTTCGCTGGTGACCAAAATTGGACCAGAAAAAGGAAGAAGGATGTTCCTTTCTTCTTCTTCTTCAGCAACAAAATGGAGGACCACGTACACTTTTTTGGTACATTTTACTTTACACAGTTTTTTGTAGAAATGTTGGTTAGGGAGAAAGTAAGTGTGCGTATGAACACTCTAAGAAATTTTACGACCGGATTATCACCGACCGAAAGGCATACCTGTTCACTTTCATTCATTTGACTGATTATGAAGGTGAATGAAAATGAAGTTCCCGTCATTTGAATGAAAATGACTGAAAGATTCCGTCATTTCAGATGAATGAAGGATTTTAGGAGGAACACCCACCAGCAGCTGGGTGACAATCTATCACCAAGCGGAAGCACCGCTACTACCACCGAAATGGTAACAAGTTGTTACCAACAACCCCTGGTCATGTTTGTAACCGGATTTTTTAGAGTGTACGTACGACCAGACATCCCACGCTCGGAGGACTCAAACCGTTCTAATGTTCTTGAAATCATAGTATGAATATATATTCAAGGGTTCCTTGGATGGATGGATTTTTGTGTTTGACTTTACATACATATTCGAGTGAAAGTTGAGTATACCGGATTTAAGGAAGAATTTTCCAAGCGAGGAGAGCAAATGTGACAAAGTTGATAGAGCTAAATGTTATAAAAAGGTCGCAGATTTTAAGGCTAGATGCACTTGAATTTGCTGCCTCAGCGATTTTTTTTTGACTAAAACCTCAATCACCGTCAGTCCCATTGGTGGCACTTGAGTTGGAAAGCTGTTCGTCCCCAGTGAATCACTTTTTCTGCTTAACATGGAAAATGGGGAAACTTTTGTGGCGCATTTAAAAGGGAAAGATTTTTGATAATATTTTCCGCCTACGCGGATGCGAGGATGATAGAAAAAAAACTTTTCAGATTGTTTTTTAATCGATGCGGTACTCATAAAAATTAAATTTTAAGATGAGTTTGTGTGGTTTGAATGCAAATTAAGGTACAGAAAGTCATGATATTTCTGGGTGCGATGATTTTATAAGGCGCTATCAGTAGTGATATGTATGTAAATGAGATACTTGATGGGAGTGATTAGTTAGTAGTGGCCGCGGAAGCGGTGGGGACATCTGGGGACGTTAACATTGCAGGATAGGGGAGGGCGGGGTTTATATAACATGGGCATATGATGGGGACATCGAATAACCGTGGGGACATTGTCCCTCTGTCCACACACTTCCGCGGCCACTGATTATAGTTAGTGGTAGGAAGACTATGACTATTTTATGAAAATTTTAGAGTAATAAACTTGGCTAAAGTGAATCTTAATTGTGTGTCATCATTACTCAATTTTATTGCGACGACAAGAAACTGGTGCCCGCTTAGTTACTTACTTGGGAGGCTAGATGGATAGAAATAAATAGCAGATTTGATCAAGCCAGACAGGAAGGAACATGGTTGATTTACTTATCGATAAAATATTCAGTTTGACTCTGCTACGCACAGAATTGTGATTTGATCTCTGATATTGTATTTGGCAGAAGCCATGAATCAAGGGAAACGAATCTCGGCGGAAGTTATCTCGTAGAATTGATTTCGTGCGATATTCGGCTTATTTGGATAATTGAGTTTGATTGATGATGTAATATTTAGTTGTGGCGGTTTAAATTAGAAGATATGTATCATTGCATAAGAAGAATTATGAAATCAAAATCTAGAAATGGAGGTCTCCCAGCGTATGCTCTCAGATTTTGGCCAAACTAGCGTCAATCGATCATAACAATTAATATAGAATTTGACAAATACACTATCTGCCAATGGCCAACGGAGATACTTATTTGTATCCAAAGAGGATTAAATTTGACAAATTTTACAGTTTTCAAATTTACTGCGCGTTTTCTCCTCTTTGGATCCAAATATATCTAGCAAACCTGAGGAGATCGTGTTTTTTTTTGCAAATTTCATGTGACCGATTTACACTAATTTGGTCGAAATCTGAAAGCATACGCAGATACAGATACCATTGGTATCATACCAACGAAGCAAATATATCATGGATCAAACACAATCTAATAATTAATACTTTGTATAACTATAATTCTAGAAAATCTAAAACGGCGAGAAAATCTTACAATTTCGTTTAAATTAATATCTTATTTTGGTAAAGAAAGACCTCCATTTTTAGTAAAGTAAATCTCTAAATCTGTAAATTGTGGGTATAGATTATTGATTTTTCCTTCGATTCATTGGGTTCGTAAAATAAATCGTCAACTCAACAATTGTGTACTCCTCCTATTACGCTGAGCCCGCTTCGTGTCCGGATGTGTATTGTTATATCGTCGTGATCAGAATTTCGAAAATGCGGTTGTTAGGAATGTGTGCACCATGGAGTTGTATGTACATGCCTAGTTGTTTGTGACCTAGTCCTGCCACGAATTTCAAGTGGATGTGGAGCAAATAAAACTCTGATCTGAAATAGTTGTCATCTCCCATCCCGTCATGGACTATGTCGAAGCAAGGTGCAGATTCTCAATGAGTTGGGTAAAGAACTATATATCACCGTTTTACGCCATGTCAAGCTATTTACGATGTATGTACGTAGCAATAAGGTTGGAAACGACGGGGGTTGTCGATAAGGTTTAAGTCGTCTCAAATCGCCTCGATATACAGTACTCACCAGTTTTCATTCTTTGTTTTTATGTGCGTCGTTATCATTCCTTTTTGCACCAAGTATTTCCAATACTCAGTGCAAAATATGATGAAGATCTTACAATGGACGTCTTCCAGAGTATGCTCTCTGATTTTGACCAAATTAGTGGATCAATCACGAATTTAAGAAATATGAAATTTACAAAAGACACGATTTCCCAGTGCACATGTTTGGCAAGGATATTTGCATCAGAAGAGGAGAAAACGTGCAGAAAAGTTGGAAAGGGTAAAATTGATCAACTTGAAGCACTTTTTCTCCTCTTTGGATGTAAATATCTACGCCATGTAACTTGCGCATTTGCAGGCCGTGTCTTTTGCAAGTTTCATACTAATTAAATCTGTGATGGATTGACACTCATTTGGTCAAAATCGGAGAGCATACGCTGGGACACCTCCATCGTAGGAGACCAGACGTGACGGGGTTTTATATAATCTTATATTTTGTCCAAATACATAATCCGACTATTTTTGGCGTAATTATCCCTCAAATTTATGAAAATATGAAAATGAGCCTTTTAAAGAGCCTGCCTCAAATTTCCGTTTGATTAGCACTATTGATTAATAAATGGGCAAGTTTTGCCAAACTTTGTCAAGGCGAACCTCGTCGTCTCGTCGGATGAAGAAAAGTATAAGTGGTGCAGAGACCCACTAAATACATCTTGGCTGCATCTGGCACTGACTTTTTGTCCTCCCCGTTTTCCGAAAGTATAGCATTACGACTGGACTACAAAGCAGAGAAGTTAACTTGCAATCGAACAAGTGCTTATCGATTACCCATCCCGATATTTCCAACACGGCACACATATGTAGTTCACGAAATTGCGTAAGGAAGGAAGCGAGTGACTATTTATGATGAAAACTCAGGGCACGTTTGATCATAGGATTTGGAATTCATGAGACATGGGACCCACTCTGCCGTCCCACCCACTCGAATGCCTCCTAATCGGTATGTAGATCAACTCACTCACTGGTCGATTTTGGAATTCAATTTAAAGTTACGACGATTCACTACGATACATATTTGTGAATGTGCGTCATATTATGTATGAGTAAAATAAGGTCGCATTTCTACCTCCTCAGTCACACACATGACTGCAATTTATTAGATAAGCAGAGGGCGGATATGTATTTATTTTAAAGTTTTTCATGTGACGAGAGCTGGTCAAACTTTGGGGTGTGTTCCATAACTCGCTTAGAGCACAAAAGTTTCAAAATATTTTTGTATTTGGTTACATATTTCTAGGCTTTCTGACATAACTGTATTTATAAATGTTTCGCTATTATTTGAAAAATACGTAAATATTTTAAGTATTTTTCGAAAATTAATATATTTTGTAAATATTTCAACGACACGAGACAACATTATTTTGTTCAAAGAAATTCGACCACAAAAAATTCACAGCTCGCGTATGTAGATACGTAAAGCATTATCAAGCAAGATAGCCCGGATTAAAATCGACCTGCCGAAAATCTTGCCATTTTTCTGAACAATTTCTTCGCATAAAGTTTTATCCAAAATAAAATAGATAGGATTTTTGGCTGGAGGAAATTTTCATATAAGAAATTAAATTCTGGAAAGGCTTTCCAGAATCAGAATGGAAGACGAATCTTTCTTTATACTTATTTTGGACATATTACAATTTTCTTACAAACGACGTGCAACTTAAACTTAAGCAATAATATTTACACATTTTTTACTGAACAATTTTTCTACATAAAGTTCAACTATCTACTTGTGAAATAGTTAGTTAGTAATCCTTTAGTTCTCTTACATAGTTATATTGCTATTTGTGTCATAGAATTTAAACCAGTTTTTGTAAACTGATTTCTATTAACACTTGAATAAAGGTTTAAATTAAAATCAGATCAACAGGCAGGATTATTTGCTGGAGGAAATTTTCATATAATCCTGGAGATTCTTTCTGAAGAAAAATTGCCAGTACTGTAACAGAGAGATTTTACTATCTTTTTTGTAATTAAACTCGAAAGTTTTGCTACAATTTTAATTTCTTCGTGCACATTTTCGTAAATATTTTGGCGTTTTTTTTCGTAAAATTTAATGCTCAGCCCTTTTTCGTAAATACATATCCGCCCTCTGTTTATAAGAGAAGACTTACCCTGCGTTTCGACTTGATATTGTCCAACTGCCTCTGGGTACACTCGCCGATGGACTTTGAACCCCATAATTCGATCCCAACTCTTGTGTACGTGTATCCCATCGCAGTGATCGGAACGACATAGGTGAAGATCAGGAAGAGTACGTTGTACCTGCAGAAGGAAAAAAGAGACTCGACATAATTTGACCAAATTATCTCGACAAGCAAACCTGTGTAGCAAAGCAAACATTGTGGGCCCAAGACGCACACAAAGCAAACGCAAAGTAAGGAAACTAAACAAATTGAAAAAGTAGCAACAGTCAACATTTCATGTCAACGCGACTATAAAATTGAGTAGATTGTCCGCGACGGGAGTCGAAAGGGGAGAAAGTTGGAGTAAATCATTGTCGGTTAAGGTAAAATTACGCTCTTGCTGAGGATGAACAAGGAAACCGTTTTCATTCACTTTGCTCTTCTCATCTCATCCTTATCTCTCATCATCGCATATCGTGCTCCTCCACATGGCATACGCGAACTCGTCCAGGTTCGCGATGGAGCGAACCATACTTTATTAAGTGGCGTCGAGTCGACTGCTTATTGTGATCGTTTTGTACGTCCGTCTGTCCGTCCGTCCGTACATAAAATATCTCCTGAACCCCTCAATATAATAAACGCCGTTTTCGCCGTTGCGCTTCTAAGCTTTAGTTCTCGATTGAGTTGGAAAATGGGATCAATCGGACCACCTCCTACAGCGCGAGGGGGTCTGGTCCAAAATTGAATTTACCCTTAATTTTCATATGGGGTGTCATTTTAAAGAAAATTTCACCACAAAATCAACCCCGTCAATATTTTTGATCGCCGACCACTTCACGACCGTGAGGACAAGGTTAAAGGTCAAGAATGCATAATTTTCACGTGGTGTCGTTCTTATACTGTATGAATGACGCCACTTTTTTATGTTCCCTTGAGACGGTTTATATATGGGTCTGCTTCAGTCATTTGTACACCTACGTAGTTCCACATTACGCCGAAATGAGATAAATTGTAGGAAAAGTTTCCTTGGTCGTAATTTTGTAGATTTTATAGCTCTGTTTTTGCTAATTTAACCCATTAGTGCTAAAACAGCCTAATAGCCACACTGTGAATGAGTAAGTATGATGATTAGATGTATGTATATTATCCAAAGCTTTATACAACGCAAATTTCCCGTATGAAATCCGCTACACAACATTACAGTCACATTTGTGGGTGGACGTGGACGTACCAATAACGTACAAATAAGCAGTGCATGCGGAAGGGTGGGGACAGAGGAACAATGTCCCCACGATTATTCGATGTCCCCATCATCTCCCCACGTTATATAAACCCCTCCCCTATCCCACAATGTTAATGTCCCCACGCCTTCCGCGGCCACTGCGCCTAACATAAACTTTCTCCGCATCATCAACCGCAAAGTACTCGGTGGGTCGGTACGGAAAAACAAAGCCTTTTCCTCTCTCACTCCATTTCGTGTTCCATTCATTTTCCCTGCGGATGCAATTTGTGCAAGTCCAGGGAAGGAGACGCCATGGTCCCAATTATGATGGGAACCTTTTACCGCAATTAGGCTGGCTGGTTACCTTATTCATTATTTATTGTCAAATACGGATTTTCCATGTAGCGTGATGTGAAACATGAATAAATAATTGTTTGAGCAATAAAGTGATTGAACACGCAGGTTGAGTGCATGGTGTATGTAACATGTCCGTTTGAAAATATTGGATCGTTTTGTACCCATCACTTCATTTGTAAGATTGAGTAATCTTGTGTTTATCGATGAGTAAATATTTAGTGGAATGTGGAGTATATTTTGGGACGTGGATTTTTATGAATAAATTTCTGGGTAGATTGAAAAGATATATTTAGATTCGGCTCGTTATTGAGATGATAACTCGGCCAGATAGTGTTTCAAGTGCAAGAAATAACGGGAAGAAAGTGGTTTCTTGCAGCTATTCTGACAAGCAAGAAATGCAAGGTGCAAGAAACTACGTCCCGGTGCTATACTTCATTTGGTGTGTAGCTGGATGGCGATATTTCTTGCAGTTTATTGCAATTTTTTGCACTTTCTTGCAGTTTCTTGCACCTCGCATTTCTTGCTTTGCACTGCAAGAAATGTATGTACCAAACCCACAAGAAACGAAACACTGGCTGTAAAACTTTCCAGGCTTCCAGGAACGCAAATCTCCATCTCATTAATTTCAAAAGGTTGGGGTTGATTTGATTTAATTTTAAGTAATCAATCAAAATTTTGCCAGAGGGATATCAATTTCGCGAGTTAAACTTGTCAAAATTTTCATCGTCAGATATCAAACTAACGCCAACAAGATCAAAGCCGCACGGTGGATGAAAACATAAACCTGTGATTATTGGTGGTGGATGGAGGGACAGGTTTTGATGGAATGGGATCAGCAGTAATGTCGAGATTGAGGCTATGATTACTTACACACATGTTATGTACGCTTGAGCCATTTGTTTGGGAATTGCATTTCGGAATTTATTGGAGGCAGTGAAACTAGAGGTGGATGGAATTAGTTGCAATTTCGAATGGTGGTAATGATGGAATGATTCTGTTAACGACTACATCCAGCATGTAAAAGTAACCAACGTATTGATGTATTTGAAACAAGGTATACTTCGTACTTTGTCTCATTACAAATGAAGGAGAGACTTGAACAAAGTGCGGAACCGGAGAGATTTTTGAGTAGAATTGGAATGCCGTATTTGATTTCCAAATATCCACACGACAAACATTGTCTAAATTGTAAAAGCTTCATGACGAATTTAAAATATTACTGTGACCCTATTCGTCGTATAAATGATACAATTTGCTTAAATTATATGCACTACAATATTTTTTATTTAATTTGCATTAGTAGATTTATAGAATGAATCGACTGAATCATCAATCAATCAGTCATACAAGTCATCCCTTAATAAATGATATTTCCTGAATCGTTATAAACTTGATATTTTTTTCCTTCGCATCATAAGAACTTGTGTCAATAAGTAAGAAATCCTTGCAATACAATCATGCTGTTTACAAGCATAAACATGAATTTCCTGTAAGAAATAAAATTTCCAAAGTCTCTCGGCAAATTGACGAAGAGACTTGAAAAGAATTGTTAAGTTTTGTCTTTAGATTAGATTAGAGTGGGCCGATCCTGACTGTACTGCAATGCCAGGCCGACCCTTGGACGGGCGGAAGCAAGCTTCACGACCCCATCCCCGTTCCAAAAATCAGTTTAATATACTGGAAGGCCAATGGCCTTCGTATCAGATATTAAGCTGATAAGAACAGATACTACACTTTGATCTTAGCCAAAAGGCCGAGAAGCGATACCCATCAAAAAGTGTGCCCTCTGACCACTCTCCTCAAGCCCTCAGAGACGAACTCAGTCTGACTTTGCAATAAAAAAATTACTAATGATAGTCAAAGGAAGGCCTAAATTAGTATTATTTTTATGTTCTGCTTAACATTGGCTTTGCCGTAATGCATTAAAATTTTCTAATTGTTTAGTGGGAACAAAAATAAAAATATTTTAAAGTAACTTTAAATTTTACCATGAGAGTTGCGGCAAGTACTCTCCGTTCTAAATGTCTACACGACTTTTTGTACAGCACAAAAAAGAGAGAGACATGTAAATTCGTTTGAAAATGTAGTAATTTCGTATCAAAAAATGTGTGGTATCAATTGACCCTTGACCCCCACTTGAAATATAAAAAATTAAACTTGCCTTTACCCTGAAAAAAACTTTGTGCTGCAAAAAAATCGTGTTACCAACTCTCAGACTTTTTGGAATGTAGAGAGAACTGCACATTTCTACATTTTATGTTGGAAATGAAGTATGTGGGAGTAAAATAATGAGAACGAGGTAATTACGCGGAATGATGCATATTTATTTTATTTTTGTTAACTCTTAATTATATTTAAAGTAGGATGAGTATCCTAATTTGCATAAAATAGTCATGTTTTAGTGCTTTAAATTTGTCAATCTTTGCTTTGCTCAAAACTTTCTTATGTAGAAAATCCACTAAATTGCCTTCACTACTTCACTACAAAGAACTTCGATGAAATCGGTGCCGTTATTGGAGGTACCAATTCCGCAAGCATTTTCAGAACATCATGCACGCTGATTAGTTTCATTATAGCTTTATGCATAACATTAAACATAATCTTACGTAGGCAGATGGAAATACCAGGAAATCTGGCAATATCCTGTCGTTTGAGGAAGAAATGTATGTACATAAAAGTATGCACTACACAATGATCATTTATCATTAGAAGGAAGGACTGAACTGCAGTGTGTGTGGATTGCCTAAATTTTCCTCAAAGAACTTCAAACGACTGTATCAATCCTCAATCTTTTTCGTGGTGTACGTACAATTTGGCGAGAGTCAAACTGGCTAAAATAAATTTTCGCGAATGAGGTAAAAAAAATATCATGAAAGTGCGAAATTCATGTCACATTTGGCGTTTCATCGTCATTAGAAATACCTTTTTTTTCATAATCCTCATTTCCTCCTAATGCGAAATTGTTTTCGCAAAAAAGGCGCTTTAAACATTGGGCGTAAAAGTACTGCAGAATTGAGTGAATTTTTTTCCGAAAATTGAATTATTTTATGGCGAAAGTATTTCGTCAAACGGGTTTTGCCAAACTGGCAGTCTTCCATGTGGACATATGTACGAACAAAACTTTGTTGTAACAATGCAGGGCAATTCTATTGTTAGACAATATTGATTTATTCCTCGCAATGTACATCCGTCCCGACTAAAATGATACTTATTACAACCCCGAACTTTCTCTCCCACTACTTTCACCGACCAAGACAATGGAAAACTTGTCCAAGCCAAGCAAAGAAAATAAATACATTATTAATGAGGTTGAAGTCCACAGAAGAAGCAAAAAAAATATCCTGGATAGATAATAAAAGCTCACCAAGATTCCTGATATGATTCCGTTTGAGGACCGTCGGGCCACTCGGCGTAACAGAGAACCACCCCCATTGACGTGTCCTCGTAGGTCGTAAAGAAGAAAATGTTGGGTGCCCCGATAATGCTTCCAACGACCCAAATTGCCGCGGCTATTCCGAGCGTCACTCTTTTGCCCATTCGTGGCCGGAGTGGGTTCATGATGGCGGAGTATCTGCATTTTGAAAAAAAATAAGAGACAACATAATTAGATTTCTTTTTTCGGGGGAAAAACGGTAAGTAGAAAGTATGTGTATTCATACTGTAAGTTCGATTAATGTGCGCAAGCATAAATTTAATTTTACTTAAAAACATTCACTTCATGTCGGACTAGTTGGTTCTGGTCGGTTAACCGTTGGTGGCGGGTACAATTTAATCAAAGAAGAATGTCTTTGGCAGTGTTTCGTTTCGTAGGTGGTGGGTTTGCTACGTTTTTCTGCACCAGGAACGCAAGAAATGAGAGGTGCAAGAAACTGGGAGAAAGTGCAAGAAATAGGCGTCATCTAGCCACGCGTCCCATGAAGTATTTATAGCGCCGGGCGTAGTTTCTTGCACCCATTTCTTGCAGGTCAAAATAAACATCTGCAAAAAAACACTTTCTCCCCCTTATTTCTTGCACGTGGTTACATACTTTCACCGGAAACACTGGTCTTCTTTTTTTCCCTGAATATGCACATGCATACCTGTGTCCATGCACTGTACGAACAAACACGGAAGAATTCCTGCCTTTCGAGTTGGATGGAGGAAGTGGAAGGAAAGAGAGTTTTACCGGATTCACGGATGTCTGAAAGAGCACGGAGGAAGAACAACTTTGTCCACGGTTGAGAGAATTTCTTACCAAAAAGGTTGTTCAATTATGCAAATTGCTTCTGGCAAAAGGGACACTCCACTCATTTGTATCTCGTTTAAGGAAGTGTGTGTCATATTTGCAACGTGTTTCAGCCATCTCTTCTCGTGTGTTGTGTACGCAATAATGATGCAGAATACTAATGAATGCTTTGTTTTAGCCGAACTTATTTAGTACTAAATGTTGCATAAGCATAAAGAAAGTGCACTCATGGAACGATTTAATGGAAAATTCCGACTAAAAAAATAATAAGAGTGTGCATGTGCTTTCTCTTTTCCATGGTTCATTGCTGCTGGCTGGGGTATGCACGTATGTTTCCTGGAGTATAAATCAAACCACAAGGAACGCATGTGATTGTGAAGGGAGGAAAAACAAGAAGTTTTGCGAAGGCTGAGATGTCGGTGAGCCAAAATGGTAGTTTGAAAAAGTTGTGGCAAAAGTAGAATAGTAAAGTGTAAAATAAACATGTTTGTTTCAAGGAAATCCTACTTTAATCCCAAATCCCGTTACAAACAATGAAGTGAAGCGGACATGTACATACATACGTACATTTCTCTTTTAGCCATTTGAAGTGGCAAAGTAAATGGCAAAGTAAGATTAATTTGCAAAGTTTGAAAACCACTAACTACATAAATAAGTACGATTTTTTTGGAGGAAGAGAGAAAAAAGAGGTGCTTTTTTTGTACGGGATTTAAATCGGAGTGTTTCGTTTCTTGGGGGTTTGTTACATTTTTCTGGACTGGGAAGCAAGAAATGTGAGAAATTCGAGGTGCAAGAAACTGGGAGAAAGTGCAAGAAATGTGTGCTATCCAGCCACGCGAAGTATGAAGTACAGCGACAGAGCGTCATTTCTTGCGTCTTGCATTTCTTGCAGGTCAAATACCCACAAAAAGACCACTTTCTTCCCTTATTTCTTGAAAATGGTTACATACTTTCACCCGAAACACTTTTAATCTGTGCTGGAAAAAAACACTAACGAATTTTTTCCTGATTATTACTGCATTAAAAAATCTATAAGTAGGAACGACCAGATTATTATTTTTAATTAATTTTTTCCCGTCTTTTCATCATCTTGAGTGAGTGACTGCTAGCGGCAATAATTAAAAAGAATGTTGTTGTTTTCTTCTTCCTAGTTTGAAGAAAGATTAAGGCGTGAAAAACTACGCAATTAATTTCCGATGGGAAAGGTGCTAATCCACTATTTAGTTAATGACTAAAGTAACTACGTCCTCGTACGTGCGGGGCGGGATGAGTGGCTGTTAAATTGCATACTTTATTGCGTCGTGTACAACCTCGATAAAAGCGAAATTCGGTACTTTCTTCTCCTTTTTTGACGTCCAGAATAGAAATTGTCGCAAAAACAATTGTTCTCATCTGCATTATGAGGCCATTCATCTCGACAAAATTGTCCCATAATTAAATAATTAACAGCAATTATTTCTGCATATACATTAAAGATTACGGCTCGCTCGGCGTGTAAGAAAAGTTATAATTTCACCCACCAAGAAACCCGTTAAATTAAACGAAGACCAAAATCGGGTTGAGCTGCTAGGAACGAAGAACGATTATATAAAAGTGAATTTGCATTTACATAAATGATGAGCCCAGCAGCACTTTCTCAGATTTGCAATTTAACTTAAAACGGGTTCCTTTACAAAAGAGGAGGAAAGTGTTGGGCGAGTAAATTTGAGCTCTTTAGCTCAGCCGGGATCTCACTCAACGCGTTCCTGTCCTGAGAACGGAGTGAAAGCCAACTTTCTCTTTGGAGGCCGTCTTATCTTTATATTTCCATGAGGAATGTTTCCACCAGGGGCCGCGGAAGCTGTGGGGACGTTAACATTGTGGGATAGGGGAGGGAGGGGTTTATTTAACATGGGGAGATGATGCGGACATCGAACAACCGTGGGGACATTGTCCCTCTGTCTTCCGCGGCCACTGTTTCCAGGCTTTTGGATTTTCATGTTTTCTCCACCATGTGCTCCCCCCTTGACATACATACATCCCTGCTTCCACAAAAAGAGAGAATAGCATAAAACCCGGTGTGGGTTTAGAGCATGATTTAAAAAATATTTCATTTCATGATTGTATAACTTCTTCTTCCGCCGAGGAGAAGTAAAAGAATAAGGCGTCAGATCTCATAAAATGTTAAAATCTACGTTCATGGATAATAGCAATAACACGAGAAACACTTTTGTTACCTAATCCTGCAAATAATATGCTCCCATCTAAAACTGGGTATGATGACTTTCTCCAAGGCATTTAGCACACCTTCTTTCGTCTCCTCCTCCCTTCCAAAACCCCCCAAAAAAGAAGAAGTAGAAGGAAAAATGACAACCCAAAATTTATTCCTGACATTTGACACACAATCAACATTTGGGAAATAATGGATAAAACTTGTGCATTATTATCGATTTTTTTCATACTTTGACTTTCACTTGTTTGTGTTTGCTCCCGGCACTTATGTGAGAATAAACATCTGCAAAGAAGAACCCAACGCGGAGTACAATGTGGAAGAAGAAGAAGAGGAGGAGGAAAAATTTATGGAGTTGAGAGACAAATACGCGACGATGGATAAGTACAACAACGAACCAGTGACACTGAGGTAGATACTTTCTCTGCAATGTTGTTACCTTACCTTTTGTCACTTGTACATAAAGAGAGATGGGAGAGTCAGGGTTTCGCTGTGGTTTTAACCACTGTCCAAAACAGGCTTGGACACCGAATTTTGACCGTCGGAAATGTCCAAACTAGAAAATGGGGCAAAATGCTACAAGTTCATTTCGATAATCCGTTTACGTATATGTAATCTCCCATTAATTCTGAACATTTTGGTGTGTAATTAATACTGCATTAATTCCTTACAAAATTTCTTAATTTCTCATAAGAAAACATGTTAAAACGAAAGTTCTTCCAAATTTCTTGGTATTACACACCAACCAAAATGCCCAAAATTAAGGGGAGATTACATAACTGTGTAAAGATTTGCAAAGTCGTTAATAAAAAATTGTGTATCATTTTGCCCCATTTTCCAATCTTGAACGCTTTTTAAGACGCCCAAAACGAAACACTGGGGAGAAAGTACATTTGCACAAGCGGTTGTCACAATAGGAATAAAACTGCGTCTTCTGTTACTTTGTTCCATCCTCCAAGTCAAGAATCCGCTCTCAGGCAGAGATGATGCCGGGGACAGGAAAAATGTGAACTGTTTTGGTTCACTCATGCCTTCTTATCTTTGGTTTTCCTAGTGTTTATTCGATCTCGGAAGACTTTTGTCCCATTCCCGAATTAGAATATGTTTGGAAAAAGTTTACTCTATTTTCTACAATTGGCCAATCCAATTATTTACCAAGATTGGGAAACTTCGTTTCGCTCTCGAGATGCTAGTTCCGTTACAAAAATGAGACTGAATGATAACTTATCCGTATTTGTGCCTAGCCTGAGGCCAGTTTCAACATCGACTTGGCTTATCTAAGTTGACATGAAAATAGTGGATAATTGAAGACCCGTGTTCGCAATCGTAGTAAAAAAATAAGTCAATGCTCTTTAAAAACAATGAAATAATAATGTATCGTAATGTACTCAAGGCGGAAAAATAAATGATAAGATAGGCAATAATAAATACGAATTTTTATGTAAACACGATGCGTAACATTTAAATATGTACAAAGCTGAAACCAGTTTGAACTAGATTTTTCTTTGTTGGTGAAAAGCTGTCCGAGTTCCTTTCATGTAAAACGTGTATTAAATATGACTACATAACGGTTAATCGACAAGAACCAATTCCGCGTGGATGGACGAATGATCATCATAATGTTGGAATAAAGTATCAAATACAGTATTTTATGATACATAAATAATGACATTCCGTGCAACAGTCGGCACCCACGATATCGAGGAATAATACTTATGTACATTTCTCCACTAATCAACGTATTTACATACATTTACAGAAAGTAGTAACCAACCTGTCAAAAGCAATAGCCATGAGGCTAAAGACACTCCCACAAATGGATAATACAGCCACGAACTGGACAAGTTTACAATAAAATTCTCCAAACGGCCAGCTTAAAAAGTTTTAAAAACACATGGGGTTATGGTTTTGAATGAGTAAATAGATAGGTAATTCTTACAAGGGAGGTCTCCCAGGGTATGCTCTCAGATTTTGAGCAAATTAGTGCAACAATCGATCACAACTTTTAATTAGTATGAAATTTGCAAAGGACACGATTTGCAAATACACAGGTTTGGCGGAGATATTTGCATCCGAAGAGGAGAAAACGCGCTGCAAAGTTGAAAAATTTTACACTTTCCAAATTTTTTTGAGCGTTTTCTCCTCTTTGGATGCAAATATCTATTGCGATCGATTGACACTAGTTTGCTCAAAATCACAGAGCATACGCTGGGAGACCTCCATTGTTAGGTTATTTTTTATTTATTTTTGGCTTACTGTCCCGTCAGCATGTAGATGAAGTTTGGTAAAACGTTCAGGGTGGACACCATAGCGTCGGCAATGCTTAAGTTGACTAGAAGATAGTTAGTCACTGTCCTCTGAAAATGCAAGTTCATATTTACTTTGTTAGTAATAAGATTACATAATTTCTCCCTTCCAAGGTAAAATTGTTGGGGCAAAAGGGGAGACGAAATGCAAATTCAGCATGCACACATACGTAACCTTTACGCAAACTTAACACGGAGTGAAAAGTTTCTTTTGAAAACTTTGAGAAATTATTTACAGGTTTTAAATACTAACTTAATTTACAGTTCAGAAAGCACTTGGATAGCATACAAGTTAGCAGGGGCGATGTTGATACACTGTTAAAAATCTGGTAGAGTCAGATATATAGTACTCCGTACTGGTATTGATTTGGTAATAACTTGCTACCGGATTGATAGTAGTTTGTTTCTGCGTGGTAAATTTTTCATTGCCAAAACATTGCTAAACGGTAATGCCCCTTACTACCAGTGCCGGTAGTCTACTATAATCGGTAGTGATTTAATACCAATTTTCCAGTACTCCATACTGGTATTGATTTGATAATAACTTACTCCCGAATTGGTAGTAGTTTGTTTCTGAATGTTAAATTTTTCTTTACTATTACGTTACTAAACGGTAACTCCTGTTATTACCAGTGCGGTAGAGTTTCGCAGATATGAGTCATACACATGCATATGTACTCTGCTCGGTAATGATTTAATACCAATTTTCTAACAGTATAATGATAAAAACCTTATCTTATTTACCATCCGCTTGTGTGCCAGCACTATCCAAATCACGGTAGAATTTCCCACGGCCGCCACGATGACCATGACACTGAAGAGAATTGACCATAGGAGTTGTCGCCACCATGGGATGCTCCAGCCAGCCATGTCGCCGTCCATGCTGTCATTACCACTGCGTGAGGAATCGTTCATTAGCGATAATAGTGTCATGTTCTCCTCCAGGTCGAAGTATGGCCACGGGGTGGACGAAGATAACGAGGAGGATGACTCATGGTAACCCTGGTACGTGTCTTTCCCCATCTTTTCTGAGATTGGACGTCACTGGCGCAGAAATTTGGTCGAGATTGGTCGCTCGAGTATGTAAGTTGGGTTGAGTGTGTCGTAACAAAGGTCTGAAAATAGCACAATAATAATGTTGGTTAAGCAGTTATCCGATTTTATTGTTTATCAATGCGGACAATGACAAGTAGCCGAGGGCGGGTGGGTGGATGTACCTAGCCCTATTTTTTATTTAGTATTATTGGCTTGTCTTGTACTTATTTTTGGCCGCCTGTGGCAAAAAGGTACACGATTGCGTCGGTAATTCAATACTTTCTCCGAGACTGCTTAATTTGGTGGAGGGTTTTTTTGTGTCTTTCTTTTCTATGTGTGTACCAGGTCCGCTACAACAAGTGTAGATGACATTTTTAGGATCTGGTTACGTGGCACAATACAAGTTTCGTAATAATTCGATGAAACCAATTATCGTAGAATGACTTATTCGGCTTCTTTCTTGAATTTTGGGGAGAATGGAAGATAAGATTTTTGGCGGAGTCTTGCCTCAAGGTTAAGGTCTATTTGTGGCCAAAACACTGTTAGAAATCTCGTATAGTCAGGCAGGTATTGAGTTCTCGGTGTTAAAGGAGCTACCGTTTGGTATTAAAATTATACCGGGCCGTTAAAATTTATTACCGATATGACAAAACTTTAATACGGAGCTATTACTACACGGTATTACTTATCATGTGTTGCATAGTGTCATAATGAATACCGCGTGGTATTATTTTAATACTGGATTTCTAAGAGTGCAGCCAAGATCCTAATTTTAGATATAATTAGAGACCTCGGGTCAAATTATTAAGAAAACTAATGTTAAACTAGCCCCAAATAAATGTAGGTTTTACGGTAAACGTATAACACAAAGAGCGATATATTATTATTAGTCCGTCATTGCAAGTGCACAGCTTGAGAATCTCCGATAATGATCCGATGTCATGAAACGGAACGAGATGAGACATTAGTGCTGAAACCAAACAAATGGTGAAAGCGTATCGCATCCGTCTCATCACATATCTCACCAACTCACTCCACTTGTCCGCTCCTTGTCTGAGTAATCACTGAGCAGATTACACGGCGGATGAGACGACGTGACAAGAAAAAAAATTATCCGGCTGTTTTAGCTGAAAAGCATTAGCATTTAGTCCCCAGACGAAATAAACGCAAAAAGAATTGCAGAATTAGGTGGAAAAGCAATGGAAAATGCTGTTAAATGGATAAAATAACCCTCCGGGTCGGTATGAGATTTTGTCGTCTCCGGCGTCGCGATAATTTTTCACCGAAGAAAAATAGCAGAGGTGGGCAAAATATTTTTTTAAATGCAGGATTTTAAGCTCCGTTCTTCCCAGGGTTTGGATTTCCAGGGGTGTTACACCCACAACAAGACGATAATCTGCATGACGGATAAAAAAGTTATACGAAAATACAGGTTTTATGAAGAAATTAACTTTTGAATACTGTGAAAGTATTTTATTTTTTAAATCGTGAAAACAATGCATTTTAATTAAGAAAAAAAGTTAATTTCTTCGCAGGACCTGTATTTTCTATGCAAATTTTTCGTGTTTTTGTGGGTGTAACATCCCTGAAAATCCAAACCCTTTAAAGAACAGAGCTCAAAATACTTTAAACATTTCCCCACAAGTATTTTGCCCACCTCTGAAAAATTATACGCATCAAGTGTCATAGACAAATGAGCGGAATGCAGAAACCGCTCTGTTTTTAGTAGAGGAACCAATTTTCATGTCTTATAAAATACTTAATTTAACCAACCACGGACAGCCACGGGTTTAGTTTATTAAGTCGGCGGCCGTGGTGGGGGATCTGTCGTTTCAGAGATGGAGATGGAGAGATGAGTGCGTGATTAGTGTCACGCAAATGATCCTGACTGCTGGAAGGGTAACTAAAGTGCACCCCGTTAATAAGAAAGCAGCCCGAGAGCTGAATCTATTTGTTTTGCAAAGCACACAAACCGATCGGATTGAAGAAAGGAGAAAGCAGAGAGATAAATTCGAATCCGTCTTCCGAATCGAGGGAATAAGTACACATAAGAGATTGGTGGGTGATTAATTCCAACCCAAACTCCACTTTTTCAGATTCGGTCTCATTTTATGTATAAGAAAGTGCAAGCAATGTCGCGTCGTCTCCTGCGCTTTTCTGTATTCCATCCGAATAGGTTTTGCTACTCATTGTTGGTCGGATGGGAAGAATGTAGCGAAACGAAAGGAATGATATCTGGCCTGGGATTTGCATCAGATTCGGGGAGAGAGTTTTGGGGAATGGATTGTTCTCGTTTGTACAATGTGGATGCACTCTAAGAAATTTTATTACCGGATTTATCACCGACCGGTGAGTATTCATATAGTGGAATTATTTGTGCGTGTCACCACCTCATTTGCAAATTTTGACGCATTCGCGAGAGACGTAGAGATGATTCAGCATGGAAAGCCCGTATTGCTGAAAATGGGAATAGTGAGATTTATGCAAATGAGGTGATAAGCCAAAGTAAGAGCACAGTATATGATTTTACTGGATGGTAATAATATTTCACCGCTCGGTTACAGCGGAATTACCACGTGGGAACACCCACCAGTACCTTGGTGACATTCTACCAAGCGGAAGGACATGTACTATCACCGAAATGGTAACAACCCCGATCCACCAAGGCACGTTTGTCACCGGATTTTTTAGAGTGATATGTATACCAAGATTGCTTACGAGATGCAGATAAAGAACGTGATGGGACGTTATAGGATCATTTGTCACTGGTCGTACTGCTCCTGCTGCCGAGTTTAAATGAATTTCGAGCCTTGTTGCTCCCTATCTTTCGAGTGTTCCATTTACGTGAAAAATTTAATTTATCTCATGTCACAACAAAATGTTGGAGTGTATAATGGGGTGCATTTCAATAAAGAAGTTAGCACCTTATACACATTTCTACACCTAGCATGACAGGTGAAGCAAGTAAGGTGTGAATATTTTGCATATATACAATTCTGTCCTCAATGCTGCATTGTAGTTCGGGATGAAAAGGTCCAGCGGACATGAATGCCGTCGTCGTTCGTACCAAATTACAAAAAAATCCCATGGGCAGAAATGGAGAAAAATCGAGTTCACACACACGCGTCACACGTCTCAGAAGAATTTTATTGACAAAGTTTCTCCAATGAAGGTGCCCTTGATCTTCAATTTCGAAGACAAATAGAAATATGAAAATTGAAAATGTGCAGAATTCTATATTGCTTTGCTTTACTCCAGTTTGATTAAACGATTCCAATATTTTGTGAAAATTAATCAACCACCGTCACGTTTCGCGTCTTATGCGGAACAAATTACGTATATGTTCGATTCGTTTAAAGGAAAAATAGTGAAGGAGGGTGAAAGTTTGTGGCAGTGGCCACGGAAATGTGGGGACAATGTCCCCGCGATTATTCGATGTCCCCATCATCTCCCCATGTTATATGAACCCCTCCATCCCCTATCCTGCAATGCAAATGTCCCCAGATGTCCCCACAGCTTCCGCGGCCACTGGTTTGCTTGCGGGGTAGGTTGGGAAAGTTTTTAACAAAGGAGTGAACTCCTGATCCTACTTTTTTATACGTCTTTTCCTGGGTGAAGCCTTAAGAAGTATTTCGATTCAGGATTCAGATGAGAATTGTAAGAGCCTTATTTTTGTCCATTTCTTAAACCAATAAGAATTGCATAGAGGATCAAGACAGCTTCTTCTGAACTGAATAAAGTGTATTTTCCTTGCCGTGGCGTCATGTCAAAGTAGAATGTGTTAGAGAATGGAAAATGCATGGAAAATGGGTGTGTATGACGCACGACGTTCCTAAATTAGAACATTTGTTAATGACTATATTAAAAAGTAAACGCTATCAAATTACGCATGCAAAATATGTGTATCATATTTAATCGCGAGAATGAATAACTAAATTCAAGTTGTTCCAAAATTAGAGCAATTTTCTACAATTTCAAAAGCGTTAACTTAACTCTGATCCTTTACAGGTGATCGATTTCTACTCAAATCAAGAACGTAAGTAAATACACCTTGAACATTCTCGCCTTTCTCGAAAAGTTTTCTTTCTACGAACGACAGGTGTAGGCAGGAGGCATAATAATGGGCCCGATAATTGTTCCTCGCCCATCGCACGTTTCCTTAAACCTGGTCAGCGTATGCATTCATAAAATAAAATCCTTAACGTAAGACTCGATGACTCATCGCCAAAATCACAACATTTTTTATCATTTCTCACCTCTGGGAATTTATTTCAAAATTCTAGCTGACAAATTTGTAGAGCAAGTCGCTGCCAACTTTTCGAAAATATGCACTCCAGATTTTAAAAGTTTTAGAAAGAGGATATCTCAGGTTTAAGAAGCTTTCAGAAAAATTGGGTCTCATCGAAATTGGCTTAAAAAACTCATCGCTATTCTATTAATCAACTCACTGACTACAAATTTGTCGTCTAGAATTTTAAAATAAATTCCCAGAGCGGAGAAATGATTAAAAATGTGCTGATTTTGATTCACAATTTTGGCGATGAGTCATCGAATCCTACCTTAACAACGTGGGTAGTGCCATTGACAATAAGTTGTACTTATGTACAACCTTTGGACGGTTGAGTTGTCTCAACTATTGTACTCTCGTGAGGCCTTTTCTCAATGACAACAAATATACGTCGGTTCAATCGGACAAAAGATTTCTTCACCTTTTTTTCAAGGCTGCACGTTGCCTCAAGAAGTAACCAACTTTCACTATTAGTTGATCGTGACGTGTCAAAAAAGCTTCAACCAAGTGGTGAAAGCAGAAGTGTTGGTGGATGGATCGACGGACGGACGGGGCTGGTTGCGAAAAAGAAGTTTAACAATTATCATTATCAACAAGTGTTGCCCAGAATAGTTAGTTGAGAACTTTGAGCCTTTGTAATGATAATGTTTGTTTTGCATCGCTTGACACATGCTATGCTTCGTACGTATCGATGGTCTGATCCACTTATGTATGGCGACACGCTAAATCAAGCTAACGACTCGGTTTGTTTGATCACACGGTTACATTTAACGAATTTATTTATAGCATCTC